TATCACATTTGTAGCCCTGTTTACTAATGCAAATGCATCCGCGGACCCGAACCTGTCACAGACACCGATATGGTATTGACGCCGACATGACATTGACGCCGACATTCTGCAGACGCCGAGACCGTATTAGAATCCCCAACATGCTACTAACACATTATCATGATTGGCTATTATATTTGTAGTGTACTTGTGAATGCCATAGTGACCACCGACGCCGACAGCATAGCCCACTGCTCAGAGCCTTAATATTACTTCATTACTATTATTGTAGTAAATTGTACTTATAATGTAGCATCCGCGGACGCGACCACTCCAGCTGTCCGCGGATGTCCGCTGGACCGAGCATGTCGGCGCAATTGGCCATCCGTGCTACCGAGCATCTCCATCGGCGTCCCCTGCATACCCTGCTCGATCATCTTGTATCGTCGCGCGCGGCGAGAGCTACCTACGGAGTCGAGGTAGTTGTGACGTATGATCCATCCAAACCAGATCATCGAGAAAGACAAGACCGATCATACGTTGACTTCACCGGAGCTACGTGTCTTTCAGGCGCGTTTACAGCCATCTTACTCAAGGTGAATGGTACGAAACACGGGACTTCGTGTCCAAAGCTTACATGGCGACGTAGGGAACTCGAGTGTCAGAAACGCAAGAATTTAAGCGCACTTATCGGTTAACAACCGCGATACTTCAACGTCTAAAAAGCTCAGAAGTAGCTATTACTGTATACCGCGGAGACAAGGAAAATCCTCAATGGATAAACGAGGACAAACGTAAGCTGTGACAGTGTTGGGCATACCAACAACTCACATTCGCTTCCCTAGTCGCCTTCTCTCCCCTATGTACCGTTCACGCGGATACGTCCGCAGTTGAACCCAAAGTTTATGAAGGGGGAAGTCTTACGGACGGACAGCCGAGACGGCACTACAGCATTGCATACGACGTCGTGCTGCTTTTTGGCCTTACTGAGCTACAGGCTCAGCTTAGGTGGAAAGAAAATGTACGTCTTTCTGGTTTGATTCTCGTGCATGTTCTGAGAGCACACCACCATCAGGGAGTCACGAAACTGTAAGCAAATATAACTATCATGGTGTCATTCTTAAGCTGATAGCACTTAACATACAAGGGGACCTGCTACCATCATTTATGAGGACGATTGAAGAATGCCAATGGTGCTGACCGGCGACATCTACCATTTATGTTGTTTCTGTACAATCAAAAGTTTCTGTATATAGCCAGTCCTACACTTAATTCATAATTCACGATATCGAGCGAGGCGAAAGACATAAGTCAACGTTTCAACTGCGGCTGATAAACCTCACGCAAAAGAGAAGTATGCGCGTGTGGGATAGAGCCTACAATCCCACAATAGGCTAACTTCTTTTACAATCACAAGAAGCTTCTAAGTTTTGAACTTGGAAAGACCGCGACCTTTCCTTTTCCATGCCCCATGCTCGCCTTCCCCTTCATGGAAGAAAACTTTCCCTTAATTGTGGGCGTGATGATCACAACCGCCGCGCTGGATCGCACAGTATATGGAAGGATGTTGATCCGATCAGGTCGGATGCCTGGACGTCACTTTCCCACCACCAGGTCGGGTCACTGGATGTCAAGTGACAGCATTGGAGGTCCTGTCAAGTGATGGACATGAATTGCAGTAAGTACTACAAAAATTGTGATGTGGCATATGGAGGGAGAGCAGGCAAGCATGGCGATGGCGCCGACAGGAGCGACGCGCCAGCAACAAGGCCGCCAAGCGACGGAGGACAAGGCCGTATCAAGTGACAGGTGGAGCATATGGCGGAGTTCTAATCTTCGTAGCAGCCGAAAGCAACTGGAGAGGGCGCCGACGCTAGCCAAGATGCGTTGCGAGAAGGCCGCGTCAAGTGATGAGGGCAAATGCGACAAACCCGTAGAAGAGATTCGTCGCGCCCCGGAATCATCTTTATTAAACATCATGTCTATTGTGAGGCATACAGTCAGCTAACACTGGTATAGGACCAGTCGGCCACATTGGTTTGTGTATGTACATGTACAGACTTTCGCATGTAAAATGCCAGGCAAACTCTGTCGCCCATTGATGGAGGGGCGCCGTGGCGGAGGGCATTGCCGCAAAAAGGGACAACTGAACCAGGCCGATAGTCGAGGTCGATTCCCAGGCCCGGGAAAGATAATTGACCCCCACAGTATCGGCCAATCGATGCAAGGAGATCATACCATTCGTAATACCCGCCGCCGTCACGGTGAAATATAGCTTCTCTGTTAACCAAAATAGAAAGGGCATTGAAAACGCAAGCCCAGTCGGTAATAAGCTCTGGATGGGCGCTCTCATGCTCCAGAGCGCGCATGCAAGCGACGCCTTGATGAAACTGCGACGGATGAATGACGGCTAGTACGCCAGAAAGCAGGGCAAACGTCTCTTGTGAATCTAACGCCCATTTGGCAACGATCGGCTCAGTTCTCAAGAGGCGGCTGGCGTCTGGGATGGTATCGGTGAACTAGGAACGGTAAGTTATGTGTCGGCGACACTGGAAATGCTTACCTCGTGCCCTTGGGCGTACCAGCCGGGCGAGATGTCCATGGATCCAGTGATGTTGTCGCGTGACAGCGATAACTGAGTATTGAATAGGAACTTTGATCGCCTCCACTGCTTGACTGTGGCAGGGACAGCATCCGCTTGCGCTTTGTTCATCCCGCGCGACAACACCTCGGCGATGTTTTCAATGTCGGCGACGATACGATCTTGTCGCTCAGGGCTCAGAAGCGCGGGGAGGAACCAGAGGATCACGCGTCCGAGGGCATCGGCAAGTTTGAAGGGTTCCGTGGCCCAGAGACGCTTTGTGATGGGGTCAGGATCGGTGGAGGACCACGGACACCTGCCTTCAGGATATGTGAGATGAGGCTTCAGGTACTCGAGCACGGATTCTTTGTTGGGATCGGTCCCACGCTGGTGAGGCCCAAGGTGGGTTGTATGATATTCTGCGTCGCCTTGCAGGAGAACTGCAGACGTTGAGCGCGAGTGGGCGAAATGGGCGCTGGCTTACCTAGGCAATTGTCGGCAGCAGCGATGACTTCCATCGCGCGCTGCACGTCGGAACAAAGGGAAGCCGACAGCCATGAAGGCGCCGTGGGAACATGCGCGCTGTCGCCGACATGGAGTGCCTGCATATACTTGCCAAGCTCTTCGCATTTGTCTAAGGCAGACATGACAGCGGGCGACCTGTCTCAAGTTCTCGAGTTACGCATTTATAACAGGAGAACGTCGCCCGTGCCCGACAAACAACGCGGCGTATGCGTGCGCCGAATAAACAAAAATATTGCTTTGCAAGGTTTGCGCGCAGGATATATTACATAATGCACAGCCCGATCGTGGGAGGCACGACCAGCTATTTAATTTAGGTGCACGCGCCGGCCAAGCAGCAGCAAATAAAGCGCGACGCGCCAGGTGAACGCGACGGCGCGCCGCGCGTTCCCTTCCTTTGCATTCCCAACGCCGACCTCTCGCCATGGCCATTCCACTCCCCCTCCCCATTCCAACACTGCCCGTATGGGCAAACAGCACTGCTATGGATGGGAAGACGGCCTATTACAACATCGCCCATGCCCAAGCCTTCATCAACACTGCCGAAGCACGACTGCAAGAGGCCCTGCCTCACGTTGATGAGTGGGAGCACGGCGACTTTGTGAATAAAGTGATGGGGGAAGTGGTAAGGCTGTCCTAGTCATATATGTCGCCGCCTCATGCACCTTGATGATTTTTTTTCAGGATCAAGCTTACGAACCTGCTGTGGCTCTGTACGCCCGCTTCCCTGACCTCATGCCGACCCCTGTCTTGTTTGACGTGTTCCGCAACCGCGACTACGTTGCTGCCATCGCCAACTTCAATGGCGCTGCAGACGTTGATGCCGGCGTATACGCCACGTGGCGATGTGCAAACCCCGAGGCGTTCCTGGACCTGGGTGATGACCGTTGGTGGGAACCGCCTTCATACCCTTCGCCTCGAGCGGCTTCGCCGCCGGCCTCAGTATCAGACAACGGCCGCGGACGGCGCCAAAAGATGGCATGCGTAATGATTGAGCCGCCGACGGTGCGAAGCAGGTCGTCGGTAAAGGTGCGTTGCATCATTGGCTCTCTGACTGCTTAATGACATTTGGGTTGCCTCTGCAAGAGAGCAGGCACTGCATGCCGAAGTGACCAGGGCAGCAATGGCAATGATGATGAGGATGGCCCAAACCCGCGCTGCGTCTCCACCAGCGGTGACAATGGCCCTGGCGCTGACGATGGCGTTGCAGCCTACGACGACGACAACTTGGAAGAGATCTCTGTCGGCGACCCTGGCTCCGTCGGGCTCACAAACAAACAACGCGAGGTACGTCTTCGGCATTGGTCTGCAGCATACGCGGCTCACCTAACCAACATAGGCCCGACAGAGGACGCTTGACCGATTGGCCACCTACTACGAGGGAAGCAAACGATGTTCACGCTGCATTGAAAAGCATCGCAAGTGCCGCGTTGAATATGATCAAGTCATATGCAACGGCTGTCGCCGAAATCGCAAGAGGTGCGATGCGAGGTTCAAAGCGGCTGGCGATGATGGGGCGGCTCCGCCCGACAAACGCCCATCTAAACGCCCGAGGTCAACTGCTTCGAAGCAACCGAGTAGGTCTGGTGCATCAGGTAAGAAGCCCAAGGCATTGCCACGGGCACCAGCACCAAAGCAAGAGAAAACAGAGAAGAAGGAGAGGAAGGAGAAGAAGAAATACGTGCCAGTGGCGCAGCGGAAGAGGATCTCAATTGGACACCGTAGCGAAAGTCAAATCCGTGAACGGGAACGCAAATCAAAACGGGACTTCCGATATGTCACTCGTAAGCAGGTCCATTGCACATTGCCGTTATTGCTCACGCGTCAGCAGCCAACTCTGACGATGAAGTCGACCAGCTGCTGGATGACAGCGACTGCTCACCGGCGCCTGCGAGCGGCAACGTGCCCAATCCGGCAGCGACCGCTGGCGCTGATCCCTTGCGGAACAATCCGTCGGCGACATCGCTGTCGGCGACATCGCTGCTATCTATGGACTCATGGACCTTAGCAGCGAGCAACAACGCCGAGCGCGAGCTCCTCCGCTTGTTGCAACGCCTCGACAGTGACGGCGAGGCCATCGCTTGTCGCCTACACCGACTGGCGGTCCGGGCTACAGAATGGAAATGGGATGAGTCGGCGACTCAACATATATAGGCAATTTTGTTTGGTTGACTAGGGCACAATGTAACATATGCTTAATCAGTGCGGGTGATGTTCAGATTAGTGAAGAAGTTATCATCTGTGTCGGCGCCCGCTGTTGCTGCGGTTGCAGTCACAGGTTCCTGGGCAGGTAGCCAAAGATTGATATAGGAAGGAGGGGGATGCTTTGCGAGGAGTCTTGCAAAACTGGAGTTAGCCATTTGCGCCAATCTCTCCCAGTGCTTGCGTTGCCTTCTCGCATGGGCAACATGTCCAGGCCGGTTATCGCCAGCCTTAGCTGCACGTCGGTCCCATTCCTTAGCTTCATGAGCAAAGCTGAGGGGAATACGCTCCATCTCGTGGCGGAGGATGACAATCTCTTCTTCTGCGCGATCTTTCCTACATTTTGCCTTCATCCAGTGAAGTCGATAAACTTTGGGATATTAGATTCTCTGTCGGCGACCACCATAGTACACTCACATTCATTCAGAACCTCATCGCCGCTCTTTCCTGCCAGCGCCTCTTGGATATCCATCGTCCATATCCATGGGAGCCCTTCATCGCGCAGTCCACGTTCAGCTGGATTAAGCGTCGAGGTCCGTGCCTCCAAGTCGGAGAAGGTGAGCTCTTTATACATGGCAATGTCATCTGGAGACTCAGCAAGAGCGATCATAGCCTTCCGCGCATTGTTGTAGGTTTCGCGTTGGGTGGCAATTTTGCTATTCTGGATGTCAACAACATCCTGCGCTGCCTTCCCTAGTTTCTGGCTTCCTTTGGCTTGACGTATGTCGGTCCGATAAAGAACGGACTTCTTGCCGATATAAGACCGAGTTTTCTCCAAGGCGTCGTGGGCCTGGCCACGCCTAAGTTCAGCTTCTATATCCACTAGGTACTCTAGGCCGTTGTCAAAGCAGGCTCGCCTTCCAAATGCAGAGGGCAGCTTAATAGAGATATCCTCAGGCGTTGGCATGTCGGCAATGTCATCCCAGTCATCGTCCCCAGCATCGCCGTGGGACGATTCATCGGCGACCTCATCAGCTAGCGCTCCCAAGAAACGAGCAGACTCAGCAAGGAATGCCGGTATGAGCTTCCGCAGCTGTTTGCGATCGGCCGCCAGTGTTTTTGCATCGGTTCCTCTCTCTTTGTCGCGAATCCGTCGCTTTAGCACAGTTGCTTTGATTCTGGAGCACGAGTTAGAATATGCAGAGAAGAAAATGCGGCACCGTACTGCAACTGCAAGATATCAATGCCTTTGCTGACCCAAACAACTGCTTTGTTTGCCCCACGACGCTGCTTGACCTTGCTGGAGTTTGCGAGCTGGCCTTCATTCTCGGCGCGAGAGGGCAATTTGCTGATCTTAACATTGAAGACTTCGTTTGCTTTGATATCGTGGGTGCGATCTTCATAAGCTTTATCAAGCATCTGTGTCCATCTTTCGACCTCCTCCGGTGCACACTTATTCGTGATGGTTACGTATTGTTTTGTTGCTCGCTCGAGGAGGTCTAAGACATCCAAGAATCGGGTGCAGCAGTACTTCACTGAAAGGGATCTCAGATGCAATATCCAGATTTTGTCGCCGATAGATAGCGTACCTGAGTTATACATTTTCCTCATGTTTTCCCAATCCATATGGCCATTGATGAGATCCCGCCGCCCAGACTCCGCCATGTGCCTTGCACTGTCGGCGATGTTGTTTAAAGGCGGCCACATGGACTCAATCATCTCGCCGGCGACTTTGCCGACCCCTCTAATGAAGTCAGGGGAAAAATATGCGACGCACTGATCTTGATGCCCATGGACATGAAAAAGCCCGATTGCAGGGATGACAACGGGTCCGTCGGGCAGCGATAACAAGGGGCTATTTTTGACGCGGTCAAAGAACTTGACAAAGTACTGGCAAATGATGTCATAGAAAAGGACGACACCGGCAAGATTAGCTGCCAGCCAGATGGCTCGAGTTGTGATGGCATCAATGCTAATTTGTCTGTTTGGGGATTGGCCTTGGCACCATAATGGAATCATCTCAACACTCACCGCTCTCCAAGCAGGAGGTCAACTATTGCGTTTGATATCCAGAAGCCGTGCCTCGCACAAGCGACACCCGCCAACCCGGTATACAGCAAATGTGCCCGCCGGCTATTAGCCTGAGAGACCGCCCGATGATCATTGCAGGTGGAACGCTAGATGTTTTTCAGTTAGCATAATTGACAATCAACCAAAGATATATCTACCTGAGAAACCTCGTCTACAGTAGCCAGATGTGCTTCATATTCTGATTTCTTGACGGTATACTGTAGGCCATCGGTGAGCGGCACATCATTCTCGGGTTTTCTCATTCGAAAGTTCTGCTGTTTGAAATTACCATCCACCACCAGATGGAGATAACTGAGCCATGACGGTCTAAAATTCTAAATAAGTATGATCCCGATGCTTATTGCAAAGATTGACATACACCGAGCTATCAGGCTTTGCCGGAGCATTAATGCCTGGCCGCGGGCATGCAACACAAGGGGTTGCTAACGACCCTGGAGCATCTTCATCTTCTCCGTAACCGTGACCATGTCGCTTACGCGACGTCAATCGAAGCCATTGCCGAGCGCATCGGGCCAGCTCCCGATAGCGATCCTATACGAATATCAATTAATGACTTATTCACTGTGAGGTTGAAATGACGTCACCGGCACAAGGTCGGGATATGCCTCGTCGGTGATGCGCATGAGCATCCGAAAGTAGGCGTTTGCAGGTACCTTTGTTTCCATATTTGCAAGGAGGAAGTGGTCAAGTACATCAAAGGTGAAGACTGTCTGCGGGCGGTCCTGGGAAGCTGGATAAAGCCTCATACGAAGTAGTTGCTCGTGAGGGGCATGTCGCACACTGCATTTGCACCATACAATTGGAAATTCATAAAGGCCGGTGACGTCGACGACAGTGATCATTCGGGCCGGAGACAAATCATCATCCTTGGCATCGGCTCCAATACCCCGGACCTGAGAAAATCGCTTGCATAGTCCATATTCGGCTGCTAACTGATCAATAGATTCTGGAGTGACGTCATTGAAGATGGTGTTATCTGGACTTATCGGGGGTCGCTCTCCCGAAGTGCTAGCAGCAGGCTCTGGGGGGGGAGGGTTGGAGGGGCATCTCTGGCCACTATGGCCCATGTTCAGTGTAACACCTAAAGCAGCTGTTGTGGCAGGCTCCCAATGGTCGCCTTGCCACATTTCAACCTTGTGAAAGGGCAAGAGTGCATGAGAGGTCCTCATGCAACCGCTGCACATGTGTGGGTTTGTAAAGCAAGAGAGGCATCGCCATAGAGCAGTAGCTTGGCGACAAGTTGCACAGTCAACAGCAGGAGGTGCTTCGCCATCAAGCATGAGTAGGAGATAGCTGTTCTCATAATCCAGCCATTCGTGCATCATTCGTGCCTGTCCCTGTAGTAGCTGAGTAAAGTTGGGAGCTGAAGGATTAAAAAACGCAACACACCCATGGCCGAGACTCTTTCTCACTGCTTGCTGGTGCATCGTCAGGAGGATCAACAAAATCGAATATTGGTGGTAGATCAGAGACGCCGGCTGGTGTTTCACTGTTGGGATGGACGGTAGAAGCTGTTGGACCGGTTGGCCTCTGCGATTTACGGTTGATTTTGACCTTTTCTTTTCCTTTTGATGACTTGAAGGTACCTCCTTCATAGTTGTATGAGTTTCCTGCGTTAGGTGTCGGCTTTGACTTGCCAGCCCTGCGGCCGCCAACCATTGCAGACGTAGATGAGGTATCAAGAAAGGTGTGAACCATCAACTCGCAATGGGAGATTGCGCTCTGCCGCAAGTTACCGACAGTCTCACTAATAAGGTTACACTTGTCGCCGACAATATTATTGCAGTTACTTGCGTCAAGTCAATCATTTACATCCGCCATTGACATTGTATAAATCAGTCCAGGTGATGACCAAGATGAGTAAATATTGGAGGTGACTCAGACTTCAAGCAGATCCAGATCTGTCTGAGACAGGTGCTGAATTATATCATTAGCCAAACAATATATGTGGAATGCATCACCGAACTAGTTGGCCAGGTCAAAGGTGCAAAGCGCAAAGCACCAACTATGCACCAGAAAGCATAGATATATCAAGATTGATCCACATAGCTCATGAGCATGTATGCCATGCATCATGGAACTCGTTGATGTGGAACAGGTCAAATGTGAAGTACGAAATGCTAGCAGAGCACTGCAATGTAATATTGCATTGGCTGTAATAATGATGTCTATGGGGCTAACTCTCAATTACATGTAGGTCCGCCTCATGCCTCAACAATATATAAATGTCAAGGGGAGTCAAACTGAGCCATGATTCCAATCATCAGTCAGAATAGTTGGAAATGAACACCGACGGCCCAAACAGACTGTGCGCTACCTTGGGCTACACTTGATTGTCGGAGGCTAAGTTGTGGTGTCTTGGTCATGCTGCCCTGATTTACAAGACTGCTCCGACATAGTCCCCCAAGCAACCATTGACCCTGACATGAAAAAATACAAATAAAAAGGAGACGAAGAGCCCCAAGCTACTCTTGATTCCTTCCTCCGCATCGTCCCCAATGACTGCAGAGGCTGCTGTTGGCAATCCATCCGTTCCTATGAGCGACCATTCCACCAAGAATCCCCTACCACCCACTGCATTCCCATCCTTCACAAAGGCTCAGCGCAATGTTTTACTGCGCAATCGGACGGCCTGGGAGGACACCGCCGACGACTCCGCTGAGGACAAGCTTGTCGGTCAAGTTGTGGAAGAGATACTTCGCTTCCCCTGTGACAACTTCATTTCCAAAGAGGACACAGCAAAGGTAAGACTCTTGTTAGAATAATGGGAAATGCTCATTGTGTCCAGGCTGTCATGCAGTGGTTCAAGATCGAATCCCAGGAGACAGAGGAGCGTCGCCGGAAGAAAAGCGTCCCAGGAAAGGCATGGAATGCTTTCAATGTCGCTGAGTATTTCTACCGTGAGAAGTATGAGGGGCAGATGCCTTTCATCTGGCGACGGCAGCAGGAAGAGGAGCGTCAGCGGCGGGGGTCGCAAGGCGGGCCCGACACTGCCGCCGCCGCCGATGATGATGACGACGAGAACATGCCGGCCATCGGCACTGCCGAGTGGATGGCGTTGTACTCAGAGGCGCGGTCGGTTGTTTACCGGAACCTGTCCGACAAGAAATACCGCGAGCTGAAGAAGACAGCGACTAAGTGGAACTCTGAGGGCATTCCCAAGGCGATGCAAGACAAGTAGGTCGTCGAGTTGGCATCAGGATTAAGACTAATCGTGCTTCAGAGAGTTCAAGGGGTTTCTGCGATGGACCCGACAGGTTTGCCATTATGCATGGCTCCACTTCGGCGTCATGATGTTCCTGATGCATACTCGTATGGATGCCGAGAATGACTGCTGGTCTGGTTGGTAAGTGTTGTTGGCACCAGGGGCAGAATTTATGCTTAGCCTTGCAAGGTACGATGCAAGTCTTGCAATTTCTCGACCTGGAGTCACTGCATTCACCGACCTGTTGCCACGGCCCGACATCGAGACAACTGCATTTTGGAGGCGCTTTATTGCCTGGTTTGCGGCTAGCAACGGTATGTCGCCGATGGTCTGATTTTGCCTGCCGCTTGCTTTGTTAATGGGCGGCTGCCAATCCTTAGGCAAGGGGACCACTGATGCTGTCGCTGAAGCCCATAAGCCTAAGCGGACCTCTGTAGCGCTTCGACCCGATGGATATCCCATCCTGCCTGATGCTTATAAGAACAAAAAGGACCTTGAAGGCATCTTCCGCGACGTCATGAACGCAGCATTCAGGTATGACACCGACAAGGTTGGAAATGACAAGGTCGCTGTGCCTTGGTCAAAGGTCGACGGCCACAACCTCGAGTTTTTCAACATTACCGACATTCCCACCGACAAGTTCGGCAAGCTTGTGAACATACGCGAGCCGGGTTTGATGACAGAGGGCCAGCTAATTCCAGTTTGGGACATGTGGAAGGCGAGAGCTAAAGAGAGCAAGGACCCTATCCACTTCTCGTCCACATATCTGATAACATGCTCATCAACTCTCTCGGGGGCGCGGAAATCTCAGGGCCAAAGGGTCTCTGATGATACTGACGATGTTCGTGTTCGCCGCCAAAGGCGCCGACGGCGGGTGGTGCCAGATGAGTCCGATGATGGCGATGCACCCAGCCCAGCTGACAGCCTTGGTGTCGCCGACATATCACCGTTAAACCCCACTGCTGTGAGCGTCTACGCATTCCTTGATTTATTTGTTCTGACGCCTGCATCAATAATTCAGGATGGTGGAGGCGCTGAGCGACGGGTGCCACCCAGGGACCACTCTGTCGCCGACATTTGCAGACCTATGCCGCGGCCCCTTCTGTCGGCAGCCCCTCAACTTTTGGTGAGTTCTGTTTCCGCAAAATGGCCACTTTCTCATCCTGCTTAGGAATCACGTGAACATCCTGAAGATGTACCAGCTTCTAGCGCATCAGCAGCGACAATTTTCCCTGCCTCTGACTGCAACGCCCGGAATACAACTGCTACTGGAGCAGGGGTATCTCGTTCAGCACTTCGGTCGCCTCCTCCCCTGAGCGATGATGATGACGAGGATTTCGTACCCGAAAAGTTGTCTGGGCAATATAGGAGCAGCGGTCTGACATCTCAGGGACGCCTCGGTCCTGGAAGTGTCCAAGATACTCTTGCTATAACTGCCGCGGCAACCATGGCTTCAGCGACGGCACTCAGGCCAAGCGCTACCATCAGCCACCCGTCGCCTACTTTGATGCCGGCTGCTAATATTGGCTCACTCCTTCGCCGAATTCGTGTCGATCAACCGCTGCCGGACTTTGCATCTCACGCTCTGCCTGTCGCCGCCAGAGAGTCACCCACAGGTTTGCAGACAATGCCAAGCCCTTCCCCATCAACCTTGTTGGTATCGGCTACAGCTTTGGCTACTGAAGCGGCCTCTCATTGCGAAGGCGCATCTGGGCCTGTTGCTGCTGACATTATCTCTGAAGTTGACGAGATGGGGTCTCATCCAACTGGAGGCTTGCCGGCGGCTATTGACAATGCTGATGCGCTTACAGTCAGTGGCGGGTCACCTGCCTCACGAGATGTTGGAGCGCAAATAATTATTGAGGGGAGGCACACACCTCCTAGACTGAAGCGAAAGGTGGGCTAAAATTTGCTCATGCGGATTCAATGCTGATCCGTTCATATGATTCAGGCAGGAGTGACACATAATCCCTTGGTAGGTCTAGCCAGAATGTATCTTGCAAGCATATGCTCACGCATTTGTAGGCAAAGAAGCACAAAGCATCTGCGGCAGCAATCGGTGCAGCAACGGTTTTCCATGCGCCTGAGGGGTCAGAGACTCGGCGAAGCCGAAGGGATCATACCCAGACCCGAACAGGGAAAGCAAAGTTTCTCACGCCTGGCGGTAAGAAGTTGCCGACAAAATCAAAGGCCGATGAAAACGATGTCGGCGACACTGCCGCAGTCAATAAATCTTACAAGTCCAAAGGTCGCAATAAGGAGCATTTGGGTTTGACCACACGTAAGCGAAGCCAAAATGGTCAATGAAGCACACATAATAGTATGTATTCGATGTGATTTACATATGAAATGCAATCAACCTCTGCCTGCTGCAAAATACAAATATAGTTGTAAGACCTTCAAGGCCTGACAAACATCCCTACGCTGGTATCTGGCATGTTCGTCCCGATTGACTCTGAGATTTGGGAAATTGTCCTCCACTATATGACGCGATGACTCCAAGATGTCGGCGATCAATCTAGCCGCCTCATGCGGATCATCGGGCAAAAACCGCGACATGACATTATCCAAGACCGTGAGAGCAAGATTATCTACCAAGGAAGACGTCGCCGATCCAGGGGGCGCCCGCATTAGGTCCCCAAGAAGCGCGTCCCTATACTCACGGAAGGGCATTCTGACCCTTGGCGGGTGACCATTGATGTTGAAGTCGGGGGGCCAGTCGTGGCCTGCACCTAACGCAATGATAGGATGTTGTCAGCAATGACTCAAATTAACACGATGGCAGCCTTACCAACGTTGGGGGAAGGTCCAGTATCAGTGCCACCGCTTGGGTTGAGAGGAGCGTCGCGAAACTCCCGTTCTGTGTCATAGGTCAAGTTGGAGCCCCGGCACCATGCTGCCCTCGGACTTGTAAGCCCACCTGCTGAGGCCGACAATGTACTCACTAAAGATTGTGTTGGCGTCTACAGCTGCATCTGGGTATGCGCCGTCGATAGGCCCCTCAATGCCCATATACACGGGCACCGTGCCGACTGTTGAGCCTGAGGCCTGAACGCCTTCCATATCATCGCCGCCGGCGGATGGCAGAGGTGCAGTCACCTGTCGGCGCCCGCGGAGAAATCCCAGGCCTGTCGCGGACTTTAGTCGCAGACGGTGCTAAGGGTGGCACTCACCTGCAGGTGCCAGATTTCCCACATCTCGCCGCCCGACAACTTCAGAGCTAGGGGGTAATGCGCCACCTGAAGCAACCGTCGGCGGGCGCCGACGTTGAAGGAGCGCGGCGGCTGTGCCATACGTTAGCATGGGTGCGGGTGCAATGCGCAGGTTCCCACCGTTCATCGGTGCCGCTAACGGCTCTGTTGCAAACCGTTCCCGCGGAATCGCCGGCACCTGGGGCAGAGCCTGTCTGGCCTGCTCCACTGCGCTGAAAAAGTCTATCAAGGTGTTAGCTGTGGGGCAATAAACTGGGGTGCTCCGTACCTTGTCCACGATCCCCGCGCCCCTCCACCGCAGGAGTTGATCTGCCTGCCGACGGCGCGCGAGACGCGGCTCCAGACTGTGTCGGCGGAGTCGCTTAGAACAGGTTAGCGACCAGTAAAGAGTGTTGGCGAATGCACTTACGGGTTGCGTTATCTGGTGCCATCATTCGAGGTAGAACAAAGAGAAGGGAAGGAAAGACGGCTGTTTGACTTGTTATATTCTGTCGCAACGTGTTCATCCAGCCAAACAATGCCAAGCAAATCCAATCTGATCTAATAGTCCAAGCTCCAAGGGTATTGATTCACCATCACTGTCGCGCGATGGATAACTCACAAGCAGACCCACGTCACATCGCTCTACCCGCTGGGATGCCGTTTCAATCCCTCGATACTTGGAACTTGGTCGCTGTCCAAGACATCCTATTCATCCTAAACAACAGGTGGCGTGAGATCTTGGCGATCGCAGAATGTCGGGGACTAGACTTGGATGGGTTTCAGCAGAGGTGGGTTCAAGAATGGGTATGTGGGTTATTTTGTCCGCATTACGCCAATTGATCAAATGTCCAATGTTGAAGGATGAGTGGCGATTTATGAGTGACGTCGCTGGCCGACACCCGACATCGACACTCCCACGACACGTAGCTGCCGTCATGTTCAACCCCAACATTCTATCTCCTGCCTTCACTCTTTCTCTCGAGCGCTACAATGTGCCTGCGGAAGATTATCCAGACATCGAAGTTGACCCAACAAAAGGGCTGGGCCCCGACTGGTGGTCAGTGTTCCGCGATCGCGCGATCGCCGCTCAATCCACGCGTCCGCCATCGGCTACTGCAGATGCACCCTCGCCTGCAGGTGGCGATGCACCCGAACGCGGTGACGCCGATCCCACAGTCGCCGACGCTCGTATTCCTCTTGCAGCACCTGTCGCCGACACGTCTCGCCCGACGGGAGGCGCGCAAACAAAGCCTTTGCCCTCAGATGAGCACGACTCTCAGCCCCGGCCCATGGATCGCTCGCCATCATCCAATGCTCGGAGGCGCCGCAATATCTCAGGGGAAAAACCGGCGGCGGAACAGGCAAGTCATCTCATTGCCATTGAACTATTGCTGACTGTGCATGCCAGCCCAATGCGCCCATGGCTGATGGCCACCAACAGCCAAGCGACGCCGATATGACTGACGCATTGCCTGAGTCCCGCCGCCCGCCCAAGCGACCCCGAAAGGAAAAGGTGAGCCCTTATCGTGTTGCTGCCCCAATTGGAAACCTAACTTAACCGCGCTAGAACAAGCTGAGCGACAAACCGGACATTCAAGGCGTCGGCGACGGCAATGTTGAGCCAGCGGCGCCATCCAAGGACAGCACCAAGGGAAAGGTATGGCCTTTTTATTTCATTGGCGACAGGCGAAAGGCGCGCTTAGATCCCCCTTATATAGCAGAAGAAAACCTCTGCTCAGCATCCTACTACGCGCGACAGCAGTTGGGTACCAGTCAATCAACTTTTTGACCCATCTACAGTAATGAGTCCCTCCCATCGCCAATTTTACATGCTGATCGCTTTCCAGGTGGTCACATCGTCGTCCCGCAAACAAGACCACGCTCAGTCTGTCGGCTCTGATGGTACCTCGCGCTTCCAATCCCTCCGCGTTTCCCACGCTCTAAAGCCGTCTGCAGATATTCTGAGCAAGAATGTCAGCATGCCCAATAATGTCGGCGACATTCTCGTAGAATATATCCGCAAGCATGATCAAAGGAATAAGTACGAGGATGGGGAGCTGACCACATGGATGACCCAGACGAAGCGTCAGCTCGATGATGTAACCGAGCACATCAAATCGGTTGACAAGACTCTCATCGCCGACGACGCGCGCTTGAAGTCGCTCGAATTGTCATATGAGAAGGCTGCGACCGACATAGGCGCAATGGCAGACGAGTTCAAGCGCCTCAACACTCACCTTGCATCAATTATCGACGTTCTGCGCAACCAGGGGTTGCTAGGACCATTCCAATGGGGCCAGATGCAGATGGGCTTTCCACCGGGGTTACCATGGTCTGGCGATGGCCACCAAGGCGGTCCGGGGCATGGTCAGGGCGGCATGGGTCCTCCAAGTGCCGGTATGCCGCCCTATCAACTGGAACCCCACCAGGGGCCGCAGCCGTCGGCGCCACACCCGCATGGTTTTGACGGGCCCCATTAGAATGTGTTAGCATTGTAGGCGCATATGCCGGTTGCTCAGTTCCTTTTGTACAAACATGCCATGCGTTATCTACCATTCGTATATCTAACAATATTTGTCTGTCTGATATCTTGCTTGGCCCAACTTTTAAGTCTCTCGGCGGTCCTGCAAAATCCGAGTTTGTTTGCTTTGGCAAGCCTAGGCCTGCCGACAAGGCGGTATCACTTGACGCGACCTCATCCCACCCTCTTTGCCATTCTTCGCCGACAGGTGCTTTGGAGCCAGCTAAAGGCGGCAGCAGCCAATAATGAATTTATTGCATATTGGGTTGTAGAGGCGCATCACTTGATGCGACCCCGCAGGCCGTCACTTGACATCCAGGGAACCGAGGTGATGCTGAGAAAGTGCTGTCCAGCCGTGGGACCTTCTCGGTGGTAGTTGCTTGCAATATGTGGATCGCAATCCATGATCTCGTCCCCTCCGAGCTCAGCCTTGGAAAATAATATGGTCAGGGGTTGACAATTTGACGATCAAAACATAGCTGAGTTTGAGTAGAGGCCCATACACGTTTTTGCGTGCTTCACTCTGGGTAGCAAGTACTGTCTCACCGCTCGAGTTTCACCCAGGCATACGAGCGGTTGTAGAGAGGCTCCCACGCTTTTCGGAGTGGGTGACGTGCTTTCCAAACTCGTACCTACTTTAAACTGTGGCGGCAACTTCCTGGGTGGGCGTCGATCTGAAGTTGAATCTTCCATTAAAGCGACTCTTATTTCCTGATACAATACGCAGCAGAAGATTCAGAAGAACACTCCGTACCTGTCAGCGCGACACATCGCGCGGCCATGCGATTGGCTCAGCTCATGACTCCTACTCCCGTAGGCGAGAGCTGAATATCCCTTATCTCTCATCTTCCCTCCGCATACATAGGGCCATTCTACTCTTGACCGTCCTCTTTCGCTCTTATTGAATCACCTTCCCACCAGCGCATCGCTATGCTCGATAGGAAACCCTACCACGGATTCTCGCGCAAGCTTGTGCTGGCATTTGACGTTGGCACGACCTTTAGCGGGGTGTCCTACTGTATCTTGGATCCAGGATACGTCCCAAAAACGCAAGGGGTATCAAAGTAAGTCTCACTTGCCTGTGAACCCAGAACCCCTCTGACATGATGTGCGCATGTAGGTATCCTGGGCAGGTCGTAGGAGACGCGAAGATCCCTTCCATTCTCTACTACGACAAGAACCGCAAGGTTTGTGCGATTGGCTCCGAGGCTGATCAAGAGCAAGTTGAAGAGAAAGCTGAGGACGAGGGATGGACCAAAGCTGAGTGGTGCGTACATGCATACAGTCAACGTGCTGACTCTGGGCTGAACCTCGACTTGTCTTTATCAAGGTGGAAAATGCACCTCCGGCCCAAGCACCTCTCCTCTGCCCACATAAAAGAAAACGACATCCTGCCTCTGCCCAATGGAGTTAACGCCGTGCAGATTCTCGCCGACTTTATGGCATACCTTTTCCGCTGCGCTAAGGCATACATCAGAGAACACGAAGCCGACGGCGCGAGCATCCTCACCTCTGTCGCGGATCGCATCGACTTCGTGCTCTCGCACCCAAACGGGTGGGAGGGCCCGCAGCAGGCGCAGATCCGCCGTGCGGCGGTGCTAGCAGGCCTGATCCCAGACTCGGCAGAGGGCCATAAACGTATCACGTTCGTTACGGAGGGTGAGGCGAGTCTCCATTACTGTATATCGAGCATGCTTGCTTCGGATGCGTTGTCCAAGGTTGTCATAGAGAAGTCCGATGCGAACGACGAGGAGGATGCTGAGGACGATAACAAAAAAGGCGTTATCATTGTCGATGCGGGGGGCGGGACAATCGACCTCAGTGCCTATTCAATGCACCCGGGAACACAGTCTGGCAAAGCGTTGTCGTTCGAGGAGATTGCGCCAGCAGAATGTAGGTACTCTGCAATTATGTTTACAGTATGACGTTTCTGACTGTTTATTGTCAGGTCGACTTCAAGGATCTATCTTCGTGACTAGGCGTGTTGTTGGGCTTCTGCAGGGCAAGTCGCCCGCCTCTTCCCTTCTTTTCTGATTCCCAACCTTTCTTCTAGACAAACTCAAGGGGTCGCGCTTCGAAGCCAATACCTATATCAAACAAATGACGCATGTATTCGACAAGACGACTAAGCATGTATTCAGGGACGCTAGTGAACCATGCTACCTTAAATTCGCTAGACCCAGGATCAAGGATCTCGAGCACGGTATACGTGGAGGCCAACTCATGCTCGACGGGTTGATTTATTCTCTGCTCACACCGCGTATGCCGTGCTGACTGTGGCGTAGGAATGATTTGGCACCACTTTTTGATCCTGCCGTAGAATCAATCGTCGAGGCCATCGAGCAGCAAAAACTTGCTTCTTCAAAGCACATTGCTGTAAGTCGTTCTTTATATCTATGAACCAACGTTGATCAGTACTCTTAGTTCATCTTCCTTGTAGGCGGCTTTGCCGCCAACAATTACCTATTCAAGCAGTTGCAAGGTTTCCTCGCACCGACTGGTGTCTGCCTGAGCCGACCAGACCCGCACCTGTACATGTATTTCTTGGCTAATTGACCGTTTAGTGCTGACATCGCGTCTACAGGAACAAGGCTGTCGCAGACGGGGCAGTGTCTTTTTACATCGATCATGCAGTGACTTCGCGTGCCGCGCGGTTTACTTATGGTTTAGAGCCAATCGTCACGTATGATCCCTGGGACAGTGGGCATTTGGCGAGAAGCCACAAGAAGTTCAAGAACATCGACGGCGATATGAGTCTTGGGGATGCATTCAGCTCCATTTTACTAAAGGCTAGTTTAATTTCCTCTGCAAATTCCTTTTCGCCTCTCGTAACTATTTGTCCAGGGGGAGCGCGTGTCCGAAACGCAAGAGTTCAGTAGCTCATACATCGGCATGGGCGCAACCCCTCAAAGTCTTCACGAGACAGCAGTCGAGATCTTGGCCTATCGAGGGCGCAAGACAGATCCACAGTGGATGGACAAAGAAAAGCGTACGGTCGGCGACAGTTGAGATGTCCCATATCTAAAATCTATATGCGCAGATGCTTTCTCCCCTCTGTGTACGATTAGGGCGGATACTTCCGCGGTCACCCCAACACCTCTTCCGCGAAAGGATCGGCAGCATGAGCTGTACTGGACCATTGATTACGATGTTGTACTGCTCTTTGGTCTTACCGAACTACATGCCCAAATTAGCTGGATTGAAGAGGTACAGTCCGCGGTTCATCTTCTCTTGGCATGGGCGAGATACTCAGATGCTGGTTTTACTACAGGGCGTCGAAAAGAGGTGAGTGGAGTTAAAATGGCAAGGTGGCCTTGCGCAATATCTAATTTGTTTAGGAGCCCTGCAACCGTCGTTTACGACAATGAAGTCGAAAAAATGGAGTAGTTACTGTAGGTCCAGGTCGGCTGTCCTTTCGGCTCGCATATGTGTCCCCGTTCACGATGTCACACAATGAGAGGGAAAGTCTACAATAACTCGTTCCTTGGTAGTTTCCTCGACGAAGTCCCTGTATGATAGACGACAGATGAATTCAGATGTATAAGTACTGTGTTTACTTAAACAAGCGGCGTAGTCAAGTGGACGGTGGACTAGGGAGGTCGGACTCTGAGGGAGGTCGGACCGAGCCTCGAGGAAGGCACGATGGACTAGTTTAGGGCCGGCATGGCCAGCGTAGGCAGTACATAGTGTTCGCGCGTGTTCGTAGCTACTCATCCCTGTTATACGAGGTGTCTCGTCGCCGTCTTCTCCAGGAGTACCCGCTCCAACGGCAAGTCGGGAAGTGTTCTGGATTACTGTGTAAAGGGCAGGTCTTCCCAACCCCTGAATGAATCACACTTCCATTATACCTTCTGATCTCTCTCGGACAGAGCGCACCTACGTACTTCACACCCGTGGTGATTTCTTGGTCAAGCAACGATCTAATGTATACAAAGTTCTCTAGATCTTGATCTAACGCGCGCAGCAGAAGAGCACTCCGTACCTATCAGCCTGGAAGACGCCGAAGAATATTACTCCGTACATGTGACAGTCATGTGCCCAGTGCACACAGCGCCACACGCTGCGCGGCCACGCGATCTGCTCAGCTCAGGACTTACCACTCGCTCACGTAGGCGAGAGCTAAACGTCTTTTATCTCCCATTCTCCCATCTCATTGTCCATTATACTGTTGACCGCACATTTGAACCCTTACTGAGTCACTATCTTCCCGGTGCATCATAGTATGCTCGACAGGCAGCCCTATCATGGACTTTCGCGCAAGCTTGTGCTTGCATTTGACGTTGGCACGACGTTTAGTGGGGTGTCCTACTGCATACTAGACCCTGGGGAGGTTCCAAAGATTCAAGGAGTATCGAAGTAAGTCTGCCTTCGTTACGAGCCTACGAACCTCTCCGACATAACGTGTACGTGTAGGTATCCTGGGCAGGTCGGGGGAGACACGAAGATCCCTTCCATTCTCTACTACGACAAGAACCGCAAGGTTTGCGCGATTGGTCCCGAGGCTGATCAAGAACAAATCGTGGAGAAAGCTGAGGACGAGGGATGGACTAAAGTCGAGTGGTGAGTACATGCATACATCCAACGTGCCGGATTTGGCCTAAGTTGCGTCGCGTCTCGTCTCAATACAGGTGGAAAATGCACCTCCGCCCCAAGCACCTCGCCTCTGCTCACATTAAGGACAACGACATCCCGCCTCTGCCCAAGGGAGTCACTGCTGTGCAAGTTCTCGCCGATTTTATGGCCTACCTCTTCCGCTGCGCGAAAGCGTACATCAAGGAACACGAGGCGCATGGCGCGAGCATCCTCGCTTCCGTCGCGGATAGTATCGACTTCGTGCTCTCGCACCCGAACGGGTGGGAGGGCCCGCAGCAGACGCAGATCCGCCGAGCGGCAGTGCTCGCAGGCCTAATTCCAGACTCGGCCGAGGGCCAGAAGCGCATCACGTTGGTCACGGAAGGGGAGGCGAGTCTTCACTACTGCGTCTCAAACGTGTTTGCTTCGGACGTGTGGGCGAGGGTCCCTATTGAGAAGTCCGAGGCCCAGGATGACGAAGAGGACGTTCAGGATAACGAAGATAAAGGCGTCATCATTGTCGATGCTGGGGGCGGAACTATTGATCTCAGTGCCTACGCGATGAAAGCAGGCACAAAGTCCGGCAGAGCGTTATCCTTCGAGGAGATTGCGCCAACAGAATGTATGCAATTCGACGCTTAGATGCTACAGCGCTACTTACCAACGTTTTATCCTTAGGTCGACTTCAAGGGTCTATCTTCGTGACTAGACGTGCTGTTGGGCTTTTGCAAGGTACCTCACCCATCCTCGTCACTCCTTCCTGGGTTCACAGCTTTGCTTTCAGAGAAACTCAGGGGTTCGCCCTACGGAGCTCAAGACTTTATCAAACAAATGAAGGGCGTCTTCGATACCACCACCAAGCATCGGTTCAGAGACGCCAGCGAGCCGTACTACCTAAAGTTTGGAACGGCCAAGGTCAAGGATATACAATACGGTATTCGTTCAGGACAGCTCAAGCTCGACGGGTACATTCCTCCTCTATACTTCCGTATATCATGAGCTGACGTTGTTATAGGAAGGATCTGGCACCGCTCTTCGATCCTGCTGTAGAATCGGTCCTCGAGGCCATCCAACAACAAAAACGGACGTCAACAAAAAGTGTCTCTGTATGTCTCCGGCTAGATGTGTAAAGAGTCAGCAACGTAACGCCTTCTGTAGTTCGTCTTCCTTGTCGGTGGCTTTGCTGCCAACGACTATCTCTTCAAGCAGCTCCAAGATTCGCTGGGTTTGAGTGGCATTTGCTTGAGCCGACCAGACGGACATATGCGAGTTTCTTTCTCGCTTCGTTCACCGTGTACCGCTGACATTGTTTGTAAAGGAACAAAGCTGTCGCAGACGGGGCGGTGTCTTTCTATATTGATCATATAGTGACTTCGCGTACCGCGCGGTTTACTTATGGTGCAGAGGCAATCGTTCCGTATGTTCCCTGGGATAGCGGACACTTGGCAAGAAGCCACAAGCAGTTCATGGGCGTCGACGGAGAAATGTCTCTCGGAGATGCGTTTAGCTCGATTCTATTGAAGGCTAGTTGATTTTCCTCCAAATTTCACTTCGATTCATGCAACTGCATATCTGTCCAGGGGGAGCGCGTGTCTGAAACGCAAGAATTCAGTAGCCCGTACAGCGGCATAGGCGTAATCCCAGAAAGTCTTCACGAGACAGAAGTCGAGATCTTGGCCTATCGAGGACCGAAGACAAATCCACAGTGGATGGATAAAGAAAAGTGTATGGTCAACGATTACTCAAGTTCACCTTGTCTGAGGCCTATCATTTGCGCAGATGCTTTCTCCCCTCTGTGCACGATCAGGGCGGATACGTCCGCGGTCGCCCCAACGCCACATCCACGAAAGGATCAGCAGCCTGGGATGTACTGGTCCATTGATTACGACGTCGTACTGCTGTTTGGTCTGACCGAACTCCAGGCCCAAATCAGCTGGATCGAAGAGGTACAGTCCGCGGTTCATCTGCTCTTACGTGCCAGACACTCAAATGTTGGTTTTTCCTGTAGGGCGTCGAAAAGAGGTGAGTGGCACTTACAATGGCGAGGTGGCCTTGTGCAGTATCTGATGTGTTTAGGAGCCCTGCAACCGTCGTTTACGACGATGAAGTCGAAAAATCGGAGTAGTTACCGTGGATGCAGGTTGCTGTCCTTTTGGTTCGTATAAGTGTCCCCGTTCACGATGTCACACCATAGGAAGGTCTACAAGAACTCATCCCATGTTAGTTTCTTCGGCGAAGTCTCTGTATGATGACAGACGACAGATGCATTCAGATCGTATAAGTACTGTGTTTACTTAAATAAGCGTTGTCAAGTGGACGGCAAATCGGAAAGTGTTCTGGATTACTGTGTAAAAGGCAGGTCTTCCCAACCCCTAAATGAATCACTCTTCCATTATACCTTCCGATCTGTCTCGGACGGAGCGCACCTTCTATCTTGTGGCACGCCTCGTGTTCGCCTCGCCGTAAATGTGACAGGGCCCTTTCCACACAATGCGCGTGCTTGTGATATGTAAGCGCTGTGGATCCACTGGGATGGGAAAATGCCTTTCTCGATGACGGATGATCAAAACGCGGAAGGCTCACATGCTGTGTGACTTTATAAACTTAGCGAGAACCTGAACCTTGCAGCATGTCCAGCGCTTGTACGCTTGCACGTCGACCCTCGCAACCCCCGCCTGCCATGCCCCAACGACAAGCATACAAAGGTTACTCTCGAAAGCTCGTGATTGCTTTCGACGTTGGCACTACATATAGTGGTGCCTCCTACTGTGTGTTGGACCCTGGCGAGGTGCCCACCATCCAGGGTGTCAATCGGTACGTTAAGCGGTCCTCGTGTGGCGACGCGCGTCTCATCTCGACTACAGCTATCCGGCCCAGGACCATGTTGGAGGAGACTCCAAGATTCCTTCAATCTTGTACTATGACGACGAAGGGAAAGTTCGAGCGATAGGGGCTGAAGCCCTACAAGAGAGCGTCTTGGAGAACGCAGAAGATGAGGACTGGCAGAAGGCAGAATGGTGTGTCCCTCCGTACGCTGTACATGCCCCGATCTGACACAGGTCCACGGCAAAGGTGGAAGCTCCACCTCCGCCCAAAGAACATATCGTCTGAAGTCACCGATGCGGATCTCCCTCCGCTGCCTTTTGGCAAGACAGCTGTCGAGATCCTCGGCGACTTCATGAGGTACTTGTTCGAGTGCACTAGGAACTACATCGAACAAACGCACGCCAATGGGCCCGACTTGTGGGCCTCGCTCGAAGACAAGATCGACTTTGTGCTAAGCCATCCCAACGGGTGGGAGGGTCCGCAGCAGGCGCAGATCCGAAAAGCGGCTGTGCTAGCCGGGTTGGTGGGCGATAAGCCGCAAGATCAGAGCCGAATTCAGCTCGTCACCGAGGGCGAAGCCAGTTTGCATTTTTGCCTGAACTCGAACCTGGCGGTCAGCGCGTTTCATGTGAGTGGTTCTCCGCGCACGAACACGTACGAAGAAAACTCACGCTGGGTTATTAGGACAACCAAGGCGTTATCATCGTCGACGCGGGAGGAGGGACGGTTGATCTAAGTGCATATTATATGACGAACAACCTCGCCTCCTTCGAGGAAATTGCCCCTACGGACTGTAACTCTTTCGTCCTTGAGTTGGGGTGTCTCAGGCACTGACTTCAGCTTTCAGGTCGCCTCCAAGGATCCATCTTCGTCACTCGGCGTGCCGAGTCATTCCTCCGAAGTTCGCTTTGTCCCTTACCTTTCGTCGCAATCTCTTCTCTAACATCTGCCTACAGTAAAACTTCAAGGGTCGAAGTTCGGCGACGAATCTGACGTCAAGGAAATGACGAAGATATTCGACAGCACAACAAAGCTTCGGTTCAGCAATCCCTCCGAGCCTGCATACATCAAGTTCGGCACGATCAGGGACAAGGATCAAGACTTCGGTATCCGGTCGGGTCAGCTGAAGCTCCCGGGGTAACGTTTTGCTTTAGCACTGCGGACAATGAACTGACGCAGGTCCACAGCATCGACGTCGCGAAGTTGTTCGAGCCGTCAATCGAAGCCGTGATCGAAGCGGTCAACCACCAGCGCCAGGCCGCGCGCAAACCGGTCCATGTAAACTCCCTTTCGACATCTACACGAAACGAAAACTGACCGAAACAAACCCACAGAGCGTCTTCCTCGTCGGCGGCTTCGCCGCGAGCGACTGGTTGTTCCTCAACCTCAAGGAGAGCCTCACACCACACGGGCTCGACTTCTGCAGGCCCGACAGCCACACAGGCAAGGCCGTCGCGGACGGCGCGGTCGCGTTCTACCTCGACCATAGTGTCTCGGCGCGTATGGCGCGCATGACGTACGGCACGAGGTGCGCGATCGAGTACAGGAAGGACGACCCGGAGCATGTTGCGAGGGCGGGCACGGTTATACCGCGGCCGTCGGGGAGGACGGTGTTGCCCAATGTGTTCAGTACGGTTCTGAAGAAGGTAAGTGCAAGCTTGTTGCACCTCAACCTTGAAGTGGTGTCGCTAACGCGTGTCTTGATAGGCCACGCAAGTATCGGAGGACAGCGAGTTCCGCAAGGAGTTCATCACGGAGAGCGCCTCAAAGTCGACCTTCGACATGATCTCCACAGATATTGTTTGCTACCGCGGCGACAACCCCTCCCCGCGATGGATCGACACCGAGCCCGGTACGTGCCGTATCCCGTCGACTGAACACTAAAGCTGACCGAAACGTTGCTCGTGCCGTTTCGCAGAGAAATACTCGAACCTATGCACGGTCTACGCGGATACGTCGCAGGTTGCCAAGACCGTCAGCCCCCGGAAAGGGTTCGGTGGCTTGCAGTTCTACAGGCAGGAGTTCAGCATCGTGCTCATGTTCGGACTCACGGAGCTTAAAGCGTATATCAGCTGGATGGAGGATGTGAGTCTGTTCCTTGCGTGCTTGTTTTTGGTTGAGTCGAACAAGTGTACTGACGACGAGAATTTGGCAGGGCGTTGAACGCAGGGGTCCAGCGTCCATGGTGTATGACTCTGTTGTTGAAGAGCAGTAGTTGTAGTTATTGCATGTTGTCATTATCGCAAATTGTCTTCGTGTACTTTCTTGTAATTTCGCATATATTCGTATTAGCATCGCATTTCTTACCCAAATATCCCTACGCTCTCAACTCCGAACGTTGGCCGTATGCAGGGATAGGCAAGGAGCACTCAAAGCTTAAGGTCAACGACAATCGGCACATGCGTTGCTCAAGGTTTGTTTCGTCATTGAAGATGCGACAATACATGTTTCTTGCTACGGATACATGATGATCATTCTCCGGTAGACGTGAGCAACAACTCTGTAGATTTCGTTAGTATCTGTGACAACTGCAAGTGGGATAGACCCACCTCTTGTAAGCTCAAACGCCGCAAAGGTGCTCGCAGCGGCGGGTATGCTGATCCAGTCACACGTCTTTGTCAGCGCATACGATCCCGGACGAATGAAACGCGACTTACGTCCTGATGATGGATGGCGTCAGACCCCTGAACAGACCCTTACTGAGCGCACGTTAGCTTGTTAAACAGCAGCAGAGAAGCTCATGGGCGAAAAAGGACGCACACTCCGCCCTCGGCGACGACAGCCTGGATCTCGTGGTTGATGTACCGGAACGGGTTGCCCTTTGGCGGCGTCGGTCGGAGCTGGACGCGCGATTTCACTACGTCTGCGTACATACAGTGCATGTGGATGATGGGGTTAGGAGGAGTCGTGCGGTGCGGTGAGTAGGGTGGGGTGCGTACCGATTGGGTAGCATGCGAGCCAGTATGCGATCTACACCAGAGTAGCACGATAGATAAGATCAAGGGTATGAGGGGCGGAAGGCGAAGAGAAAACGTACGCCTCCGGTGGCTCCGCTCGTCAGGAGCGCCCAGATGGGTATCTGTTCGCCGTATGTCTTCTGGAAGCGGCGCTTTGTGAATTCGAAGCCTGGATAATGGAAGGGAGAGCACGTCAGCGGTTTGTGAGGCTGGAATAGCGTCATGCGAGTAAATGCTGACCTGAGTAGAACCTGGGTGTCCACCGCCGTCAGTATCCTGCGTCTGGTACAGGAGATCGAAGTACTCACCCAGCATACGCCGGTATTTCACGCGCAACGGTTACCTGTCGCAGAGTCAAGGTCATCACCAAAATGAACAGAGGCCCAGGTATCAGGGATACATACCCAGAACCCGCGCATAACGCCCTTCCTGAACCCCCACTCGGTCCACATCTCCCTCGCAACGTCCCGCAGGCGCTTATCCGTCGCGGCACCGTATTGCCCCTGCATCCGGACCTTGAACATCTCGACTGGAGACCGCGTCAGTGAGCACATGTAGCGCCGACGCATGCGGCTTCAGCCAGCAAGGGGAGAGCAGAGGATTCGGGGGACGCACCGGGGCTCGCGAGAACGGAGTTGATGGCGCCGGCCATGCCGCCCGCGAGCGCGATCTCTTTGAGGGAGAGCTGCGGGAAGGGAGAGACGATGCGCTTCGACCATGCGTAGGACGCGAAGAGGAGGGAGTTTACGCCGGCGATTCCGAGGAGGGGGCTGGCCATGCCTGAGGTGCAAGTATGCGCAACGGTCGGCGTGTTGCATGTGAGCTATACGCGTAAGCTATGGTGCATATGGGATTGCGTGACGCACCCTTGTAGAGCGCGAAGAAGCCTTCCTTGCGGATCGTCTGGGTGAGGACGTCCATAGGCCCTGTCTGGAGCGCGTGTTAGGTGTGGGTCCTGATGGGATACGCATAGGCTGACGTACAAACATGCCTTCTGTAACGCATCGTACTCGTCAGTAAAGTTTAGTCGTGGCGACACAAGGGCCACGTACTAGGCGCCGTCTGTGCTCTCGTCTTGATCGTATCCAGCGGCTGACCGACGAGGACCTGCGCCGCGCCGCCCACACTTCCCGCGACGAGGTCGTTAACCGTAGACAGATATCCTGGCATGTCGAGGGTTTGGAGATTCAGAGGCTACTCAGTAGAGAGAAAAGAAGAGGTATAAGAATGACTCGAGCACGCGAGCAGCTCATGCCAGGTCCTCGGAGGATCATGATGCTGCTGGGTGCCGCCAGCGACGGCCGCGATCGCGTTATTCCGCTCCCTTCTCACGATCCGCCCTCAGCCGAGCGGTGAGCCCCTCCCTCACGCGATTCTCATTTATAACCGTGGTCTCCTCGACTCTCCGTCGACAACCATGGCGGCAAAGGGCAAGGCACCGGCAGTGGGAGCAGCATCTTCAAATTGGCTGGCTCTTCAAAAGGTGCGTTTTAGTGAGAGATTTCCTGCATATAGTCACTTGAACTGTCGCCTATAGACGATCTCCAAAAAAGCGTCTTCAGCAGACGGACCTCCTCAGAAACGCCGCAAGGTCGACAAAACGCGCTCGGTGTCCGTCGCCCCAGTCGCATCCACATCAAAAACGACCATCGAGGATGACTTTCCTCGCAATCACAACCATACACGCATCGCCCAGGTTAAGGCCGATGAACCAGTCGACTACGACAGCACCGAGCGCAAAAACGGCGAATCGCTCGGCCACCTGCGCAAGATGATCTTTGGAAAAGTCGAGCACACCTCGGCACAACAAGCGTATGTCCCCCCACCTTCCCCTTCTTTGTCTTCCACCTCCTGCATACAGGCGGGGTGCTCATTCGCGCCAGCTAGACCCGGGAAATACGTCGCCGTCGACTGCGAGATGGTCGGCGTGGGCATCGACGGCGCGGAGTCGTCCCTCGCGCGCGTCAGTCTCGTTAATTACCATGGGTATGTGCTGCTCGACGAGTTCGTGCGCCAGAAGGAGCGCGTTGCGGACTATCGGACGCAGTGGAGTGGGATACGAGAGAAGGATATGCTTCTAGGTACGTCTGGACTGAGCTGTGTTAGCGCGGTAGTGTTCGATGCTCACGCGTCTTTTTGTGGGTGCTCAGCGAAACCTTTCAATGAGATACAGGCTCAGGTGGCTGAGATCGTCAAGGATAAGGTCTTGATTGGGCACGCTATACACAACGATCTCAAGGTAAGCGTGCTCTTCCCATCGCCACCTCTCCATCCACCAATACCGTCCTAGGCACTCCTACTATCCCACCCAGGCCCCATGACGCGTGATACACAGCACCTCGCTGCAAAACACAATGTTGTCAAGGGCAAGCGCCCCGCACTTCGGAATCTAGTAAAGCAGGAGCTCAACGTCACGATCCAAGGGGGCGAACATTCTAGTGTACGCTTCTTCCGCCTTTTTCTCTCTCTGTGCACATGCTGAGACATTCAAATGGACAGGTAACGGACGCGCGAGCCACGATGGCCGTCTTCCGCCTGCACCGCAAAGAGTGGGAAAAGGGCATACGGCCCATGCCGTCGTCCTCGCAGCCTGCGTCGCGGAAACGCTCTGCGGAGGATGCCGACGTTGACGATTTAGAGGAAGGAGAGTCGGAGAAAAGGCAGATGCCAGTGGGTGGACGGAAAGGCGTGAGCTCGGGCTTGTCGACCATCATAAAGCGGAAGGGCGCGAGCGCGAGCGAAAAGCCGAGGAACGAGTGGTGGAAGGACCTAGGAAGCAGTAAGGTGAAAGGAACGTTGAGGTTGTAGGGTAGCGGTGTGGTCCATGTTTCGATGTATACCACCGGGTTCATGGGCAGCCTAACAAGGCCTCGAGGGAGCTGCGTTGAGGTTGTAATTCAACACCACCGAGGACAGACTGAGTTCGTGGACTCCCTCAAGCGTATATCTGAGGTAATTCCGGCAAAGTTGATGTAGTGATCCAACACCGACGACCTCCGAGCGCCCGCCTCTCCAATCCAACTCCGACCCTGTCGGAACGCTCCTTTGTGTCCGATTCACGTTGCTCCTGCGTCCCTCACGCGCGCTCGGCTCGTTTTCCCCTTCTCGCTACGCCGCTTGTGACACCCTCCAACGCGGTCGCGATGCCTTCGTCTAGGGTTGAGTGATGACTGATGCACGCTATGTGCTTACCTGAAACTCTTCAGGTCAGCGGAGCTGGAAGAACATTCGCCCCCGAGGCGGCTGGTATTAGCCAACCGCTATGATCGTGCCGGACAAGGCTTACCGTGCATTGAGGTCATCCCTTGCCATGTATTGTAGCGTGGCGATAAAGTACAGTATCACTAATCTGTTATTGCAGAGTGCTGACCGCGCTGATTGTGATAGGTGTTGAGCGCTGAGCAAGCATGGATCTACCTGACCTTAAGTTGCTGATCAATCCCCGTCTGAATCAGGAGCAGGCGCTGGTAGAAAGACAAACAGACATCGACATGGATCAGCAATTCGCCGTATTCGGTGGTTATCTCGGGACTCGGAACTCGTCAGCCAATGAGCAGATCGGGTGTCCGAGCCTCGCATATATGTTCTGCTTGTAAATTGTTCATCTCTCCCCGGAACATTTGGAGATGTTGCGAGGCTCGGAGGATATAATCGTATAAAGGACTCTCCAATGTCAATGCAGCTGAACAACTGCCTCAGTCCTTGAGTCGCAATCAACCCCTACAGATCTATCCATGGCAACTTCGACTTCAACTGAAGTGCTCATCGTACGTGTCTACTCGCAGATACTGTGCGGGCCACTACTTACGCCTCAATGTAACAAGGTCGGCGCAGGTCCCGTGGGCCACGTCGCCGCGCTCGCACTCCTGCGGAGCGGTCTCTCCGTGCGCATCATCGAGAAAGCGGGCGGGCCGCAACAAGGACAGCGCGGGTCAGGTAATTGGGTGAGCGGCGCACGTTTGGCTGTACTTCAGCGCATGCTGACAGCAGCGTGCGTACTGTGTGCAGCCGCGCACGCTTGAGGTGTACCACTTCCTCGGCGCGCCGGAGATCAACAGGGAGGGCACGCTCATCCCGCGTATCCAGACACACGTTATAGGTAGTTTGGACGTGCTGAGCGAGGCGCCGATGACGCCGCACTTTGAGCCGACACCGGATATCCCTTTCGTATGTGACTTCTCTGAGGGGTTTGACCCCAGCATGAGCATGTTGATGCGATCAATATTGTTGTTTGTGATTTTGGTTTTCAGCTCACTCCAAAGATCATCGGCCAGAATAACGTCGCGCGGATCCTCGCCTCGCATATACAGAAGCTGGGGTGCAATGTTGAATATGGTACGGAGCTCGTGTCCTTCGAGCAGGACGGAGACGGTGTAGTCGCGCATGTCAAGACCTCGGGCGGCGACAAGGAAACGAGTAGCACTATTAAGGCTCAGTATCTCATCGGCACTGACGGCGCCCGGGGTAGGTTCATCAGTTTTTACCATATGATGTGTTTCGTTCAACCTCTCTACGTCCTCTCAGGTATCGTTCGCAAGCAACTTGGTCTGACTTTCCTGGGCGAGACCCGCGACACCATTCGAGTCCTCACCGGTGACATTCGCTTCAAGTGTCCTGGTTTATCGAGAGAAGTGAGCCTTAGTCTTAATTCGCATATCACATCTTCGACCGACGTATGAACGTGCACCCAGTTCTGGCAATTCTTCAAAAACGAAGCGGGCAACGTGTACGTTCTTCATCGCACTGCGTCCATTACCGACGGTGTACCTATACTAACCGGACCCGGGTTGCAGTGTTTCTTTCCGACCCACAAACGAGATCGCTGGGGGCGACGGCTGGCAGATAATTCTTTCGGGGGACAGGTTCGATGTGCCGGCCTTGGTCTCCGACAAGGAGGCGTTGTTCTCCGTCGTCAGAGAAGCGCTTAATGACCAGGCTGAGATCTTGGAGCTCGTCTGGATCTCCGAGTTCCGGTGAGTGTCGAGTTGTTAGAGAATCTCATTGTGGCACTAACCATCTCGAAAGGCCCAACATCCGGATGGTGGATAAGTTTGGGGAGGGAAGAGTGTTTGTTGCTGGTGGTAAGTGTATCATTGCTTGTGTTTTGTCTTAGGCTGTGGCTGACAGAATTTACACAGACGCTGCTCAGTAAGCACTTCGATAGATTGACTAGTTTTCCTATTCATCGTCTGTGAAGTGTGCATAGCCCTACTGGTGGACAAGGTCTCAATTCTGGAGTTCAAGATGCGGTACGCAATATCTACAACTTCACTACACATTCACTGCTGACAGACATTCGCCCATACTTCTTTACTTTCAGTTCAACCTCGCATGGAAAATTGCCCTCGTATCCAAAGGCCTCGCCCCCTCTTCGCTCCTCGACACATACACGACCGAGCGTCTGCCCGTCATCGCCAACATGCTGAACATCACCACAGGCATCCTCGACAAGACCTTCGGCCCCAACCGCCAGAGTATTGAGAGCGCGATGGAGCGCGGCCGGCTCCTGTACATGCTCGGTGTGAATTACCGCACGAGCCCTATTGTGCTCGATGAGTTTGCGGCCGCGGCTGGGATTGCGCCTGTGCCGCCCTATACACTTGACAGGAGCGATGAGCTCGTCGCTGGGGATAGGGCACCTGATGCGCCTGGGCTTGTCGAGGGGAATGCGACAGTTACGCTGTTCGACGACGTCTTCGGGCCAACGCATCATACCGCGCTGGTGTTCTCGCCCGATGTCCAGACCGCAGTCGAGCTCGTGAGATTGCTCGAGGCATACGCGGCGATTGCTCGTACAGTGGTGGTTCTTCCGGCAGCCACAAGCGGTGGAGCGTCCATCGCATCCGCGAGGGTTCTTGTAGACAAGGAGGGCTACGCCCACAACCACTATCTCGTCAAGGACGAGCCTCGAGTCGTCATTGTGCGGCCGGATGGTGTTGTGGGTGCTATCGTGGCGGGGTCATCGGGTGTTCAGAAGTACTTTGGCTTGATTCAGGGTTATTAGAGAGAGTACTTTCGCGCCTACTTGTCTATTTCATGTCTGTCTCTCAAGAGTGGTGAAGACGGAGATGGAACGTGTGCGCAGCGTGTGGAGCGGAAAGAAACGTGTGCTAGCCATCGCACCGGTCCACGGCTGACGGTACCGAAACCTTGAACATATATGGGCGCTAATTGTTGCGACAGCACAACATTCATGTACGTATGCTAGCTGAGACGCTAAATATTGCTGCTGAGAGCGGTTTCGTCTTAGGCTGAAACACTGAGAATAGTGTCGAAACCGCACCCATACAGCCTGTTTACGGCATTGGTGGTTGGCGTTATGAACCCTGAAGGTGTGGGCAGGTTGTGCCAAAGCGGGTCGACTTTCCGAGAAGGGAGGGAGCAAAGACGGACCAAATTAAAAAGCGGGGAAAGGTCCAGTCTCGCTTACGGCAGACGACCTCGAGACCTCAAGATCTTCGACCAGCCATACACATACCCACGACCTACTTCCACAACCTACACGCTCTCTTCAATGCCCCACACAGCCAGCTAACTCCACTAACCCACAGACACAAGCTTCCATTGCTTCACTCGCAGTTATACCACACCAACGAACCCCACCATCATGGGCAAGAACAAGTCCGGACCGCCGTACACGGACCCCTACGCCGAATACGTCGTCGTCAGCGAGCCGTGCTTTCTCAATCCGTCGAGCCGGGAGCGCACGCACCACGAGTTCAGCAAGCTCGCGTCGTGGGTCAAGCTCATCCTCGAGGACGCGGGGCAGGGGCATGCGGTGCCGGAGCAGGTGTTTGGGATGCACACGGTGCGTTGTCCCCGTCTCGCGTTTGCATCGCGGTCTTCTCCCCCTTCCTATTGTCTTTCTCGAGATTCGATGTCCACATAGCTAACGTGGCCTCGAACTGTATCTTGTTATGCTTCTGTGATCGCTGTGATGGTCGGCGTGGGCGTGGCGGCGGCGACGGTTCCGGGGGATAGCGCGACGAAGTCATCGTCCAGCTCCCCCTCGGCACGGACGTGCGCTGTCTCCTGGGCTCGCACAAGCACGCGCGGTGGAACACGCGCTACCAGCCCCCCGCCGGCACAGCGAGCGCGGCTACCTGCATATTCCCGTACAACTACAGGGACCACGGCGACCCCGAGAAACGTGAGTTGCTCACCACGACGCCCCTTTTCTCTGGAAAGCGTCGACGACGGCTCACACATGGCTTCGTGTCAACCCCCGTGCGTCGCTCTTTTCGTGCGTTCTTGCTGCACCCCGCGCGTGGCGTTGCAGATAACTGGACATCCTACACCCCAACGATCTTTCCTCTCCAAACGGCGCCCATCGTGCGCCCGTACCCTGCCCCAGAGTGGACACACGCACCGCCGTCGCTGCGCAAGCTCGTTCTGCCGGTCCCAAGGCCGGAACCGCCACCTCCACCGCCCGATTTGTCGCCTGAATACGACCCCGCCTACGACGCCGAGGAGAACGGACAGCCTACGGATACACTGTTCGCGACCGAGAAAGACGAACCGTTCCTCAAGAGCAAGATCAGGAGCGAGCAGGACGCAAAGACACCCAAGATAAAGCTAGACGCGGACGAGAAAGCGGACGTCAAGACCAGAATCAAGGGTTCCCTGCCTTTCCCCCCACCTTTTCACACTTTCCCAGACGTCACTTACGCTGTTTGTGCAGGTGAGACGGCGTACCGCCCCTCCGAGGCGCTCGTGCGCGCGTACGAGAGTCTTCACAGTTCTAAAGCGGACGACGTCAAGCCGAAGCTCGAGTCTGGCTATCAGCCGTCGGAGGCTCTGCGGAGTGCTGTGGAGGGTTACCTTGGGCGAGAGGCGGAGGATGTGAAGCCGGTCATCAAGACTGGGTATCAGCCCCCAGACGCTCTGCGTGATGCTGTAGAGGGCTACCTCGGACGAGAGCCGGAAGACGTCAAGCCAGTTGTGAAGACCGAGTATCAGCCCTCAGACGCTCTGCGCAGTGCCGTTGAAGGCTACCTTTGCCAACAAGAGCTAGAGGACGTTAAACCCGTCATCAAGACCGAGTACCAGCCCTCAGGTGTGTTGGTCGACGCTGTCGCCGGATTCAGCAGGACGGCCAGCAGCGACGATGTAGACGTCAAGCCGAGTATGCCTCTTCTAGCTTATTCTCGTAATCCGGTGACTTATCTGCGATACAGGGCTCAAGCGTCCAAGCGAAGAAGAAGAAGAAACCGCGTACAGTCAGTCCCACTCCCCGCTCGTTCACTCCGAGACGCTCACGAGCCGCGTTATCCGACAGGGACGAAGAAAAAGATCAAGACCGAGAGCGCGAGCTAATAGATACAAGAGTCGGGTGTCAATGTGCCTACTGTACAAAGTCACGATCGATGTGGTCAATGCCGCAAGAATATATATGTGCTGCTGCAATATTAAGAGCTGAACAAAACAAGGAGGAAATCACTCGTCCATGAAATCGACGACGGACTCGAGCGCCACCTTGGGCTTCAGCAGCACCTTGACGTCCCACCTTCCCTCCCTGCCCCCAGCGAGCTTCGTGCGCTGCACGAGCCCCAGATCCGTCGGACACAGCACCTTCGCCGCCGAGCCATTACCCGCGGAATGCGAGTGCGAGTGCGAATGCGAATGCCCATCATCATACGCATCCTCCATCTCGCCCCGCTCAAACACCACCCCGCTCTTCACAGCGAGCACCTCATACTCGCTCGACGTCACGTCCTCCCCGATCACCCTGTTCACGTCGAGCGCGAGCCCCGCGAGCAGCGCGAACCGGTGCGTGTACTTGTCCGCGAGCGCGCGCTTGACGTCGCCGGGGGGCGTGGTGCAGCGCGCGGCGAGGAGGATGTGCGCGAGGCCGTCGAGGAGCGTGGTGCTGATGTGGTTGAGCGCGCGCGTGCGGTCGGGCTGCGAGGCGAGGAGGTGCGCGCGCGTCATGGCGCGCCATTTGCCGAGTACTGCTTGGGCCTCTGTGGGTCAGTTTACGTGCGTCAATATAACAAGGGGACGACAACGAGAAGGTGAAGGGGAGGTGGGCGGAGACGACAATGACGAGGGGAGGAAGGAGGAAGGGAGGGAAGGAGAGAGGGAATGACGCACCGGTGGTCTTGACCTGCGAATACAGCGTGTCGAGGAAGCTGTTCAGCGTCGGGTCGCCGACGAGCCACGCGCCGACGACCCACTCGAGCACGCGCGCGAGGTACGCCTGGAACGCGATCTGCAGCAGAATCGGCTCCTCGCCGTGGTTCTTGCCCGCGAGGTGCTCGACCATCTTGGCGCCGAGAATGCTCCCCATGCGCTGCGTCGCGAACGTGCGCTCCTCCGCCGACACCGCCGTCCCTCCACTACCAGCATCGCCAGCACCCGAAAGCATCTTACTCGTACCGCCGAACGCGAACTCGAACTTCTCGAGCGTCGCCTCGGCGAGGAACGCCGCGACCTGCATCACCTCCCCGTTGAGCCGCCGCAGCGCATCCATCACCTGCGTCCCCGTCGCCGCATCCGCGATACTCAAGAAACTCTGCGCGCCCTTGAGCTCCGCGCTGCGCACATCGAGCAGCGAGAGCACCTGGTCGAACTGCTTCTTCGTGTGCGCGCGCTCGTCGCGCAGCGCCTTCGCGTCCTGCCCCTGCCGCTCCGCCTCGCGCTGCCACGCGCCCGCCGAATCGTTCGCAGCGTGCGCAGCGTCCCCTGCGTCGCGCAGACGCCGCTCGAGCGTCTTGGTCTCGTCGACGAGGGTGGCGATGTATGCCTGGTCGTCGTCGTGCCGCTTGCGGTACTTGGTGATGCGTTCCGCGTATTGCTTCCGGAGCTCTTCCTCGGCTGTCGCGCGTGTGGTGCTGATTTCCTCGAGCGCCGCTTTGTGTGCCGCATCACGTCGTGCAAGTTCTTCCTTGTGTTCTGTGTCCCGTCGCTTGAGCTCCGCTGCGTGCTCCTCGTCGCGCCGTCGCATTGCCTCCCTGTGCTCAGAGGCACGCCGCTTGAGCTCCTCCCTGAGCTCCCCGCCGTGTTTGCCGATATCCTCCCGCTGTCGCTCGATGGCCTTGGCCTCGTTAAGGAGCGTCAGGATGCGGAGCTGGTCTTCCTCGTGTTGCTTTTTGAGCTGGACGACCTTCTCCGCCATCTTATGGCACTCGTCCTCGGCAGTCGCACGCGTGGCGTTGTTCACCCCGACCGCCTCCTTGTGCTCCTTGTCTCGCCGTCTGAGCTCCTCATCGTACTCCCCCGCCCGCCTCTTCGCCTCCTCCCTGTACACCTCCTCCCTCTTCCTCAACGCCTCCTTGTACTCCACCTCGCGCTTCGCCCGCTCCTCCCTCAACCTGTTATTATCCGCAGAATACTTCTCCATCCTCCTGCCCAAACTCTCGTTCTGCTTCTTCAGCTCCGCACAGCGCTCCCTTAGCTCCGCGAGCTCGCGCTTCTCCGCCATAAAGTCCTCGTGGGTCCTGCTCCCCTCGAGACTCTGCACGTCGGCGTCGGAGCTGTGGTCTTCCTCCGAGCGCCGGCCTGTAGGCGTCGAGAGGTTCTCCCAGTCTCTGTCCTTGTCCTTGTCTGAGCTGGTGCTTGCGCTCGTGCTCGTGCTCGGTCTGGTGCTCGTTTTGGTGCTGGCGCTGGCGCGGACGTCGATGGACTGGTGTCTGGACGTTGCAGTCGTCGGCGCGGCCTTTGTATTGTATCCCCAGAGCGAAGTGAAACTCGGCATAGTGGTATCTCGTCGCAGTCTTCAGCGAAGGGAAAGATGAGGGCGAAGAGCAAGGCAGGAACGAGGGAGAATGAGGATGCACAGCAAAATGAAGGGACCGGGCGTGGCTTGGCGCCGGTCTAAGAATACACGTTCTTCGGTTCCACGAGGCTTTTTCTTGACAGTTCTTGTCACTCCAAAGAAACGCCACCCGCCCTGCACCCTTGTCACGCGACACGAGGCTTCCTCCAAGTACTCTCTTGTTTTGAGGAGATGCTGATCTCCGCATGATAGCTATCCTTGACCGATGGCAGGGCATGATCTCCGTTTTCCTTCAAGTGCCCTCATCCGCATCGAGTTATGGGTGCTCGTAGACATCCCTTCTGTCACGAGACACACAATGGTCGTCCTAGCGCACTCACACCACTCCATCACGGGTCTTTCACCCTTGTGAAGTTCTTTCTCGGAGGGGCACTGGAGACGCCACATTCGGCGTCTGCTTTCTACGTACGCTGGATCTGCCTGCCTACACCTTCCATTGCGTTTTGTACATTGGTCATTCAAAATAGTCACAGCAACGAGCAGAAGGATTCATCGGGAGAACAGCGCGTTGCAGAGGCTGGTCGGTTGCCATCGAAAGCATGCGGAGGTACGGTTCGTGGATGTGCCGAAGCGTCTTTGAAGAACCGTCGCTGCATAGACTCGGGGGTGTGAAGAGATCGTGCAATGGGAAACCAGCTGAAACAGTCATTAGTGTTCGTGTCTAAATCTAAGGACCGGAGGACGCACTCTGATCCTCGAGTTGAGCCTCGAGATAAGTGATACATTCAAACAGCTCATGTACCAGCTGATCCGCACGCTTATGCCTGCGCGCGAGCGCCTCATACAACGCGTGATGCCGCTCGATTGTCTGAGTGTAATCCTGCTGCTGCGCCTTGGACACGTCCACAGACCGCTGCAGCGCGATACACCTCTCTGCAGCGCGCGCATGCTTATCGATCTCATCCCGAAGCTCGCCTCGGGTTCTCTCCAGGTCCCCGCAGAGCATCGTCACGCTTCGCCTCAGCTGCCCGAGCTCTCTAATAAGTTCCGTGCGTGAGCTTGATCGTCGCCCTCGGCGTCAGCGGAGCGCACTCGGAAAGACACGGGACTGAAACATACGTGCTCGAGCTACTATCTGCTTCGCCATCGCGATCATATCCCGTCTTGACGCCGGCTCGGAGCTCAGTGCGCCTCTGATAAGCCGCCCACACCCAGCTCCACGCGAGGAGCGCGATCATCCAGCAGATGCGCTCCAGCCAAGCTATTGCTCGCGACGAGCCAAACACGGCCACGAGAGATGCGATAAGGACGAGACTGGCGACGAATTCGGGACGTAGAGTAGCCATCTGGAGAGAATACGCACAGAGCGACGGGATGGCATGCGTGGAAGAGGACGGCTAAGGTCAACGAGTGCTAGCGAACTCTGGCTTGGTTGCTGTGGCCCGGTGCCAGTAAATGTTCCTGTGAGCGCGTGTCTCCTGATTCGCTCTTAAGTACGCAAGTTCACGGTCTGGCGTTTACCTTGAGCCGTGTGATAGCTAGCACATACACGTGTACCTATAGCCAGCTTATCGGGGTCTTCTACGGTCCTTTCCTTCGTGACCGGCCTTCGCTCGTACGGACACAAAGTGCGCCGAGCTTGAAAGGCCAGAGTAAGGCTTGGGCACAATGCTCACTCCAGAAACGGAGAATAACTTCACTTTCCGTCTGACGGACGTGTTTTTTCCACTCAGCAGCTAAGTAGTCTCGTAGTACATCGCATGACATCAACTTCAAATAAGTACCCACGGACCTCCCGAGTTCTGTACATTGGACGTCCTAGTATGCCCACGCTACTCCATCACGGGGCTTGCTGCATTGCGGCTGCTTCACCCTTTACGAGCTTCTTTTTCGCATTTATGCTTGAGCCGCCACATTCGGAGTCGGTCTTGCATACGTTTGTTCACGTGTAAATACTTTATGTGCTTCACCTACCTGACAATGCACCCTATAGCTTGCATCATGATTGATATACGTCATTCAAAAGCAGCAACGATGGGTCGATGTAGGGGCAGGGAGGACTACCTGAGGCTGCAGAAGCTGGTCTGTCGCCACCGAAAGTATGCGGAGGTACGGTTCGTACATGTGCCGAAGCGTCCTCGAAGAATCGTTGCCTTTGGATTGATGCAGTGGTGCGGAGAGGTCACAAATTGAGAGACCGGCTGAAACAACGTTGACCAACCTGCTGTGAGCAAGCGTTGGTGGCGGGCCAACGTCAAGCGCCGATGAACGCACTTTGATCCCGGAGTCGGGCCTCGAGATCGTCGATGTACGCCATCGAATGATCCATCAGCCACTGGTACTCCGTGTCCTGTTGGTTCATCCTCTGGGCGCACGCCTGGAGCTGCTCCTTGAACGTGTACACGGACTGCTCCAGCGACATGCACCTCTCCTCAGCGCACGCGCTCTTCTCCCGTTCATCCCGGAGCTCCTCCCGGGTCTTCGCCAGGTCGGCGCACAGCACGGCCACGCTGCGTCTCAGCTGCGCAACTTCTTCCGCCCTTGGTGGGCGGCCACAATGTCAGCGAAGGCACGCGGAACGATTGCACGGGGATGGAAGTAGGCGTGCGTACGTGGGCGTGTCATCTGCTTCGCTGTTCACGGTGCTTCCGGTATTGCCGTCATTGTTGGGTTCAATGTGATGCGTCAACCGTACTCGTCTACATAGCAGGAGCACGACGTCCCACAGCGCGATGACCACCCACAAGGGAGCGGGCTCGCTGTCCCTGTCCATGGTGGCCCAACTGTGATGAGGGATGGGGTAAATGACAGGGTAGCCGCTACTCAAAGGTATGATATGTTGTGGTCAGCGGAAGAGGGACGAGAAGATAGTAGGAAGACTGATGCTGTGAACTTGCTCGAAACATGCTGTGTATATTTCGGCGCTTAATCTTAGCGCGCGTCCACCAGCCCCTGAATTCAATCCGGGTAACCGCTTCGCACCCAAGCGCTCGTGCACACAACAAGCATATGGAAATTCTTTAAGTCTGCCGTGAGACAAACAATAGGTGCGCCATCTGATCAGGATAACTTCCGGATCTATACATATGTAGTGTTTCCGCCGCCGTTTGCTCCTTCCCAGGCTGAGACGCCACATAATGTGTTCAGCATGCCTTGCAGTCGCCGCAGTCCTTGTTTGTATGTGCCATACGTTCGTGTGTGTGCGCCGCACGTCTTGAGCTTGATGAAGCACATATGGGACGTGGGTCATCTATTAAACGGCAATTATGCGCCGACGTACTATTACAGTAGGGAGAGCTACGCCGAGAACAGCCTGGTTGGGTGCATGCTGAATATGCTGATCAACGTTCATCAACGTAACGTACGTTTTCCATTACTCAGGCGATAGCATCCTATTATCCGTCTACACTGCTCGACCATATCTCAGGACAAAGTCTGTAGCTGGTACTTGAATGTATCCACGGTCCGCTCCAATGCTAAGCATCTCTCCTCAGCACGTACCCTTCCCGCCCGTTCACTCAGTAGCTCCTCCACCGTCTCCTCCAGCTCTCCGGAGAGCACCAGCACTCTGCGTCTCAGCTCGGTAACCTCGGCCGTTCTTGGTGTATCACCCCAATTTCAGTGGATGAATCAAGGAAAGGATGGCACGGAGAAACATACGTGACTGCGAGTGCACCGTCTGCGCCGCTGGCGGCGGCTCTTGTTCTGGCGTCAATCTGGGGCCCAAACGCATCCGGCCACGCCCACCATTTGCACCAGAGGAACGCCATAATCGAGGTAAGGAGATCGAGCCACAGCGGTATGTCCTTGTCTTGCGCTGTACAATCGGCCAGTCGAGCAGGGATTAGGATCATAGGGAAGAGCAGGAGGTCGACTCTCCAAGAGGTGAAGAACTCCTCAAGTCTCATGATCAGGAGGGGGACAAGGAGTATAAGACGCTGTAACTTGCTGTGTGAGCTGGTGGTGGTGCGGCTGCTCGCTAACGCGCGTCTATTTGAGCGGAATGTTGGATTCAAGCCGGCATTCGCCGGCAACGGCTTCCGTTTTCCTCGTTAGTACAGTGGTAGGGCCATCCGTCTGACGCCACACTGGGCCGCTGAGCGCTCATACATATGGCTTCTACCCTGTAATTGGCATGGATGTGTACTGATTGGTGTATAGCAATAGGCTGCACGCCGCAAAGCCGCCATACATGTAACATGTTTCGGCTTTATTAGTGCGCTTGCACCTTCCCTTTCTCCAGTGTTCGTTTGTAGTGTTTCGGTTTAAATACATTCCCGCCTAGTGCGGTGTTGAGGCAAAAAAAAAAAAAAAAAAAAAAAAGCTTGCACCTTCCCCACTGGGAGACGCCACATTTTGCGTACACCTTCAGGCCACCACATTCAGCCTGTTTATACGCGCGCGGACTTCCCTTAGTTACACCTCAACTTTACGATAAAACTCTAGGAGACGGAAAATTCAAGAGTCCATCTTGCATATAGCACTCCTTATCTACGTTAGGTAGCCACTCGACAATTGATGGGAAATTTGAGTACCGGTGCCGTTCTGTTTGAGTTTATTACTTCTTTTAATGGTAATGAAACTGTTGGATGTAGCGCTATTATAATGACGATATGTATGGATATCTAAAACAAATATAAGTGGACCCAAGCGCTCAGATGCAAGCCTTCTCTCCCCAACGTCTTTTCTAAGTTCTCAACCCCACCTATTCTTTTGTTTTATCTAGGATTTTTAGTAGGCGATTTATCTCACTTCTTGTTCGTTTGACCTCGGATTCCCTTGTTTTGACAACCCCATTGTCAGCGATAGTTTCGAAATGGACGGAGTCGAGCGGCTCACCGTGACTGTGTTCTCTTTTTCACTGTCCACAAGAAATACACTAGAGAAAAAACCAAACGCGCTCAGCGTTGCCTCGAGGGTTTGATTTCACCTATGAATTGGTGTTATATACCATCAAATATAGCCTTCAACTCTCTGTGTCACCCGATGTGTCCCAGCTACGGATGCATTGTGCACCCGGATTGAGCGATACCGGGGAGTGTAATGCAGGCGTGGAAACTGTCTGCTCGCCCAGCGAAAAGTCCAAGGCGATAGTTGTAAGCTCAAACGGCGAGGTGCCGGAGTCTGTGTTTATAGCGTGTCCTATCCGTCTTAATCGGCCAGCGGTGTGGGATGTCGGAGATACGCCGTAGTTGAGCATCGCGAGGAGAGAATTCGCGTAAACTATCGGTGAGTGGGCTCTCAGCGTACATCACATCAGAAGGACGAGGAAAGTTGGACGTACGGCGCGTGATGGCGATGTACAGGCTAACGTACCATTCCTGGAGCGGAATAACCAAGATAAGAACAATGACTACGACGGACAGGATACTTTTGTACGATCAGACATGAAAATCGCGAGAAAGAGAGAAGGTCAGATACGAACGATATCAGAAGGCCGGTGTTTAGCGAGAGCACAATGAGCTCATTGAGAATACCGTCGGTTGAGCGAATGCCAGTTTTGGACCGCTGCAGCTTTACACAAAGAAATGTAGCAGCAATGATATCGTTAGCGGTGGAGCATGCAAGCGGGGTAATAATCATCCACTGAATGACGGTAAGCCTAAGCGCGAAATTTTGTTCTGTAGAGGAGATACACACCGCCTCGATTTTCGTCCAAGTGTTGGCATTCACGCTAGTGTAAAGAATTAGTAGTGGACTAACAGAAAGCCGGTGGCGCACAGAGTATCAGTCCACACTTGTATCACGGGATGAACTTTCAGCATCGCAATATCTAGAATCAAAAGCAAGGACTCACGGGCACCCACAACCCAGCTGGAGAGTGTCAAAGCGATCTGCGAGACACGGAACACTTTGCATATTGAGACACATGGGCAATAAGCAACGTACCATGCAGCCCGACAGGAAAAGACGTAGCATTCCCTTGCTCACTGAATAGCGTTGGGCTCGTATGATGTGGCAGTAAAGCTGAATCACTCACAGTTCCAAATACGTCTCATCCAGACACTGAACATCGTATGAGCAGCGCTTGCCTAATGATAGTCAATGGAACGTACTATTGCACTAACGAAGCTATGGCGAGCTGTTATCCGCCATGAGCCCGGAATATTGAAAGAGAACTAGGCAACGAACAGATGTTATCATCATCCCCTGTGAGCAAGGCACAGGTTATGATGGAACTCGGGTGAGAAGAGGATAAAAACTAGCATTAATGCTATACTCACGCAGATTGACCACTGGCGTTCGGCTAGCTTCGCAGGACTGCCGTGTGCACGGACGAGATAACCGTACAATCCAATCGTGAAGAATAGAAAGTGTAACGTCTCCAGCGCCCTTGTAAATAGACCGACAAAAAGAGGTTAGTTGCCGCAGTCTGCAGATGGATAAGGGGAGGAAAGTCTGCGATGGCTCACCACACGGCGACCACGATCAGCTTCAGCTCAAGCTTCCCTCCACACAAGCTATACTTCATGAAGTAGCGAGATTGCGAGCATGCGATACCATAAAGCCTGTGTCAACATTGAATTCAGGCGGGCGAACGGGTGGGAACACCTCAATACGAGACATACGCGCAAGACCATTACGTACCACATTGCGGCCATGTAACCGTAGAAGAGCGCCCCCACCGTTGATGCCACGTTGACTTGAATGGGTCCATCATCGACGTCAGCGTCAGCCATGGGCAGTGATGACCCGGAGAGGTGCAAGGGAGCGTGAACGTGAACGTCGAGGGCAAGGGAACGGCCGTATGTCGGCTGTCTACTTGTTTGCCATCAAAATACTGACTTTTAGGGGTTTCAGAATCAAATTCATTTTCGGGAGCAATAACGCGTGGATGGCTTTTGGTCATATTTGTTTGCATGTTTCAACCCCCGTTTACTCACGTAGGATCAGGTAGTGATCAAGCAGTGCCCACTGAGCCTCGACATTCACCATTTCCGTCTGTATATCTGAGACAACCTTCAAGGAAGAGAAGCGATAGGAAAAACAATAGTGCGGTAAATCTCTCGTTCGTGAAATCACTCAGTATTGGACTATTGCTTACTCGATATCTCGAAAATATGACTGTCCATTGCACTCACACTGAAGCCTTCTTCCAAATTTGATTACATCAAAGGATCTAGGAGAAAGGCCCATGTATGGTCGCAAATCTCACAAACCTTTGCTCGCCCGCGAGAATTGAAATATTGATGATCAACACTCTTCCTTCTCCAGAGGTTCTCCGTCAATGTTCGATGCCATGAGCACGCACTGCAAAAGCATGTATACCTGATCTTAATGTACTCGCTACTTGGTTTGCTAGAATCATGTACATTCGAGCTGATTCCGAGTTCATGTACCTGTACCTGGTTTACCAAGTCATGTACTTGGATCTGAAACACAAGATCATGTCCATCGTGGCGTCAGGTGGAGTCGGTGTGTGGGGTCTCCACACCCGACAAACAAGTGCAAATATTGGACTTCGTCTTTTTGGTTTGTCTTCCCTTCCCTCGCATTCCTTCTTGCCCTCACCCACTCCAGCTCGCTTTTGCGTTCGACCTTCTCTTTCGCTGCCGCCCTCACTCTTGCTCCTTCCGTCGTCGCTGTCACTGTCGCCATCGCCCTTTCCTGCCCCTTCCCGCGAGCTTCTTAATCATCCTCCAAGTCCAGCCACTCTATGTCAAGAATGAACACGCGCCCGGGTTGGTCAGACAAGGAGAAGTGCGGTCTGGGACAGTTTTTCAGGGAGGAAGAGATACGAATGTGCGTGCAGGAGGAGAAGTGCAAGGTTAGCAGTTGCTTGCTTTCAGGGAGCCAGCCTAACATATGCTATTCGCTATGTGCAGTTGGGACAACACCTCATCTCAACCCCCCTTGGTAGTCCCACCATGAGCAGGTCGTGTTTGTGTTAGCCCATCCAACGAGTGGCAGGACAACTTGGTCGCAACGCTGCTAGCCCGTAATGGCATCTTCCACAAGCAGGCCAATGGCGTCTCCCTCAACGACCCTCTTGTACTCACGAGACCTTCCGGTTCCCAGGAAACCACCAAGCAGCATCCGCCAAGCCACCAAAGTGGCGGCGAGTCACTGGATCATGTTCGCAGACAGCGGCGCATTCGGTCATAGAACCAGCCCTGGCTATCCAGGTGGGCACGCGTCGGCCTGGGTGGTCGGCTGTTCAGCGAAATGGAAATCCAGGAGTGCCGCAGGATATGGTACGGACGCGTCATGCTCGACAAATACGTGTCGACGTACATTGGTAAGTAGACTGTTCCCCGTTTATTTTTGTTTCTGTTCTCAGCCTTTCTTTCTCGCGCCACCCACCACCCCACGTTTTATGACCGTTCTCATACGCTTGTTTTGTGTTAGGTCGACCACTTGCGATCTTCGAAAAGGATTACGATCCACAGCTGCCGAGTGAAACAGAGGTGAGTGAGCTCAGCGTCCATGCATCTTTGCGCATCTGCGCTCGACACGGGTTCATCGAACCCTCCGTTTGGGTTAAACGTTTCGCATCCTTTCCATCCCACTTCCTTCCCGCCTCCGTGATAAACGGCTGACACTCCGACGTTAGCCCGACGAATTGGAGCTATGGAGCCCATTCCACTCGTCTCGGGCCAGCACACGCTCGCTGGAGGAAACAGCTGACTCAGCGATTGCGCCACCGGTTCCCGCGCGCACTCTGTCGTTCTTCAATGCATCGTCGAAGCTGTGTACGTTCTTATCGCTCTGATACATTCGGGGCTGAGGGCTGATAAACCCGCGCTTCTATCTGCAGCTGGCATATTGAGCTGGATCGTGCAGGTTATCTACTCTATACGACCTGGATTCAGCCGACACGCAGAATCGATGCGTCTCGAAGGTCTGTTGAATAAATGGTACCTGGACCTTCCGCAGTACCTTCGATACGAGCCGGGCCAAAAGACCGTACCGCTGCCCCATATCCTGACGCTGCACATGCACTATTGGTGCACATCGTTACTGCTTTACAGGCCATTGTGGGCGATTTATTTCTCGCGGCGCACACTCGATGTCTGACGTCGTCTTTGGCCAGTATACGGCGTGTACACTTGGCGAGTAAACAGTACGTCAATCTAGCGGTCGGCTTTTTTCCACGTCTGATTTTGATTTTCGCAAAAAATCCGGGGGAAGTGACGACGGCAACTCCCGAGCTGTCTCCGAGAAAAACTACGAACTTTGCGTCCGTGCCGCAAATCATATATCCTCGATAGGTATGTCAATTGCCTTTTGACAACAATCAGATGTTTGAACTGTTTGACTGTTAACGGCATCTTATCGCGAGCATTACGACCTTGGTCGATCCAGGAGGTTGGGTGTAGTTCTATATATCGAGTAGATTAGTCGCTACCTATAAAACTACATGAATGTCATCGCATTTGCAGTTATTGTTGCTTGCTTTTTCGTGTGATTATCACTACAATTTTCCATTAAAACTATTGAGTTTGCGTTCAGGCCCACCCCGTCGCCTCAAAAATCATGTTGTTTTGACCATTAGAAAGTACATTGAATCATCCGAAAACGTCCATAGTTGGATCTCGGCAAAGTCCATTGCTCTCATGAAACATCTACATTGTTCCCATGTTTCGAAGGCATGAGCAATACATGAAAACTACTAACATACGGCCGTAATTTAAACACATTAACTTCAGGTATCTCCATCCTCACAGTGCACGGTCACGTTGGAAGCACTTTGTGAGAGTTCAAAGGGAATGTTTGTGAGTTAGAAGGCATGATCTTCGGATGTAGGTGTAAGTTGACTATTTTGCCGACGTCAGTGTTTACGATGCGAAGGAGGAGACATACAGGAGTTCAGAAAGAGCGAGGAGGGAGTTGGTGTATACTGTGACAAGGTATGCGCCTTCGCATGCTTCGGCTGCCAGTGGTATCTCCTGACCGGAAAATAATCAACTCGAACTTCAACATAGCCATTACCGATTCAAACGGATCTACCTGTGACAAATGGTGAAGAGCGCCATGGAGTAAGGTAATCTCATGTATGACTGTACGAAAACATCACTGGTGAGTAAAATGCTAGCATCAATCATTTGGATGGTGATGCGAATGCTGCAAGCCTCCAGGAATCCCTCGCCTTATATACCCCCAACGAGCGCCTCCACATCCTTATAGGCTGTGGATAATTCTGTCAGCATCAGTAAGCAACGCTGCTGCGCTTCAGTGAACGCTTATTAACGACTGCGTCTCATTGCTACGTGTTCCTGTTCAGCGTCGACACACTGCGCGATACTGCGCTACAAAAATTCGCCAACGAAAGTAGCCTGTTATTTTAATAATACGTTGTAGACCCATCCCAATAACATACACAAATCAGTAGGAAAGGCGAGATAGAAATACATAGAGGAAGACGTGTTGCAGTACAAACGACAATTCAGGAGATGACGAAAAAAGAATCAGCCCAAATCGCAGTATCAGCTGTTCGCAGAGAGAGAATACAATGAGAGCTTTAATTTCGTGTGCGCACAGCATCAATAGTACTCCAATACGAGGCTGTGAGCGTGCTACAGACAAGTTTCTGTTGATGATGATGGCGCTGCCCAGGGGTCTGACATAAGTATGTCTATTTATTTGCTGGGGTCATTCCGGCGCCAGAGTATATCGCGCCTGTGTTTTATTTGCTTTACTCAAAGGAAGCAGCGTATGCAAGTACGCGCCCATCCGAGAGTTATTTGGGTAAATGTCGCGCTCAATAAGTATCCCTTCGCTGGCGAGAAGCGTATCGTGCATCCTCTACTTCTCATACTTATCTTGACGCATTCATGAGATTTGACAAGACATAGGTTACGCTCCGCTAAAGTTCCGCCATAAACACAGAAGGCAGGGGAGGAATGAAGTTGATATACAATAAACAACAAAATCTACAATGATGCTTGAGCATACCGATAACCTACAAAGCTAGTCGATCGACTATCGGATCCCTTTAAAGTTACGTTCATGAGGTTTGAAACGTGCTCCGCAGTATTGTGTCGTGGAAAGGGACAGCCAGGGCCTCTACGAGTGAAAACTCAGAAGGTGATGTTCAGCACATCGCGACGAGACTTCGACGCGGGGTCGAAGTAGGGCTTCTCGCCAATACCGACAGCGCGCTGTCCCTGGCGGTTGTCGTCGTAGTCGTTAGTGGCCGTGTGGAACGTGCAGCGGTTGTCCCAGATCGCGATGTCGTTCTTCTCCCAGCGGTAGCGCACCTGAAGGTCGTGGTTCTCCGAGATGTGGCGGTAGAGGTAATCGAGCAGCGTGTCGGATTCCTCAGGAGTGAGCTCGATGATACGCTTCGTGAACGTCTTGTTGACGAAGAGCGTCTTGTAGCCCGTCACGGGGTGCGTGCGAATGACAGGGCTGACGGGAAAAGCGGGCCGCCAGATACGTCAGGGCCAGCATGAGAGAGAGAAGGATGTCATCACACGCACTGGACAGCTGTCAGGTCGCGTCCGTTGTTCTCGGGAGAGCCACGGTTGTCCGTGATTGTGTGGCCCGAGCGTTGTGCCGCCTAGAAAAGGTGTTAACTGATGCAACTTCCCATCACAAACATGTATCAAGCCTACGTCGACGAAGAACTGAGCATTGTGCACGGCGGTCATACCCTCCAGGAACTTTTTCATGGCGGGAGACAGGCGATCATATGCCTCGTATCCACTGAATGGAGAAGCAAGAAGCGTTAGTCACGATTTTGGTGAATTGCGTTATCGGAGGCTGACCATGCCCACTATTAAACCCGGTCAGCTTGATCGGTAAACGCGACGCAAGCTGAAAGGCACGAACCAGAGTGTCACCGCCGACCTTGGGAATAGTATGCATCTTGAGGATCTAGGAGCCTCGATAAGCACGTCGTAAATGGAATGAATGTACTCGGAGACAACTTACAGCGTAGTCCGATGGCACGCGCTCGAAGGTTATGTCGGCGTGCCAGCCTATACTGGCGCGTCTGCCATTCAGGTTTCTGGCGCGGGCGATGCCGCTGAAACGTCGGTCCCGTGGGTGAGCCTCGGTGCTAGATGGTCTGGATGGCGCCATTACTCACCCCATCGACGAGATGACAGACACTTCGGCGCCCAGCTCAGGGGTATCCTCCGAGATGGGGTGCTTGTGGAGCTTGGAGTCGGCTGGCTTGCCAGTGAGCACGCCCATGCGATGCGCGAGCGCAAGCTGGTCCTTGATGTCGAGGTTCTGGTTTGTGAAGTAGACAACTCCACGCTCAGAGACGAGCTTGGCGAGGTCGAGGATGTACCCGTCCGCGTTCTCAGAGTGAACGAGTTCAGAGAGCTGAACCTTGGAGTCGTAGAAGCGCGTGCCGATATGATTCGTGACATCGTAGTTGGGAAACTCGGAAAGTGAACCTGCGAAAGTGGTGGCCATGGCAAGTGACAAGCGTTAAGTGAAGAAAGCAGATAAGATAAAGAAAATCGAGGTTTTCAAAGGCAAGCGTGAGGCGGCTTTAAGTTGAGGTCAATTGCGGTTTTTATAAGGTGAGGGACTATGTCCTAAGTAGGAGTATTTGTGACCCAACGCTTCCATTTCCCACAGTTTCTGTTACAGTAACGAGCTGCGAGCATGCATGCGGAGAAGTATTATGGGAGCGTAACTTAGGATTCCGGCGCTGCGCGGTGGTCGCGAGGAATAGTGGTACCAAACAACAATACTCACGAAGGCGTAACCCGAAATTGCGTGCTCGCAACTTCGCACGACAACCAATCCGGAACCCAATGCAAAGTCATCTGAGTCATCGTCCACCTGATCGCAGCGCTGTTATCACCACCGGAGACGAATGCTTGGTATCATTCACCAGTGATGATAGGACGTCCCGATATTACGTTCTAACCTCCCACTGCTAATAGTTCCCATAAGACCATCTGTCATTTTCGGAGTGTGGAGATATATTCGTGTATTAGCCCCCACAAAACTGTCCAAACGAGATGGAATTTGGAGATAATATTACTGCGGACATGTCGCTGAAATCTAGTGGCACTGAAGTATATTATACTGCGTTTTCTCGCAAGGAGAACGCGATAATAATACAGAAACCATACACGTGAACCTGAGAGTCGAGCACTAATGGTAGTACGCCACGTCAGACAGCCGTTCCTACACTGCTGCAGGACAAATATCCTCTCGCGTGCTCTGGGTCTCATCGCTCGTATTATGCCGTGGACTTTTCTCGTCACAACCGAACCCCATTCATCAATGCTACATCATGTCACTACTTGTGAAATCGCAATGAACGAATAAAGCGCACCTGTCCTAATCGTGTCACTTCATCTTTAAACTGTTGATCCATCCATCCCTCGAGCATGCACGCCTTGTCCCCCGTTGCTACTAGTAGATGAGAGAGGCACTCGATGCCTTTCTGGGACTGATCATCGACCATTGGTAGAAGCTGCCGGATGCAACTATGCATGACATACCCAGGCATAATGCGAAGCCTGAAGAGCGACCCAATAAACGGACCCATCTGGAAAGCTCTATAGTTTTCCGCTCGCGCATCCTGGTAACGGTCGTTGTCTGGTTCAGCCCATGGTCCATCGCTCCTTCGTCGCTCGAAGACTTCCTGACAGCTACGAAGCAGATGTCTCCGGAACAAGCGGCCGCCACTGACAGGCACAGCCGTCCCTTCGATGGTGTCGTCTTCGATGCTCTTGCTAACGTCTGAAATCATCTTCTGGCATAGCTTCGCCCATGCCTTGCTCATAGCTGGCCTGTCTCGTGCATGCTCGCATATGAGCTTGCTTATTTATGCCAGAACGCGGCTACCGTAGTGTGGATTGTCGTTGGGCAGGGCGGCGAGAAGTAGAGAAACTTGATCGACGTTGTCTGCCTTGAGCCCTCCGAGCAATGTCGTTACCTCGCGCCGAAGGGTCGAGGGAGGAAGACAAACGTGAGACGGTGAGCCTAAGCGTGCCGACGCCACACATGTTATTTCGTCACACAGAGCGTTGTCGACGCGTTGGGCGAGGGAATGGAGGTGAAAGAGCAGATGATTGAGAAGCTATGGATGGAAAAGGAGGAGTTGAAAGCGGAATTGTACACAAGACATGCCGTGCTCCGCTACGGCACAATTGATGGGTACCGGTGAAGACGTGAAAACCAGAGCACGTACTATGAACTGTTGTCTGCTACATGTGAGAGAATCAGACAGTTTCTAGACAACTGGCACGGCTCGGCCTACCACGTCACGGTGCTATGCAATCGAATCTCATTAGCTCCATGAGTTTTCCAATATTGATAGTTGTCCTCCCGTGTCTCGGCAAGTCGGTTGGACCTGTCATAAGGGAGCTTGCACTTTGAAACCTGTGTAAGGTTTCCTGAACCTTTAGATCTATCCCTTCAGATCTATTAACCTTTGTCGGCAGCACGATACTTATTTCATTGGGATATTGATGGGATTCAGGAATAGGTACCATCAGCAGAGCATCTCAACCAAAGTAAATGCCGGGGTTAGACTCATTAATCTGACAGAGTACACATATACATGCATTCAACAATTTGAAGAAGTAACAGTTAACTATCTACACACAATGGGTAACAGATTATGCCTGCGTTACACTACGGCTTGCATTGTTGAGACATACAGCAATTCAACGCCAGCCGCACACCCGGAAACATATTGCTGCAAAAATTGAACAACATAACAATTAGCACCGTTGTCCGTATGACAATATGTCACTGGGAACGGGTGAAACCTTTGACAGGTGCTCAACAGTAAGAATTGGTGCCCCAAACCGGTCGCTGATATTGCAATATGTAGTATGATGGTGCAACATGAAGATGTGAGATAAGATAGGCGCCGAAGCGCGGGGTGCGTTCAAGCCATGGTGACAATGTAAGTATTGCAACGTCTTCGCCCCTCTGAAAGCGAACATTCGTTACATAACGTGTGGTAGAAGTAAACGCATGGGATGATTGATTCCCAACAGACAACAACGAGCTAATGACAACCATTGTTTCCGATGTCCAGTTTAACATGACATCTGCATAAGGACCTATCAAGAAACGTTTTTTCCCCTACCACACGTTGAAGCGTATCCACACACGTGGCCATCACATTTATAACGTCCTCAGAAGTGTGACTCGCCATACACTTGCCGAGTCATTCTTAGCTATACCTAGCCCCCAGGGCTTCGACGTTGGAGGTTTAGCAGGGTTTAGTTCATCAAATTGACCTTCGTAGGAAGTGACTCAGTTAAATTTGAGTGAGATCGACGAAGATCAGCAATACAGCCTATGAACAAAGGAACTCTACAACTACGATACGATATACCGGAAGACATACATACCTCCGCTTCTTCGCCAGATCATTCCAATTAAATGGGCAAAGAGAAGGAAAAAGAGGTATAAGGAAATTTGAGACCGAAAGGGCTTACCGACATTACATTGACATTACTTAAGGCCCGTTTCATGGGCGGTATCTGGTTGGTATTGGGACATGCGTAGGGATCAGGTATCAAGTGATCGCGGAGAGGCATACCTGCGGGAGAGGCTGCGAAGGCAGCCGAGTGCAACGGCCACCGACCGTTTGGTATGGCGCACAGCCAAACGTGGCAGCAGGGCTTTATCCTGCGGCACGGAAGTGTTAGCAATTGGGGATGTGACTTACTGGGAGGTTTCTGGCACCTGCACAGGCAATGAGGTACCCGTTACCTGTCATTGGATGCCGGGGATGCGAGTGAGGCAGGGACTTGCAATACTGTAAAGCAGCTAGTACTAAGCATAGGAGAAGACGTGAGATAATGTACACACTTGTAGCAGGAGCCATGGGAGAGGAAAGGATGGGCGCCATGAGTGAGGGAGTTTCAGAGAGAGGCACGCCGAGAGACAGGGCCCGAGCTTGCTGTGGCTGAGCCTGCAATGAGCGTGTATGCACGGATGGCGAGTTTCTGTGTTAGACATTATCAACGGAGGGGGATGGTGTCGAGCGAGAGGGCGTACCTACAGATTCTGCATCTGAAGCGAGGGTGGGGCGATCACGAGCGAAACGACTGTAGGCTCAGATATAGAAACCGCCAAGACCGTGCAGTCGTCATCTACGAGCATTACTTCGTGAGTTAATAACCTGAAAGCGATGGGTGTGGTACATCACTAAATGGGCGGTCCGAATATAAGTACATGAGCAGTAGTAGAATCGGTTATAATTGACACCGTACCTTGATGATATTTCGAATCTCCAGCACGAGTGGAGCGTAAAGTCCGTTTTTAACATATGGGAAATCAGACCAAAATTAGATGGTGAAATGGTCAGATCAGGGATGATATTATAATATTGATGGCTATCTTACCACTGACGGAGCCTGCATGATAATTACACGATAAGAACGGCTGGTGTTTTATGCCGTATGATAAAAACTCACACCATATGGTGAGGACTCGCAATCTCGCCCATGATTCTAATGACAAGACATTCATTGTGAACATTATATAGTACAGCATGTAGCATTAATCGAGGTTAAAACGATGAATGAGGTAAATACACGAGAGCAGCAAGGATGCATGAGAGCAGCAGCAGTAGACGAGCGCAGGAAGTACAAAGAACGAATTAAAGTGTATAGACCGTGAAGCGACAGTTGGAAGGGAGCAAGAAAATAAAACATACATTTGGGCGAACGCAGGCCCGGGACAAACAATCTCTGTGAAGGGAGGGGACGTGAGTGAAATGAAGCAGTGATATACTGATATAACATACCTAGTTGCCAGTCTTCTTCGCCGGTGGTTTTCCCCCTGTACTAATCCTGGCACTCTTTGCCCTGGTTTGAATGGCAGGCTTTGGCACCGACGCTGGATCTTCTTCAATTGAGGAGAGGTCGGACTCGATAGCGCTCGCTGGTGTCTTGCTACCGGAGGACGTGGGTGTTAGAAGTTACAGTATATTAGACTATAGAGCGAGTGTCAGTGTGTGTCCTGTATCGCATAGTGAGCGAAATGTGCTTACCCCATACGCAGTAGTACATGCGGATGGGGGAAAGCGAGGCGAGAGGTCGCCCATATATACATGTCGGCGACCCCATGCATTCCAACATTTATCCCTTCACGTTGTCCCGCTTCTCTGCTTCTCTACCTCTCCTGAGGATCCAGAGCTGTCCTCTATCCGCTTCTCTGCTTCTCCCGAGCATCCCGAACCGTCCTCTGTCCGCTTCTCTGCTTCGCCCGAGCATCCCGAGCCATCCACCAGACCAATGCCGGAGCAGTGTACAACCTCACTCCAACAGAGAGCGGTGAAACCAGCGATGAAGAAGGAGACCCAGCATAGCTTGCTGAAGCAGAGACTGCAGCACGTACAGATCAAGGGCTTTTTTTGGGTGAAGACGAGGCTCTCACCAACGCAACCGGGTTCGCATCATTGCAAAGGTCAGCGGGTATTCGAATCTCTGCCGTTTTTATTGTTCGTTAGTGTTCGTGTCTACCTAAAGCGCCGTGGCTGCCATATGCAGTTAAAGTTATCGCTCAATGATAATTTTGTTTCTGATATGGTCTCCGTATTCTATATTCGACTAACAAATGTACGAGCAAGATCATCAATTTTGATCAATGGTAAAGTGTCCGCGACATGGTGTTCGGCCGAAATTCACTGCCACACCGTAACAGTATGTTCACTCAATGAGAATGCGTCACCATTCGTGATCATACAAAACTGTCTCGACGACGATATTATAACGGTGATCACTCGGTATAACGGTCAAACTTTTCCCACCCATTTAGTGATGTACGCACCGAAGATCTGCACCGTGGTCCTGGTAGGGATGGAGTAAGTGAGTGTAGACATCGCAGGGATTGAGAGACGCACCGACTCTACAATTAAAAGGATCCATGGTGCGAAAACGGGGAGGGAGGGGAGGGAGGGAGGGAGGAAAGGATGGCGACGAACAAAGCGCTCAGGGTCCATTATCTTATCAACGGGAGTATGGCCCAAAATGGTTGAGGATATCCGGATCGAGAGCGAATCTGATCTCAAAGGGATCTGATCAAGAGTACAAACAAAAAACCAAACAAAAGCGGGCAGAAATATTGAAGATACGAGTAATCACTAAATGGGTGGGAAAAATCTGACCGTTATACCGAGTGCTCACCGTTATAATATCGCCGTCGAGACAGTTGTGTATAATCACGAATGGTGACGCATTCCCATTGAGTGAACATATCGTTATGGTGTGGCAGTGAATTTCGGCCGAACACCATGTCGCGGACACTTTACCATTGATCAAAATTGATGATCTTGCTCGTACATTTGTTTTGCATTTGTTAGTCGAATATAAAATACGGAGACCATCTCAGAAACAAAATTATCATTGAGCGATAACTTCAACTGCTTATGTCAGCCACCGCTTTAGGCAGAGAGGAATACTAATGAACATTAACAAATAACAAACGAAAAACGATGAACAATAACAAACAGTAGAGATTCGAATACCCGCTGACCTTTACAATGATGCGGAGCCGGTCGCGTTGGTGAGAGTCTCGTCTTCACTTAACGTTCACTCAGGCTCGAGCTTGCCTTGCAAGACCCCAAGTTGTATCCAGGCACATTGAAATAGGGATATTCCCTTTGAAAACTAAACTTGAACTGCTGGTATTTAAAGCCACGCGCTCACGGAGCAAGCAAGCATGTCTGAGCACCCATATTTTACGAATAAATTTGTAAAATGAGTAAGTGTGGCGGAAATGCCTGAGACGACGCATGAACTCGCCCTTGTGCACGCTCGTGGAACAAGTGAGTGGGGGGAGAAAACTGGCCACACCACGTTGAATGCACGAATACCAACTGCTCGGCCTCTGTCTGCTTCTATTCATACCTATAGTTCTTGCAAAGCAATGCTTGATAATTTGAAGCGGCGACATGCATTCCAGCTACAAGAACGACGGCAAAATGAAATAGAAGAGGACCTCTAATAATTCTGGCCAATCAGAGACAGATGATGAAGCCAGCCCTAAAGCTGATGGAGAGATAAGATAAGATAAGACATTTTTGTATGCCTTCGCCTTTTTGAACACTCTCCCCGCCTTTTCTCTCTCCTCCCTTCAACCGTTTCTCTTTCTTCACCCCGCTATTTATCCTCCCCTGTACTCTCTGTTTTCCTTCCTCACCTGTCTTACACGCCTCCCCACCACCAATTGTCACCACATCCACTTGTCTTAGAATTGTCAAGTTCTTCTGGTGTTTTGGCTCTGGTAAATCTGGCACGTTTTACTACGCATATAAGTACCTCCCGAAAGCCAGAACCCCTTATGCACGAAGCCAACAGCATTCTTCAATGCACTCTACTACGATGAGGTGCATGCATTGTTGCTGTCGCCCCATCACTCACTCATTTTTCATCCCTTTTAGCTCAACCCAGTGGAAAGTGATGGATGAAGAGCCATAGATGGTTGACGCGAGTAACTTGAGTCTAATTCTTTCCTCGGACCTCCTGATCTCGTGTACTGCTGCTGCTCTCATGTATCATTGTTGCTCTCATGTTGCTGCCCTCGTGTTCCTGCTCTCGTGTATTATCCTCGTTCGTTGTTTTAACCTCGCATAATGCTACATCATGTACTATATAATATTCACAATGAATGTCTTGTCATTAAAATCATGGGCGAGATTGCGAGTCCTCATCATATGGTGTGAGTTTTTATCATGCGGCATAGATCACCAGCCGTTCTTATCGTGTAATTATCATGCAGGCTCCGTCAGTGGTAAGATAGCCATCAATATTATAATATCATCCCTGATCTGACCATTTCACCATCTAATTTTGGTCTGATTTCCCATATGTTAAAAACGGACTTTACGCTCCACTCGTGCTGGAGATTCGAAATATCATCAAGGTACGGTGTCAATTATAACCGATTCTACTACTGCTCATGTACTTATATTCGGTCCGCCCATTTAGTGATGTACGACGCGGAAAGGCGGGCTTCTCTGCGAAGCGCCACAGGACACAATGCATCGGCTTCCGGGGTCGGCGGTAAGCTAATCAATGTAATCGCGTCAGATCCTTTCACGAGATAGCTCTTGCACAGCGACCAGTTCCCGGCTCTCCGCTTCGCGAAGCTTGGTCGCCAGATTTTTATTCTCTGCTTCCAGATGGCAGATTTTCCGATTGTCGCCCTCGATTCGCAGCGTATATTTGTCCACAGTACGTTGCAGCGCGAGCCGTTCTTGTTCCACGATGTTTTTCTCCAGTTCAACACCAACGAGCTTTCTTCTTGTGGCGCTCCAGTCGACTTTGAGCAACTTGACCTCGCGTCGTAGCCGGGACACCTCTGAGTCGGTGCTTGACCTTACCATGTATCGTGAGCTTTCATTTAACATCTGACAAGATAGTTCTGCTATGAATGAACGTACGTTCTCAACATGGTCTCGGTGGACCTGTGAACGCTAGGCCCGGTCTCAGTCCCTGCTCCCTCTTTCGCCTTGATCACCTCGTAAACATCATTGTTCTTCTCCGCTTCTGTCCCACTGGCATATGACAACACCCGCTACTTGGCGGAGGCGCCACAGATTCAGGCAATCAGTGCAGTGGCGCACACCAGAGTGTAGGAAACCTACGCTAATCCAGCTCATAGCGATTACAGGTGAATGTGTCGGCTTGCCTTTCAGCTTGGGCGCGAGAGCAGAGACGTTATCGCGGGACTCAGATGTGTTATGGGCGTCTGAGGGCTAATAATATAATTGCTGTGTAAAGGTGGGACGAGATCTGGCATTTAAGCGCGCATTTATTGATAGTTAAATTGCGAGATGTCAGAAACTTTGGATAATATTGTTCAGCTACTGTACAATTTCGGATACAATTTCATGCCCTCATTTAGCCCAACGAGAATCGGATGGCTGAAGCGTCATCCTTCACAGTGAGCCAAGAGGGCCTATTTGAGATCTCCTTCCACCACCGAGCGACATTGGGGTGAGCAGCGCTGCGTAGGCAAGGATGGAACAACTCGGCGAGTATAATATCCTACGTACGCAAACGAAAGTCAGAATGCAGTGCAAACATGAGAAATATATGACGGAGGTGCCCACGCTGCCACCAGTGTACTTCTCCTTGCCGAGGATCTCGTACGCGTTAAACTTGGCCTTCAGTGCGGTAATAATGCTCTCCGATGCCCTCCTCCGCGCGTTTTTCATCGGTTGCGAGTCCACGCCTCCTGCAGCGACATCCGCGTCAGCCTAAACAGAGCGAACATGACGGGGGAAATGAGGTAAATGAGATATGAGAGACACGCACGCTTAAAGACATTTTCGATGGCATACCCGATCGCGTAAGGGTAGAAGTTGAAAGGCGTTAGTATTCACGGCGATGCGAGCGGTATAAAATATCTTATTATCTCCCGGGTAGCTTCGTCTCGGCTTGTCCATATAGAGCTATCTTTGCGCTAAGCAAAGTCTGCTTCGCCGTATATTGACGATACATTGTGTCATTGGTGGTCATCTCCAAGAGACGAGGACGTCGTCGCGCCCCTTCACAAGTCCACGCTTGGTTACGTGTGCTTCGGCTGCGCAATAGCCAATCGTTTTCATACCGAGCGCCGCCTTTCCCGAAGATAATGGTGAAATGGTGAAGAAGGATCTGTAGTAGGTGCTGCATGGGGTGGTGCTGGGCAGGGCGACGAGCGCTTACTGACGCTGCACTTGATATATCGGAAGTAGAGCAAGAAATCATCAGGGGCTTTGCTAAATAGGATATTTACAGATCATGAAGGCACCATCTTAACAAGGGCGTTTCGTCCGAAGTTCCGGATATCGGGGATGGCTATGTCTTTATGGCATCCCTTCCCCTCTCTTAATCCTCTCTTCCCATGATTCCTCCACCGACGGCGTTCTGCAAGCTTAGGCAAACTTGCGCAGTACAAATACGGAATGCTCCCTACTCTTCATACAGCAAATAACAACGAAAAACTAGTCAAATATACAAGATTCAGTGTAACAAGGGTATAGCGTAGGTCAGTCAGCAAAGGTCAGTTCGGCGCCATGCTGCTACCTTGTGCACTAACTGCCTCCGCGATATGAATCAGCCTCTCCTTAGTAGCCAAAGGTAATGGTGTCCGACTCAAGAACTCCGTGAAACTCTTCGCGTCCGAGATGTCCTCTGCGACCAACCGCAAGTCCTCCTCGAGTCGCGCCATGCCGTACTTATCTGAGCTCACCGCGGACGACAGGAACTTAGCCATCGGCGCATCCTTGCTCGAACCCTCCTCTTTTCGCGACAGGATACGCTGCTCGAGGAAGCGCACCTTGTTACTTTGACTCATGGCCACAAAGCAGTCAAGCGCCCTCCGGACGCGAGACCACGAGATTAGGACTGCGCACACCTCAACTACATCTGGTTGGTCCTCTGAGAGGTCTGGCGAAGGAGTACTAAAAAGATCGATGGGGCTTGGTGGATCGCTATGGGGAGAGTGTGGTTCAGGCGAGCTGCGAGGCTCAGAGATTGCGGAAGGGGTTGATGGTTGAGTGTGTGCCCCAGAGTGCGAGGTAAGTGAGACTGGCGTGTCGTCAGGCGTCGGCTTAGGCGTAGGAAGGCCCAAAGTCAGGATGTCGCCCCGGAGGATGCCGGGCTGGGGAGTAGAATAGGCGCTAGGTCGGGTTTGGTCGTCGGAAAAAGGGGGTGCAAGAGAAGATGCAGGATGAGTAGGTGCGTTGCGTTGCGTTTTCGTTGACGGATGTGGGGTTAGAAGCTGAAGTAAAAACCCGTGATCACGCTCTTCCGCGTCTTCAGCAGCCTGGTCCGCATCAATGCTATCTAGGTTCGACAAAGATGCTTGAGTGGATTTCAGTTCAGCCAAGCGGCTCTCGACGAGGGGAACGAGCTCGTTGCATCGCTGCAGCATGCGCGAGCGCCATTCCCAGTGACCACGTGCTACCCTCCGCTCTGCGTCCGCCTTCAGGGAAGCGATCTCCTGGTTGGATGCCTGCAGAGCGTCCTCCAACGCTTGACGCTCTGCCACCAGCATATCATTCTCTATCTTGAGCCTCTCCATCTCTCTGACCTCCTCCTTCAGCAGCGCCGCGTACCCATCTGCCTTCCGCACCAACACCCGACGTGTGCTCGCCGCCTCCGCTCCGACCCTATGAAGTTCTTCTCCCTGCGTTCGCACATCGTCCCGTAGTCGCTCTACTTCAGCTTGTAGTGCCCTTTTGTCCGCATCCGCCCTTTCCTTGTCCCGTAGTAGGCTGACGTGTTCCTTTTGCAGGAAGTCGTATGCTAATCGGAGCTGCGAGGGTTCAGCGTCAAGTGGTGGGGACATTGTGTATGCAGAGGTGGAGGCTGCGTCTGAGTAACCTTCGTCGAGGTTGAAAGAAGTCATCGAGGCGAACGGGGGGTAGGGTTGAGGCGAGGGAACGGTGCAGGCATGTCACGGTATACATAGACCACAGTGCGGGCAAGGCGCCTATCGTCCGTGCACCTAGACTCACTTGGCACCACCAGCCGAGTCAGCTGGGGCATGATGTCATGCAGGTATGGGTCCACGCTCCTGCCCTGATAATTATGAGAGTGGGAGCGTTTTCTAGAGTCTAGGCTAGAGTAGCGTGCTCGCTCCACCGTGGGATACCCACAGAAAGGTACTAACCATTGGCGTGTTGTTCATGATATGTACAGATCCGTGCTTCACATTACAAATGTTGGGCAATCGTTTCGTAAGCCATATGTGCCGTCCGCTTCTAAACAGATGTGAACTTATATTCATGCAGTTTGAACTCTTCCTGAACAGCCAGCCAAGATGGTCTGGATGAGATCTCCTTCCACCACCTGGCCACGTTGGCACGCGACTCGAACACTTCACCCCGGCCGATTTGGACCAAAAGAGAGCCATATGGGACGTGAAACAGATCTGCGAGGGTGATCATCTGTCGATGACGGTTAGCGCGCATAGTAGGCTCGGGAAAGCGACAGCACCGACGTTACCACCAATGTACCTTTGCCTTCCGAGGATCTCATCGTACGCGTCGAGGTTGGCGTTAAGCTTAGCATAGGCCTCTTTGGCACGACCCTCATCGGAAGCGAAGCCTTGCATCCTGAGATACGCAAACGCTGGGTGGGAGTGTGGGAAAGATATAACACGGAGAACTCACGGGTTAAAAAGCAACTCCCTGGCAAATCGTTGCGCTAAGGGGAAAAAGTTGAAAGTCTCGATAGATGCCCCCTGTTCGAAGATGGCCACCTCAAGCGGGTCTGAAGGGATGAGCTCTGTGCCCTGGCAGGTATACTTCTTGGCTAGGTAGCGGGCGATGGCACGCGACTCGAACAACTTGAAGCCATCATCGTCCTGTGTGGGTGAAGTTCAGCGAGCAATTTTGAGTAGTAACACCATCGCGATGAGATGAAATGAGTAGTAGCGTAACTCACGATATAAGGAACCTGGGCAAAGGGATGCACGACAACGAACTCTGGCGCCTTCTGCTCGCCCTTGAACACGTCAATCTCGATGTACTCGTATGAGACGCGTTTCTCCTTGCAAACGACGGCTACGAGATGCGTGCAAGTCGACAAGGGATGACCGTAAAGCTTCAAGGACATCTTGCTCAACAGTGATCGTGTGGTCCAACTTGTGTGTGAAGTGCAGGAGGTTGAGAGGACGCGTGATCGCGGGTGATATAGATGTTGCCATCCGGCCCGCGTTAAGCCCAACAAGGCCGAGAGTGAGCTACAGGATTTGGTATCAGGAAGGGTTGACAATGTAGCTTTGATGTCATGACATATGGCAATAGCAAGACTAGGAGCGCAGGAGTTGTTGCCGTTCGAATCCACTACGGTAGGTGTAGAGAAAGTTGAAGAAGAGGTCGTGCTGTAAGGCGGACTTGTCCCAAGCGTTATCCTGTCAGGGGTAAATACTTCTTTGGGCATATTTCCCCTGACTCTCATAACATACGTACAACCCCTTGAAGCAGATTCCAAGCACACCCAAGGGCGGGCTAGCTCATTCCAGCTGTCAGCACTTCAGACTTGGAAACTCACAATCGTGTTTCATAAATATGGTATATGACAAAGTGGTCCCTGACAAAAGAAACCTACAGAACCCGTGTATGTATTTTCCTGCTACGTGTCTAGATGCCGTTGGACTTTCCAACAAAATTCCCAAGTAAGTCTACTGAGTGAAGCCCGAAATATCTGCGTTGTTAATGGTGCCGTCCTTGCCACCGCTGACCGTGAGGTCAGACCAGTCCCAAGTACCGCTGCAAGAGCCCGAGCCACAGTCGACAACAACCATGTCGGCGTCGCTCGTAGTCTCGACTGTAGTCGCGCCGCCAGTGAAGTTAATTTCCTTTGAGTCACGTTAACTGTTGGTCTCGTATAATCAGTGTTGATCGGAATGCAGCGTACCTCGAAGGTAGTACCAGTTCCGGGGGTGCCGTCCGAATCGGGATAGCTCTGTCGAAGATGATTAACAATGTGCGGCGACGAGGAGGGATTGCGAATGGACTAAAGCTTACCTGGGTGATCAGAATACCGTACTTGGTAATACCTGTGGCCTTGTTGTTCTGTAGAGAAAGGGGTGGTCAGCCACACGTTTAGTGTGATGGGATATAACGGAAATATTCACGGTGTAAGTGACGCTCTTGACCGAGCTGCCGGTTGCACTCTTGTCGCTCTTGATGCGGAGGCCCTGCTGACTGTAATGCAGCGTCAACAATGCAGTACTATGTCTAAATAGCCTTGAACTCACGAGTTAGTCACAGTGTTCCCAGAGATTGTGACGTCAGAGACGGTCTTGTCGGAAGAGATAGAACCCTAGAGTGACAGCAAGTTATGTGGTAAGCCCTGATAGAAGGCTAGGAGAGAGATCAATGACTTACGATAGAGATGCCGTGTCCATCCTCGCAGGTATTGTCAGAGAAAACAATGTTGGAGCCCTTGTTGATGGCAAGGCAATCATCCTGTGGAGTAGACTTAGAGGCCGTTGAACCAAGCCATGAAAAGCGTCAAACCTGGTTGATCACTTTGCTGTTCGTAATGGTGACATCACTGCCGGAGACGTCGAAACCATCGGTGTTGTGACCTTGAATATGCAATGAGCCACGGAGCAGAGTCTCGACTTAGTAAAACTGCCTACCAGCAGGGTCGCTGCCACTCGCGCTGTTCGCGCTGTTACCCGCAGCTATAGGGGCAACGTTCAGACAAAGTGACAATGCCGGGGAGTGTCGACGTACAGTTGTCAACAGTGATACCAGTGAGCTCAATAGTACCGGTGTTGTCGATGGACCACGCCTGCGCGGGGGAGTTCAAGACGTATACGTCCTGATTAGAGGGAAGGTTGTGAGGCTTAATCGTTACTATGCGTATGTATACGTACGCTGATGGTTCCCGAGGCCTCGACCTTCAACATCGGATGAGGCTTGGTGGTTCCGCCGTTGGTACCTTGGCCGTCCTGTCGTGCGCGTCAGTGTTTCCGCCAAGAATAGACTTTTAGATAGAGCACGAACCCAGTAGTCAGCACCATTGCCATCGAACTTGTAGCCGTTTCCGTTGACTGAATGGGTAGAATTAGCACGATTGCCGAGAAAAGGAGTGAGTAGACTAACAAGTGACGCTGTCGCCTCTATTTCTCAGGTTAGCAGCGAATCAAACTCTCGAACAACGACAGAATGACTAACTTGAGCTCGAAGAGGGGTCCATCCCACTCCTTGTAGCCGAAAGTGACGTCGCCCTCTGTCGGAGGTGAATCAGCCCAGACGAAATGGACAATAATGTGCAACTCGACACTTACTGACGTTGACCGTGGTGCCCGACGCAAGGTCGAGGCTGAAGGTCTCACCAGCGGTAACGGTGAAAGACTCGATGTTGATCGTCGTGCACTTGACTGCGTCGGTAACATCGTCAAGCGAGGAAATCGTTCCCGTGCATTCGGTGCTGGCGGGAGCGGCGACGACGTAGGGAACGAGAAGAGCGAGGGAGGTCCACGGCAACATTGTCAGATCGAGTGTGTAGAGCTGGTGTAGAGATCCGTTGAGCAGTAGCTAAGAGTGACTGGTTGGCTTAAGGCGAAGAGAACGCCCTTATGTACGTCTCTGGCGGCCCGGCGGAGACCAGAAACCAGTATGTTGGAGGACCTTTGAGGTCGTGTTGCCTACGGTATCGATAGTTCTCGGTCTGAGAACGCGTCCAGAGTTTCCACGGGCGACCAGGAAGCTGGTCTTGGTTTTTCCGCGACATGTCGCTGGCAACGCGAACAAAGTGGGAAAATGCGACCAGGCGGACTCACCGCCAAATGAAGTTTCACGGTATACCTGTCATTCAAGCCTGAAATTGACTCGTCGGCCATCAGCTATGTCTGCGGAAATAGAACAACCACGCGAGAGCAATTGGTCAAATTTGGCTTTTGTATTTTAGAGCTCTCTCACAAGTTTAGGGACACCACGTTGCGGCGAACCCGAGGAAGTTGCGGTCCCGGAGAAGCGCAGTCAGCTGCAGGCGTTAATGTTGACAACAAAACACCGCGTTGGCTAGGCAGGGCACTTAAACGGAACCTGTGACAACCTTCAGCCAATTGAAGGAGTTTGTGCGACTCAAGGACAATTGTCATGGCGCCAACTCAACCCTCACCTCAACGCGCCAAATGAATGGATGTGTTCTTGGTAGACGGGCCGTGCGGGCCAAGCGCGGGCCGATTTCATCTTTACCAGAGGTGAAGGTCGACACATTTCCCTCGAAGTGTTCGAGAGCATATGCTTTGCTGAGTCCGGCAGTGTGGGCTGCTTCTGTTTGGCGAGATGGCGAAAGCTATGGCGACGACGCTAACATATGCGCAGAGAAATGGGTAGGATCATGTTCCGAGGGTGCGATCTTGATTGTGTACGGGCTCCTCCTGAGAGAGACACCGATAGCTAGCACGATGTCAAAAAGCTTTTCATTGAACAGAAGGCGTCGAAGCTCGCTTCTGCCTTCAGCTTGAATCTCCGACTGTCGGAGTTTGATTTTCAAGTTGGTCGCCGCAACATTGACACTGCAGACAAACGGCGATTTTACCCGGGATGAAACGGAGAGAAAGAGGCGGCGAGATGAAAGCCTTTCCCTCCGAGTTTTGGAACCCCCTTTTGCACAGGAAAATGTATTCTTTTAGCCGACAATTGCGTCAATATTGCGCTGGTAAACTGGGCGGGTTACCGAATTTGGACTCTAACTTCCCGATTCGGACGTATTTCTATCTAATCTCCGCACAGAAATGCAAGCTCCGAGGCAAAAGTTCAACTTTTCAGTAACTTTTCGCACAGCAAAAGATGGGTGAAAAAGGCTTTCATCTGTCCGCCTTCTTCACTCACTTTTCGTAACAGAAAAATGACAGTATGTCTGCAGTGTGAATGTCAAAGCGCTTGGTTCCAACTTGGCTCCCGTTCTGGCACTTGGAACAAAATTGTTGCCGTACGTGGCCAGACATGTTTTTGAAGTCCTTCTCAATTTGTAACGCCAAGAAACGAACTAATTGTCCAGGATTGCACTTCCGCTACCGTACAACTGGGCGTAAGTAACATCACCAGTGCCAACTGTAACTGAGACAACTACTCCGCAGATGCCCTCGCCAGACGTACGAGGCTCCCCTGTACTTCCTCTGGCAAAGTGGTGCACTGTAGCAGAGTGCTTAGCTTGGAGGTGTCCACGATTGCCGAAGTCCTCCTTCTTAGGCCTTCCGCTAGCAGCTTTATATCACTCTTCAGCACTTCCATGTCATAACCCTCAGTGCGTGCCGACTTCTTCAGAAACGCGCGCCATCCTAGCACTGGCTTCTTACACTGTCCCAGTACCCACATCTGAAGGAACTGCACCCTGTCTCCTTGCTCCATGGTCGCAAAATGTGTTGGCACTTTCGCGGAAGACTGAGAGACTAAGCGTTTGCAGGTGCGTACGTCTTCACTAATCGGTGCGTCAGGCTTGGGTTCGCTGTGTTTGGCGTAACTCGCATGCGTCTTTGATGCGCAAACTTCGTCGATCTACGAGGAAGGTATTGAAGCATGAGATCAATGATAGGAATCGTGAGACATACAGCGATATCCTCGGGGTCACGCTCTCTAGCGGAGAGCATCAACTGAGCAGGCAAGTCAATTGTTTCCGGTGGAGATGCGACCGTTTTTCCGCATTCTTGCTGAATGGCCACCGACGCTAATGAAGCACCCGCCTCTGCATGACCGCCTCCAACAGATGGCGCATCAGATTGAATATGATTACCGAGGGGGATTGGGTCAAGTGTGATAGGGGTAGTAAATGAGCCGCACGGGCTCAAGAGCTGGAGCAGAATTTCTTTGTGTGCAACCTCCGCATTGAGGCGTTCGATGGAAACGGCAGTTTTCTCCCCCGCGGCGTCGAGGTCTGATAGAACAAGCTGGGTAGCTTTAAGGTCTGCCAAGCCACTCTCAAACGCGGAGACAAGGCGGGTGCACTGCCGTGTGGTGCGAATGAGCTGCTCACGAACAGCCTGAACTTCCTTTCGCTCTGCCTCCGCCTTGAGAATGGCGATATCTTCGTTGGCGACCCTCAGCGCACGTTGCACCGCTTTGTGGTCCGCTACCAAGACTCGGTTTTCCATGCTCAGCCTCTTGATCATCTGTGAGTCCTCCTCCATAATCATCACATACTCCTTCAACTTCTCTTGCAACACACGGTTCTCGCTGTTTGCCCCAGCTCCTATGCTGTGAAAGTGACTCTTTTGTTTCTGAGCCTCCTCCTCGAGCCGTCTCACTCCTCCGCGAAGTGTTGCGTTGTCTTGCTCCATCGCCTCCTTGGTCTGCATCAAACGGACGTGCTCCTTTTGCAGAAAGTCATAGGCGATACGTAGCTGTGAGGAGTCATCCGCCTGGTCGTAATCGGATAATGTCATGGAGGATATAGATACCTGCTCCGATCTCGAATGATCTTCCCCAATGGTAAGTGTCGATGAGGCCATCGAGAGATTAATGCGAGGTTCAAACGTCGACGGCGAAAGATAGGAAAAGGACTCAGAGGGGCTCGTAGTTTGAACTTTGCTCGTAAAGTTCGTGGGGTGGCGTGGGAATTGTATTACTACAGCGTATCCCGCTCTTTAAGCTTTAGTCACGGTGTGGCCTTTGATCCGCTTTGAACTCGTGCGTGCACATGTCGTAGCCCTCACCGGCTTCGATACTTACAGTTGTCCAGGTTTGAAACCTGTGTAACAGATGCGTGCTCCAACTTGCAACGAGGCGCGTCAAGATAGAAGCAATCTTCGATGAATGAAAGATAGTGCTCCAGCTGCTACTTCGGCAAGGCATCTGCCAAAACTGTCTCGCACGAGTTTGAGTTGATAGCAGGGACGGGTCCCTAGGTATTTGCACATTCTACTATACATCCACAATAATTACCCTAAGGAAAGTTTACTCGCACAACCACAACTTTACACCCTAGTCGTTCAACGAACATGTTTTTACAAAGCGAGCTATAAATCGCACACGTCAGCACCTCATCTCTACACGTCAAAGAGCAACAGATAAACTTACAAGAGCAAGGTGACCACCAACGACAGGACGCGCGCGGAAGCCGCTAGTCGTACCCGCCACCGAGTCGTACCAGTCGCTGAACGGCACGTTGTTCTGGCCGTCGCCGATGTACGCGTACACCGCGTCAATCATCGCGTCGCGCACCGTGTTGTCCGTCACGAACGCGGCGGTCCAGATCTGCCAGTCCGACTTGGTGTACGTGTGGCGCGTGTCGAGCGGCGCGCCGTACTGGTTGATCACGCCCTTGTACCACGCCGTCTGCGAGTCGAAGAGCGACTGCGGGAACGCGTTCGTGCCGAGGAGCTTGTCCGCGTACATGTTGTACGTCAGGCCCCAGCTGTCGGACGCGCCGTAGTTGAGCTCGAGGTGGTTGGAGGCGCTGGCGAACTGGATGATCTGCGGGGAGTAAGACGAGACGATGCTCTGTTATTGTGTGGGAGGTCAGTATCGGTAGCTGAGAAACGGGAGTAGAGACGTACACTGTAGTTCTGCTGGGCGTCGGTGTTGCCGAGAAGGCCCTCGATCGCGGCCATGGCTGCGATACCGACGGTGCCCTTGATAGCGAGGTTGGTCTGGTTGGCGAGCGAGCCGGCGAAGTCATCGGTCGAGATCTGATCGGCGGGGATAAGGGCCTCATCGACGAGGTAGCCAGTCCACTGTTCGAGGAGCTTGGTGTAGGTCGAGATGAGCGACTGGTCGTTAGACTTCTGGGTGTAGCTAAGAGCCATGATGAGCATGTTGCCGCACTCCTCGAGAGGCATCTTCTCGTCGTTGCCGTCGTTGTGTCCGATGGCCTTGGGGTAGGAAGCACCGAGATCGTGGACGGCCCAGGTGTTGGGGTAGAGACCGGTCTGCTGGTATTGGAAGAGGCCGAGGAGGAGGTACTTGCCGAGCGTGGGGTTGGTGTAAAGGAGAACGGGCCAAGCAGGCATCATAACGTCGACGGTGTTGACATTCTGCTCAAGGTTTGAGAATCTTTTCTAGCTCATCTGCGGTGGAATCACTCACACCATCCGAGGAGATCTCCTTCATGAACATGAGGACATCGTCAGTGTTCCACGTGCCGTCGCTGTTGCGGGAGACAGTGAGCTCGGTAGCACCGAAGGCCTGACGAATGGAGAGAGCGACGATAGCATAGTAGTTGTTGGAGATAGCGGTGGCATCGCTCTTGACCTTGGCATCGAAGGTGTTGGCATCAGAGAGAGCAGTCGAGTAGCTGCCAACGAAATCGTTGATCTGTATTTAATGAGTATAACGAGCCCGTTCTTTGAATATATGCACTTACAGCATCAGTGACGCTCGTGTACTTGGTCCAGAAATAGGAGCTACGGTCCTGCAGGTTGTTGCCAGCGGTGACGTACTGAATGGCGGGGTCACGGACGTGGCCAATGGCGTAGATGACGGGGTCAGAAGCGCTGGAAACGGTACCGAGGTCGTGAGCGAAAGCGAAGACGGGCCAGTTGTCGTTGATAGCACGGAAGTTGGTGTCACCGGAGTTGGCGAGATTGCCGTTGTTGATGAACTGAGCGCGAACGTCGACGTCCGCACCAGTCTGCCAGGTAGCACTGGTGGACTGGAGAAAAGTGTGAGAAGACGTTCATTAGCGAAGGAGACGACGACTTACGCTCTGAGTGGAATAGTAGGCAGAACCGTACTGAGACTGGTCGTTGCTCTCAGCGTAGACAGATGGGCTCTGGAGCTGGACCTGGTGGAACCAAACGTCACCCGAGGTGGTCGAGGTCCAGTTGACGGGCAGGGTGTTGTCGCCGGAAGCCCACTCGGCCGAGATATCGGAGTAGAGCGTGACGGAGTGAGAACCACCGTCGTTGGCAGCGGCCGAGATGGCCAAATACGAGAAGGGGGTCGACTGCTTGACGAGGTCGGTGGGCTCGACAGGGCTGAGGAAGTTGACAGTGATGTCGACAGGGCCGGCCGTCAGGACGAAGGTCGACTGGGTCGAGGTGTACTGAAGAGAACGTTAGCGTGAGGCGTTTACTGAGATGGAAGTGTTGACGCATACAGTCAAACTCTTCTGGGTGGCCAGAGCCGGGCTCAGGTTAGGGACAACGGGGTTGCCGAGGAAAGTGTAAGTGGTGCCATCAACGCGAACGTAGCCACCCCATCCGAGAGTCTGAAAAGGCGGGGACAATGAGTTTAGAAGTATGCGCTAGTACAATAAGACATACAGCGCCAGCCCAGAACTCGGGCCAAGTGCCGGCGAGCGAAGCACCGGCACCCTGGGGAAGCCATGCGGAAAGGTACGGGGTGCGGACGGCGAGTGGGACGGAGGGAGGGTTGACTGGGTCTGCTGACCAATCGAGGGCGGAAGCGCTGGACGCGAAGAGCGCCAGAGAGGCGTAGGAGAGAGCCTGGAAGATACCCATTGCCGTGAGGGCTGTGGAATGGAGAGTATGGGACGAACCTCTGCGTCTTATATACGATGGATTGCAGAGCCTCGGTTGTGACGATCTACCAGGACATCGCGACATCATCTTGCGGGCTCGGCTCATTTGGTCGAAAACGCGAACTTGAGCAGCATGACTGGGGTAAATGATGCGTAACATGTGCGACATGCCGCGACGATGTGCAGGACAAGAGAGGACAAGATGCGGGACGGTGTGGGACGCGACGTTTGTGGCCAGGAACAAGCCATGCGCAAAACATCTGACCGATCGAGATGCGGTCACAAGACCCTGAGACCTGCATACACCTTCCATATGCACCTACTACACGGAGACGCCACCTCTTCTCGGCCATGGAAAGCTCCCAATCCGACCTTTTGCCCTAATCTGCCCCACTCAAACCGTTCAGAACTAACCTCTCTCCTCGTGGCCATGTTTAGTAGCCAATAAAGCCATCTCGCAGTTAACGATCATGAGTCCGTCCCCGCTGCCCTACTGGAGAAACTCATGACGCCTCGGAAGCATGCTCGCTCGTACAGGTTGTCTTCGTGCTCCGAACACTGTGCCTGACTTCGTCCACCGGGTCCATGCAGTGCAGCTTCCACCCCACTATGACGCGGTATCCATGTGCGATGCGTCCGTTTTCCCCTCAGCTGACCTTGGCTACACGGTCCCACTTCCAAAGTCTCCCTCGCAAATCCAAGCACGTGCTTGTCTAAGGGCGGCGGCGCTGTACCGCTTCCTACGTCCGTTCACCCACTCTGCTTGAGTGAACAGGCTTCCTTCTCCAACCTTCCTTAAACCCGTTGATTGGCACCTTCCATCCCCGATGAACCTCGCTGAATCACATTGCCCTACCTCGAAATATGGTAATACCGAGTGACCTTCTCCGACCTGTCGCTTCTGCCGCAACTTTACAGCCGTGCCAGGTACCATCTCTCGTCGATGCGTTTCCGACATCGTGTCTTCTCAAGCCCTTGATGCCAGCAGAATGTGTACGCACTGGGACACTTTGACCGTGTAACTTGTAAATTCGAAGCTCGCACAGATATCCGGAGATAACTAACTTGTATGTCTGAATGGGGCTGAACTCAAGCTGAACTTTGAGTGATTCTATCACAATACCTCCGTAAGTCTATCTGTGGATCGTGTCGAAAACGGGATTATACTCTTTAGGAAATGGAATCGACCTGCTCCTGGCCCACGATAAGAAAATGTGTCGAAAAGTTGTATATCGGGGCGACATAAAATCGCTGTTGCCATTCCAGCGAGCTATCGAACCAGCTCTTACTCGCAAGCAAGGAAAACTCGCTTGACTCTAATGTCATTTTTCACCGAGAACCGCAACTCAATACATACGTCGTACAGCACATATAAGGCATGATGCGGCGTTGGACAACCAGGAACATTAACTTGTCATGTTCGCGACCGCTTCCTCGGCCGTTGAGGTTGGTCAGATGCACTCTGATGCACTCGAATCTGGCTTTCGCTGTATCGGATTATTGAACGTGGTCACTTTCGACGCCCCGATGATGAATATGGACACATGACCTGAGTTCTCCCAACAAGCGAGTTCCTGCCAAGTTGTCCGCGCAATCAAACTTGGGTTAGTCGAACTATATTCTCATGGAATACGAGCGTCGTGTAGATCGCCTCAGTTGAGGGTCTGACCCACTCAGACGAAGGGGAGCGTTCAGTATATATAGGACTCAAATATTTAAACAGGGTGCGAGCCTATGTTTCTCTCCTTTCCCTCCCTCTCCTCCTCCAGTTTTTTACCTTCAAGGGGCTCAACAGTTGACTCCGATGTGCTACAGATGCAGCTCGGGCGTTGCCAGTACGTTTCTCCATACAGACGCTCCGCTGGCTCTGACAGCTACGACAGTTATTCTCGACCCATACACACGGAAACTAGCTTACCTCCACTAGTCGTGACCGTTCACTATTTGAGATTATCGTGTCCTCTCTTTCGTTGTCGATGAGCCTGATGTCCCTGTGAGTCATGATCCTCCCATCTGCTGCAGCAACTTCCTCTTGCGAATGGTCTACGACACCCCCAAACCTTGGCCTCACCGCGTCTTTGACATCCGGAGATAGCCACACTGGCAAACCCTTCGCCGCACGCGCCGCAACAGCGCGAGTCACGCCCTCGCACCGCACTACAGAGAACATATGGTCTCCGTACCTTGCAGCGCTGGCAACATACACGCGTCCTCGCGCACCGAACGCAAAGTCCGCAGATATTATTCAGCTGCCCCTGGTTAGCCCTGGTTGCGTGGATCACGGGGCGGACAGGGGCAATAGCCAAGCGTGCGGGGCGACCCCGTGGGCACGGCTGCATTTGTGCCCGCGCGGGGCTGCTGCTGCGCGGGGAAAGGAAGCCGAGGGCCGACAAAGATCAACGCTGCTAGACGCAACTGTCAAGTTGGCTGATTGACGAGGAGACTAGGTCGTCAATTGGACCCGCGGATATCCCGTAGTGTTTCCATTCTCGAGTCTCCATAGGTCTCCACGGGGCGAATGTCAAGCCGCCGGGCCAGTGGCATTGTCAGCGAGTATCGGAAAGCAATGCAAAGGTGTTCGGGGTTTGCTCACGGTGATTATTATCGATGGTGAGGGTGTGTTTTTCGGAGAGATTCGATTCGATCTACGAGAGAGTATCTGTTCCAAGAGGCCGACGCAGACTTCGCCAAGTCTGCCAATTTGACTCGGTTTCGGAATGTTCCTGATATCTGCCCTCCTGAGATGAGTGTAAGGTGGACTAACACCTGCATCTGGCTCTCGGCTCGGTACAGCCTGAGTCTGAATCGGGCTCTGAAACCTAGACATATTCAGCGCTGATATTCAATCGGAGTATAGACATTTTTAGGGACGTCACGTAGCAGTCGTTTTCACGCCGTTCGGCGTTCGCAGTGATCAACATACAAAGTGAACAAGCTTTTGAACAGAGTGCGAGCCGAGGTATAGTGAGCTCATTTTCTTCTCCCTCTGCTCCTCCCGTATCCTTTGACAAACACAAGCTAGGTCGATGTTGGGTTTACCACATCCTGGACGTCGCTCATACAGACGATCTGCTGACTGCTAGTAGGTCTTCACAAGGTCTGACAGGCTTTGACAGCTATTCTTGACCCGTAGTTCCATTACCCCCACTGATGATGCTGAAGATAAAGCCACCCCTCTTCCTATTCTCGACAAGTCCCATTGACTTTGATAAGTTGGTATCCTCGTGTCCACTATCGTGGAACCATCGTACGAGCCGCCCCTTGCATTCCCATATTGAAAACCCACCAAGCTTTTGAACCAAGAATGCACATTTGCGGATAATGACGCCACTTTCTGGCACCCCCGGCACCAAATTACAGCGACTTTTACGACAGCGCGGGATAGATCCTCACGGTCTCCGCCCCTTACAATGCTGGCGGTATACATTTGCGCTCGAGTATGAACTGAGTGAAGTATGTGCGTAGGTGGTGTTCAGCTGCCACTAATTGTGTAGGTCATGGGGACTTCAAGGATGCTTGCCATGCGGCAAAGCATCTTGGATAACCTAGTCATCTTTTCCTTTTGATGTGACATATGCTCCCTCTGCAGTCCAGCTATGGCCAGCACTTCGTCTAAGCAGCCAGTAAGCAGCCAGTAAACCCAGGGGGTAGTCTCTGAAATGTATATGTATCGGGGGACCCGGCAGGCTCAGCTCTTCAAGCATATCTGCTCGTGTCGCGTCCTAGAGCATCCGTCCAACCCCCGACCTTGCTCAACTTCGTCTTGACGCTCTCTTAGTCTCGTCCGAAAATGATAGCTCTATCCGCCCTCCTTACCGCCCTTTTCCTCTCTGTCACCCCCTCCTCTTCCTCAGCCCTCCCACGCCGCGTCGCCTCCGTCAACCCCGTCGTCAAAGGCACGCCTCAGGTGCTAGGCGTCGTCAACGACCCTACTCTCAACCGTGACTCGTGCGGATCGGCGCTGATCGGCGGGAGAGTCCTTTGGACGTGCCGCGACACACAGACTGTTGATTCCAGTGGTGTGAATGCCCTCCCCATCATTAGCACCACCGCAAGCTGGACCGATCTCAATGCCCAGGGACAGCCGTCGCTCAGTGGGAACACTTACTCCATGTACGGGAGCAACAATTTGCAGTCCACGTTCTACCCTTTGCAGGCAGACGAATGCAACGGCAACACGGCAGGATCCTGCAGCGACAACACGCGCTACGCCATCTGGCCGGACTCCTCACCGCTTGTCACTGACACCGCCGCCGATGGCACCGTCACGGCATACACCTGGATACGCAACGACCACATCAAGGCTGATCTGTCGGACCTGACACCCGACTGCGTCTCGTCGCTCTACAAGGTCGTCTACTCCACCTCCGCAGGACACGACGCACTTCCCACCGTCACCCTCGTCAACGAGAACTTCTGGACCGCCAGCGAGCAGCTGCCGTATGGTGCCTACGGCGGCTTCGTCGCCGACGGCACAGCCTATCTCTACGGCAAAGGGAGTTCGGGGACCGTTGGGCTCGCCAAGGTTCCTGTAGGAAGCATCGAGAATAAGAGCGCGTACCAGTTCTACGTGAACGGCGGGTGGACGTCGATGGCGCCGAGCCTCGGCGCGAGCGGCGTCAACATCCCCAACGTCTCCGCCGGCGGGCAGGGCACGTACTACTACTCCCCGCCCTGGAACAGCTACGTGTGGATTGGCCAGCCGGGCCTCAGCGTCTCCGCCGACTTCTTCATCACCACGAGCCCCAACCCCGAGGGCCCCTGGACACAGCCGACCAAGTTCTACTCGGGCGCTAACGGGAATGCGACGCTCGGCGCGTACACTTTGCAGGCACACACGTCGCTCGGCGGGTTCGAGAACGGTGCGAATGGCGTGTATCTTACGTACACGCACTGCGACCAGGTTGGCGACGTGGTTGTATTTGGGTTGTATATAGCACGCCGTTGATCAAGGTCAACTGGCAGTAGCAGTGCAGCTACATCAGAGGGTTTACTTGTTGTTCCTTGTTTTCAAAAATATCATATTAGCGTACGTCGAGCTGGGGTATTATGGCAAGCTCGTGTTAGATTTCTGTTGTATCCTGATCAAAATGTTTGACTGTAGAATACTCCGTTGCGTCATATGGTAGTACACATGTACGCTTATCGCTTGCCTAAGACTTTTCACATTGTCGGAAGAGAATTTTTATCTGATATCGCATGCTCCAGGAAACAGAGCACTAGACTGATCGCGTGCACGATAATGAGATGTGCTATGTACGCGTGCGTCCCGTTTACAAATGAATTTTCTATATATATATATATATTAAATTTACAAACATCATAAGCACCCGCGGTTGGGTGACTCCGCGCGTATTTTATCTCATGTTCAATACTCTCACAAGAAGACAGCTCAGGCTGTCGAACATCGACCTTCCCCCTATCATGCTAACTTACGCTTCATGCATTATCACGCGTTATGTCTATCTCCCTCCGAAACACACGATATCATAGACGACACCATCTTCGAATCATTTAAGCTTTAAAGACATATCTCCAGCGAGTCGAAGAAGAAGTTACATCTACTTCGCAATGCACATGGCATTCGAGCGCGTTGATTGGCGCTCCTTTGCCAAGACAAGCCTACATCGTCCACTCGGTTTCGCCTCTCACATGGGAAGATCTCTAATGAGGTGGCAGAGGCTCGTACTTCTCTTCAAGGTACTTGACCTCGTCCTCCGTCAGCTGGACATCCAGAGCGCCTACGGATGAGTCAGTGTATAGCTCTGAAGATCATGATAGCGTCCAACAAATGCTTACCTACGATGTCTTTGAGGTTTTCCAGCTTAGTCGAGCCTACGATGGGCGCGGTGACGCCTGGCTTGGACAGTAACCATGCTGTCGCGACCTGTGCCATGCTGATACCGCGTTTCTTGGAAATCTCTTCCACTCTGTTTGCATGCTTGTTAAGAGGTAGATGAATATAAGGAATGAAGGACATACCGGTTGATGATCTCCTCGTATGCGCCTCGGGTAAAGTACCCCAAGACCCTAAGAATATATTAGTCTCGGTGGGAACATGAACATCGTACTTGGAACCCACTTGTCCGTGTCTGCGCGCAGCGAGCTAGCGCCGACAGGCTTAGCCAGTAAGCCTCGCGAGAGAGGCGACCATGGAATAGCGCCGACACCAAACATCTTGAGCGTAGGCATCATCTCCCGCTCGTCTTCGCGGAAGAGGAGGCTGTAGTGGTTCTGCAGGGAGATGAAAGGAGTAAGCTTGTTCGTGATTGCGTAGTCTGGAATTATAACTGTCAGAATCGGTATTCCAGTCACCAGAAATGGGGCGCATACTCTGCATAGCGTGGACTAATAAGGGCTATTCAGTCAACAGATACAGATGTCGACAAAGTGTCGGAAACGTACACTGGTAGGCCTTGCAAGTGCTCATGCCAATGTAGCGGACCCAGCCTGCTTTCACCACGTCGTGGAGAGCATGCATCTATGGGGAGAATCTGGTCAGTTGACGTCACTCGATAGAAACTGGTTTAATATACCGTCTCTTCGATGGGCGTCTCTTCGTCCCAGGCATGGCCTACAACAACTTGACCATAAAAACGCATCACCAAGCACGAAAAAGCAACGTACACTGTAGGACGTCAATATAGTCGAGGCCAAGTCGCTCGAGACTTTGCTTGACAGAGTCGAAGATGTGCTGTAGGCAACGGATAAGCAAACACGAGCGTGTAGCGTTACCGAAAATCAAGTGTACCTTTCTGCTAAGGCCCTTTTGATTGACATAGTCGTGCGTCAGGCTCCAGTCTTTTGAGGTTTCGCCGAATCCTCGAGCCATCGTGTAATATAACTGGAGAATTGGGCATATGCGCTAAGTTCGTAATCGCAACGCGATGAGCGCACCTTGGTCATAACCACAATCTCCTCACGTGGAAGCTTATGCTTCTTAATCGCATTGCCTAGAATGGTCTCAGAAAGTCCATTCGAGTATACCTATGGAGGCGGAGACGACATGTTTAGCCTAACCAGCTTATACCAAGATGCAAATCGTCCAACTCACGTTTGCGGTGTCAAAAGTTTGAATGCCCAGGTCATAGCTGGACATGTGTTCAGTCGCTGATCAGATGCCAGCTAGACGACCGTGACTCACGCTTCCTTGATATGCGCGATGCCTTCCTCCTCACCAAGCACCCAGCCCTGCCACTCCTTCGATCCATACTGCATCGTGCCCAGGATAATGCGGGAAATCTTGAGGCCGGAGTTTCCCAAGCGGACTAGAGTAGGCAAACGCCACGATTTAGGGATGAAGACAGCGAGGAGGACTTGAGCTCACCATAGGGCATCTTCTTCACGGTAGCGGTCATGTTAATAGACGGATGGCTAGAGGTGTCGGTGGGAGTTATGAATGGATAAGAGGGCCGACGTCAATGCTCGCATCTCTTTGTCCTTTATACGTTCCTGTTGAGTTGAGGCTGGCTCCACCTTAACGATGACGATAAAACTTACTCGTAACCAGCTGTCCCTTACTGCCAGCTGAGAAAGTTGGCGAGGGCATTTAGGGTGTGGTGGCTGTTCGAAATGCTGATGGTGGCCGCGGTGATGCTCGATATATTCCCCGTATTCGATCCATAAGGTGAGTAACGATAGATGAATGCCGCAGCCATCGGGCAATCGCGCCCATGTTCAGCGCTGTTCAGGACGTTGAGGGTGGTTGGGGAGCGGCGATGACGAGCGGATCGGAGAATGAACCCGAAGGGCTGACAAACTGTTGCCTTATTTGTGATATCCCCTCGGCCTTGCCTCGGCCAGACTTCTCTATGTCCGGCTTTCACGGACAGCTCATTTTCTGACTGACGAAGAGCGAAGAGGGTCGAGAAAATGCTAGGAAAAAAATCAAATCCAAGACGTAAGTACAGTAGATAAATCATTGCGTCAATACGCTTCAGATATTTTAGTAGCACCCTTTGATGATGTTGAAAGCTCGTTCAAAGTTCTGACTCGGACGCGCACATTGATAGCTTTCATGGCATATATTTCAGCCAAGTACGTACAACACATGCTTATCGAACACACGATTCATTGTAAAGGTAAACTCCCGGAATGTCCACAAAATCAGATGCATGAACCGAACCAAATTGTCACTCTGACTTGAGTGTTTTGACTGCGTACCGCAAAGTTTCCCGGCGAAGACGAGGAATCTCTGCGTGTCGGGTGAAGACAATGTCAATAGGTCGAAGGCTAGATAGGTCAAGCGAAAGGAACTAACACTCTTCGCGCTTGTTGTAGCCGAAACCGTTGCCATGTCCAAAGCCGTTGCCAAACTCGTTCTGTTAAGCGCCAGTTAGTGTGATGATGACGCGTATGAATCGTAAAACTCACAAAGCCCTTGCCGCCATCGAAGCCACCGTCAAAGCCTTTGTTAAACCCGCCGTCGAATCCCTTGTTAAACCCGCCGTCTAAACCTTTGTTGCCGAAACCCTTGTTGCCGAAACCCTTGTCGCCGAAACCCTTGTTGCCGAAACCTTCGCCCTTCCCAAACCCACCATCGAAGCCACCGAAGCCCAGCTCATCACCGCCGCGTTTGTTGATGAAACCTTTGTTGAAGCCCTTTCCAAAGCCTCCATCAAAGCCCTTCCCAAACTCGTCAAAGCCTCCATCGAAGCCGCCGAAGCCAAGCTCATCACCACCTCGCTTGTTGACGAAACCTTTGTTGAAGCCTCCGCCTTTGTCGCCGAAGCCGCCAAAGCCGCCATCGAAGCCCTTGTTGCCGAAGCCTTCAAAGCCTTTGTTGAACCCTCCATCAAACCCGCCGAAGCCGAGCTCGTCGCCGCCACGCTTGTTGAAGCCTTTCTTACCGCCACCGCCACCACCGAAGAAGTCGGTGTTGACTTTGGCGTTCTCTTGCTTGTTCTTGAGCTTCGCCTGGTTCGCCTTCTCGTTGTTCTCAGCGGCCTTGTCTTTAGCGTTGGCCTGGTCGATGACCTTGACGTTCGTGTTCTGCTTGTCCTTGTTGAACTTCTCGTTGTTGTTCTAGCGGTGGTGAACAAAAAGGAGTCAGCGATGCGGGAAAAACAAAAGCGAGTTAGCGTACCAGGTTCTCGGCGAACTTGTTCGCCTTCTTCTTGTCCGCGTTCTCGGCGTTTATGTCGTTCTTTTGAGGGGACTGTCAGCTATATTCGAGCTTGAGGTAGGGGGGGACATACATCGAATCCTCCGAAGCCGCCCTTCCCATCGCCGCCGCGCTTGTTGAAGCCCTTTCCGAAGCCGCCCAACCCTTTCCCGCCGCCGAAGCCACCGAAACCGTTGCCGAACGCGTTGTTGAAGTTGAACGCGTTCTTGTTTTCCTTCTCGAGGTTGTCGTTCTTCAAGTTCTTGTTGTTGTTCTTGAGTGCGTTCTCCTTGTCCTTGTTCTGGTCCAGGGCGATGACCTTGTTCTTGTTGAACGCCTTGTCCTTGACCGCGTTGTTCTTCTTGAACTATATGGACGTCGTTAGCTCATACTTAGCGTACTGGGCCCACCCGAAGGTACTCACGTCAGCGGCGTTCAATTCCTGTACAAACGTGATCAGCTTAGACGCGTGGTTCTAGGTGTGTAATGCTTACTTTGACCTTGTCGTTGAGCTTGGCGTCATTGTTGAAGGCGCCGATTCCGCCTTTTCCGTCTCCGCCACTAATCACCGATGAGAGATGCCTTGGACCGAGTGGAACGATGAATGCTTACCGAGCGACGAGAGCGTCGGAGGGGGGAATGGCCGTGGCGATGACGGAGTTGGAGAGCGCAACAGCGATTGCGATAGCGGAGGCTGAGATGAACTTCATGATGAGGATGGTTTGGCAGGGATTTCGAGTGTCGAGTGTGGCTTTGGAAGTGATAGAGAAGCTTGGTGAGGCTGGTCCGATGTCGAAGTAAAGAGAAACAGTCCCACTTTTATAACCATATCTAGAGGAGACGTTGAGAGAGGAGGAATGTGCGTCCTCGAGGTGAGCGTAGCCTCGAGGCCAGTCTCGAAATCGCCAAGGTCGCTGTTCGTGAAGGTATCGCTCCTCTGTAAACCTCTACTTGCATTTAGAAAGAGTCTTGGGCTTGTAGTTCGAGAGTGCAGAGGCTCGGCGCCGTTATTCATTAGACTGACTCAATTGGGCTTAAAGGAGGCTCTCCGAGGCGGGAAAAAGACATGTGAGCTAAACCCCCCGATGCGGGCTAACCACCGTCTAGCGCCAACCATAGCGATCTTCGTAATCATCCCTTAAGAGGGGAGTAAGCAGAAAAGGGTCATCGGTTGTGAAACGCTCTCAATTATTTTCGCCGACTTGGCAGAGTAGCGGAAAGGAAAGAGGGGCATACCTTGGAGGGCTCATGGCGTAAGAGACGACCCTAGATCGTTCAGCTCTACGCCAAACTTCTCTTAAGCCGTTCATATTGTGTCCTTGTCAGGGTAGGGTATCTTTAAGCGCCAAGAAGCCCATTGAATTGAGAGCTCAGGTGATAGTTTGTGTGCGGTGCTGAAACTCGAATCTAGGAGGGAACATGGTGTCGTCAGCATTTCGTCAGGAGTCGTTTCACCGTTGGATCGAATCTAGTATAGCAGCTGACATTTCCTATGCCTGTGTTATCATAGAAAGGTGTAGTAAGAAAGCGGTGAGTTCAACGATGTTCGCTGCGCGACCTAAGGACGACGCGACTATGGCGGAACGCGGTCAAGCAACTGTTGTTTGTGCCTGTTGCCCACCTTGCCAAACCGGGATGTAGTCGGAAAATGCGGGCCGCCAGGATCCCAGACTCTCCTGCTCACTTCCAACCTTGCTTTCTCGCCGATGACAATCCATCACGAAACGACTACCAATTTATTTGAAAACTACAACCTCTAAGGCTACCTTCAGTCCTTGCTGCGCCCTTACACACGCTGGACTAGGGAGGGTCGGAACGAGCCTCGAGGAAGGCACGATGTAGTAGTTTAGGGCCGGCATGGCCAGCGCAGGCAGTACATAGAGTGTTCGCAGCGTGCTCGTAGCTACTCATCCCAGCTATACGAGGTGTCTCGTCGTCGTCTTCTCCAGGAGTATCCACTCCAACGCCGCTACCGATATGCCCCTTGCGCCCAGAAAGGCGTCGCGACCGTCGGATGTGGCCAATGATAGGTGTTCCCTCCGAACTGACCCGATGGCAAGGATTGTTGGGACTGGTGTATCGCGTTCCGCAGAGAATCGCGCTCGGCTTTCAAGCTCTTTTTCCTCGTCTCCAACCTTTCCACCCTCGCCTCCAAGTCCGCGCATCTCTCCTTCGCCTCGCCGTACGCCCGATTGCGGTTAGCGAGATCGTTGCTGAGCTGCGTGACCTGCCCGCTGAGAGAGGTCCTGTTGTAATCCAACGTGTTGTGGGAACGTCTCCAAATCTCGATGTGCTCTGCGTGATCCTTGGCCTTCGTTTCCATCTCCGCGACGAGGCCGTTGATCCTCTGGTTGTATGCGTCTCGCTCCGAAGTAACCGTATCCTTCTCCTGCGTCAGGACCCTGTTGCGATCTGCGAGAGCTTCGCAATGTTCTTTAGAGCTCTGATACGCGGCTTCGTTCTTCTCTAGGCTGTCCGCAAGCTTCGAGACGTCGACGTTGAGAGTGTCCACCTGAGACGCAAGCGAGTCCCGTTCGTAGTTGAGCGCGGTGTTATGAGACCGCAACGTCGTACACTGTCGCCGAGTCCTTTCGAGCACCTCGGACTTTTCGTTGAGCTGGGCTGTGAGCTGAGTGACAGAGACGTTGGCTGATGCGAGCGCCTTCTTCGTCTCAACAACCTTGACGTTTTCGGCATGTAGAGTATCGCAGCGTTGGCCGAAGGCGTCCCGTTCAAGAGCAAGTTGATTCTCGAGTCGCTTTTTCTCGGCTAGGAGCGTTCCGTTATCCTGACCTAGACGCAGGCACTCGCCCTTGAGCCTGCCCAAGCGCCCTCTGAGCCCAAGATCCGACCTCCGCGCACTAGCGTCGTCCACGAGCTGACCGAGTTCATGATGGAGTGTATGCGCCCCAGTTTCTAGCGGCTCCTGTTTCCGCGTGAAGTCCGCGTTCCGTGCCTCGAGCGCGTCACAGTGTTCTCCAGAGTCACGAATCGCCTGAGACCACTCTCGTACATCCACCTCCAGCGCCTCAACTTTGCCCTGAAGCCCTTCTCTCTCTGTTGTAAGCGCAGCCTTCTCCCGACCCAGTATCGCGTTGGTCTTCTCCAGCAGAGCACAGCGTTCTCTGAGACCCTCTAGTTTCCGCGCCTCCGCGTACAGAATGTTGCTGAATCCGCTTGATAGGCTGATCAGATCTGACTCGCTGTGTACGTCTTCGTCGGACTCGAATGAGGCCCCTTGATGTAGCATTTCTTCTACCTCGTCTCGTACACTGGCCATGGGGGCGGTGGGAGAGGGCTGTCTAGGATAAACGAGCTTGAGAATCGCGGACATGGGTGAGCGAGCGAACAGATAGACACGCGTCGGGCTGAGGGTGACGTTACTGCATTCCAATGAGTTTGCGTGTCACCCTGTCCCGGGAGAGAAGTCTTTTGCCCATTCACATCGTTTTACGTTTACCCTTACAGAGTATATAATTATGCACCACGTAGTAACCCATGCAGCCCAGCACGCAAGCGATCCTCTCGCGTTCCCTGCTCCAAGGACTGCCGAGACATTCGCACCGCCCGCTCTAGCTTCGTACTCTGCTCCTTCAGGCCTCCGATCTCCGTTAGCATGTCGGAGGACCATACTAGGGCGTCTCCAAGCTTTCGGTCGCGATCCGCCAGGTCTTTTTGGAGTTGAGCGACCTCACCAGCGAGCGAGTCTTTATCGGATGCCAATCCATTGTAGGCATCTCTCCATTTATCAACAAGCTTTGCATGGTTATCGTCGTTGGTCTTCATCTTGGTCGAAAGCTTGGCAATTCGTTTGTCGGCTACATCGAGCTCGTGGGCGACGCGGCGGTTCTCTGCCGACAAACCTTTGCTGTGTTCCTTCAAAGCGGCATAACGCCCTTGATAATCCCCAAGCATGTTCTTTGTCTTCTTCAGCTCTGCTGCGAGCTCCGATAAGTTGGTGGCGAGCACAGCATTGCGAGAAGTGAGTGCATCTCTCTCTCGAACAATGTCGTTATTATGAGACTGCAAAGCAGAGGAGCGCTCGCGAGACTGTTCGAGTGCCTGGGAAGTTGCGTTGAGCTGAGCTGAGAGCTGCTCGTTGGCTGATATGAGCGTCTTCTCGGCGACGACAAGCCTGTCGTTTTCAGCCTGCAGCTGGCCACAACGCTGTCCGAAGGCATCACGCTCCAGCGCGAGCTGACTTCCGAGCTTCTCCTTCGCAGCAACGAGAGCTTCGTTGTTTTCGGAAAGATGTTGGACGTCATTAGCGAGCTCGCGTAAGCGACCTCTGAACCCAGCAAGGTTTGACTCTCCTAACTCAGCGCGCTCGGTCGCCTGAGCGACCTCGCCCCTAAGCGTAGCCATCCCAGCCACGAGCAACTCTTGCTTTTGAACGAGGTCCGCGTTCTGAGCACTGAGCGCGTCGCAGTGCTCGCGGCAATCGCAAGATGCCACAGGCTTCTGACTCAGTTGATCTTCCAGCGTCTCCACCCTGCCCTCGAGCTCATCTCTCTTCACCACAAGCTCATCTTTCTCCTGGCACAGGCGTGCATTGACCTGCTCTAATTCGTTGCAGCGCTTCCGAAGTTCTGCTACGTCCGCGTCCTCGGTAGTTAGAAGCTCGCTGAACCCGCTTTCCAGGCTGATGACGTCGTCCGAGTCTTCCTCGTGTTGCACTAAGTCTTGAGTCAAGGCTTCAAGCTCTACTTCAATTGGCGCGTCGTTTGTTGGGGCAGTAGGACAGACATCGTGTATGAAGTAGTGATTTGGGCTGAGAGAGGTGGATGTGGAGGAACGTAGACGATGGAGATGCTTTGTCGACGCGTTTAGTTCGTGGGAACTTCACGTCAGGTTAGCACTGAATTACTTGGAAAACATCTGAACATCTTGACTACCTCTCTTTTGCCTCTCTTCGTCGTCTACTCTCCGAGTTCAGCTGAAAACGATCTATAGTAATTCTGATGACAGATCCTGTAATCGAATTTCTACCGTGCAATCAATGCGAGAGCAGCCGTGGATAGGGGCGAACATGCGTTGCTGCCTGCTGTTGCCAGTGTGGGAGACATCGAAGGGTTGGGTCAGCTTAAGCTTGCTCGACTCTTGTCAAGTTCCTCGTTATACGAAACGAAGTCAAAAAGTATTACATGACAGCATCAATTGCCCGCCCTTGCACTGGGACGCCCGCACATCACAAAACCCAGGGGAGATCAATAATCAAGCGCCCGACGGTGGACAACCGTGGATGGAGGTCAAGTGGCCTGATTAACGAGAGGAACCGTACCCGAACTGGGAAGGCCAGCTGCGAATAAATAGGGCTTCCGAACTTATTTCGCTTGCAGAACAAAGGATGAGACGGAGAGGTGTAACAACGAGGTAGTTTGTGGGCGTCCGCCGGGTGCTATAGTTCCACCCTTTTGTTGCTTTGTCGTAATTAATTAATTAATTGCTCAGGGCGTGGCTAAGAAGCGCCCGTATAGCCACGCTTGTGCTCCTCCATCAGCATCTTGTAGGTCCTTATTTCCCGCAGTGTCCAGGAAACAACAAGCTCGCTTGACAGCCCTACCGACGGCGTCGCTTCCCCTTTGTCTTTTGCATCTCTTATTCACTCTTCAGTGTGCGTTCGCAGCGGCCTTTGCCTGAATGACCACCCAAAAGCAGTTCGCGAAGACCTGAAGGCACCGCTAGTGTGGTTGCTGTGTAGAAAGGTTTCTTATCCGAGCATTCTGACGCCTTGAGAGCCTATCGTGGCCATAGGCGGTGACATCCTGGGCGCTAATAGCGCTAAACGCGTAACTGTGCTGTGAGCACTGTTGTACTTCTTCCCTCCTGCCTCTCTAAGGCATCTCTTGTAGGGTCTCCGCCGCGCCGATGTATATAACGTTCAGCTTTAGCATGCCTCAGATCCCCACATCCCTCTCCCTTTCCGCTCGCGGGCCTATCTTTCGCCTTTACCCTCCATCTTCTCCTCTCTCGTAGCCCCGTCCCATCATGAGCAGGTTCTCATCCCACCACCAATTCGCGTCACCCTCGTCGTCTCCGTCGTCTCCACCTTCCTCTGTATCCTCCTCTCCGTTCACCCCAGCGGGAAACTTTGACGACTACCGCCACACGCCCCCATCCCGGCCCACATCGCAGCCCGCTGCTGCTTACGAAGGCCAACCCCAGCCTCAGGGACGCCACTTCCAATGGGAGTCTGCCGGCCCAGTGGAGCTCGAGGTGTGGGACGGGGGACCTGGAGGCGAGACGTGCATGACCATCCGCGAGCACATTCCGATGCTGAACCCGGACATGTGCGACCATTGCTACTACGCCGACTTCGAGTACTGCATACACGTGGAGCCCCTGACGATGCTGAAGGAGTCGACAATGTTTCTCAACAGGCCGTCATCGGAAGGCGAAGAGGACGAGAGCAGGTTTTCTGTGGCCGACACACCGAGGATAGAGCAGTTCTCCCCATATCCCCCGCCACCACCTCCCATGGTCTTTGTCGACGCACCCCACGTTCCTTCCTCGCAGCAAGTGCCATTGTCTCCTATGCACACAGCCGCTTCTCTTGCCGCGTCCCACTCCGGTAGTCCAGTCGAGGAGATCTTTACCCACCAGACGCAGCCTTGGACACATGTATCGTCGACCGGACTTCCACCGTGCAGTTCACCTCCCCCGACGCCTCGTCTCGCGCCGTGGGAACTTGCTGGTGCCGAGAATTCCCTGCATCTCAACGCGAACCCGGTGCAAGACGCTCCTCAAGGTCCTGCACCCACAGCTTCGCCTCGTCTACCACGCTACCTCGCTCTACGCTCTCCTGCAGCATCACCCAAGCCTGCATCTCCTCGCCAGCTTCCCCGCACGCACTCTCCGTCCCCTTCGCTGAAGTCGTCAGTGTCAACGCTATCGCCTAATGTTGGACCGCTCCCCTCATGCAAGCCTCCAGCTTCACCTCTCCCGACCTCCTATCCGCTTCCTCCTTCGCCTTCGCCTTCACCCAGGCCCGCATCGCTACCCCTCGGCACCAATGCCAAGACCGCCACCCCATCGCCCGCAAAGGAGCCGCCGACGCGCAGCAACACGCAGAGCACGTCGCTCTCTGCCCTTACAATCCTTGCCACACCCGCCGAGTCGCGTAGGCGCTCCCGGGCGAGCTCGGATTCGAACGTGGTGCGTGACGATACCGACCTGCGGCGCATGCTCGGCATCCAGCGCCGGTCGTACGCTCATGCCCACGACGCGCCGGGGGCAGAGGGCGGGGACAGCAACAACAGCGCCGACTCACGGCGGGAACGCGAGCAGGTGAAGATCAACGTCGTTCCGCCCTCCGACGACCCCAGTGGCGGCAGTGCTCAGGGCGATGGCTCGCTGAAGAACTCTGAGATCAGCTCCTCAGACATGCTCAGAGTCGACGTCAACTTCCGCTCCTCGAGCCCGCACATTCGCTCGCGCAAGCATGTCACCCTTGTCTCACCCACGTCGACATCGTCGACTCCGCTTTCGGGGGTGACCGCTCTGCCTAACCCTTTCTCCCCAATGTGCGGTGGCAACCTGGCCATCTCGCCCGCATCGGCTGCGTCGAACACGGTCGTGGGCAGCGACGACGGGTACGAGAGCGCTGGGCTGCGGCGGGCTCGCAAGCACGATAACGGAGGTGATGCACGGAGGAGCACCCCGAAGGCGCCTGTTCGCGAGGACGCCACAGCCCCCTCTCCGTCCCGAGACTCCCCACCCAGTCTGAGGCCGATCCCCAGGCGCTCAAGCCTCTTCGCCACCGACGAAGAACCCCATCGCCCCGACGCGCCCGCGTCGAGCGTCTCAGCATGGCTCGCGAGCCACTCCGACGAGGCATACGAAGAGAGCGAGCTCAGCTTCGGAGGCTCGTCCGCCGCCCCGTCCTCGCCCGCCACGCGCTTTCTGCAGCCCGAGATCGGGTTCGACGAGTGGCTCGCCGCGCATTCGCCCGGTGTCTCGCCGGCGCCGGCGCTTGTGGATCTGGACGCTGCGAGTCCGGCGCCTAGGCGGGCGAAGGTCTCGTCCAGCGAGTGCGAGTGGGAGGAAGAGGGCGCTGGGAGGATTATGCGGAAGCTGGCGATGGAGCGGCAGCGGTGTGAGATCGCGGTGCGTGAGTGTCGGTTGGTGGTTGAGAAAGAGCGTGGGGTGCGTGTGGCTTTGTTTTTGTTTGAGGTTTGTGCTGATGGTCTTTGTTTTATTTTGCTCAGAAACTTGCTGAGTGTGCTGTGCTCGCGAGCGTTATCCGACGCGACGTCTCGCAAGCGTATGCACACCTCGATAAGGCATTATCGACTGCTCTTGAGGCACTCGACTACGATCTTGTGCTCATGGGTCATCACCAGGAGAGGCGTTGGGCAAACGAGTTTGTTGATGTCTTGTGCTCGATGCGAAGGTACGTTAGCTCCTTTTACCTGTTAACTAATTATTGATTCAAATGCTCTTCTAGATCTGTTGCCCGTACTATGGCACACATAGATGAGATACCACGCGCGGATCATATTGTCGCACACACAGCTAAGATCACCGATCTCGCATCGCAGCTCGAGTCGCGGAGCGACAAGGTCAAGGTTGGTGTTCCCTTCCGCTACCTTTTGTTTCGATTCTTTTACTAACGCTTCATTCGTTATAACAGCGCTCTGTCAACAGCGTAAAGCTCTTCCAGCTGAAGACGCAGCTCCGTGAGGAGCAGGACACCTTGCAGCGCACGATGCGGCGCGAGCAAGCGCGGCGCGAGGCGTTCGATGCCGAAACACGCAAAGAGAAGCTGGCGCAGAAGGAGAAGATACGGCGGTACGAGGCGCTTTCGGACGCTACCCATAGGCGTGCGCCCTCAGCGCCGTGAATTTTAATCAGGAGCGGGGAGGATGGAGGTATAGATTCTTTTAGTGTTGGTTTGATGTTGATGTTTAAGGTATCATAACTTCCGCTTTGGTTTATGGGACGTATATTACGAATTCTGACGTAGGTTTACTCGGTCACGATTAGTTCATGTTTGTACGGCTGTGTTACGATACCCTACGATACCCTCGATGACGATGCTGTTTTGCCGAAGATATTCGGTCCGTTCCTGTTCGAGGGCTTCCATCGTCCCGATATCCCAACAAGATGCACCCAACTTACAAGTGGTATCAATCAAGTAGCCGCTAAAAAGTTCATATCGCACACATCGACCGATATCCAGCGCACCCAGAGGCGAGCAGTGATAAAGCACACTTACCGTTATTCGTTTGGTTCTGTTTGGCTAGTGAACTACGCTACGAATCCGGCGTATGAACATTAGTAACTAGTAATTAAGGCAATGATTTGTCTAATTACGCGTGATGACAGCATATCGCCTATAATGCGCAGAGACATGCCCTTAGGCCGGCTGGTCTCTTGAACACCTTGAGCCTCTTCAGTCACAAACCCTCGGACGCTACTTAGTTCCTCTAGTAGCTTGCCTGAATTTTGCACACGTGGTTGACCCTGTATTAGTAATTTGTTAACCATGATGTCCTTCTCCATATTGGAAAAATGTTAATCTCACTCGAGCGTCATGAATCGAACTGTACGATCGAACGCCGAGGTTAGAGCCAAGAGTCGACTCCGAGTCAATACGATGCCACAAGGCAGATAGTTACATCAATTTCACTACTGGCGCCGCCGGGAAATGCCGCGGCCGCTGGTTCCACATCTGATACTGATCGCTTTATTCGCTTCCACACGTCAGCCAAAGTTACATCGCCACTGTTACTTCTTGTGATTTCTTCCATTCCATATGCTGTGCGTAATTGATAGAATCGAAGATCAAGGTCAAAGTTCCTGCACGTGAATTTACCCTAATCTGAATCAATCGCATTTTCTTGGGTGTGACTTCTGTTGGATTCTACGGTAGTATTCGCGGACAGTATCATCTGCCTGAGATAACCTGTCAATTTTCGGTAAGAGGAACCAGGGAATGTCGACTTTGCTGTGAATCTTCTTCCGATTTTCAATGATGGCGTATCAGAGTGGTTTTTTTTGTACAGACGGGCGATAATCATGCTTAGCTGTCCGTGGGTTTCTGATACCATGTATGTCAGCTCCGGCCTCCAGGGCATCCTAAAGTTACCGGACCTCAGGGTAGTGATCGTTGTATGAATTAGCGAAGTCCGTAAGACCGCGGTTCGCTTGGGTAAAATCAAACGCAGTTCCAATTGTCTGGAATCATATTAGCGGAACGGGGCCTTTGAAGCATTCGCTGGAGTCGCTAGAAGGATGTGTTAGTGGGACGAGAAATCGGATCAAGGCAATTTGGTACGCGACTCGGACGATGAGAGATAGGAATGTAGGTGGACAAGTTTAAGAGAGTAAATTCCAGTTTGATGTTAGCTTTGATGTGCTGTCCATGTAATGGTAGATATCACGCGACGGTACTAGTCATTCATGTCAAAAGCTGACTGTGATTTCCATCGTCGATAACGTTCGATGATACTTCAATCGGTTCCTCAGAATCTGCAAATTGGCTTCGAATGATGCTCGCCTGAGACTGACAGCAACAAATAAGTCTTTAATCTTTGTAAAGGATGTTAATCAACATATCTAATTCCATCAATCTATAGCTTCTCTGCCCTTATTCACTCTGGCATCCCACTTTGAGACGTTTCAAAAGAGCCAATCCGAGTCTTCAGCCCAACCCTCCACCTGATTACCCGAGAATGCTGATTAATGAGAGTGTAGTCAGTAGGAACTGATATCAAGCACAAAGCTCAGGCTCACGATAGCTATCAGTTCTGCCTTGTATGACTGCGGCTTGCGAAACGGTGACCGAGAGTACCAATGCCAAGGATACATATGCCTGAAGACGCTCCTTGACGTTGAAGAACATGATGAATGTGACTGGTGCAGCACAATGCGTTTGATGTTTGGTAGGCGTTAATGTTCTCGTCGAACGATCAAGTGCATGCAGTCTTTATAGGGCACAGGAAACCGTTAAAGGGGCCCGAAAAACTGATTCACACTACTAGGGTGGAGTGCCACGATGAAGTTGTGTCATGAGTACATAATGTATACCGGAAACCAGATTCGAAGGCTGATATGTATAGCCATGAACATGTCCTTCGATTAGCTGATCCCTTGGGGGTTGTTGTGAAGCCTGTTGGCTATTCAAATATTCAAGCTTCGAGGTCAGGTGGTCTCACGGTATCTCTGCAAGGGCGACTGTCTTGCCAAAGTTACCAGTTTCTACTCGACACATCAGAAAGGGACCTGTGAATCGAAGGGTATGCACTGCAACCTAAAAGTAAACTCTGATGGTCCATCCAGAGAGAACTGCCATCCAAAAGGAATCGAGGGGAGAGGCATAGTTGCATGTTGATACTCCTCGGTACGCGTGAGACCCGGGAGCTCAAGCGCTCAAGGTCAAGCTTGAGGATATGCCTCCGGATGTGAACAGTGGCAGTGGAAAATGATGGTATGATCTGCACTAGTTCGGAGAATCTTTCTCAAGAAGCGGCTGAATTAGAGCGCATCAAGTCGTTCGGCATTGCCATGTTAGCCGTGGGATAAGAATGATGTCTTTCACAACTTGTTGCAGTGCATGTATAGGTTGTTTCGTCGGGTGGAGAAGATGCTACGTGTATATGAGGTTTCGGACACTGCCGACTCGAGTCAGCATTTTCCCAATTTCATCTCGAACCACGGACAGGTTTCAGCGAGGAAACCAATTTGCATGCTCCCGTCAGGTTTTCACTGAGTCAAGTTCATCAAGTGGTTCCTTTATTGTAAGCTACTGATTATATTCGCCTACGTTGCGTGACCGTACCGTGGTTTAGATATGTAAGAAACTACTGAGAACGTTGTAAAACTTTTCTTCTTCTTCGAGCCACGGAAAGTGAGCTGACTCCGCAAACTGTACCCATTTCACTTTCTGGATGTGCCTGAAGTACGGCTCAACTGCGACATCCTGGACCTTATCGTACCAACCGTTGGTGATCAAGGTAGGAACCGAGATATTGTGCAGTTCGTCAACGACGTTGTGGTTCTCCAATACCCCTGTCACCTCATAGTCGGACGGTCCAAGCCTACGAGCGGACGCATTAGAAAGAATTCATACGCGAAACAGAAACGTACATGACATGAGCCACAGTGGGATCCTCTCTCACGCTTTTCATCGTCTTCGCAATCACCTCGGGCGTTTCATCTAATCTGCATAGGAACTTCTTGACAAAAGCCATGTGCCCCTCCTTGTAATCAGGGCTATCAGAGCGCTTGTGTTTATGTCGTCCGATAACGTCTCGAGCCGTTGCTGGAAGGGTAGCGACGAGTCGATCTAGGCTACTGTTGAAGAGGCCTATGTGCGCAGGCGATGAGATCAAAACCAGGCTCTTCAGACCCGCTGGCTTCCTCACAGCGAATGATGTTGCCAGGATCCCGCCCCACGAGTGGCCGATGATGTTGTAACCATCCTGTATACCAAGGTGGTTTATCAAAGTATTGAGTTCATCCATAAATAAATGAATGGTCCAGAAACTCTCATCCTCCTTGGTATTTCTGTCAGGCAAGTGGGTGGAGTTACCGCAGCCCAGCTGGTCGTAGATGACCGCCGAAGACGATAAACGAGTGGCGAGTGTTTGCGCAATGGGCTCAACATAGTAGTGAGGATAGCCGGGTCCACCGTGCAAGATGATGGTGGGAGTGCGGGAGTGGTCGGCAAGATCGCCATAAATTTTGTACCATGTCTGACAGCGCTTCCCCACAGATGGGACGTCGAAATCCATGGTTCCCTCGGTAATACGGACTGTGGCCATGCTTTCTGTGTTTCAGCCTACGTGTCAAGGTAAGCACAATACTGGTCTTGAGCAAAAAATGGTAGTGAGGTTGAACATTACCTTACGATAAGGAAATTGCCTGAAAGAAACTGTTGTAAGGACTTCACGTACAAACAACGTACATGTTGATGCTTATATCACGACTATTTCTCACGCGCCATTCCTAGCTTAACATCAACAAACCGAACCCAAGCTCCAGTTCGAGAAATGCCCAAGCTGCGATCATATAGTATCAAAGCTGATAATTGTTAATGACGACAATCTGTCATTGCGGCAAACGATCTTGTTAGGGACCCACGCACAGTTTTGTGACGTGAGATGTTGAATGAAACCGTCATGCGTCCACACCCGTTTGAGGAACATCTACATTTGTATCAGATAGCGATACCATGGGCTACATGCTCAGCGCTCAGCGAGAATATCAGAGTTCATAGAAGGACAGCCCTTCGGACCTTATTTCCCGTGAGTAAGGGTTCTGGATCATTTGATGGAACTGCCCTGGATCAGCGCGATTCAGCGCTCGCACTCAGCGCTGAGCGCTGAAGCCATAAGATTCTCACTGGTCCTTGATGCGCCCACAGAGAATAGCACCATGATGCGCCCGCAGAGAATAGTACCATGACCTTGTGGTAAAGAGGAGTTTCATGCCGAGGTTCGCCTTTCCACGTTCGAATTCGTATCCAACACTCCCTGTGAACATCACGAGTTTCACAGCAACATCGAAGCAGTTTGTTTCCACTTCTAGAGCTGCTATGATTATATAGTCTCACGGCCTTCATTTATGACGTACCACAGCAATTGAGCGTGGTGGCGCTTTGATAGACCCATACGACAACTGTTGTTTTTGAACTCTGAAGGGTCCGAGCGGGCGAATACTGAGCTGAAATGCAGACAGGAATATGGTTTCGGCTTTCAAACTAGCAGCCTTCCTTCGAAGGGATTCTCCGCACACACCCGCTCGCAATGCACGCGTTTAGTAAGTGTGTGAGAAGGCTGCAATCGTAATCAAATGGTGTAATTGCGCTAGTTCTGAAATAAGAGTTTGAAAATACGTATACTGAAAGTGTAAGAGCGTTTTGAAACATGGGCTCTGTCGCCACGCATGAGAGCGTATTTATTTCGTTGATCCATTGGAATCGGCTTCCATTGAGTATGTCCGAGTTCTAGTTTTTCCGTGGGCTGTTATGCTAATGCATCGTATGCGTAATTAATACATGAGATAAAGCGTCGTCCGCTGTGGTAGGCGCGAGTGGCAATGCACCTGTTTGTGAAGCTAAGTACTGCCGTAAGCTCACGCTCCGTCACCGGGACGGTAATGAAATTATATCGATCACTCCCAAGCAGAATGCATAGCACACAATTGTCGGCGTGTGATGTGCGATAGTGGGAACAAGTGTATCAGCGCTTTTCACGATCTAATGCCGCATTTCATAATCTCTTCTGCTTCTCTTCTCTCGCGACATTTTTTGTACTCGCTCTGCTCTCCGTCACCAACCGAGTTTTTCTTTATTTACTTCTCCGCCTCTCCGCGTCATCCAAGCTGTAGACGAGAAGGCGCTACACTATAATCCTACACATCACAGCGTTTCTAAATAGACACGGCGTCCGTCAACCTCTGTAACAGACGAGCGTATTGTATCCGCTGGCATATGGGGGTAAAACTCCAAACCCTTTGGTGCTCCGCGCTCTGTCAGATGGATGGAATTGTAATACGTCTCCGACGAGAACGCTGTCCCTAACTGCACGCGGTACACAATCATCAGAGGCGATATAATCTAGTAAATCAACATTCAGTTAATGTCAGGCAAATGGAGGAGACGTGAGCAGCTACTAACCACGATCTGGCCCAAAAGAGGCATCAACACGCCGTCCAGAACGTTATTTAGACCAAGGGCTACAACCAGAAAGACATCCGTAACAGTAAACAGTGCCGCGCTTTCGATTAGCATGGCACTGATAGATACGTAATTATTGAGAGAGGCTGCAGCCTTCATTCCTTTGAGCGTACTGCGGTAGTACAAGAGTCTTCCGGAGATCGCAAGGGTCGTGCACGCGTTGAAGAATGCTGACAGGGTGAATGTAACCATCGTGAGGTGGGCTGAATCGCCGAAGTATGGGTTGTTGGCGGGCTGAACTATGTTGACTATCAAAAGACACCCGACGACTTGTGCCTAGTTGAGCGCGACACCTTCTAGAAGTAATAGTCGGGGAAGAAAACTCACTGACTGTTGCCAGAAACGTCAAGGCGGGGACGATCATCATCAGCTTGTTATGGTTCCATATGATGGAAAACCTGTATAGCTGCTACGGCCTAAGCTTTATAAACGTCGACGGTAAATGCAGCAACGCACCAAAAGTGCGTCGGAAAACCACATGGCAATGATATAGACTACATTCCCTGCCAGAGCTATTCTTTCCTTCCCCAAATTCTCATTGCTGAATGCGTAGGGGCCTCCAGGATAGTTAGCCTCTTCAACGAAGAGGATCTCGCACCATCGCCAGTTCAGTGCCGTTCCAGCAGTACTAAGTGAAAACATTATAACGATATAGCAGAGGTTGAACCAGTTCATGCGGCGTTTAGAAGGCCGTGAAAGAATCATGTGAGTGGTCTGTACGAACAAGACCACAATAGCACCTTGGCGGGGAGAGTCAATACTTCGCCATCGAGAGCTGATCTTCTCCGACTGCTCACCGTATCCGATGCAATTGACAAGAAATCCCGCAAGAAGGGCACGCTCGTCAAAGTTGGCGCTAGCCATGAGGAGTCGTTCAACGAAATGGAAAAGTCGAAACGGAAGAGACAGGAGTGCCCGTAACTTATAGTAGTGAGTTGGATTACTTGATGTACTGCTTGCTTGATAAATTCATCGGTTGTTATCACAAATCAGAGCATGAGACCGCGTGATCGTCTAAATCTGGGGAAAACACTGACCATCAGCTAAGCTCCGTGTTCTCACATGGCTGTCAGATCATTTATTCTTAGAGTTTGATGAATGTGGCGAAGTCAAGACGCGAATTTATCCATGAAAATCGACATTTCTTCTCCGAGCTGAACGGTGGAGTAGGGAGGGTCGGACCGAGCCTTGAGGCCTGAGAAAGGCGTGACGATGCAGTAGTTTAGAGCCGGCATGGCCAGTGTAGGCAGTACGTAGCGTTTTTGCGCGTGTTCGCAGCTACTCATCCCTGCTATACGAGTAATCCCGTCGTCGTCGTCTCCAGGACTGACCGTCCCAACGACAGTTAAACTGAAGGCCAAGCGCGTCTGGGAAGGTAACAGAGAGGAAGTGCATGACCGGGCGTTACATTTGATAGCCGCTTCTAGGTTGTTTCAAAATAACTGGTGACAAAGCGCCGCTGGTGGCCTCCGTATATCCTCTCGAGAGCAACTTGTGATTATAACAGGTTGGGCTTTCGTTGGCCTGTCGGCCTCCGACGCCAAAGCGCAGCTTGATTTGAGACAGTACTTCCCAGGATATATAAATAGGTAATCCTGTGAACATATCAATATGACATCTTGCGTAGTAGCTAAGTAGTCGAACACCCAATCGTCCGATTTGTGAGATTCAAATACACCTTTCACTTGTGAGGGACTCAGAGGCACAACTTCTTGGGATTCACTCTAAGGCATTCAGAGATCTTCGAGGAGGCGGCTTGGGCTTTGTTCTACGTAGTAGAGCAACGTGTCTTCGTCGCTTATAAGACTGAGCCCTTAGTTGAACTTTCGTGCATGTTGCATATTGCCAAACATGATTCCTATTGGTGACGCACGTCACGCATTATCTTGACTTATAAAGAACTTCCACAATGAGGTAGCAGGCTCCCCGCACATACAACTTACTTGAACATTAAAATACTAAGTACTCGGGCAGGAAGTTCTGTCATAAAATTTTGTGATAATTCGTGGTAGTATTAGTAGTATCATATGCTACTTTAAGCGATGGTACAAGCCCGATCGTATCCGCTGCACTTTCCTTCAATACTGTCCACCCGAGCCTCATCCACGAAAAGCCAGTCTGCTAGTGATGGATCAGGCCCGTCCTCAACACGTCCGAGAGGGGAGTTTAATAGCACCCTGCGTCCCAGTTCGCGCACCTCCGCATCAAACACTACCCGCACTTCAGGCCGAAACACCAAGCACGTCGTCGACCCTCCAAAGTGAAACATGCCCAGCTCCTGGCCTTTGCGCACCTCGTCCCCCTCCTTCACCGTCACCTCGCACGTCGACACCTCCGCCATCCCAACCGCCATGAAACACATCAGCCCAACTGGTTCTCGCGCCTGGATGAACACCAGCGCCCGGGTCGCGACTGCTGTGAGGAACGCCTGCTCTTCCGACGCCGTGGACGCCGGCCCACCGGCGCGCTCATAGCCGAAAGCAGGGTTCTCAGCGTAGTATGTCCCCGGGACGTGCAGCACGCGTACAATCCGCCCGTTGACGGGACTGTGGTACCGATGGTAGTCCAGCGTGTCAACATAGGCTTGGTACACCGTCCCGCCGACGAACTGCTCCGCGAGGTCGGGTATTTGGTCGGCGGCGAGCATATGGTATAGCGAGTATCGGCGTTGTTTGAGCCAGAATTGGTCGAGGGCTTTGACGCTATACGAGATGTTGTATGTAGTCGATTCACTCGGACTGACAATTTGCGCGTCATCGTCCCCTCGTGTTAATGGGCGCACACCGTCGCGAAAGCGCCGAGTGAAGAAGTCGTCGAAGGACGTGAAGCCAGAATGCGGGGCGTCCGGGTCGCACATAAAGGTGTCGATGAAGTCGGGTGTGCGCTGCATCGCTGCGGGGCCGAACCACCCGTTAGGGGCTGTCGTGAGGTGCTCTCGGGAGTCAGGGGACTGGAGGAGCTCTGCCCAGACATCGAACATCGCTTTAAATTGATTGTTCACTTTGACGTTTGTGAATGCAGCCGAGCCGGCAGCTGTGCCCATGGGCCAACAGAGAACAGCGTTGATGGGGAAACCGACCCAGTGGTGGTCTTCCCACTCGCATGTCGTTTGTATGATGTGATTGAAGAGGCTGAGCAGCGTCATGTAGTCCTTGACCTGTGACCAGAGTGTAGGTAAGTATTCCCTTAATATACTGGTGCTGTGTCGTACCTGAGGCTTGCCTGACGGATCATTGCAGTACGGAGGTTTCTCCGGGATCTGCTCGAACATCATGTGGAAGAGCATGTACAGCTCCGGGTCGCCCTCTATCACTCCCCGAAAGTCTTTGATGGCGGGATGCCAGTCGTCAGGGTGGATAACATCGCTAGCTCTGATCTTCTTGCTCAACCAAGAACTGAGGACCTTTTGGTTTGGCGCAGGCATCCCTCGCGCCGTGGAGACCATATCGTGACTGCTAATGCCTGGATGGGACATGTAAAGGGAGCTAGTGAGTTCAAGAGGGCTTAACGGTTAGCCTCGGGGCTGACAAAAGGGAGGTTAAGGTCGAGAGCACAGACACGGCTTGCCATCGTTCACCATGTTGAATGAACGTCATCCAATCACCGCTGTTCGCTTCCGCGTTGAGACCAGCCCGCTGCGGTCCATTGAACGGGGAAAGGTGGGCCCTCGCTCCAAGGGCGCGATGGAACGATGCCGTATACTGGATAGCAGCGAGCTTGTGAAGTCGAGTACTTTCAAGCTGTCGCGTCAAGGCATCGAAGTCAACATCGAAAGTAAGAACCAAGTGTCGGCTTGTCATGGCAGCGCTTAAGCGTGGGAAAGTCGCTACCGCGCGGTCCGCGCCCAAGATACGGCCCACCTACACCATACCAGAAGACTGAAGTACTGAAGTACTGAAGTCTGGCGTGCGCGAAGCTTGCATTGAAGGTTTTTGCCTCGACGATTCGCATGAAAGCTATGCGTACCTCAATGATTATTGGTCTGATTCTCGCACCAGAGTCACGGTGTCCCAGTGGGATCACGTCTGCAAGTCGCCATCCCTCGAGTTCTGGACTCGTGTGCTCATCGACGCACGCAAGCAACAATTTCATTAACATATTGTACCCCGAGCCACGCACCTGTTGTTCAAAAGCTTCCCTCGCCCCAGGCTAAAACACCAAACACATCGTTGACCCTCCCAAATGAAACATGCCCAACTCCTCCAGTGCCCCTTTCCCTTGGGCACATTGTGCCCCTCCTTGACCGACACCTCACACATCTTTCCGCCATTCCCACAGCCATAAGATTCATACTCCTAATAGACGTAGGGAGACAATGTCCAACGCATGGATGTCGATGGAAGGGGACCGAGAAATAAGCGCCCAGAAGGTGGCGATGCACAGATTGTGGGAAGCGGCCACCGGCCCGCAGGTAAATGCCGGCCCGAATCGTCCTCGTTTACGCCACGACGGGTGGCACCGGGATCCCGGTGGACCTACAATCATCCATCCTCCGTCTGAGTCTCGGCCATCCTTTTGATTCGAGGGGGAGAATCTGGGCTATGGGAGGACCCGTGAATATAGGCACCGAGGCCTGGTGGACCTCGGCGACAACCCGGTGCGTACATAGGGGCTAATTACCGATCACGTGATGCTCGCTGGTGCGTACATACCACCAGGCCTTTTGCAGATAGGGGCTGAGTCGGTGCGTACATGCTACCAGGCATACAAAGAGGTAGAGGAATATCAGGTATGTAAGTAAGTTGAAAATACTGTATTGCATTTAAGTCAGTGTATATATAAACCTTCCAACATATACCAAGAACTTGCGTAGATTCTGAGCAATACACTAAGCATCTGTTGGAGATCTTGGCAAGTTACTACCTCAAGCCTGATGTTTTACACCCCCCGGACGTTCAGTTTGGTCAATCTCGGTATTGAAGGGCTAGGTAAGGAAAGTGCGATAGTCGTCATTTCAATATAACATACAATATAAGTTTGGTAAGTTACTCGGAGAAGCCTATCAGCAACTTGCTGCCGCTTACATGCATCGAATGCTTTGCCTGCCGGTTCGTACGCTTCTTTCCAGCGTAAGTTGATGTACAAGCCCAAACCCAACCTCGTATAGCCTTCTCGTCTACGTGATGAGAATGTAGGGACCTCTTCATCCTGCGGGCAACTTGCGCGTGTGTTTGGTTTGCACCCGAAAGTGTTTTTGGCTCATTTGTGTCATGTACTCTGGCTAAGATCGTGGCCCGAGTGCATTCCTTGGCCTAGCGGGGCTCGTACCGCCATCAGTTGTCGTTCATGGCGGAATCAGGTAACTTTCGGACTTTTAGGTGTCGTACGTAGGCCGGTGCGTACTTATAGTGCCAGGCTAGTAGGTCTCAGTGGTGATGGTCCTTAAGCGAGTGCGTACATCCAACCAGGCCTCTTTCCCCTTTTGGAAGGTGGGTGCGTACATTTTACTAGGCCTCTCGTCCAAAAAAGGAAGGTGCGGTGCGTACATAGCACCAGGCATTACCACTGATATTCACGGGTCCTGCTATGGGGGTCTGGCATGATTGAAGCGATAGCCTCGGTGATAACAGGACGAAGTTGAGCATAACCAGCTTGGTTTTGCGAGGATGTTGCCCGTGAAGGCAGATCAGGCTAATCGAGGACTCACAGTGGACGCACACGCCGCTCACACATGGTGGATCAGTCGACTTTCATTCCGGAGAAACGCGGTTATACGTTTGTATCTCCGCAGGGCATGGCAGGAGTCTAAGTCCAGCACTATCTTAACTCTATCAAACCCTCACGCGCTTCGCGAGAATTCCCGTACCCAGTCAGCAGACGTAGCTCCTTACACGGGGGCGCCGACTTAGGTATGCGAGCTAAAAGCCAACTCTGTTCGAGAAAAAACTTCTGCTATCCGGAGCTGGACCTGCTCACGTAGACCATATGTATGGTTAGTACCCTCATCCGTTGTCTGGGTTTTGGTTTGGGGGACATGCGTGCTGATTCGCGCGCTCACATCTCAGCATTAAAATTAGAAGCGTGAAGTCGCAGTGGCATCCGCTGTACGTTATTGCGCGCGACTCCTTTGGTTTAGGCGGTATTGCACCGATTCTGCGAGACCCAACGTTCAGATGAGTGGAGCGGCTCACTGCAATTCCATCACGACGGCGCCCATTGAAGACGCCTTCAGGATGCCCGCTGCTTCAGAGAGGCAGCTCGGCACCGTTTTTGTTGGGCTGTCTCGACTTCTGGTGTCTCGATTCACAATATTTGAAGGAAAACGGTCTCACTGCGCCTTGAGAATGTTTGAGAAAACTTCCTAGAGATAGTGAATGTTTGTCCGAGACTTCCGCCCCGTGGAGATCGGTGTCGGCGATGCATGTACGTGGAGTGGCATGCAGGGTGTTTGCATTTCACAAGCTGTACGGCCCGATGACCTCATGACTGCGGCAGAGGGCGAAGGACGGTGAGAGCCCGTCAAGCAAAGCGCCACTGTTCTTCCCATGCAGCGCATGCAGCTGAGTGCAGCGTTTGACGAGCATTGTCAGCAGGACGCCTCTGACGACCAAGTGGAGAAACATAAACGGGGTTACGCTGATCTCTGTCGGTGGTGGAATCGCCCGACCGTCGACCGACGGTAGCGCGGACAGTGCTCGGCTGCTCGGCTTAGACGGGATCCTCCGTGTCGCCGACGCGGGAAACAATTTATCCACCGGCAGCTGGAACATTTGAAGAAATGGAACGTCAGGCAAAGCCTAGCCACTTGGATGAGATACGGCCTGGAAGCTCCTTGCTTGTTCGTCTATCAGTCTGAAACAATGGATGATACAAGTGAGGCAAGGAGAAAGGTAGCGAGAACGTCTAATGGCCCCTCTGTGAAGACAAAAGGGGAGCGTGAGAAAAAGCGGGAGCCGGCGGTCGGATGACGGTGCGGAAGCTTCTAGGTTGGCTCCAAGTTTCTCCTCGTGAAACGGCATCGCATCACGCTACGCCCCACAGCGAACATGGTTTGCTTCTTCCATCGACCGGGTCTGCCGGATGGAAAGGCCCTGCCCCATTGCGGGGGCACCTGGGGAACTCCACCATCGCTGACATAACGCTCCGAGGAGGAACGGTATAACAAGCCCCTCGCCCATCCCGAGTACGTCATCTACTCGATCTCCCCCTCGCCTTTAACTCCCCTTTCCGCCAGGTGCTTTTTAATCCCTCTCCCTCGCTTGGCTTTCCTACTAACCTCTTCCTTCTCCCCTTGGCACTCAAGCACTTTTTCCATTCTTCACCTTCCGCCACAAGCGCGACTTGACGCGTCGCCAACAACTGCTACCGACTACCTACCCACAATTTTTGCTGGCTGGCCAACGTTATCACATCCTCCCATCCAGCCTGAGTATACCTCGGCCACCATGAACAACCTCAAGGAGAAGAATGGCTCCGTCACCATGATCGAGCATCGCGAGTCGATCTCGTCAACCACCTCGCCCAAACGAGAAGCCCTCCGCGAAGCTGGCGAGGACGAGAAGGTCCACGCCATTGAGAGGGCCCGCAGAGAGGGCAAGGTTGTCCTCACCGAAGACGATTGCTACGATGCGTTGGGCTACAACTTTGGGTGGTGGAAGAAGTGGACTATTCTCACTGTCATCTTCATCGTCCAAGTGTCGATGGTGCGTTTTTCTTATTTTCAAACATCACTATCACCTTCTCACTGCTGGTCCATTATAGAACTTCAACTCCTCTCTATACTCGAACAACCTCGATAACATCCAGGAGAAGTTCGGTGTTAGCGCGCAGGCCGCACGGTGCGGTGCTATGATTTTCCTCGTCTTCTACGCCTTCGGGTGTGAGCTCTGGGCCCCGTGGAGTGAAGAGCTTGGAAGGAAGCCTATCTTGCAGCTCTCGCTATTCCTCGTCAATCTCTGGCAGATACCCGCTGCTTTGTCGCCGACGTTCGGTGGCTTGCTGGTAGCCCGTGCCCTCGGCGGTCTCAGTTCCGCTGGCGGTTCTGTTACCCTCGGTATGGTTGCTGATATGTTTGAGGTGAGCACTACCTGGACACACCCGAGAGTATCCAGCGCTAACGCCGCATTCAGCCAAACGATCAGCAATACGCCGTCGCATACATCGTTCTTTCCTCCGTCGGCGGCTCCATCTTTGGACCTATCATCGGCGCATTCACAGAGGCATACCTGGGATACAAGTGGAACTTCTGGGTGCAGCTTATTTTCGGTCTCTTCACGCAGGTTTGCCACCTGCTCCTTGTTCCAGAGACACGCTCGTCGATTCTCGTCGACCGTGAGGCGAAGCGCCGTCGCAAGAACGGCGAGCCGAACGTGTACGGCCCGAATGAAGTTACACCTGTCAGAGAGCGCTTCTCCGCCAAAGAGATCGGCATCATCTGGATCCGTCCGTTCCACATGTTCCTCACCGAGCCGATCGTCCTCTTCCTCTCGCTCCTCAGCGGGTTCTCGGACGCTCTCATCTTCATGTTCCTCCAGTCGTTCGCCCTGGTGTACAAGAACATCTATGGGTTTGGGACGATCGCTACCAACATGGCATTCGCGCCGATCTTGATCGGGTACTTTATTGCTTGGTTCTCGTTCATGCCGTTCTTCAACAGAAATAAGCGCGATCGTGAGCTGCATCCGCACAACGAGCGTATTCAGTACGAGTCGCGGTTGTGGTGGCTCCTCTTCACCGCGCCGTGCCTCTGGATCGGCCTGTTCGGGTTCGCGTGGACGACGCTTCCGAACGTACACTGGATCGCGAGCATGATCTTCGCCGCTGTCATCGGTATCGCTAACTACTCCATCTACGTACGTCTCCCCTCTGCTCCCATACACTTCTCGATGCTGACTCTGCCGATTCAGATGGCCACGATCGATTACATGATCTGCGCGTACGGCGCCTACTCCGCCTCCGCCACGGGCGGCAACGGCTTCTCGCGCGACTTCCTCGCCGGTGTACTCACGATCCCCGCGACGCCGTTCTTCACGAACATCGGGCCGGATCACCACGTCAACTACGCGTGCACGATCCTGGGCTGCATCGCGTTCCTTATCACGATCCCCGTGTACATCTTCTACTTCAAGGGCGAGTGGTTCCGCAAGCGCTCGCCGTTCGCGTGCTCGCTCGCGGACGCGGCGAAGGAGAATGAGCTACGCCGGACGGAGAGCATTGTGCGCGTGTCGACACGCCACTCAGAGGTGCGGGGTACAAGCCTCAGGAGCCCGTCGAGGGCGCGGTCGAGAAAGGAGAGTGTGGAGCATGTGGAGAATGCTTAATATCCCCCCGCTGTTGTGATTGTTTTCTTTCCTTGTTTTCTCCGTGCTTGAGTGGCTACCTTCTTTCACGACCACGAGATGATTTTGCAAGAGCGATCGTTAATTGTAGCAGTAACCACTTGTTTCTCAGTCCGGGATGGATTCGCATCATTGACATATCCTAGTAAATTATTACATTTGTTGTAATCTGATACATTATGCTTATAGCATTTATGACCATTGAATCCGTTTGAATCAGAGTAACAAGTGATTGAACTTCCGGCCGCGACAAAAATGTGCCTCCGAGACAATAGGGGTAATTTCCTAAACAGGATTTTAAACGGAACCTGCTCTTGTGTCAGCTCTCCCTCTGATAACCCTCGACACGCATCCAGCAACAATCATCGTCACAACGTCCCTGAGGTTTGGTCTATCTTTGCTTAGGATCCTTAGCGCTCTTGTACTGGTATGCAAACACACCGCCTTTGCCTTCCTCTTCGCCGCGACGGGCGGTACTAGCGCCCTGGCAAACGATGACTTCGCCTGAGTCGCAGGGTCCGTTAGTGCATGTACCTTTCAAGTCCAAGCTGTGCGATGTATGGAATAAGCGCATATAGGTTTGCTTGGTCAATTGTATAGTCTCGTGATTTCTGCTTGGTCCTGGGGCATGCTTATAAAAATGACATTGTTGGCGCCGCTCTTGAAGTTGTTGTCTCTGTCACTTGCGTCACTGAGAAGGTTTCGTGTGAGTTGTGTACTAATTCTCTATAACTTTATTAGCGCTGAATTTCTATGTAGGTATGTCTCCCGTCTAGTTATGCCTCCAAGATTTTCCAGAGACGGCATCGTACCTCGTGATGTTCATCGATGCCGATCAGCACCTCTTCTCGCCCTCCCTCATGAGCTCCTGCGACTTATCATTGTGTACGTGTGTTGCAAAGGTGAGGTGCACAACCTTGGTAGCGTCGTTCGCATCTGCAGGCATCTGCGCGACATAGCACTCGACCTCTCGGAGCTCTGGACAACGATCTCGCTCACGTACAACAACCGCACCACCTGGATGGGGGCTCGAAACTTCATCATACGCTCTCAGCCTCTGAAGCTCGAGCTGATCATCGACGCCACACACGCTCCCCCTCCGCACCACAGAACGCTCAGCTTCGTAGTCTTCATGGAGGCTCTTAAGCGCCTCCTCCGCGACGAGGCGCACCGCGTGCGCAGCATCGACATGGTCTTCGGCGACACGCTCTGGGCGGACCTCTTCGGGCCCGGACCCGAGCCCCTTCTCGGAGAACCCATGCCCGCGCTCGAGGCGCTCACGCTCGCGCTCCGCCCCTGCAGCGCGTTCGACTCCGACTGTGTGATACCGAACACGTTCCTCGCGGGGCGCGCGCCGGCGCTGCGCCGGCTCGCGCTCAATCTGAATCTCTCGCTGGTGTGGGCGACGACGCCGATTGTGGGCGGGCAGCTGAGGCAGCTGAGGCTCGGGAATCTTGTTAGTGATCCGGCGGATAACGCGTGTCCTGCTGCGTTGGACGTGCTGTTGGCGCTTGGGAGGACGCCGGATCTGGAGGAGCTGTATATCAGCGATGTCTTGCCGCGCGAAGGGGATGAGCTTCTTCCGTTCTATGATCACGATACCACGGCGGACGACGTGCCCGGGATTACTCTGGTTAGACTCGAGAAGCTCAGGTCTCTGGTTCTTGAGGGTCATTTTCTGGACTATGCGTGCTTGGTGCGGTACATCGGACTCGGCTGCTCTGCTAGGACGCAGATCAGGATATGGACGTGGGCGCCAGAGGCGGAGCACCCGGCGGACTGCGCCCTACTGCCGCTGTCGATCTGGGAGCATGTAACTCGGGCGCATCATGGTGAACAGGGCCTGACTCTGGACGTCGACGTTGATGAGCCGGATATTGATTGGGAGAGTTTGGACGATTACCAGTATGTCGAGGTCGCATGGAGGGCGCACTACCTTGGATTCAAGGTTTACGGCAGCTTCGACACTGGCGACACAGGTGAAGATTCTTCGGATGAATATCCGCTCTGGTCCAGATACGACGTGGAAGCCCCCAAAAATGACTTGCACCTGCACAGTCGGTTCTCTTTGGACTGCCATGGCGAGCACGATCATCTCAGTGCAACCTTCACCTCCCTCGTCGGAACCAGCACGCTGACTGCGATCGACACGCTGAGGATAAACCTTGTCATTTGGGACACGAACTACTCCTGGAGTGAACTGCTCGCCGCTCTCCCGGGCGTACGACGACTGGCTATCGATGTGGACCCTGCGAGTCTCAGAGCTATCGTCGGCGAGCTGGCGCCTCGCGTTTCGGGAGTCGTATCATCTTGTCTGCTGCCTAATCTGACTGACTTGCACATACGGTGGCCGGCCGATGATGAGCTCAACGACGCTGGTTTTACTATTACCACCTTCTTCAAAGAAGTTGGGGATATTCTGGCAGCGCGAGATGAGTTGGGCTCGCATTGTCATGTGGTGGTCGAACTTGAGCCTGATCAAGCGTCGGGGCTAGGTGATGAATATCGATGAGTATGTGTCTTTCTTCTGTGAGTTTTGTGAGTGTTTCTGGTCGACTCCTGCTACAATACAAGTATCCAAGAAAATAATAAGAAAATCACCATAGCAGCTCAGAGTGTCTTATGCACGATGTTTGATGTCGCGGAATCATAATACCGAAAGCCATCACTCGGTGATGGTCTCTGTTAGGCACCGAAACATCCTGTGTCTTTTTTCGGGATGATGGTAACACAGGCTCGTGTTTTCTCGCGGACACGTTGACAGCGGACTTCCATGAACGCGGAGAAGCAGAGTACGTATTGTCTACTATTTACACCTTAACATCGATCTCAGTCTAGGTAGGATTATGGGAGAAGCTCTCTCAAGAATGTGCACACGGTGCTGTCTACAACTCCAACGAACGTCAGCCTCACTCTGTTTGCCTACAAGGCACCCGAGTCGAGCTCCTCCAGTCTCTTCAAGCACACCTCAATGATCGCAATCGAAAGCTCCTTTGGGTCACAGGCGAGTCCGGGTGCGGCAAATCAACGATAGCCCACACTCTTGCAGAGAAACTAGACAGACAGGGCAGGCTCGCAGCCACGTTTTTCTTCTCACGGAAGCATGCAAAACGCAGCAATCTCGATCACGTCTTTGTCAGCCTTGCTTACCAACTTGGGCTTCACCATCCTCGCGCACAGGATATCATCGTTCAAGCCATCTCAAATGACCCATCACTCCTCTCGCCGGAAAAGTCTCGCCACGAACAGCTAGAAAGGCTCATCATTCGCACGCTGAAGCAGCTGGCGCTTCTCTGGAAGAACAAGCATGGCATCTCCATCATCATGGACGCCCTCGAAGAGGGCGTCGGTAGCCTGACCCATCAGATCGGCCCTTTTGTTTCCTTGCTCGCTCGCCTTGTTGAGGACTCCAGTCTGCCCATCTGCAACATCTTAATCACCAGTAGAACCTCGCCTCACATTTATTCCGCGATTCGCAGTTCTGATCTCGCACACGTCGTGGAGACTGTCCAGGTTGAAGACTACGACTCCAGGAACGACATCACGCTTTTCTTTCAGCACGAATTCGCACACATCTACGATGTACATGGCTTATCCGTATTTGCGCCCCAGCCTTGGCCCTCTCCTGATGACCTTTTGTTGTTGTCTGAACGAGCTGATGGTCGATTCATCTTCGCAGCAACTATCGTTAGATTGGTCAACCAAGAACAGGCTCAGGACCGACTTCCACTCGTATGTGGTATGCTTCGCGGGAGGCTGGTCAACGTTTGGGGAAACATCGATCAACTATATACCTCCATTATTGAAGAAGCAGACATGGATGCGTTTGCACACGCTGCGAGCCTGCAATACATCTCCCTCGTCCCCATTCTCTCTGAGCCGCTTTCGTTCCCTGACCTGCATCTACTTCTTGGTGTTGATATCCGCTCATACCTCCTTCCATTCTCAGCTTTGGTCTCCATTCCTTCCTCCAGCTCACCTGATAGCGTACAGATATTTCACAGCTCGCTCCGGGACTTCTTGCTGAAACGCGAACCACATGGCTTTGTCCTAAAAATACATCGTCGCTTGACTGTTCATTGCTTTCGTATAATGGCACGATTGCTCAAACACAACATATGTGGACTTCTAGATGCGTCGTTGCCGCACTCTGGAACACCTGATTTTGGTCTCAAACGTGGTCGTATTCCCCTGGCACTTCGGTACGCCTGCCGACACTGGTTGTACCATCTTCAACAGCTCCCGCCGGACGATGAGATACAAGGACTTTTCCTAGATTTCCTCCAGTCACGACTGACATTCGCAATCGAAGCATACGCGATCTTTGGCGAACTAGCCACTGGCCTACAAATATTTAGGACAGCCAGGAAACTAGTACTGGTAAGACTGCGTTGTTATGTCCACGTCGTTTAAGGACTGACGTCGATAATTGGTCAGGGTTGGCCAACACGTCTGGTTGCCCGTGTAGCCATTGATCTCCTCTACGATGCTTGGAGACTGACACTAGACTTCTTCGACCCAATCAGCACTTCTGCGCTACACGTCTACGAGTCGGCGCTACCGTGCAGCCCAGCAAAATCCGCGCTGCGCCTCACTTACCAGCATTTATTGATCGAAACGTCCTCTCTTAGGATTAAGGAAGGTTTGGACGAGCAATGGGGCCTGTTCACGCGAGTTATAGACATGAAGACGAATGATTTCAAGCTGGCGCTATCCCCCGATGGTTCACAGGTCGCTGCTATCTCTCAGAATGTGATATGTGTATGGGCGACTGCGACAGGACTTCTCAGAGCGTTGCATCACAATATCAATCCGAGTAGTCGATGGTCCACCAAATTTCTCTACAACGGTTCGCACGTGGCGTTTCACGAACGTGACGTTCCTAGGTGCTTTCTGTGGCAGCCTTCGGATGGTACACTTGCTTCGCTTTGCGGTTTTCCAGCGGAATCAGAAGCTCTGCGCGGACCTTTGGCATTCTCCCACAGCGGAAGCAAGATTGCCTGTCTATGGACCAGAAGAACCATTCAACACTTCCATCCCATCATCCGAATCTACGACGTCAAAACATGCCAACAGCTATCACATATTTATCTCCCCTCCATCAATATTGATCAGTCAATCCTGGATTTGACGGCTTCATTTTCTCACTCAGACGATCGTCTCATGACACATGTCCTTGGATGTACCCTGCTTTTTGACACCAGCACCGGAAACTTGATTGGAAGAACAGGCTGCTGCGACGAAAACCTGTCTGCTTCGTGGTGCTTCTTTGATCCCTCGGACGATTCGGTAATCCATGTTTCCTGGCGAGAACACGGCCCACTGGTCTCTCGACTATTTTTCACTGAAGCGGATGGGACAGAGGCACTAGTCGTCCCAAGGACATCCTCCATACCAACCACACGGCGCCTTGAATCTCATGGAGAACACTACCAGCTGCTTCGAGCAGGCCCTCTTGTAGCACGCGAATCTCCTGTGCAATATACGTTCCATGGACGAGCAGACGTCAAGCCAGAAGGATTTCCTGGACTGGAAAAGCTCACACTTGTGGACGCCCACCCGAATGCCATCGTTCAGTTTGACGTTCTCGCGGGAATAAAACTCGGCGATCGAATCCTCGGAATCTGCGGCAAGGACAGGACGACCAGTGGCTGGATGACTACAAACGAGGAATGCTTCGGGGCTATCAAGAGAAACGAACAAATCTGGATCATTGATCTCGCCCAAGCCTCCCTACAGTCATTTCCGCATACCTCATCGCCTGCCAATATCAAGACATATCTTGATGAAGCGTACATCTTAGTCTGCGTCTCAAAGGACACTGGGTATCGGGCCTATCAATCAAAGACAACGACCAATTACCTTGTATACGATGCGGCATCCTCACCAGAGAGATTGCTCTGCGAGATTTTCTTGAGAAAGGCACAGAGCGCGATAGGCCAACCTAGAGTTTTCTTTTCGCCAAGATCTAAGCACTTCTTGATTGCAGACTCCTTCGAAAGCCCCAGCGTACAGCTCTGGAACCCCCAATATGGACGACACATTGCTTCGGCCTTCACGCCGTCCTGGAGCGTCCTAGAGGTTGTCTTTTCCGAGGACGAGGACGTCTTCGCCCTTCAAGTTGTATTGAATGGTCAAAAGAGGATTGCCATGTACGCTCTGGCAGGTAACGCACTCGAGCTGGTCGAGACGCCATTCCTTCCTGATGCAGATGTCGACTATCCTGCGTTCTGCGTAGTCGCATCCGTAACTCGGGAGATTGTACGCCTATGGAGTAATAATGCTGATAAGTCAACCATCAATCTTCGTCATTGGGAGAGATCGACGTCGACGACCGTTACGTTTGCATCCTTTCCCCGCCCTAATTTCGAATGGCCATGGTATTTAGCGCACTCTCCAAACTTCAGACGGATATACTGTAGGACTGAAGGTGGCGACTACACCATGAATTTGCGCATGTCCGCCACTAGCGCCACAAGCACTGCAGGGCAGCCTGACCTACAGTATGTCTACACAGTTGACAAAAGCAGCGATCCAAGTGTATATCCCGACGTCCTCTCCTGGACAGACATCTCCCTCGACAAAGACGGCTGGCTTAGGAAGGGGACACGGAGAATTTGCTGGCTTCCTTCGCGTTATAGACCTGCTTCCCTTGATTACCGAAGCCTCCAGTTGGACGTTCGTGACAACCAAGTCACGATACTACATCTTCACGGCGAAAAGCGTATAACTATAACCCTTGTTAGAACGGACATTAGATACTTTGATTAGAGAAAATGGATAGCGTATATATACTGTGTATGTCTTGGAGTGATACTATACCACGGAAACAATGAATGGGCTACCAACAAAGCCCGTGACATACTATGCCTTCTAATTGCCTTCACAGCCGTAAGTTCAAAGTGGTTTCGCGTGACATGCATCGGACATGCATTGTATATAAGTACCGACAAGACCGAAGCTCAAATGTGCGGAGAACGCGTGGTTTTGAACCAGGGTCCAAGTTGGTGTGACATTGTTGCTGAGGACAACGAGAGTGAAGAGGGAATTTCATTGGTAGGGAGTAAGCCAACGCCGTTACACCTTTTGTGATGACTGACTTCCTCGTCCATGGGACTTATCCACAGGGTTTTCAATTACTTACGACCGGTATGGCTGAATAATTGAAGCATAGGACGTTCCAGTGGTTTTAATGAGTGCTTAGATTTTACCAAAAGCAGCTCCCATATCTGATCGAGTAAGGTCATGGTTCAACTTAGCGTCTCATAATCTCAAACTTACCATACGGGGAGTACAGACAGCATGAGCTGCTGCGAATAATTCTGCTACATCAAATATAAGCTTGGAATGTTTCATCATGTGTTGAGGTTCATTATCTTGTGTGATGGATTACGTATCAGGTTTCAAGTTCATTGTACGGATCAAGCGTGAGCTGTGGCGAACCTAGTATGGTTGTGTAGGTACAATAACTTTACTGAGCCTGATGCCACTGTCAGTGCTGTAAAAGATACCAAGTGAGGGAGCCTCCGAGCCGGAGCCTGTGCAACTCCCGCAGCTCCTCAAATTGATAAGCTCCTGGCAAACACTGGCGTGCTGACGCTTATACAATAATATGAAGGGCCCCAGGCCGAGAGCACCAGCTAGGCATGAAGCTTCCTTTGTGTATGCATGTATTGATCTACTTCTTCGCCTCATCCATCCCTGTGCAAATGGCGATCGAAGTTTAAGACGCTCTTGACCACATTCTTACCTTTATAAATTTGTTATCGGTGTCGGTCATCATTCTATATTTGTGGCCCGACAGATACGGATAGCGACGGGACCCGAGACACCGCTGCGCGCTCCCAGCTCGCAAGTTTTTCAGGGCGTCTCTTCGCCAGCGCCACAGGTTTAGCAAGCCCTAACTCTTAGCTTTGGCCTCAGTTTTCCTGGCAAGACAAGCTAAAAATCTGTATTGCCTGTGAGACTCTCAATGTAAAGCTAGCCGACCCGGTATGTACTAGTCAACCCACTGTGGCTTATGTGTAAACGGGGGTGTAAGAATCTAACATAAAGGGCGGGAATGTTGGGTCGGAACCGGGTCCTGACAGAAAGCTGTGCAGATTGTGCGGTTCCTGACCTGGGCCGAGAGCCGACGGAGGCCGAGAGCCAATCGCGTGTCGGCGGACAGAAAGGGCGCGGTTATCGCCAAGTGAAACAGAGGAAAACATCACCACAAATTATGTATTTTGATTGTCCCCTTGCCAGATGGACGACGAGTGGCTCGACTCCTCCCTCGTGCGCACCTTTCTTTGAGACCTCCATCCCACGGTTTCTTCCAGCTCTCAAGACTCTGCTATTGACCCTGACGTAGCTCTACTCGTCCGAGAGCGAAACAGCCATGGCCAGTTTCTCAGGGCGAACGGTTCATGCCTTCAGCGCTATCTCAAAGCGTGCACAGGCTCCAGCTCAGGTTAGTTATCGTCTTATCCTCTCTTTCTTACTTGCCCCTGACGTTTATACTCTAGGGAGGGCTGCTCACAGGTGTAGACCCTGCTTCCTTCAGCGCGACCGATACGCTCAAGTTATGGATCATACAGCTCGGTGAGCCCTGACCCGTTCTCGTGCTTGTGGCTCCTCTCCCTGACTTGTTTGCCTATATTTTAGGGGTCATCCTCATGATGGCTCAGGTCCTTTCCTTTGGCCTCAAGAGAATTGGGCAGCCAAAGGTTATTGCCGAGATCCTGGGCGGTATCCTCCTCGGTACGTACCACCTCTCTGCACCGCTCCCAACGATGACCTAAACTTACACTTCATCCTTATCTATAGGTCCTACCGCCTTCGGACGCATCCCTGGCTTTACCTCCCATATTTTCCCCTCCCAATCAATCCCTTATCTCACCCTCGTTGCCGACATTGGCCTCTGCCTCTTCCTCTTCATCATCGGCCTTGAAATCAACGGCACCATCCTCAAGCGCAATGGCCCAAAGTCCGCCGTCATCTCCCTCTCGGGCATGGTCTTGCCCTTCGGGCTCGGCGCCGCCCTCTCCGTCCCGCTCTACAAACGCTTCATCGACCCAGACGTCGCGTTCACGCACTACATGCTCTTCACTGGCGTCGCGTACTCCATCACCGCCTTCCCCGTGCTGTGCCGTATCCTCACCGAGCTGCAGCTGCTCGACACCCAGATCGGCGTCATCGTGCTCTCGGCTGCGCAGGCGGACGACGTTGTCGGCTGGGTGCTCCTCGCGCTCAGCGTCGCGCTCGTCAACGCCGGCTCGGGCATCACCGCGCTCTACATCCTCCTCACGTGCCTCGCGTTCATACTGTTCCTGCTTCTCGTCGTAAGGAGGGTCATGCACTATCTCGCGCGTGTTACGGGCTCGATCGACAACGGACCGACGATGGTGTTCATGACCGCGACGATGCTTGTGCTGTTTGGCTCTGCGTTCTTTACCGACATCATTGGCGTCAATGCTATTTTTGGAGCGTTTCTGGCTGGACTGATTGTGCCCCGCGACGGTGGCCTTGCCATTGCCTTGACGGAGAAGCTGGAAGATATGGTCACGATTGTCTTTATACCTCTGGTAAGTGAGTTTTAGTTTCCCAATGATGTCGCGGTTCTGATCATTTACGTTGATAGTACTTCACGATCTCTGGCCTGAACACTAATCTAGGTTTGTTGAACACTGGTGAGCTACATACTCTGTACACTGGGTTACTGAACGCTTAACCATTTTCAAGGGACGATTTGGGGCTTCACCATCGCCATTATCACGCTTTCCTTCACGGGCAAGTTCTGCGGCTGCACAATGGGCTCTCGCCTGCTCGGCTTCAGCTGGCGCGAGTCGAGCACCATTGGTGCGCTGATGAGTTGTAAAGGGTGAGCAAACCTCGTTCGCATTTGCACCACCGAGCTCAACCCTACCCCTTGCTTTTTGTGCTCGGGTGACGATGAAACAGACTCGTCGAGCTCATTGTGCTCAACACCGGCCTCTCAGCGGGCATCCTCACCCAGCAGGTCTTCTCGATGTTCGTCCTCGAGGCGCTCGTGCTCACGTTCATGACCACGCCGCTCGCGAGCTGGCTCTACCCCGAGATGATCAAGGGTGGCGCACGCCGCCGCACGTCTGCGAATAAGAAGCGTGTCGGCGGCTCGGACGAGGCGGACTCACTGGAGTGGAACGACGCGAAGGATGGGTCGGGGTTGATAGCGGGCGAAGGCGCGGCGGGCGCGGATGGGATAGTGTGGCGCCGCAGGCTCACTGTCGTTCTGGACAAGTTCGAGCATGTACCAGCGCTCATGTCGCTCACGCAGCTCATCGCCCTCAACAACAACAGTAGCTCGCATTCCTCGAACAACACCGCCCAAGCTCCCGCCTCCGCGGGCAAACGCAAGCAGCGCGCCGTGTCCGTCGACGCGCTCCGCCTCATCGAGCTCACGGACCGCACGTCCGCCGTCATGCGCACCGCGCACTTTGCCGTCGACGTCCTCGCGCGCTCGGACCCACTCCTCGCCGTGTTCCGCACGTTCGGCGCGCTGCACGGCATGGCGGTGTCCGCTGCCCTGTCCATCGTGCCGTACGACGATCTAGCGAGGCGCGTGGCGGACCACGCGCAGGAGGGCGGGGCGCAGCTCGTCGTGCTGCCGTGGTTGCCGCCCTCGTCTGCGCCGGCTCCGGTTCGTCCTAGGAGCTCGGGCGAGGACCGGGCAGACGGCGACGGTGTTACGACGGCGGCGGCGTTCAGCCCGTTCGAGGCGCTTTTTGGCGTGCAGGACGGCGCGTCGCCCAACAGCGCGAGTGCGAACTCGACGCATTCCCAGTTTGTGCGCAGCGTCTTTGCGGAGGCGCGCACGGACGTTGCGCTCGCTGTTGGTTCTGGGATTGACGCCTCCGCGGCGGACACGTGCACGACGATGGGCGTGTGCGACGGTGCGCACGTGTTCGTGCCGTTCTTTGGCGGGCCGGACGACCGGCTTGCGCTCGAATTCGTCGTGCAGCTGTGCGCGAACGAGAGAGTGCGGGCGACGGTTGTGAGGGTGAGCAAGGGCTTAGCGCAGGGTGGGGATCTGAAGAAGCCGGAGGGTGTGCTTGTCGGTGATGAGAAGGCGGATGAGGCGCTGGATAGCGTTCCTGGGCTTACATACGTGAGTCTTCGCCCCCGCTGTGTCTCAAATCCAAAGTCATCTCATGATCATTGTCTTTTTGTAGATGGTCAACTTTCCGCCGGACACCATCTACGCAAACGCGACGACTCATACACGCCTGCAGAACTCGACCGCGGACGACCTCGCCTGGGCACGCGTCGCAGGCCCCGGAACGGAGGAAGACGACGCGACCACGGCACCCCGGACAACAGCCTCCCCCGCTCTCCGCGCGGCGCTCTCGCGCATCACCTTCGACGAGCTATCCTCCCCCGTGCCGCTGCATGCCGCTCTCACGCGCCTCGCGCAGCTCAAAGAGTCACTCGCAGCGTCCGCCAGCGGCGACGGCACCGGTCTGAGCACGCGACTGCTCGTTCTCTGCGGGCGCTCGCGCAGGCTTGCGGTGGAGAACCACGATGCGGAGCTGAAGCAGCTCGTCGAGGAGCAGCACGGCGCGGGCGCGGGTATAGGCGCGGGAGAGGTGGCGCTCGTGCGCAAGACGATTGGCGATGTGGGCGCTGCGGTGCTAGTTGGCGCGCCTGGCGCTGGCGCGGGGATGGTGGTTGTGCAGGCGGGGGATGCATAGGCTGGGGGTGGGGTGATGGATTCGGGTACCTTCTTGTTTCCTAGAACGCTGGGTACGTTTGTTATAAGTCTTCATTCGTTGTATAGTATTTGTTATAGATTGTCTATTACAGTATGACTCTGTTGGTTGCTCCTAGTCTCTATGTGTAAAATTCTGTTATTATACCTGTCTTATTCCTCTTCCTCGGTTGGAGGAGCTCCAGCGACAAACATCAACGTTGTGACACTCGACCCATGTACGTCGCTCAGACCTCTCTCGTATCCCCTTCGCAGGCTAAGCACTACACAGGGACCGACCATGCTCAAGAGCAAGGTCTCCATGATAACCTTGACTGAGGTATAAGGCACTGACTATTTTCATGGGGAAGTGAGCCGATGGCGGAACTCGGTGAAGCGCATTGACATTCTTACCGTAATCAGCCCCGGTAATTGGCCTAGGGCACTAATGATCATGGCGAGAACAGCTCTGCATTGGTGTTCTGAATGAGCATAGGGTAGAAGAGGATGGGCAGACTCACACGAAGAAGTAGACCAGGTTGTCGTGCACGATCACCGCGATGAGTGTGTTTGCGGTGCGCACGGGGTCTCTCCAAAAAGTGCCGCGAAGATGGCGAGCAGCGTAACGTAAGACTAGTGCGCAGAGCACCATTTCGTAGCTCATCAGAACCCCGTTCCACGTTGGGTATATCCAGGCGACGGATTCGGGGTATTCGATATCGCAGAAATGAAATCCGTAGAAAGAGAAGCAGGCTATTCGCGTAATGGTGAGTAAATAGGATATGAGATACGTGACTTGAAAATCCGACGCACAGATTGCGTTGGCCGAGCCTGTAAGTCGAAAGTAAACCACCACCACAGTGATGGCTTGAACGACCGTGTAGTGGACAAGGAGGAATGCCAGGACTTTCTTTGGCTTTCCGAGAAGAATGTACACGCGCAGAGTCATCATTCCTACAGCGAGTTAACTGGTGCTTCAGCAGGTCAGTCGAAATCCGTCAGTGCAAACCTTGCAAAATAAGTATGATGACCGAAATGATGTTTTGTTGCAGAGAAAGCAAAGCAAATGCTTCAACAATGCCACCAAACAGTGAGGACCAGGTTATCCTAGCTTGGATTCCCAACTTACAGCTGTTAAAGCATACCGTTGTATGATTGAGTGTGGTCAACCAAAGAAGAGTAACATACATCTGTTTCATACAGTTTTAGCACAGTTCGGCTTAGATCAAATCTCGCGGACCACTCACTTTGCTGGACAACGGGACACTAGTCAAGTTGAGCACTAAGACAGTGATGAGTGATAAAGACGTTTTATCTCTGAATACCGTACCTAGATTGAAGCTGTGATATTTCCTCTCAAAACCCTATGTACCAGAGATTTTGGAATAGTACACTCACATCGGAATGGCAAAACCGAGGTATCGTAGCTAAGCGGCAGCCAAAGCACATCAGCGAACCTATTCCGCTTGCAAACTATGAGATACATCCGCACCACTACATAAGCCAAAGTTGTCCAGCATAGTTTCTGGCTCTGTCGACGATAAGTGTTTCAATTGCTACCGTACGTATTTAAAGGAAAAATACTAACCCAAATGTACTCAATCTGGACGACCATTTGAGCTCCTCGTGTTAAATTGCCTAGAGAGCTTACCTCGCGAGAAATGTTCAAGGCTACCAAGTGATACTTTATGTCGCTGAAGAGGCTTCTGAGAGTCATGGGGACTCACAATAATCGTAAGTAGCAACGGTGATAGCAGCCACTACAGAAAGGTACAGTTCAGTTGGCATGATTGGGGAACAGCTGCTATGGACCTCACCATATGCATACTCCAGTACGAGGCTTTCTTCAACGTATGCCACAAGCACAGCGGGTGGGGAGGCCATTCATGCAGTGGGAGTAAAGGACTGACGTGCTGGTATATACGGCTGGATAAATGTTATTCCTATCATAGTTGAACTAAATACGCGCTTAGTAACGGGTGTGTTGGTGACGACATAGCACCACTAATTTAGCGGTGCATCACTGGCCTTTGAATAGTACTATGCTGTACGTTTCATCAAACCATCGATGAAGTCTGTGAACGACGTTAACACCCCTGCAGTGAAACGTCCTCCATCCAAACATCAAAGTTACTACCACGCGCGAAATATATTGCGCATAAATCCTCGAACAATTTATGGCATATAATCTGATCGCGTTGTTCCATCGCTACAGTAAAGAAGATCGCCAGACACATGTTATTTGTGCAAAGGCTCACCGTTTGCAATGAGAAGCGATAACTTCGGCGGGGAAACCAGATTAAAATGTCTAATGAAACCAAATTCCGATCATAACGCATATCTTGCCACTCAGTCTCACACAGGTTGAAGAGTCGCTTACTTCGTCATCCTATTTAGTGACGCACAGATACCTTTATTACTGTAGCCTATATCACAATTTGCATGATTATGTGTCCATCATCTGTATGTACTACATATAGCTATCTGAGGCCGTCGTTACGCATCTTCTTCAACTGGAGGAGAACCAGCAGCAAATGTTGAGACAGTCGCCACATGCGCGTTGGAGTTTTGTCCATCCAGACCCCTCTCGAAATTCTTTCGCAGGCTAATTATCATCCACGGCCCAACCATACTCAAGAGAAAGGTCTCAAGGATAACCTTCACGGAAGTGTAAGACACTGACTGGTGTTGTGGCGAAGTTAGCAAGTGAGGAAATTGGTACATGGCTGTGTATAAGATTCTTACAGTAATCAGCTGTGGAACCTGACCCAGAGCACTTATGGTCATTGTAAAAATGGCTCTTCAACAAAAACGTGGGTAAGCAATGTCACGCAAGATAGAATGAAGCTGTCGTACACGAAGAAATAGACGAGATTGTCATGCACAATAACAGCGACAAGAGTATTTGCAGTGCGCATCGGATTTACCCAGAAAGGCTCTCGAAGATGCTGTGCAACATAGCGTATGACAAGCCCGCAAAGAAGTGTTTCATAGCTGAGCAACACCGCGTTCCACGTCGGATAGATCCAGGACAGAGATACGGGGTAATTGATGTCACAGAAATAAAATCCGTGGCAAGAAAAACAAGCTATGCGGCAAATAATCATTATGATTCAGTACGAGATGGATGAAAGTTGACGTTGAGATTTTAACCCACATATAGCATTAGCCGAGCCTATAAGGCCAAAGCAAAGTATCACCAAGTTGATGACTTGAACAACCACGTAGTAAGGAAGGAGAAAGGCTAAAATATTCTTTGGTTTCCCCAGAAGAACGTGTACTCGCGTTGTTAGCATTCCTGTGAAATAATAGTCAGGCTCTTGCTGGCTTGTCAATGAAACCTAGCGCCAACCCTGTAATATAAGTACGACAACTGAAAGAGCTGTCTGTTGTATGATGAGCAACGCGAATGCTGCAGGACAGTTAGTATCAAGTATTAAACCTCAGGTTAGTAACGACTTGCATCTGGTCGCAATCACCGACGTTTGGGTAAGTATGTGACTACTTATGAAAATGCAACATACACCTTTCTCACGGAGGTCAAAGGCTTTCTCGAAGTATTAACGAGAATAACTACTCACTTTGCTGGAAAGCGGGACGCTAGTAAAGTTGAGCACTACAGAAGCTTAGAACTTGGATGGAGGCACTATATTCCTGAGTAGCGTACCTAAGTTGAAGCTACGAGATGGTTCAGAAGATCACGAGACGGAACGTTCACCAAAACACTCACATCGGTGTCCCAAAACCAATGTATCGTAGCTAATAGACAGAATATATCGTCAGAAAACCTAGTTTGATACACGAGTCATTCGACATAGGTACCACCGCATATGCCAAAGTCGTCCAGCGGAACTTTTGATTCTGTGACCCATTAGTAGGTCTATTATTGCTATATGTTTTTTTCGAGAGACGTGTCTTACCCAAATATGTTCGATCTACCCAGATGATCACTCTATGAAATGCAGAATGAGACAAGTACAAGACATACCTCAGCGATGATATTTAGGACTGTTAAGTAGAGGTATAATCTTCATCCAAATCTGTCGAGAGCTTACTAGAAGGACTCACAATAATCGTATATAGCAACGGTCAGTGCAGCCACTGTTAAACCGTGTAAGCTATAGATACAAGCGAAGAACCAAAACAAGAACCGTACCATATGTGTATTCTAATACCAAGCTCTCTTGGACGTACGACACAATTGGAGCCGAGTTGCAGGCCATCACTCGTAGAAGTGGGGAATATGACGACTTAAGGTACTGGCGTACTCTGTGACAGTGGTTATATGTGGGACAAAGAAGGCGGTTAGCTATACTGATGTAATGATGAAGGCAAAGCATCACGGTCCGATGAACGCTGCATTAAGCTCTTTAAATAGCATTTTGTATATCTAAACATGAAATGAGCTTGATAGTCGGCGGTTCTGGCTAGAGACCATCACAACACTGTTATCCGGTAATCTAAATAAAACAATGTGCTAGGCTTAGTACGGCACGCCTGTCGGGTCCGACTCGGATATATGTTTGTAGCATCTAGTTTGACATTGCAATCGAATACCGGCATAAAGATGAGCGCAGGCTCCACGCTTTCCACGTAAATGAAGTTCCGACCCATACGACGAATCCGGGCTGGTCAATGAACACGGTTATTGTCCCGATCAGAACGCGAACCCTGCTGCTCAGACTCATAATCCGCAAGAGGTGGCTACGAGTTTTCCAATTTCTCCTCTGGCAAGTGGGATAATCTGAAGCACATGGCTACTTGTTATTCACGAGCAATATGACATAAGTTGGGTAAAGAGAACTTTACGATACAGCTCTAACTAACTTGTTGATGAGCGTATAAATGGTAGACTAAGCGCTGCACGAAGCTGAGCCTTGCACAGAGCTTAGACGATTGAGGATATAGGCACCGTATCTTAACGGCTGAACCTAGAGCTGTAGCCTACAAGCTGGTCTTGTTCGACTATACCGTCTCCATGACGAACATATACCCACTACTGAGACATGATACATATGTGCACATGCTGAAGGTGCTGAGGGCTGTTGTCGTCGACGATCGCTCACCTGGAATACTAGTGGATCGCGAGGCCATCTGATGTTGCATGCGACGAAGGATCGCCTCCGTCAGAACTCAAAGGTGTCGCTAACAATGCGCAATATCCAACGTCTAGTCGACGACACCTTTGAGTCCCAGGAGGCGATTCTGCCCAATGGATGATACGGTTAATATCAGAGAGACTAGTAGGGAAGGAGGGGAACATGCGCAGGATGAATATCGGCTTTGGCAGAGAGAAGACAGATAAGAGGAGGCGGGGGCGATGGTAATAGAAAGAGCGAAGACAGGACTCTAGGACGAATCTGAACAGAAAATAAGCATATAAACTTCATGGGGAAATGAAGGTGACCGAGCCAAATCGCGGCTTCCGGGACACGCAGCTAGTGCTCACTCACAGACACTATCATCAGAAAATCAGCGATTAGCCCAAACTGGATAAGGCTAGTCTGTGAATCGTGAGCACACCAACCACTTCAGGTGTCGGGAGCTGATCAAGATTTCTCGGGTGACAGGTGGTATCACAAGCACCCACAACTTGAAGGCGTCTACGAGTCACTCACGGAGATATCCGGAAAAGTGGTACCATATTAATGGCACCTTTGACCACTGCACGATGCAAACTTCCGTCAATGGGAACAAGGACATCTCCAGACTGACGTAGCCAACAAATATCTCGTGTTCTTCTTCCCCTCTTCGTCAGAAGTTCAAGCCGGAATACTGTGTCGTCAGTTCATGAAGGCCCGGGGATAACATCTTGCTTGGGCCTTCTTCATCGAGGCGACCCATTCAATAAACTTTGAAAGCACATCTGACTAGGCAACTTCGCAATTGGCGTGCGCCCTAAATTACATGGATCGACTATCGTAGGAGATATCTCGGTCAAAGCGGAGTGCTATCCGATGCCAAACATCCGAACTATTAATAAAAACAGCAACCTTATCTGTGCTAACGCGGACATTCTATGTTTTACATCAACTCCACCATGACAGCGGGTGTAGGGCTATACGTGAACCTGTGGAGGGGCACATGAGTCATTCAAGTGCCTGGATCTGTTTTACCGGATATTTTATGGTCCCATATGCACCCACAACACAGATATTCAATATCGGAGATTGCCGACGTAAAAGACGGCGTCAACAGCGCTAGTGGTCAATTGGGAGCGGTCTTCCACTGCGCGTGATCTTAGATTAGAAGTGCTAGCCATTAAGAATCTCTCATCCCCGTGCGCGAACGAAGAAGGATGCTGTGGGTTGTTGGCCAAAGCGGTATCGGCGTCGTCGGGATTGCGCCGAGTGCCTCCAAAAATGTCGAAGTTGAGCGGTGGACTAGGTCGGTCCTGGAGATGGAACTTCGATAGGGGGTCTGAGTAGCTATTAACGCGCACGGAAACACTATGTGCCTGCCTAGTGGCTCCCTCAAGACCCCGGTCCAGACCTCTCTACCCTAGGGTCGCCGGAATTGCACGTCGACGGGCCGGAGCTGGATTTATTGCTGTAGAAGGCGGAAAGGATGAGGATTGTGAACGGCTTAAAACCAGTTCGTATTCAGCGATGCCTTTATGGCGTACACCCCCCATCCGTCCATCCCAGCTACAGCAGCAAGAGTGGCTCGCTACCGCATCTTGGGACGCTACACAAGGGATCGGGCCACCAACAACGCTAAGAGAGGCCAGAAACGATGACAGAGTACTCTCATCTGGTGACGTGCGCAACGACGGAGTGATCATAGTCATTGCTCGCTGAAATGTGCGCGAGCATGGCTGGTGAAGCGATGAGATGGGTACACGCCGACGAGGCGAACGATGAATTCAAGAGCGGAGATGGTTACACCAATAAAGATGACAAAACAATGGGATTTACGGACAGGGAGATCAATGGCAAACAACATAGAAGAAGTCGGGGGATGCCGGGAGGCCGAAGGAAATCGGGCGCCAAGGTAAAAAAAAAAAGAGGACAGTACCATGTGTCTGGACACTTTGATTGTCAGTCACCTTAGCTTTACAATTGCGGTCGATGGCATCAACTCAGAAAACGTACCTTTCTATCTCTGTGCCCTTTCCACCTCAATCACAGTTTCTTCCCCGACTCTGGCAACTGAGAGCTGACGCATCAACTCGTGCGTCGGTATGGGTCCCGGCTCGTTTGATTGCTGGGAAGGAAATCGTCCCGGAGAGTCGCTGCGTGCAGTGGCCGATATCTTGGGCGTTACATGTCCCGAGCCCTCCGTCTCCGTCTCCTCCCCCTCGCCATCCCGCGACGCTTTGTCCTCCGAGACACGCTCGTGCGTGAGCACGCCCAGACTCGCGCCATAGGTGCTCGCGATCGTCTCACGCAAGACTTCCAGCGTCTCCTTACCCGCCGCACCGGCCCCATCGGATTGGCCACCGCCGAACAGCGGGTGCGGCTCGCGAGACGCAGCAGAAGGACGACGCACGTGCGTCTGTGTGACGGGGTTGAACACCTCGACACCGAGGGTGCGCCACCCGGCCATGTCGACGTGCGCGAGCGTGTGCCCACGCGCTCGGCCGCTCGGGGAACGAGATGTAATCTTGGGCTGGGCGTTAGGCGGGGAGTCGGCGTGTGCGGTAGGGGAAGTGGGTGATGTCACCTCCACCTTCGGGACTTCCACGGGCCTTGATACATCGGGCTCGTGAGATTCTCCATCCGACGTCCCTTGCCCCTTGAACGCCTGCTGCGCCTCAGCCTCGATGGCCGCAACCGTCTCGAGTCCCGTCTCTGCGACAACGTCGGGGAACTCGCGGTGGATGGAGTGCGTGGCGCCGTCGACAACGACAGTGCGGATCGAGCGGTACTTCTCTACCGCTTCAACGAAGAACGCTGGACGTCGCTGCGGGTCTGCAGCGAGGATGGTCATTTTGACATGCGAAGGCAGGCCGTCGAGGAGGTGCGCGAAGGACCAGGGGAAGTTTTGCTGTGTAGGAAAGGCATGGGCGTCAGTGCGACGCTCGCCATTCGATATTCAAAGTCAGCGGCGAGAGGGCGAGCAAGAAGCTTGAGGAAGAACGGCAAGGGAAAAGACCAGAGGCAGAGAGGGGGGATAAAGGTTCACAGAGAGAACACACCTCAAAAATACTATCAATGATATCGGGATCACACATATGTGCCCCATGCACCTTGAGCACCGCATCCTCCCTCGCCCACCCGGGGTTCGCATGCATATAACTTTCAATGCTCGGCGTATTCAGCACCTCCTCTAAGAACATCGCCCTGACAATGTCCATCCCCTCTTTGGTGCGCTCCTCGTCCGGGACGCGGTCCGGCGGCGGGTCGGGCAGGATGGGCGGGTCGACGAGTACAACCGCCGTCGTGCGCGAGGCATCGAGGTACTCGAGCGCGACGAGTGCGACGACACACCCGAGCGAGTGGGCGATGATAAGGTCGAATGGTGGATATGGGGACTCGAATAGGGGTCGGAGGGCTTCGGCGAGGTCTTGGACGCGTCCCTTCTGGGAGTGCGGGGCTGTGCCATGGCCCAGCAAGTCGGGGGCGGTAACGAGATAGCCTGCAATGCACCACGTTGAGCGAGCATGGTGAGAAGGTGATCGTAGGTAATACGCCAGGGACGATGGTCATTAAGAAGAAATGGCGAAGTGAGGAGGGGTGGGCTCACCCCCAGCGACGAGCATGTGCGCGACGCGGTACCATGATGAAGAAGAGGAAGCGATGCCGTGTATGAGTAGCGCGCGTTTCTTGGCCGAAGGCAGGCCCCATTGTGAGATGGAAAGATAGTTGTCCTCCATCCTGGTGTTCAAATTGCTGGTTCACCACCGAGCAAGCCACCGAGTATCACAGGCGTAGCTCAATTGCAACGCCGTATCCTGAATCTCCGAGCGGGTTTCGGTATGTGAGTACTCGAGAAAATGCACTAGATGAGAGAAGGGTGTACGCGGGGATTCAGTCAGTGTCCATGAGTTGTATGGTCAAAACACGAGAGGTGAACGAGGGAGGAGAGGTCAAATGGTGGCATTGCTGTATAACAGGAGCACGCAGGTATTCTGATCTCAGTCAAGCTGTTTGGCAGCTGCCATCACCAGGCACACTTTCAACTATAACCCTATTTACCTCCGGCTGGCGACTAACAGCTGCATCAATCACATTCGAAAAACCTTTACAATGGTACACAACATCGTGCTATCTTATGCATTTACGTACAACAGAGCATGAAGTTTTGTCTTCGTAAAGTTTGAAACACGAAGCCCAACTGAGAGGTGCCGTGTCGACATCATACAGCACCCTCGACGATCTGACAAAGAATCAGAATTAGCGCTGGTATCAAGCTGGTATTCAGGTGATGTTGGGCTCCCCCAGACCCGCCGCTGTGGGGTTAGGGGAAAACATAGCAGCTTACATACCTCGGCGGCGATCCTTGCCACACCTCGCATCTTCAGACATTCTTTCCGCACGTTGTGGCCTAGAGCGCCGGCCAGCGTCCCAGCATCTCGGTGCCTTCTCAGATACCTTTTCGATATACACAAGGCATAGGCAACAACGACAAGTGGGCGGGAGGGTGCAATGCATCAGTTCTCTTACGTGGTATACGGAGTAACGCAAATCAAAAACGTACCTAAGACACGCCTCCTCCTTGAAGTCCTGGTACAGTTTCTTGTTGCTTTTTCTCTATAACCCCATCGTGATATTTACCATTTCATAAGCGAGGCGAACGAGCTCACCTCTGCCTTCCGCGCAGCCTCTTCATATGGGTGCGTTTGGTGTATGAGAAAATGGTCCGAGAGGACATAAAAAGACACGCCGGACAGGTACATTTCGAACAAGCACGCCGCCTTGTTTCCTCCGTACCCCACGAATCGCTCGTCACACCTGTTACGAAGAGACCAATGATGCTGTCAGCATTGCGAGATAATACCCTCAGGGAATAAGGTGGAGAAATGATTCAAGGCTCACCACGGCGGCCCATCCCTCCTAAATACCACATATGGCTCGTATGCAGCCTGGTACCGATCCACCTTGTACACCTCGCCAGGCGCAGCGGCGTAGTAGCGCGTATAGTCGGTGCTATTATGCCCTGGCTGCCACGAACGATGGAACATGTCCAATTTCCCACTATGCACGAGCGCGAGTAGGCTCTGGCGATTGTATCTGTGGTAAGCACGCGAAGATGATAAAGGCAAGAGACGGGGGAAGACGGGGAGATTTAGGATGAACGAACCTGCTTATCGCGCGGAAACGTACGTGAATCCATCCCATCGCGGAGACGTGTGTATTCGAACGCGGGAACGACTAGCGCAGCCTCGCCCGCCCAGAGCTTTTGCATCAGCGCACTTGCACTAATATCGGATTCAGTGCTGTTTTCTCCGCCACCGTTGAACGAGGCTCTCTCTCCAGCGCCCGCCAGATCCGAGACCTTATCGATACCACTACCAACACCAGATGTTGCCCCAGCAGCACTAGCACCGGCACCAGCAGCATCCCGTGCGCCCACTACTCCAAGATTCAAAAGCGCCCCTCTAAAATCCGTGCAAACCGCAAAATCCACATCAAGCATCATCACCAAGCCCGTCCTCGCCAGCTGCCTCGCGACGTTTCTCCACGTATTCAGCGCCCGCTCGTGCGGCGCAAGCACCAGGTGCACGTCCACCCTTTCCGCAAAGCGCGGGGATGAGGTGTACAGCACGTGCAGGGCGCGCAGCTGCGACGCGACGGCCGGGTGCGCGTGCGACCACTCGTGCTGCGCTCCGTGTCGGTTGGTCGCAACGGGAGGCGCCGCCATCGTCGTAGATCTAGGGTCCGCAGAGCCAAAGCCAGACCCGTGAGTCGGCGAGCAGTCGCCAGAGCCGCCGGATACGGAGCAATCCCGAGATGCAACCAGCGCCTCGCCCAGCGATTCAACTAGCGCCGGCGGCGCCTTGACGTGCACCGCTACTGATATGGGACCATCGTACCGCTCGACGAGCCGCTTGAATACGGTGAAGCGAGAATGAGTGACGAGCGTCGCGAGCGTGATGTCTTCGTGTGCGAACTCCGCCTTCGCGGTGCGGGAGGCAGGGGTGGCGCGGTAGTAGAAGGGTACGAGGGCGCGTGGGCGAGGTGAGTTGGCAAGCGCTTTAGAAAGGATGATGTGCTCAGGAAGAGAGGAGGCGAGAAACTCGGCATCGATATTTGAGTAAAGGCCGTGTTTCATGCTGCGATTCGTAGATCCGGGAAGCCAGGAAGACGAAGGCTTGAAGTTTACGTGATCTGGGATAGTTTCCACAAGCTGAGAGCTTGAGCTTGAAGTGCCGCCAAAGAGTTGTGTATCGCCTCCAGTAGTAAGAGCGAGGGATGATGTCGACTTTGAGTCTACAAGGTCCTTGAGCATCGAAGATACTACAGCTGTACCGGCATGTTTGTGAGTCCCAGAGCCATCTAGAGCCTCATCGTTCTGAAGGTTTTGAATCCCATAGCCCAAGGACGACCCAAAGCCCTCATTACTGGCAAAGCTGTCTCCTCCCAATCCAAAAGCGTCCAGCACAGCCCGAGGAGAAGAAGCCTTAAGGAGCAGCCATCCAGTTGTATAAACGACAGAGAGAAGAACGTACGCTAGCACTATCGTTTGAAGAGCACGAAAGGCGGGGCGGGGGCGCGAGGTTGCTGTCGAGCCCATTTTTCACAGTCGAAAGACCTAGACCGGAAGCGAGGAGAAAGCTGCAACGAGCCCAGAGCAGCGCGAGTTTTCAGCACAAGAGATACTAAGACGTCCTTGGCGGACGTGTTGTTTGTAGAGCTCAACTCGGTTGGCCAAGAGGATGAGGTGGTGGAGGAAAGGAAACGAGAAAGCGAACCGCGTCGAAAGCGAACCGCGTCGAAAGCGAACCGCGTCGGTAGCGCCACCGTGGTTCCGAAAATGGACAAGAGCCCCTATCATTTGTCCTCGCGTTCTATCGTGCTAGGGCTCCAACTACATAGTGTGCATAAACAGTTTGTATATTTACTACCATTCGCTATACCATACAACTATATCGGGGGCCTGGCGTCTGGTTTTGCGGTGGCTCGATAAACGGCACACAGGGGGGAAATGATGTTGAAATGATGAACATCGAGGTTTGTTTCGAGACGAGTACAGTAGGCTGACGTCAGACACAGCGAACTGATTCCCGACGGTCGGGAAATAGGATAACAGGACAGAATAACCCACGTTAAGGTGTCGAGTTCACGCTCAAAACTCCCCACGTCTAGTTATGTCTCTCCAAAATCCGACGTTTTCTCAGTGTTTTCTCTCTGAAATTGCTCGGTGGTTTGCTCAGCAACTCTCGCCGTGACCACCGTCGCAGGATGCACCGCGTATATCCTCTTGTCATATTCCGGAAATGATGAGAAAGTCAGAGCCGAACTTGGAGAAACGAACCCGAGTTGAGATGGTACATGTTCCTGTATTACGATTCCTGTATTACGAAAGAATGAATTCGGCGACAATGTGTTCCATAGACTTCGTTGCAAGCTCGCCTTGGCTACTCATAGTTGCTGATATGGCCAAAAGCACCGTCAAGGAGATGCACGCTATACTCCTCCATGTTACCGTTACCAGCCTTGTTGACGGAGTATAAAAGGCGCATTCGTCAGTCCATCGTCTATCCAGACCCCTCTCATTCTCACTTCCTTCGCTCTACCACAAATTGCTCTAAAAATTCCTAACAGTAATATCAACATGGTTCTAAAACTCTACGGCTCTTCCATTTCCACGTGCACACGCACTGTGGCGGTTACGTGCAAGGAGCTCAATATCCCGTACGAATTTATCAGTGTCGACTGGGCTGGCGGGGAGCACAAAACGGCCGAGTTCACTGCCATACATCCCTTCGGCCAGATCCCTTACATGGTATGTCACATCTATGCATGCTTTCCTGACTTTATATCTCAATGTCTGTCATCTGCTGACACTAACCCATTGTATATGCACGCACGCACGATAGGACGAGGACGGTTTCAAGCTGCGCCATCTCGCGCTACCTCGCCAAGAGATATACCGGAAATGGCGCAAAGTTGATTCCCACTGATCCGAAGGAGGAGGCCCTTTTTGAGCAAGGCGTCTCGATCGAGTCGTCCAATTTCTACCCATCGGCCGTAGGATATGCATCGGAGAAAGTCTTCAAGCCGTACGTTCAGCTTCCCCCTTTCTCCCACCGGTCGTGGTTTCTTCCCCATTTCTTTCTCTCCACTGTGGATCCGGTGAGCTGAGGTGTATTATAGGATGTTCGGTGCGACTCCCAACGAAACCCGTGCGGCAGAGTGCCTTGCGACCCTCAACACCAAGCTTGACGCGTACAATGTTTTACTGGGCAAGCAGAAGTATATCGGCGGCAACGTAAGTCCTTTCCGATATCGACCGCAAAGCCATGAAATACTATGCGAGTTTACCCTGAGATGATAACGACATCCGATCTTATGCAGGAATACACCCTCGCGGACATATTCCACCTCGCGTATGGTGCAGCCCTCATTCAGGGCGGTCAAGTTACGCTTTTCGAGTCGCGTCCCAACGTGGCTAGGTGGTGGAAAGAGATCTCGAACAGGAAAGCTTGGCTGGAGGTTTCTGAGAAGGGCGCATAAGGACTACGCTATGATTTAGTGTACGAGAGTAGCATATTGTTCGAAAGGCAAGGTCTACAATGCCCATTCCGACATATTCAAGCTCTTGTCAGCGATCAATTATTGCAACGCACAGTTTTTTGTTCCTGAGCAGGTCTCACCCGCCGTTTTGTATAACGGGTCCAAGGACCATCCATTTGGATAAGAAAGGACCGACAAATGTTGATAGACATTCCCAAGTTTATGGTGTTCGGTTGGCGTTCCGCGCCGCCAATTCCTATACAGCCGCGGGAGTTTGATATGCCTGGGGATGAGCCCAATGGACGAGAAGTCCAGCCGTTAATAAAGCTGTGTCTCAACTACCTTCGTCCTTCGTCTCCTTCCAGTAAAATACGACATTCCCCTTTGTTACCATTGATGTTGAAATTGCACCAATCTAGGATCATGGTTTAGAATCACGCATTCACTCAGCATTTAAACTTCGGTCCCCTCGGAACCCCTCTTGAAGTCACTCGAAAACTCTGTGCTTGCAGACGTGTAAGGTTCATTATCTCATGATTAAAATATTAATGCCAGACGGATAACAGGATCACCTCTCCAGACATTTATCTACGGTGCTCTATGCCTTACAGTGAAGTTCACATAAAAATATTTGATTGGTGCAGCATACGTTCCTCGCCACACAAAAAACTTGCACACCTTAATACATGATCACTTCTATTTAATGTGCGTTCATTGCATTCACGCAAATGTAAATGCCCATCAGGTTTCAGTAAGGTTTCATGATGACCTAGTAAAACGGCTCCGTTATCGAACTCAGTTGCTTATGTGGTTGGTAATCTGATCCATGCTTAGAGTTGTATTGTGTCGTCCCCCAGTCAAAGTTCTAGGCAAGTTAAGCTGCAAACGTGCAGTCAGAATTGCATGAACCACTGTTTGGTATCTTTAGTAAATTAGAAAATGCGGAGTGAATAACAATGTTTCATGATGTAGAAAGTGGGACATCTTACTCGGTGAGAAGGTCAGAATAACTTCCCTAAGTTGTGGTCATCAGTAAGGTAAGTGTGTATTTCGCTGACATGAAGCACCAACATGAGTTCTTAGCATTGTGATGATGTTTGCTACAGAGAAACCTTGTTTCGGTTGTAAAGTTTCAGAACGTATTTCGAGCAATATTTCCACTCACAAAGCATACAAATACAGTAAAATAGTCCATCATGCATGATAGTTTTCAGAGGATCCGAGTGAGACCAGGGTCCAAGTGGACGGGGCCGCATTATAGCATGCAAAGCCATCACAGAGACGATTACTATTTGGTATATGTTAGATTGATCTGAGCTAAAGAGTTGATTCAAATTTGTACGCACATAATTCAGATGTGATGATGACAACATAGGCGGGGACGATTATCAACGAAGCCCCCCCTATGACACATCCTTCAACCTCCCACACAGGAGGCGGTATGACAATAGACATTTGAGTACGTAAGACAAAGAAGGCCAAGTAGGAATCTTACACTTTATAGTTGGAACAAATAACGCTAGAACCGTCGGTACCAAAAACAAAGATAGCTGTGCTGTTGTGTAAGGTGGAAGATCAAAAATAAGTGAACTCATTGCACTTACTAAGCCGTGCGCAACGCACACAAAGACAACAACCCTGTGATAATTCCACATAATGCAAGCTCTGAACCAGAATAGCCCTGCAGTTAATACTATGTTACTTGATCAGCAAGAAAACTCAATATAAGGACTGACATTCACAGAACGTGACTCCAGCACCCTGCATGACTGACCATAATTTAAGGATGTTAACGTTACAGGTGGCAGATAAGGAATAGAAAATATCACAGTACAAGGCATATGCAATGGATGTGCATCTCTGTCATATCGTTGTTGACCTCTCTTCCCAAAGTACAATGTATGAATACTCACATGAATATCAAGGCCAGGAACCAGATGAACTAGAAAACAGATGAGTACAATGAAGTTGAAATTCATATGCCACGAAGTCTTACAAATTAGCGCCAGTGGTATTGTTACAAACGGCACATAATGAGCCAAGCTGTATAGAATTTTTCCTGGTCCGAGTGTGCCCCCTTTCCACAGGTAGTCGATCTGAAGGTCGAAAGGATCACTTATCATGTATGACCAGCAAACAACGGATGTCATTTGAGTTACCTCATCGGGAATATTTAAGATGTAGTCGTATACCTACAGCTTGATGAGCGTGAGCAGCAATGTATAATAGTAGTTTAACTTGCAAAAAGGGTGCATATGGAAACTTGGAAACGCTTGACGTCAATGAAGCAGTTTTGTAGAACTCCGAGTTGCTTACCGTCGAGATACTGCCACGTACATACATGAAAGTTTCAGCATATTGAACATATGGAGCTTGAAATCGGACGCGCACGTTACTTGTCCGAAAACCTGTCGCGAGATCAACCAGTTGATCCATCGGCCGCTTTCGAAGTCAATAAGACTGGTTATCGTTCGAGTAAAAGTCGGGTACCTGATCTTTTGGTTGCGTACTTGGAATGTATGGGAAGGAGAGGAGCTTGTATGTTCTACACGATGCGACGATTCTTATATATAGGAAGAAAGTTTTAGCATAGCATCACTGACATATCCACAAATTTCATAATCGTGTTGGTTGTTACACTGATGCACTGGTTCATGGAGTGATGGTCAACCCGCGTTGGTGTTAGGATATCCCCCGGGAGTAAGCACATTTTCAAGGTCTTCAGCGGTGAGTAAAATCGCGACTCAAGACGCCCTGATGCTACCCACCAGAGGTTTGCGGCTGACTGTCTAGATCTGAGCTCATAGTTCAAGTAATTGAACGTGTGCGAGATATACATTTGCTCCCACGCTAAAATTCTCATAGCCCTTGCGGCGTATCACGCTGTCTATGTCATCTTCCATGGTCATGATCGCCGTGAAATCTTGGACACTTCGGCATGTCCTTATCTCTCCAGAGCTGTGAGATACCGCTATCTCTATACGCCATCACCACGCTTGGTATATAGTTGAAATGTTTCAGATTCTACCAGTGGCAGCGTTCGGTGATACTCCGTAAGACCTGCATGGGAGCTTCGGAGCGCGGGACGTATTTTAAGGTGACTCAGAGCTTGCTTAGATTGCGGTGGATAAAGTCAATGCAAGGGGGCAGACAGTCGAGCGGGATCCGGTGAACATCCAGGGGCAGTTGTTGAAGCTTGGGAAAGACTTGAGCGAGCCTAGACGACGGGGACAAAAGTCTCTGGAGTGGCCTGATATTGATGCGGGTTTTTTTTGGGTATAGGTGAGCTAGAGCTCGGTGCCAATCATGAGAGGCCGTATAAGAATCGTGAAACCAATGAGGCGCTTCCAATCCTGATCCTTTCCAGAAACGAATCGTCCTGAGTGGTAAGTGACGTGGTGAGACGGCTGAGTGCAATGAAACAAAGGACTACGCACGATGTGACCCTCCTCATCTTTCTCAGCTACGTGTGACATAACATTCAACATATCATTCATGTCGACTAGCTGAATGGTGTCAGACCAGATCATGACCGCCAAGACTAGAAACACGTACAATACCGTCACGACAAAGATGAACCAGAAATCCTGTTGCCTGAGAATACCGACGGTCGGTGGATCCCACGAACGCAACCGGGAATTGTGCATGTTGCCAAGAATGACGAGCCCCCAAGCTAATCAAGATCAGAAAGTGACCGTAGAGAGTACCGCCGGAGCAAAGCCACCTGTGTGAAACCTTCGACTGCCGGAGGGGAGCCGAGGCGTTCTGCCAGTGCGTGCGAATGCATTCAGGTAACGGCTTCCAAATGTGTGTCGCATGTCACAGCTTCAAAAGCACGTCACTGCCACACTTCTTTCAAGACTTCTTTACACACTGAAGAGACCACAATGGAGTCATTGTCACTCCAGAAATCTGCAGCGCTGAACGAGACCGGCATAGGTCTTCCGTGCGGTGCTTCGGGCGGCCAACTGTTTGCCTCCACGTCTTTGCTCGCGCTGGCCTGTGCACCACTCATAAAACGAGACCTCCTACATGCCCTCGCGATGACCAACGAGGAGTGTGCCAGTCTAGGACCAATCCTTGCAGAAGCATGGAATAGTTGGGATCGAGACGTCAGCACTTCATCCTCTTGACGATGCGCTGGTAGCTAACTCATATGATGCATCTTCTTCGGTTTTATTGAACACACTCTTCCGTGCTTTTACGCCGTTTACATCTTGGACCTCGTCGTACTGGTAGGGTCGACCTCAGCAGATGCCTGAAATCAGACTGGGGCAGATGGATGGTGACATGATAGCTCCAGCTCCGGGCGGCCGATTCTTCGCTACCATCTTGCTTTTGGCGCTCTCGCACGCGTCGTTACTCCGACAAAATATCATGCGCACGTTAGCGATGTCGGAAGCCGACTTTCCAGCTCTGGAGTCCAATTTCGCAAAGGCTTGGCACTGCTGGAATAACGAGGTTGGTTGCTGGTGTTTCAGTGAACGCATGAGATATTTTCCAGGCTTGCTAATTTCTTACCAGCGTCAACTATCAACTACATTGAGTCCAGTAGCCAACTTCCACCTAACTCATAGGGAGGTGTAAATTAGAACCATTGTTGCAGAGAGTGGTGCGAGTACGGTGCTTGCTTGTGTTTTACGAACTCCTGGTTGCATTCGCGTGTTCGTTAAAGTGAAATACGATGTATAAGTCGAGCATACAGTACCATAGATTGCTCGCCATGTCTAGCTCAAACATTCGCCGAGTGAATCTGCTTTTCTTCTGTTTCCAGCGTCGTCCGCGAGAAAACGCTCCTATAAAAACCGCCGCCTTCAGGCATACATACCGTCGTGTGCGCGTGGTTGAGGAAGAGGACTAGCTGGCTGCAGTCGAACTGGCGACTATCGTCGCCTCAGATGTCGAGGATTGCAAGGGCGAGCTACACAGAGACCCCTCCCCTGTACATCTCATTCTTTGCTGCTGACTATGACACGCATTCAACTTCATACCAACAGTCAACAAACGACGCAAGCGACCTCAACCCCGCGATTACGACCCATAATTAATTGCCACCAGAAATACGCACGCAACACAGTCTAATATAGTACATTTCTTATTCTACGCGCGCTCGGTCGCCGACGTTGTGGTGCACTGGACTCTGTGCGTTCCATCGAACTGCTCAATCGACTAAGAGCGCCGCTGCATGATACTTGATCTCTTTAATTAGTTGTGAGCTTATAGTAGTGATATATCACCATTACATCGCGTACTATTCCTTCTGCCCGATACATTTCCTACGAAACATCTGCTAAGGTAGCGTAGGATTCCGTTCTACTCCATCTTCACCTTGAAAAGCCATTACACCTTCGAACCCTACCTTACGCAATTGAGGGAGATGTGTCCGTGTCATAGTGGGCCCCTGGCTCGTAGGTCTGGTAAAGATCCCTTTCAGCCCCTCAAAAATACCTCCCGGCATGGCAGTAAACGCAGCCAAGTCCTCCGATAATGCGGATTCCAACAAATCCAGCCTCGTAAGCACCGTATGTCTCTGACTGCGCCCCGAGATATAAGTTGAGAGCACATGCTCAATGTCGGAGTGGCGGAGTGTTGTGGCCCTTTGAACGCTGCGCAAGTCCGAACAAGCACCGCAAGTGAGCGCAGCGAGTCTGCCTGGCTTCATATCTCCCGCCTGATTTCGGGCAAGTCGAGAGCGCGGTGCATCTGCCTCGTCGTAGACGTTAGCGGGTATCGACGGGTGCGGGTGGAGAAGTGCTCAATGGAAGTCATCGTCTCGGTGCTCTAAGTACATGCCAGCAAGGCCGCTCGGACCGGTTGCCACTGCCAGACAGCAAATACAACGCGGGCTACTTTAGTTTTTAAAAAAAAAACATTATATGGTCCGGCACTAGACGCATTAACTCGCTACTTTAGTTAAAAAACATTATATGGTCCGGCACCTGCCACTAGACGCATCAATTCCCCTGCCTCGGATAACCTCCTCCCCGAACACGAACACAGCGACTGGCGCACCTATTCGTGAACTATTCTGCATGGCCCCGAAAGCTATACTCTGGCCTCTAAACCTCGAGATTGGCATGCTTGCAAGTAACACTCTCAGCATACCAACCATCTCACCCTCGACGTTACTCGAACGTCACTTTGTCTTTATCGAGACCATGCACGGTTGCAAGAGAAAGTCAGTTATTATTCTAAGTTACGTGTTAATGCGATCTATGTAAAAAGGAAAAAGTGGGGTAAATACAGCAAAGAAGCTTCTCGGTATCGCGTTCCGACCTGACTCCAACATCAAGCCACCGCTCCTCCTCGAAAAACTTGGAAAGCCTCAAAACGGCTTTCTTTTTGAGTGTCACGCCTCCTCCTCTCCCCCGAGCGACAGACCACGCGCTCACACGTGCGCACCCACGAACTCGGCCCAGGACCGCACCTCGCTCGGGATCCGGCCCTCTGTGTACCCGCGCAGCGCGCCCTGCGGCATCTTGCGCTTCAGCGCCTCGACGAACAGCTCCGCCGTCTTGGGATTGTTCAGCAGCGGCAGCCCAAAGTCGACCGCGTTCCTACGACCGCACGTCAGCTTCTCCCATTCCCCAAAAGAAACCAAATAAAACATAAACGCACCGGCGCGCAACATAATCCTCATCCGTCACACTCGCCCCCCTCTCCCTCGCCAGATTAACAACCGCGCCAATCTCATACTCATCAAACACCTCCCTCAGCAGCCGCTTATCCTTCGTCGGGAAAAATATCTTCTTCGCCGACACATACCTGAGCTCGTCGCCGACGCCGCCCCCGTTGAGGAACGCCTCGACGGCGGGTGTCGCGCAGTAGATCTTGAACCCCAGATCCGTCAGCCCGCGCGCGACGCGCGAGAGCTCCGCGGGGAACGCGACGACGTCGCCGCCGAGCAGAATGCCGCAGCCCGCGCGCGGGGGCTTGAACCCCGTCTGGGAGAGCAAAGCGGCCCAATACGCCTCGTAGATGTCCTTTCCGAACGCCGCGATCTCGCCCGTCGACGCCATCTCTGCATCATCACCAAAACGAACGATCGTCAGCGTCCGTCGTTAACGGTTAAAGGAGCGGAGGGGAGAACGCACCGACGCCCAAGAACGGATCCGCACCGCCCAGCCGCGTCCACGAGAACTGCGACACCTTCACCGCCGTATACCCCCGCTCCTCCTCCATCACGTCCACCGGCTCGGGCACATCCTTGCCCGTAATCGCCGCCGTCGCCGTGCGTATAAAGTTGTGCCCCAGCACCTTGCTCACGAACGGGAACGACCGCGACGCGCGCAAATTGCACTCGATCACCTTCAGCTCCGCCTCCTTCCCTTCCGCAGCCTCAGCGTCGGTGGGCGGCTTACGGATAACCTGCATATTAAACGGCCCGCTGATCTCAAACGCCCTTGCCACCTTGGCCGCGATCTCCTTCAACCTTGCCATATCGCCCGCGGGCAAGGACACGGGGGGCAGCACGAGCGTGGCGTCGCCAGAGTGCACGCCAGCGGCCTCGACGTGCTCGCTGACAGCGTGCACGAGCAGCGCGCCGTCGTGCGCGACCGCGTCGACGTCGATCTCCTGCGCGCCCGCGATGAACTTGGTGAGCACGACCGGGTGCAGCGGCGAGACGGCCGCGGCGGCGGAGAGCGTGTGTTCGAGAGCGGATTCTTCGTGTACGACGTTCATCGCTGCGCCCGAGAGGACGTACGACGGGCGGACGAGCACCGGGTAGCTGGTCGAGGTCGCATTTCAGTGAGTAAGTGGTGCGTGTGACACAGCGAAGAAGGGAGGCTCACCTGACGCGCTGCGCAAACGCCTTGGCGGCCTCAAGCGTCGTCACCTCGGCCCACTCGGGCTGGTCGACGCCGATGCTGTCCAGCACGCTCGAGAACTTATGCCTGTCTTCAGCCTTGTCGATCATATCCGGGTCCGTCCCGAGCACGTTCACGCCGCTCTCCTTGAGCTTGAGCGCGATGTTCTGCGGCAGCTGGCCTTTACCACAAAAATGCACCGCGTCAGGGTCCTTCGTCCTAGTAAAGCAAAAGAGGAACGCACCACCAACACTAACAACAACCCCCTTCGCGCCCTCCAGCTCATATATATCCATAACCCTTTCCCACCCCAGCTCCTCAAAGTACAACCGATCCGCCTCGTCGAAATCCGTAGACACCGTCTCCGGATTATAATTAATCATCACCGTCTTCTCCCCCATCTCCCTCAAACTCCGCGCACACGTCACCGCACACCAATCAAACTCCACACTCGACCCGATCCGATACACGCCCGAGCCGAGCACCATCGTCCCGTGCTCGTTAAACTCGACGTCGTGCGCGGACGCGTTGTACGTCGTGTACAGGTAGTTCGTGTGCGCGGGGAACTCCGCCGCGAGCGTGTCGATGCGCTTCACGAACGGCGTGATGCCCTGCGCCTTGCGCGCGGCGCGCACGAGCGGCTCGGTGGACGCGACGAGGTCCGCGATCTGCGCGTCGGAGAAGCCCTGTTTCTTGGCGGTGCGCATCAGCTCGGGCGCGACGGCGTCGAGCGTGCCGGCGACTTGGAGCGCCTTGCGCGTCTGCACGATGTTGTCGATCTTGTACAGGAACCACTATTCCGCTCTACGTTAGCACGACCATGCCCACAGAGAGAGAGAGAGACAGAGAGAGAGAAACCCAGACACACGCACCTTATCGATCTTCGTAAGCTCATGCACCCTATCAACCGTATACCCCCTCCTATACATCGCATACGCAATCGCAAACAGCCTCATATCCGTCGGCCTACTGAGCGCATCGTCCAGATCCTCCGGCTCAATATACACCTCAAAGCCCTTCCACCGCGGATCGACCTGGCGTATCGCCTTCTGAAGCGACTCCTCGAACGTGCGCCCGATCGCCATGACCTCCCCGACGGACTTCATCGCGCTCCCGACGTGCCGGTCGACCTGCGAGCTGAACTTTGCCAAATCCCATTTCGGGATCTTCGTCACGATGTAGTCGAGCGAGGGCTCGAAGCATGCGGTCGTCGTCTTCGTGACGGCGTTCGGCAGCTCGGGGAGCGTGTGTCCCAGCGCGAGCTTCGCAGCGGTGTATGCGAGCGGGTAGCCGGTTGCTTTGGATGCCAGAGCGGACGAGCGGGAGAGCCTTTATCGGACGCGCACACCGTCAGCGACACGTTCTCAAAGGAGAGGAAAAGGAGAGCGCACCGGGCGTTGACCTCGATAACACAGTACTCGCGCGACGTCGGGTTGAGCGCGTACTGGATGTTGCACTCGCCGACGACGCCGAGGTGGCGGATGACCTTGAGCGCGGCGGACCGGAGCATGTGGTACTCGTCGTCGGGCAGCGTCTGCGACGGCGCGACGACGATCGAGTCGCCCGTGTGCGTGCCCAGCGGGTCGAAGTTCTCCATGTTGCAGCAGATGATCGTGTTCTGCGCGGGTTGTATTCGTCAGCGTCAGATTTTCCAGAACAGAAGAGGAAAGGGGGAAGAGGGAGAGGAGAGGACGTACATCAGCACCGTCGCGGACGACCTCGTACTCGAGCTCCTTCCAGCCCTTCATGCTGCGCTCGATGAGCACCTGCGGGCTGAGCGAGAGCGACTTGGCCGCGAGATCGCGGAGCTCCTCCGGGTTGTTCGCGAAGCCAGAACCGAGACCGCCGAGCGTAAACGCCGAGCGGAGAATGACCGGGTACGAGATCTTCTCGGCCGCCTCGAGGGCGGCGTTGACCGTGGACACTGCCGTAGACTGTGCGACCGGGATGTCGATTTCTGCGCGCGCTCCAATCAGCATGCACAACTTTGAAGAAAGCGGAGGGCAAACGCACCCTTGAGCGCCTGCACGAACAAATCGCGGTCCTCCGAGACCTCGAGCGTCCGAATCGGCGTACCGAGCACCTTCACCCCCAGCCTCTCCAACACGCCCATCTTATCCAGCTCAATCCCGACATTCAACGCGCTCTGCCCCCCAAACGTCAACAAAATCCCGTCCGGGCGCTCCTTCTCGAGCACATAAGCGACATAGTCCGCCGTCACAGGCAAAAAGTACACCTCGCTCGCGAGCTGGTGCGACGTCTGCCACGTCGCGATGTTCGGGTTGATGAGCACCGCAGCGACACCCTCCTCCTTGAGCGCCTTGAGCGCCTGCGAGCCCGAGTAGTCGAACTCGCCCGCCTGGCCGATGGAGAGCCCGCCGGAGCCGACCATGACGACTTTTTTCACGTCCGGTTTGGGCAGCTTGGGGAGGACCTTTGCGGAGATTTTGCGCGCGAGCTCCGAGGGCGAGGAGAGCGTGCGCTCGTCCCCCTCGCTACTATCGTCTTTGCCGTCGCCGCCGCTGTAGGAGCCGACGGCGGGGCGGGCGACTGCGCGGCGGGCGGGTGTGGGTGCGAGGAGGGAGCGGAAGGGGGTGGTGTGGAAGGTGCGGTGGGCCGTTATTCGAGTGTGCGTGAGGGGCCCGAAGAGCCGAGATGAGAGGCGGAGTGCCATCCTGCGAGAACAGAATGAGCATACTACATTGACCAGTCTAGCGTTGCTTACCTTGCGAACCCGATGGCAGCCTCCTGCAGACGAATGAGCATACAAGAACACAAGCAGAAAGAAAAGACAGACCTAGTGCCTCTGGTCGACGACTGCTACGGTGAAAGGAAAGTGGTTGGAGGAGGAAAAAAAGAGGACGGGCGGGTTAAAAAACGTCGAGTGAGTCACGACCCGTTTTTCATTCAACGCGATTCGCGCCAAAACTAGACACGCGTAAAAACTCCGAAATGCGCTTTCTCTCCTCGCACTTGCGACATATTCTCTTCTTTTATTCTCATGTGCACTAGAATTTGTATACAAAAACAGTCACAAGATGAACTCTCTTCTCTGAAATGTTGTCACAAGATAAACATTGAGCTTGCAGTGGTTCGGCGGAGGATATCATCAGGGCATCGAAATCCGATCAAATCGTCATTAACACAGACAGCGTCCCTGAAGATATATCTCCTCGACGGCTATAACATATCAAGTACTCTCACATGAAAACATATCTGATTCTATGACTGATCACTCTCATCTTCCTCCTCCTCGTCTTCATCTCCAAACAAATAATCCTCATTCGGATCCCTCGCAAACTCCCCCGTCCGAACCATCTCATGCTCCCTCTCCAACCACTCCTCCTCGTCCGTCTCCTCCTCCTCTTCATCATCATCTCCCTCCCTCCCCTCAGCCACCCTCCTCTCCTCCCTCTTCTCCCTCACCCCCCTCTTCCACTCCCCATACGCCGCATCCCTTTCCCCATACCCATACCCCCTCATCCCGCCCTCCGGCTCCTCCCCCTCCTTCATCTCCTCAACACCCACCACCGGCCTTACACCCTCCTCCCAGTCCCGGAAAAACACAAGCTCGCGCTCCATCCGCGCCCGCCGCACCTGCGCGATGTACAGCTCGTATTCCGCGCGCTGTGCGTCCGTGCGGAGCGATGCTACGCGATGGCGCTGTTCGCGCGCGCGGGTGAGCGAGGTGCGGGCGGTGGAGAGGGCGGTGTGGAGGGAGGTGCGGAGGGTGCGGGCGTGTGGGCCGTTGGCTGGGCCGTCGGGGCTGCCATTGTCGGGATCATTCCGTCTACCCCCGCTCCCCGCCCCTGCGATCCCCCGCCACTCCCGCTCGCGCCCATGTACTCCCTCCTCACGGGCCCGAGACCGAGACTGGGAAGGACGCAAGACAGCCGGCAAACGGCTCGGCCCAGCAACCTGCGATGGATCCGGCGCGTGAAGCACTGCCCGCCCATCCGTGTCAGCTCTTACTTCTATAAAGTTGTCGTAACTGTGATGCGACTCACGTTGCCGCTGATAATACTCGTCTTTCAGACGCTGTCTCCTCGCCTTCGATTCCGAGTGGGGCTTGGAGCGCGAGGAAAACGGCACAGCATGCCGCTGGCGCGAAGGGGAGCGCAGGATGCGCGAGAGGGAGGAGAGGTGTTTTTTCTCTCTCCCCTTGCCCTTTGCTCTGTCGATGGCCTTTCCCTTCCCCTTTCCTACACCTCTGCTTTTGCATTTGCCGTGGTCAGCGCTCGAGCGCCGAAGACCCTTCTCAGTCGAGCGTATCGCGTGCCTACCATCCCGCACCATCGTCAGCATCTCCCCACCAGCCCAAGGCATCAGAAAAGCCGGGCAGCCGCCCACTCACCAGCCGATCGCCTTCCCCCTCTCCACGCGCCGACAGAGCAGCGCCACAATCTGCGCGTCCGCGAGGTGTCTGTAGAGCGCGTGCGTCTGCGTCTGCGGTCAGCTCTCTGGATAGTACCGCACGACCGCGGTATAACAGGGGACGTAAGGCATAATTATAGCGCACCTTGGCCAAGCGGAGAAGCTGCGCGCGGCTGAGCGCGCAGAGCCTGCGCTGAGCTTTCACGATGTCTTTCTGGATCTTGCGGGCTTCGATGTCCGCTTCGATGGCGTGCGCCATAGCGATCTCGGAGGTGGTGGGGGTGTCGTAGCGGGACATTGCGGTGTGGTGGATGCGGATGGGCGGTGGGCGTTATCGTAGCGAGGAAAGCTAGTGCTGTGGGCGAGACTCGAGGGAGCTGAGATGGGTGTAGATGGTAGTGGAAGTATGAACCTTCAAGGCGAGAGCAGACGGGCTGTTATCCCGCCGCCGAAACAATAACTCAGACCCCTGCTCTTGCCACCCGCATCTGCATCTGCATCTGCATCCGGGGCCTAGCGCAAGCGCAAAGTCCAGAACAAAGATCCGCTTTGTGATGGACGCCTTTGAGACAGGTCACAGCTGCATTATGACGTGACGCTTGTTCTTGTTCTTGTTCTTGTTCTCGGGAGGTGTCACCAGTACTAGTACCGTACCGTGCTATGCCGCTTTTAGGCGCCGCAAAGCAAAGCGAGTGGGGCATCGGGTCTGTCGCTTTTTTGTGTATGTGCCGCTTGGTATGTCGCCTGCGGGTTTACATTCATGACAGCGAGGCACCATTACCGCTGGCGCCTGGCCACCGCGAGGGACCGTGTCCGGCGCGGAACGAGCAAGAGAACCGTAGAGAGCGTCGAGACGATGATAAAGATGCCAACAGAGCGACGACGGAGAGACAATAAGGAGTGAGACATCGCTTTTCCCGGGTGGTATGTCTTCTGAGCCTAAAGCACGCGGACGAGGAAGGAACGAGGGAGCGGAGATGGTTATTGTTCCCAATTCGACATACTAGCGCCGACAGCGTCGATCATCGTAAAACATGGGAGTGCCCGCGACATAGCTTCAATGTCAGCCTTTGCGAAACCATGAAAGACAATCATTCTCGTTAATGACAGTGCTCACAATGAATCCAAAGTCTCCGTATGTCATCGTAGTCTCATAGAAAGCCACCTGGTCGGAGTGTCGGAGAGCGGAATGGCGAGCCGACGTCAAGCGTTTGTCAAGGCGCTCTTGTCCTCCCGCGAAACAGGTCAAGGCGCCGTCCACCCGGTCCTCCATCCTCTGCAACTTCTCTTTTGTCTTTGCACGCACCTTGTGCCACCCTCGCTTCACTCAAGAGCGGTCATACCGAAGATGGAGAAGCTTAAAGCACACGCGCACTTCGTCGGGCGAGCCGCTCAACTCCTCCCGCTCGTCGAACGCCGTTGACAGTGTGCACTCCTGGAGAGTCTCTCTGCATCTAGATACCTAGAGATCAAGTCTATACCCTTCTATACCTCTCTACAGTCGACCGCCCCATCCCATACCCCATCCTGTATACCCGCAGTCCAACAGGAACCTAAAGGCCGACGAAGACGATGACATTACCCCTCTCTGGCACCCCGATGCACACCCAGCTCCCAGTGCACATCCCCTCGGAAGAACCGCTCACGCGCTCTCAGCTCGAGGCGCTCGCATACGCGCAAATCCAGAACCAAGCCCGCGTACGTCCTGTCTCACTTCACTTTCATCTCTCTATACCACGAACTCACCCATCGGGGCCGGTTCTAGAGCCGCAACATAGCGAAGCGCAAGCGGCCCAAAGCCGAGTTGATCGAGGACATATTGCTCGCGGACCCGCCTCCCCACATCGCTGTCAATCTCAATCCCAATATTAATGCAAGCGCGGGCGCGCGGTCGCTGCACGTCGTGCACTCTGCGCACTCGTTCGCCGCCTCCGATCGCGCGCACTACGACGCAGAACGCGGGACAGGCTCGCGCCAGTCCACCCGCCCTCCCGAGATCCAGGGCGCCGTCGAAGAGGAAGAGGACACGCCGTACATGCCGCCGAAGGCGCCCGGGGGGCGCGCTAATAGAGGTGCGTCTGCTGTGCCGGGTCTCGAGGAGGCTGCCGCCGAAGTCAATGCTGACTTCTGACTTCCTCTGATACTATGGATACCTGCGACACGGACCCGCTGTACAAAGACCCCACACCGTCGCCGTACGAACAGTACAAACAGACGTACGGACACTCGCCTACGTGTTTTCGCCCGCCGGCATTACCCCTGCCGGTGCTGGTATCGGCGAACCCGCCTCCAGCAACCGTCGCGCGCTCCGAACCATCGCACGAGCGCGCCTCTCGGCGCTCTTCACATGCGCGCGCGCCCAGCTCGAACGGACGCGCGGGCTCAGTATCTTCTGGCCGCGCCCACGCCAGCTCTTCCTCCCAACTGCGCTCCCATCCCCATCCCCATCCCCGTTCTCATTTGCGCCACTCTCAATCCCGACCCCAATTTCGCTCTCCATCCCCACCATATCACACTCGCTCCCACAGCCCAACGCCCCCTCCGCACCAGCGCATCCTCGCGCTGCACGAAGCCAACGCGGTCATCCACGAGGCGCTCTGGAAGACGCACGTTCTTCTCGAGGAGCAGGCTGCGCGTCTCGATGCTATCTCTAACGGCGGCGGCGGCGGCGGCAGTGGCGTTGGCAACAACGGTGACAGCGGTGGTGCTAGTGGTGGTGGTGGTGGCAATGGCGGGAACGGTGGCAACGGTGGCAGTGGCAGCGGGTGGGCAGCGATAGGGGAGATGCACGAGCTGCGGCTGAGCAGCGAGATGCAGCTGGGCGCGATGAGCCAGCGCGCGGTGGAGCGGCAGAAGGATGAGAGGTGGAAGCGGGTGCCGTATGATGAGATGCATGCGGGGGACGAGGGCGAGGGTGAGGAAGGAGATGAGGAGGGTGAGGAGGGTGAGGAGGGTGAGGATGACGAGGAAGGAGACAGTGAGCAAGGCGACGGCGGTGGGGATCAAGGGGACGACGACGACAACGACGGTGCAAGCGGCACAAAGCCACACTCCCAGCCGACGTCCAACCCCCGCCACCCCAACCCCACCACCTTCGCGCCCCCGCCCCAGACGCACAGCATCCCCCCGCAAGAAAACCCCAGCCCCGAGCTCGAGTACCTAGACGACGCCGGAACAGTCCTGCGCGAGTTCACGCCGCTCCTGTCTGCACGGACCGTCGGTCCCCTCCAGCACCAGCACCAGAACCGGCACTGCTACATCCACGCGCAGCCCCACGCGCAACAGCAGCCGCTGGGGCAATCAGAGGATCCTTATGCAGGTATACCGGTAGGCTCGGTGCCGTGGCCGGTAAGAAATCCTACCGAGGAGGAGCTCGATGCCGCCGAGGACGAGGACGACGATGATGATGACGATGACGATATCTTTGGTGGCGACGATGTCTTTGGCGGAGACGACGAAGACGATGACGATGTCTTTGGTGATGGGGGCGAGGTGGTGGTGCCGTGGAGAGGGGATAACCCGGCGTTCTGGGAGAGCGCGTCTGGCGCTGGCCGGGTGGGCAAGGGCGCGGAAAACGACAAGAGCGAGGACGAAGACGAGAAGAGGGACAGGAGCGGGAACGCAGATGCTCATGCGCGCAGCCACGCTACCGGACAGGACCAAGTCGCGCGGCCGGCGTCCACGACGGCGAGTAATCAGGCCCAAGCTTTGAACGAGTTCGTTCTCCCTTCCCCTAATATCTATCCTCTTGTGCACTCTCGTCCTGACACCAACGCCACCAGCTCACCGATGTACGAGCCGCTCTCGCCTACACCCGCCCAGCTTGCGCAAGCGCCGGACCCTCAACGTCCGAGCCCGAGCTTCAGCCCCGGCGCAGACGACGGCACTTTCGACTTCGACGACCCGTTTGACGGCGTGGACGCGTTCGAGGGCACACCCACGCCGCCGGCAGAGGCCGCCGCTGCAACCGCTGCTGCGCTGTCTGCTCATTCTCGCACGCACGCGGACACAGACGCGGGTGGGGGAGCCAGTGCGAGCGAGGCAGAGGTTGAGGACGGGCTGGCGTCGTCGTCGCCGCCCCTTCCCGCTGCTGCTGCTCATGTCGCTCCTCCCTCTGCATCCGCGTCCACTTGGTCCACCCCCTCCTCTGCACACACGTACACGGCCGCCGACTGGGGGCGCGAGCCGCGCGATGCCCATGCTGCTGTTACCAACAGGGCGCTTAAACGGACGCGGGACTCGAGCGAGCCGGAGGACGGGCCTAGTTCTGCGAAGAGGATGCGGTGGTGATATTTTCCCCCACTTTTACTTACGCTTGGGAATTTTGTTTGTTAGTGACGATCGATACCCCTGTGACGTAGAGTGTTGTGTTTTGACGTATGTATTCGGGGGGCGGAAGTAAAATTGCGGAGGCAAAACATATATTTTCGTTTTTGTTGTGTGTTTGACTCGGGGCTTGGCTTTTTTCTGTTTTGTTTTCATACGCCCTGCACCATGACTGATTTCTCCGCCGACGTTCAAAAAAGATGAAGCGAGCCTCTTCGGAGAAATGCACAGCCGCGGGTGGGTCAGTTTCGATTATTGCGGATATGTTTTCGGGTAAAACAACCGATATCGGCTGGCGACATGGAGCTGACAGAACGACCGCAGCAATTTCGGATATTGATTGATGGACGTTTCCTGGCCTCGGTGCCCCGTTCTCCTTCAGGCCTCTTCACGGCATCCTTCCTCACCCCCTCCATGCTCACCAACCCTCGGGGCATACTCGTATTCCCCACCCTGAGTACCTTGGATGGCCCGCCCGGAAACCCCGCCGACATGGAGGCCAACGCGCGCTTCACAGCCAGCATCGAGATCATCGGCTCGATGACCGTCGGCGGCACGTTCTACGGCTTCACGACCGCGACCGCCGCGCTGTGCGCGCACACGCTCGTGCAGACGCGCGCGCACCGCTCGCGGCGGCGCCTCGCGTTTCTCCTCGCGTACGTCGGAGTGCTCTGGGCGCTCGGCACGGTGCTCATCGGGGGCACGTCGCGCGTGTGGCTCGAGACGTATGTGATTAACGCGGCGAGCGCGCTCGAGTACCCGTATGTGCGGGCGCCGGCGGAGGGCGCGGCGGCGCTGGTGGTGAACACGGCGTATTGGGTCATTCTTATGCTCACGGACGGGGCGATGGTGCGTGTTCGCGCAAACGTTGCGGTGCATGTGCTAATACTATTTCCTGTTAGATCTGGCGGTTCAAAGTCGTCTGGTCGGGCTCCCGCTTTTATCGCTACCTCATGGTCTCGCCTGTTTTGCTGTATCTGGTCATAATAAGTACGTGCCAGCATTCAGTGCAGTTTTTCTTTCTTTTTTGAAGCTTTGACCGACCCGGTCGCACACAGTCCCCGGCTTCTGCGTATACGTGCTCTCCGACTCCCGTTCTGCATGGGGGCCTCCCGACAACGTCAACCTGCGCCTCATCAGCGCCGTAACCCTCTCCTCGTTCTGCCTCAACGTATACGCCACCGCCCTCATCGCAGGCCGTCTCTTCGTCTACAGACGCCGGTTCCGCGCCAACTGGGGTACGTACCATCCCGCCCCTCGTTAAATCCCCACTCGCTAACACGCAACCTCACCTCACCATCCCAATCCCCTCGTGCAGGCACACCAGACACAAAACACTACACCTCCATGGGCGCCATGCTCATCGAGTCGTACCTCCCCCTCACACTCTGCACGATCCCGTTCTTCATCACGTACCGCCTCAACCACCCCGCGCAGTTCATGATGGCCTCCATCCTCGACCAGATGCAGATCACCGCGCCGCTCCTCGTCATGCACCGCGTCGCGCGCGGCATCGCGTGGGACTCGTCCACGACGCCGCGGTCGATTGAGAGCGCGGTGGATCGGGCGCTGGAGGCGCATGAGCAGCGGATGGTAAGGATGAGTAATGCGTAGATGTGTTGGTGTGGGATGTATGATTTGATATTGTACAATGGATAATAGACTGACAACGCGCTTGGGAGGGAGATCAAGGCTTGTGTTGGACACTCGCGTGCATGGACAACGCCTGGCACCTGTATAGGAAGGATAGTGGTTGAAGCAGATGAGAATGGCGAAGATGCGCTCGACAGCGCCGCTGTTGACTCCGTTCTCAGTGGTATTTCGCCTGCGGAAGCTCTGTAACTTACCATGGTTCAGCCAATTCCGAGAGAGGTCCACTGTCTTTGCCTTCGCGAGTATCTGGTCTCCTTCTCATCAAGCTTCGGGTCCAAACCTACCTGGACAGAAACCTCAGTCTGAATCGTACGTATCTCCCTTCACCCGTCCTACCATCCGTGTGTAATACATACAGTCCCAAGACGCTTTGAGTGAGAGATTCAAGGCGCCCAAAGGCACTTGGCGGCTTGCAACTGGCAGGATGCCTGGTCTCCGGACCGTCTCGGACCGAGAGCAAGCTGCTGGTATTGATCCAACTTCGTGTGATAGACCGGTGTAGGAGAGGGATATGTAGGGGTGGGCGACGGTGTCGTCTGATTTGACGGGCGGACGTGACGGCGTTGGATGGGGAGGTGAAGAGCGCGGAGAGTTAGACGGCGGAGGAGCGCGGTCGCCGGTCAAGGGAGACGAAGACGACACTACCAGCGCAACCCACCGCAACTGCGACTCCATCGCGGCTACCTTCAATGGCGCATGGCCGCTGAGCTCCAGACCAGGAGAACCCCGATTTTCAGCGCCAAGTACCGCCAACTGCCGGGGTAGGCCGTCACGGACCTGCCTACTTTCCCGTTCCCTTTGTACCCTAGCCACTCGGAATCATAAGCCTCATCGCACTTTAGCCGTGCCTCCCGACGACTTGGGTGGCGAGAGACTCTGCGCTATGGCCAATCCACGAGAACGATCCGATCGTTGAACCCGAAGATTTGGAGGTCATCGTACCAAACTGGAGCGCCGGATGACGATGACTACAGCCAGGATGAAGATTGCATGAAGAAGCGTGGGTGGCGATAGCATCGTGGAAGAGCGAGGTGTCGACATCCTGATGGATGTAGGTTATCGGTGACCGCGCGAACAGGGAAAGGAGTGCGAACACGAACACACACGGCTCGGATGGGTTTGGACACATTTGTGCGCACGACTGCAAGGACACCGGGTGGTGAGTTATCAGGCTGGTGGGCTAGTAACTCGATTTTTGTCGGGAAACGTATATTATGCTTACCTTGGTACTTCCAGATGTTGCGTGCATACAACCGAGCTCGAACATGGTTCGTACATGGCTGGATGTACTCACATTGCGTTTTGGCCCCTTCAACGAGAAGGCATGCGCCGAGCCAGCTTGAGCAGACAAGCCCCTGGCAAGGCCCCTCAGGTACCGTCGAATTGCTGGCTTGACAACGACTTGGACAGGGAAGAGAGGCACCTTGCCCACTTTCCTAATAGTCTACGCAGTCTATGCAGCTCAGACTATGACGAAAATGCGACAACCCCTAACGCCGACGACACTGACCGCATCTCCTAAAAGAAGCATTATTACAGCACAGCCACTCCTGACATGACAAGCGTGCGCTAAATCAAACCAACTCAGAACCGTCACGCTACCCCATGCCTCCTCTTTTGCCTCCTCCGTCTCCCCTAGAGCCGCCCAGCTTCGGGGTATGACATCCACTTTGAACAACCTGGACAGCACAAACTTCGACCTAGAGGCTCAGGCGCGGTTCACGGCCAGCCTCGAAATCATCGGCTCGATGACTGTCGGCGGCACATTCTACGGCTTCATGTCGACCACCGCAGCGCTATGTGTGCACTCCCTCATCGAGACGCGTCAGTGCCGGTCACGACGGCACCTCGCGTTTCTTCTCGCCTACGTCGGAACGCTTTGGGCGGCGGGCACAGTGCTGATAGGGGGCATATCGGCGGTGTGGGTCGATATGTTCGTGTACCACGCGTCGAGCGCGCTCGCGAGCCCGCAAGCGCAGACTCCCGCTCCGGGAGGGGCTTCGGCGGTTGGAAATACGGCGTACTGGGTCATTCTTATGCTTACGGACGGGATGATGGTGCGTGTTGGATCATTTCGCCTCGTGCACGTACTAATGTTTTGGGATGTTTTCCTTACCAGATCTGGCGGTTTAAAGTCGTCTGGTTCAACTCGCGCTTTTACCGCTATCTCGTATCTGTGCCTATTCTCTGCTATCTGGGAATACTAAGTGCGTGTCACGATGTCATAGTATCCTCTAAGTCACCAATTTCGGCCCAGTCCCCGGCTTCTTCGTTTTCGTCATCTTCAGCAACCATCCCATATGGGCCGGCAACATAGTCAATGAGGACCTCATCACCGCTATATTCTCTTCCTCGTTCTGCCTCAACATTTACGTCACCGCCCTCATCGCCGGCCGCCTCTTCCTCTATAGACGTCGCTTCAAAGCCAACTGGGGTACGCGTCCACCCACCCCATTCCCTCTTTCCCGCACTCACACTCACATTTCACGTCCGTCTCCCCAGGCTCGCCCGACACAATGCACTACACCTCGATGGGCTCCATGCTCATCGAGTCGTACCTCCCCCTCACCGTGTTCACCATCCTGTTCTTCGTCACGTATCTGCTCAACAACCCCGCGCGGTACATGACCACGTCCGTCCTCGGCCAGATGCAGATCACCGCGCCGCTCATGGTCATGCTGCGCGTCTCGCGCGGCATCGCGTGGGACTCGTCGACGACGCCGCGCTCGATTGAGGTTGCGATAGATCGCGCGCTGCAGGTTCATGAGGAGCGGGCGGTGCAGGTTGTGCCCGACCGTACGTGGTGCTAGGCCGGTTCATTCTTTTTGGCGCTGACGTTGTTGAAGTAGGGTAATGAGCGGATAAAAGGCTGGAGTCATGTATTTCGGTGTTACATTCGCTTCATTTGCGGCAATCTACGCAGCGCAAATCCGTCATGTCAGAATGTATAATCAAGTTTAATCAGCGCCAGCCGTGTATCTTTGTTCGCACTTTCCGCTGATGCCAGACCTATACGGCACAAGTGGGCACCTGCACATACCACGCGGCAAGGTCACTCGGGAGCTCATACGTCCAAAAACCTGTACCGAGAGTATATACTGGGGATCCACCAACGAGTGCACATTCGCTCGAGAACGCGGAAGACAGAGAACGTGGAGCACCACAAGCAGCGAGTGGTGGAGACAGTACCGTGACAAACGGGTAGGCACCATGGGTTTGCAGATAAGTGATTCCCGGCAACAAGTAATATTATGAGTCCCGCACAGATTAACCCTATACTGAAGGTAAACTAGATAATATCCCCAAACAAAATCCCTTTCTAAAGAGCTTAGTTAGACACAGTGGGGGTAATGCTGATACCAGCAAAGACACCGCCAGTAACATAATACGTCGAGTCCGGCTGCTCGCCATCAACCGCGTACGTCAGCTGCGCAAGCACATCGTAGCCCGCGTTAAAGTACGTCGCGTAAGGAACCTATTGCATGTCGTCAGATATGACGACTGTAAAATGGCTTGACAGGTATGTCAAGCGGAGCCCGTACCTGGGTGGTGAACGTGTCCGTGAGCGCGTCCGCCGCAGGCTCGTGGTGCGCGAGGAGAATCGGTGCCTCGTGCCCGTTGTTGTTCTGCGGCACCTCGATGTAGTAGTCGATGTACTTTGGGTAGATCCCCGCGTACGAGTGCGCGCAGGAGAGGTTCAGGTTACCGGTGATGGTCTACGCAGGTCGGCGGGCAAGGAGGGTGAGGGTGCGAGAATATCGACCAAAGCATGGCGCACTTACGTCGCCGGATTTGACAGTTGTAGGGGTGATGCTGAATGTGCCGAAGCGGGAGGCCTCGTCGCACGAAGCGAGCGCGACACCGGCAGCGGCGAGGGAAATGAGGGCAGTGGAGATAAGCTGCATGTTGACTGAAGTTGAAGCAGAAAGGGTCTGTGAGGCAAGTGGGGCGAAAGTGAGACAGAATCCAACGCTGCCAATGTGTGCCTTTTATACCTCTGATTAGTGCATCGTGTCGTGAGACATGGTCGGCGCTCTCGCCAAGCCATGGCGATGGTATCACCCGAATGTCGCGAGCAATGCGGGGTAAAATGCCCGTTGGGCGATTGACATATGTCAAGTATGTATGGATTCGGCATCAGGGTGGATGCATCGCTTTGCCATTTGGTATGAGGGAGCGGCGTATCCCAGGAGCCGTCTGTCGTACGTCAGGAAAACATGTCCCTGAGACCGGGCAGGACCGACCGCAGGTAGCCGTGGATCGAGGTTTTACCTGCGTAAGGCGAAGAAAGAGTATGAAGGTCGTAATGTGCGCGGTCTAGAGTGGCAAGTGACAGCTGAATCTGTTACATGCCTGTTTGTCAGCGTGAAGAAGTTACGGGCGCCACTTACCGATCTTTAAGAACATGCTGGAACGGAGGCAAAACAGGGCCTCGATCGCCTCCGCGCCTTGCCTTCAGGTACACAATGGCAAAGCTGTGCACATGAACGGACGGACAAAACGGAACACAAGGAACAGAAAGACACCCAGCCAGAATGGCATCGTTACACGGTCTGGCTCCCGCCCGGGACTTGCCGTCGACATCGCGAACGACTTGTTAGTTGTTACCCGTCTTCTCCAAGACCAGAATCAATGCAGCAATACTATGCTACTTGTAACTCGCTGTCATGCCAATGCGCATAGACACCATGCCAAGGAAATTGCTCAAAACCGCTGACTGTAAGCCGTTTCAGGAGAACTCGATCGCAAAGAATCATTATTCAATCCTCGCATAGTATCCCCAAGAGCTGATAAAACCGTATCTCATTATCCCAGCGGGCGACATCCACATGACCCAACGCATACGTTAGGGACCTTCTGAAGGTGCGGTGTCAGTACGCCCAAGGTGGCTTAAGCAAATATGATCTTACATCACCTCTCATTTCAATCCATCCGAGACGTTTACGTGCAGTAAGCGCCTGTCGCGGTGGCCGAGCAGCAGGTCGGGCACGCGCATCCCGCCAGGTAAACAAAAGTGTCGGCCGGACCACACTGGTAAATGTACGCGTTGCCACCGTTTTGGCTGGGGTTGGCGTTACATCCCTCGGCGCCAGCTGTCGGGCGAATACGCGTAAGACATAGGTTCAAGAGAAGCGAGGTTATAACTTACGGGAGTCGCAAGGCTGTCCAATGGGGTTATAGTCCTGAGCTGCCACTTGGACGGCGAGGAGGATTGCAGAAAGGGAAATCGACGTGATGAGCTTCATGATGTGAGTGGTTGGAGTTCGAGAGTAGTTGGAGGACGGAGAATTGAGCGAACGAAAAGACCGCTTTATATATTCGTTTCCGAGCTGCATTCATCCCCTTGAAGACCGCATACCTGGGATTACATAAAACATGAATAGCATCGCTTCGATGACCAAAGTTAGAATGCTAACTCTTCCTGCCGACGCGGATGTACAGGCCTTGTTGCCTGCAAAGTGTATTCAAAGTCAAACTTACCTGCCCCGGGCGGTGCTGTAGTCGGGGGACTTGCCATCAGAGGCGGTGCTGTAAGACGAGTCCTCACCTCAACGTCCTCCAGAAACAACTTGACCACCGCGCGTTGTAATTTCTTGGCACGGAGGCCTCGGCTAGAACGACTTCGCCGAAGCCAGCGGCCTATTCAAAAGAAGCTGCGAATTCGGAATGGCATACGCGGAGAAACATGCTAACAGTGACCCACTTTGGATATGAAGTGCGCCGTAGCGGATAGCCATAGAAGAAGGTAGTGAATTGATCGCTCAAACATGACCACTCCACCTCCATACGAGGCTTTGAAATGTCAAGCATGCAATGCTCTCGTGATGAGAATCGCACAGCTTGGTGACATCTAGCCCACACAAAACCACGCACCATCAACACCGCGTTAACCACATGCCGAATGCAATGGAATAACATGGAGATCTAGTGGAGTTGCCATGTTGGAAGGAACACAAAGTTAGCTCTCGAGACATAGCCACGACCGACCCTTTGGGGCTGTCGTCGTCCTGGGGATACTGCAAATGCGCTGGTGGAACCAGAGAACAGCTTGCCAAACTGGCAGATGAAGCCAGATGGCTGATAATAATCAACGGTGCAGTAGTAGGAAACCCCATGACATTACTGGAAAGAATACAATTCAAAACCTAGGGGCATAACATAAACGACGTCAGGGCTCACTGTTTTCTAATGAATCGAAGATCGATGTATTCAATCTCGGGAATGTTCAGCGCGGCTGGGGACGATAGCGGCGTCCAAACGTCATTTAAAGGAACGAAAATATGTGCGATTAGACTGGGGTATTAGCTAAATTCTATCATAATAAAATGCGAAAGGTCCACGAAAGCCTACGATGGCTTCAAGTGCTCAATCGTCCTATGATCGAGTTTATGTCAACATCTAGTCCGAAAATCAGCTTTTCTTGCGCTCCTTCTTATCAACAACCAGATGGAGAACGTCGTCCTCGTTCAGATTCTTGAACTACAACGCAAACATCAGTGAGAGGTTGCATGTCATTCGGAGTAAGAATTACGGTAAGCTCCCGAGTGCGGTGCAAGCCTTCAATCTCATCGACACGAGCGCGAACATTATCAAGCATGTCGTCGAACTTCTCTTCCTCAACGACTTCACGTGCGGCGTGTAAGATCAACATCGAGTCGGGCCGAACGTCGAGGTTGACCTGAACGCGGATAAACTCATCTCAGGGCCTGAAGACGACGAACGGACAAGGGGCTTACGTCGATGGAAATTATGTTTGCTCTATCAAGGTCTACAGAGTCCATTAATGCGGTCCATTACTTTGGCTAAGAGACGTTGCTTACCTTCTAGGAAGTCAGGTCGCGTCATGATTTGCCGGCAACGCCACTGCAAAGTCCTCAGTAAGTCTCCCAAGACGATTCAGCGAAGTGACTAACATATGGTATCTTGGGCAAATCAATCGGGTCACGCGAACCCTCGTGCAACCTCTCCTGCTCACGGTGCTGCTCGACAAACTCCTTCAAGAGCAGCCACGAACATGAGCTCCATTTTTGCTGTGCACATCGTCATCAGCAGCATACACCTCACGCATCGCATATAACTCGGGCCAAAGAAGCATACCTCATCCATGACGTCGTCGTCGAGATCCGGGATAAGACCAATCAGGCTCTGCAGCCACGCCTTCTCAGCCTGAACCAGCTTGCGCGCGGACGCATCGACGTCCTTGTCGAGCGCGATGCGCGTAAGAACAGAGAGTCGCCCGCCGATGAGTGATACGGCGTTGTGGTACTGCTCGATCGCCTCCTGCGTGGCGGATTGCCCGTGCCGGTCGTGCCGGAAGAGTGCGAGCGCATGACAAGCCTGAGCGCGGTCCAGGTCGCGAATCGAAAGGATCTGCATGTGACACGGTCTAGTGTGAGAAACTAACAAAATACTTCAGAAAGATGGGGTGATGCTTACCCTCATTCGGCTCCCAGCACGACCTACGGAAGAACGGGTATCACATCAGTGGGCTGCGTATGCACGGAGAATTGAGAAATCCCTACGGAGCTCAAGAAAAGGCCAGAAATCGTCACTGTGCAAAGTTAAGTTAGAACATATGGTGGGTGGTAACTTCTGAAACGCCACCAACGGAGCACTCACGTGGCGAAGACGACTGTGACTATACCTGCATGAGAACAAATAGGACTTGAGCACTGGATTGATACACGCTGTCGGAGAATATACCGCTCGCCGACCAGGTTTCTGCACGCTGTTGAAGCTGCAAGATCATGTTCCGTCCGGCGTCATCATTCTTGAAGTGGTGCACGTTGTTGAAGATCAGTACGTAAGGCTTTCCTCGTTTCCTAGCGGCACGTAAGGCAACCTTCTCCAACTTGTTTAGCGCTGCACACGAAGCACGCTCGAGTTAGTAAGTTGAAGGATCGAGCGAAGAAGCGATGATCAACCTCGTTCAATATCTAGCTCGGGGCCGGCTGAAAGACGTAAAATGCATCAACGTCAGTAAGCAATCGTGTAACACGCATGTCTGATGAAAACTCTACCTTCCCTAGGGTCTCGCCGCTGGAACAGCCCTGTCTGTGTATCTTCGTTGAACTCGAAATTCAGCGCCTTACCTAAACGCAGGCGGAAAACTTCGAGGTCTGGATGGGCCTCGAGAACAGCCACACCCTCTGCCTGGATCGTTCGCATCGCATCGAAGATCAGGGTAGATTTCCCTGCGCCCTGTGATGCATCGTTGACATTTCACGTACAATCCGTAAAATGCGAGGCGATTAATGGCAGCAAGAAATGGAGACGATGACCGGGAAGAACAAGAGCACAGGTATCAGCAACGACCTCTTGATTTCCGAGGACGCGGCGAGGCGCATGAAACATACCTTTGGGCCCATTAAGCAGTAATAGTTCCCTACAGCTTCACCCTTGACAATCGCATCTATGACGTCTTGGTCCTCGCGGCGAAGATGGCTGGTCCATGCCCTGAGCGGTATGTCCTTGTCCCAGTGCTCGTTCTTCACCCTATGCGGCAAGTCAGCCAGCTCGAGTGCCGGGTCGTATCCCTTAGCGAACGCGAGTTCGATCTACAGTGACTGGCGGCTTAGCAAACGCGATCTCGGTTTCTGTACGATTGGAATGTCACCTTGTCGAGGACACGTTTCTTGTACCATTCGACGTAAGCGACGCCACCGAGGAACACTGGATATGCGTCACGTTAGCACTCGTGCATCAAGAGAGCACTTGAAACAGGACGCATGGCGAATATATGCGCGCGTGCCAGGAAACGTTAGGCCTGTCAGCATGACGCTGAAGCCATGTTCCTCGCCCTGTTCGCGGAGTGTGCACTTGGCTCGGAGCCAGAAACCAGATGTGTCCGCTCGAACAGCCTTGCGCATACAGTCACGAACGGAGGACCCTGTTGATCATCCTATCCGGGGAAGAAGGACTCGAGAGCGTAGACAGGGCCGCCAGTAATGACGCAGACATCCTCGTGTATATGTAACGCGGAATGCTAGTGGCACATGTCGAACGAAAGATCGAGGTACTCACGTATACCAATGCCCACCAAAGTGGTCAAGGCCGAATCAAACAGCGGCGACGTCGGGAACGAGAACATGCCCTGCCTGTCTCCATCCTTCGCATCTCGTTGTTGAAAGTGGGGTGTAGAACGCGTGGCTTGGTCGTGCGTATGTTGCGAACTTGACGAACCAGCATCGGGATGTGGGTCGCTCGAGTTCGTGGGTTTCTGGGATGTTGTCGAATAGGGCTGGCGCTTAACGGGTTGCCATTGTCCGACGTGGGCATCCGCACACTCGAGATCTACAACCCTCCGTCCGCGAGTGAGGGTTGGCCTTGAAGTGGATGGCAAAGCCACGCGACGCGTTGAACCGAGACGCGAGACCAGACGCGACGAATGCATGAAGAAGGCGAGCACGCACTAACGACGAAGCTGAGACTAGTGAACGTGATGGACCGAGAAGTGGATGGGTATTGAGAGTGACATGGAGGGGAGCCCGGCGGTGTGAAGAGCGCGTTGTGCCGAACGCCGAGCCAAGGCTCGCGGCGGTGTGACGTCTGTGCTACCCGAGTTGGAGGCGCGGCAGGGCGCAGCAACGCCGCCACTTTTTGTTTCAACCGACCTCAGCGCCGAGTTGCGTGCGCGGCCTGTGGACATTGGACAAGGTCACGAGAAAGTCCGATGTGTCCTTCGGCTTCATGGGACAGCAGCAGTTGGTCAACATGCCCAGCTGACAAAACATACGGGCCGTCGCTGACATTTGAGGATCAAAAAAGGCAAGTAAGCCCCTGAGTAATGCCCACAAAGTATCCGCTATCCAACCCACGACCAAGCTTCTTAGATCTCAGAGCCTCGAGATAGCTGATATCTGTATGCAGTACTAAGAACGATAGGCACATCGATAAAGTCATTCGAGCCTATCGTGACAGGACAAAGTACCCTTTCCGGTGAGCTTCTCGCCCTGGCCGAAGGTCTGCAACACATGAGACGCCTCTAACATTAAAGCTTAATCGTTATCGTTCAAAACGCCTTGACCAGCAAGATCACCATGCCCTCCTCGTCTCCTGTCGCCTAACAGAAACGCACCGAGGATCACCCAAACTCACCGTGAGTTGTACCGCCATACCGCCCTACTTGCTCGCCGGTGACTTTCAGCTGCATAGGCGATGTCAGAAAAGTGCGATCGACGTCAAAGTCCTGCCTCTTGAACACGTCAGACCTGTCAAGCCATGTCTACAATCCCTCGGACCCGGTGCAAAAGGGACCAGCGTGTTTTGTGCGTATTTGGACTTGTGTCCCCAGAACGTGGTAACAGAAAACACGCGGCCGCTGTCTGTGCCAACACGACCACTCAAACTGCGGTGCGGGGAAGTTATGAATTGCCTATCACTCCTTGAACGCAATTTGCAAAACGGCTACTTACCTTGCCATGAACGCCCGAAGACGAGGTTTACACGCCCGGGATGTATGGACGACAAAGTTGCCTTCGGGACAGGGAAGACGCGAAACGCGCGCTCCGTCTATACTTGTGCACTGCAAGCCATACGTTCATGCACCATCCAATCCAGAGCCAAGATTCAGATTGTTATTGAGGGCTACGTATCAAAACGTTGAAAGCCTCTTGCCTCGATGCGTGATCCGTACCTCTCCCGCCTTGTCAGCGATAGGGCACGGTAGAGGATGTTCCGTTTGTTCCTCCTCGGAACTGCAGTTGTCTGCCAGCTCAAAGATCAGCGATCAGGGCTAAGTGCACTGCTCGACCCAAGCCGGATCGAGCATCCGACTTCGTGCACAAGCAATAGCGGACCGCATTCGACAAGAGTTCAGAATGTTGCCGAGTCACGAGGCAGCAAGCTTCAATGTGAACACTTCACTTTCAATACAAATATTGAATAAGGCAGGTAACACGTTGCACGCTGATGACAGGAAGTGAGAAACTTGCACACCGCCGGAGCAATGGAAGAACTCAACGATTGAGCTGATGCTAAACCGAGCTTACCGTTGATAGCCCAAATGAAAGCCCTTCATGTTGGCGCAAGTTCAGGGATGCGAACGGAGTTCATTATCTGTACACCCGCTCGAGGCTTCTCCATGATAAGCTAACCAATGAGCAGCTAATCCGCGGCACTTCGCAGAGGCTCGCACACTATGAAACGAGGTGAAAGATGCAACGTGTTTTGGTCCCCGCTAAGTTCTACGAAAACTTGAACTTGCGAGAACTTGAAGAAGCAATGACACATTACAATAGCGCCAGAGCGAATGACGTGCTGAGCTAAATGTAGGCACGCAGGATAAGATAAGGCAGAAGCTCTCCATAATTGAAGGACCCGGATCCCTTACGGCACGAAAACTGTGATCAACAGTGATGCATCAGCGTCAAACTGTGAACAGTGGGAAGATAGAAAGATGGAAAGACGGAAGGGCGGGGAGATACGAGCCCATCGCGGCGTTTACCAGAACATTGGAATGTTATTGGACACACGTCCAATAGAGAACAGCAAGTAGCTAGCTTCAGTCTTACTTTGTTAAGAATAGAACAAAAAAAGTGGCACCAGCATTGGATTTGAGCGCGCGCGTGAAGCCCGATCATGCTGGAGAGAACGCGTCGGCCGACGGGCGCGAGCTTCTCTTCGAAACGCGCACTGATGATAGCGTGGGGGTGTCCGAGCGGGACGCGGGGCAACGTGGGGGTACAAAACTCGACTGAATCAAATCGCTCACCCACAACAAGCCCGGACCGCTCGCTGCTGTGTATGCGTGCTCAGCCCACCGTGGACAGTTGATAAAAACGTGTTCGAGAGGTTTAGCCTGTTTCGACGTTTGACAGGGGGCTCGACTGAACGCCAAGCAAGTCAGCTCAGTTCTTCCGGCCCGTCCTGCCATTTTGGCAGATATGAAGGCCGAAACGCTGACCCGACCCATACGGACGTGGAGGCATGAAAGATTTCGAGTGTGCTGTGGAGGAGTGTCCTCTAAAACGTGAACACGTTGTTACACCTTGCCGTTGAATGGGTTCGGAATGGTCGTCCCGTTGCTGCACAGGATACGCTGAACAGACAAGAAAAAGACATCACGAACAGTTTTCTGATCCACGAGACAAGAGACAGGCGGCTTTGTATGAAGTGCGGAGATCGTCCGAGCTGTAACGAGGGAGCGAGTCGCAGCTTAGTGCGGCTTGCAAAGGTTTGCCTCAGTGTGGGGCATATTTGGTCGTGGTCAACAGCAGACAAACAGCGTCGCGAGGGGCGTCGGCAGGCAATATTAGTTTCTGTCGGGTGTCGCCGCGCGTCGGTGTTCGGCTTGCACGTTGTCCGCCTCCTGTCCATTATAATGCAACAGCGACAGATGTATCACCACGTCCTCGACGCTCCAAAGCGTTGTGCTGCATTCCATCTCATCACCATTGTCCGAAACCGTTCTCAGGGGCTTTGTTCTTCCTCTGCGCTGCCTTGTCTCGTCTCGGGTCGTCCAAACAAGGCGTCGTCAGAGCTGCTAACAGTACTGGTGGAACGACCCTCAACGTAGCTACGCCGCCGCAAGCTCTTTGAAGCTTCTCTTCAGATCAGCTGCGTGCAACGCGGCTCAAGCCAAGTGTTCGGTGATACATGCTGGCAATCCTATTGCCTCGTGCAACGGCGCCGCCGCTGTCCCATCGTTCCTGGAATGCACACATATTAAAATCTGACTCTGTCCCCGCCATATTCGGACGCCTGCGAACGTCCTCTCCTCTACCTGGCCGTGGTGTCATCTCACGCACAGGATGTGCTATCACAGGTCTGCAAGTGAAAGGTAAACACATCCTTATTTGGGATGAGTACAACACTGGCGCCCACAATAATGTTGGCATGGAGGTCTGTGGGTACGTATGGACGCCTGTGTCGTTGAACAATGACGAGCGCGGTTCAGGGTGGGTCTCGCACAGCAAGTTTCGAAGCCCAGCGCGCTTTGAGTTTCGTGATCAGCGCGCGTAGGACACACTTATGGGGAACAAGGACGTCTACGCGTCCACCCCGATGAGGCATAATCAAGTTCGCTGTTGGCATACAGTGAGTCACGGCATTGCTTGGTATATAACCCACCCACTGATAGTGCAGGTTGGTGATCAAGGGACGTGTAAAACTTCACGAAACCTTTTTTTCCTGCATCGCCCCGTTCCAGTGGCGGATCAAGGGATGGCACGTACTTTGTATAACAGCATATATGCATATGATCGCAAGAAGACATCTCCAAATATCATATGTTAGCGCTTGTGGTTACTCGGGAGCTCATAACAATATTTACATCATACGATATGGTATAGCAACTTGCTGTATTCTCTGATCGACATCGAAACTCCGGTGAGCAGGATAGGATCTGATAGGACATTCCCGATCCAAATGCTACACAGTCCGCATGAATGCTACAGAGATTCGCCCTCTGCTCGTTTGCTTGCTCGCTCTCCACACCATTGTTATATCATTTTAGCTCAAGAGGTACAGTACATGCATGCTGTATACCGCAAATCAATCGCCACCTACGAATCTCCATAGTTGTTCATACTCGCCTCCCTCCCGAACACCGATGACATGAACGTTCTCCGCTCGGCGCTGCATGATGATCGCACAGCATAATGCAGACAGGGAACGCCCGAGAGCGGCCATCAGCGCCGCCCACGCGAGAATAATAGTCTGCAGACAGGGGGATCTACACGAAACAGGCGCCCAAGCGCGCCCGGGCCCGCCGGCGAACCAGCCCAGCCCGCCCGTCTCTGACAACAACACAATCAGTCGCAGTTTATGAATGGAACTGGTCTTTGATAGTTTGATGGATGGCGCACGAGGCTGCGCTGGATGGCGCACGAGGCTGCGCTGGATGGCTCTGCCGCTCTCGCGCACACGTCGGGGGGAAGCAGGGGCGATGGTCCTGGTGAACTATGAGTCGAGAGATGTGGAAGTGGTCGTGTGCGGCCGTAGGGAGTCTCGCCGAGAGCGTCTGCAGTGAAGGCGTCGAAGCAGACAGCCACGAGGCCCGCATCCCGTCCATCCATCGAGCGAGGGTCGTCCCGGGTCTTCCGAGGGTGGACCCTGTGACGATCATGAGTAGCGTCGAGGCCTGTCCGATAGTGCTCTCGTCGTAATCGCTAATCAGCAACCGAAGCGATCGCGATAACCCCTCGACGTCCAAGAGCGTCAAATGCCAACAGCTCTAACAGCAAAGCACATCGCCTGCTCCGTCCAACTCTGCGCTAGCGCTCGTCACCCGACTCCACATCGACAGAATTGCCGATGACAACGTCAAAGAGCTCTGACATCCCGGACGTACCTTCTCGTCCAGGCCTCGCTTACTTATTCCCCAATCTTCCCCAAAGGCAGAACTGTGCAGCGCTGCCGACGGCGCCCACATGGTCTGTGATCGCCAAATCAACCGTGACCTGCCAACGACCAGCAACGACCCCAGATACGGTCTAGCGCGGCACGTCCTCGGGCTATTACCTCGTCCGGGGCATGACCCGTCGAGCTCGGACCCGGGCCGAGATACTTATAAGAGCCTCCGAGTCAAACGTCGCAAGGGGGCGATAAGCAGACATGAAGACACTTACAGATATGTAGTAATGGATCCGCGATTGACTGTCCCGCTCCAGACGAGCTCGTCATCGCCCACGCTGAGTGGCAATGGGCTATGCCAGATCCTTCGGAGCTGCTTGGAGCGGACGAACGCGGGTATCATGGTCAATCCTCGCTCCCTTGCAGCGGATCGTGGAGCCTACAGACAAGGATCAGGATCTCCAAGCAGCGGTTAATGTAATCTACAAAGCGAGGTGGGATGGGGTAGCGGGAGCACAGAGCATCCGGACGAGACCGAGCCTCGTCGGCCGGCTCGAACCGAGCGGATTGCGACATCGCGACGCGGACAGCTGGGAAGATGGACGCGAATGTTCTAGCATAAATTGATCAGATAAAGACAAAAATGGGGCTGAAGATGGCACGGGGAAGAAAGCAGTTGCGGGACACGGTCTCACGTGTGCCTGACTCTGGGTTGGTTTGCCGGGCTTGATAGAGGCGCATACGTCATAGCACGGATCGCTACATGCTGGCGGATGCCGAACTGGGTCTGTGGGATGTCGGGCATCAATATCAATATCAATGAGACCAAGTTGGCCTTCAGCGAGCATTTGACGAGGGTAAGGGCGCGAATAGAGTTGAACGACCTACGACCTATGAAAGTCCAGAGCAGAGCGTTTGCCAGCGCTTATTTCTAGGTGATGTGACGACACCTGCGAACTCTGAATAGCCCCTGTCCAATCGACTTCACGGATGAGACATGGTTTCTGGCCAACATCTCACTAAACAGAAATCGAACAACGCAGAAGGTCGCAGAAGAAAAAGATGGCAGACGCGAAACCAATATCAAACTTACCATACAATCGAGCGACGCGGCAAGCAAAAGACCTTCCAGGTGGGATTCAACCCACGACGGGCGATCCCAAAAATACGCATCCGCATCATTACGACTCGATTACGACATGGCGAACCTCAAAGCGCTGACCTTTGCGCTGATTATCATGTACGTACGGCAAAGAGAAAGTTTAAGCAGTCGAAAGTGGGAAGGGCTGCACCTATCACCTGTGGAAGTGCGGGGAATCGCCCAACATCGGGGTTCTTACTATCCTCATCAAGCCCGTCCCGTCTCTAAGGCTCGCATAAGTAAATAAGTAAAGGCTGATACCAGCGCGGTCGCCGGCGGCATCCTGTGGGATTCTCTATCAATGCGGTCGGCATGCAGCGGCTCGCAACTGCCCAACCAACCAGCGGGCAGGGAAGCCACGGAGAAAAAGTTGAAGGCAAATGAGAACGCGCGAGCGGAGTGATACCGACTGTACAGTATCGCTTTAACGCCGCCAGGCAACTGCGACGGGGTGTGTGCGACTACGCGCGATTGTGCGAAAAGTGAGTGCGCATGCGGGCCGGCCCTGCAAGGCGGACTGCGAGGCCCGAGAGGCTGCCTCCGCGGCCGAATGCCTGCGTAGTGGGGGTGCCGTGTACGAGGCGAGTGAATGCTCTCGGAGAAGCGGTGGGTTTTCCACGTTGAAGTGCACTGCGTTGCACGCAAAGGATAAAGGGAAAAGGAAAAGATGGAACGAAAGTATGAAGGGTATCACTGCGCCTCGGAACATAAGGACGTTTGGAGCAGGGAAGGCGAGGGAAGCGATGTAAGCATGAAGCAAGGGGCTGAGCACGAACTTTCAGGTCAGGCGCTGCGGACCGAGCTTCGGTTCTTGCCCTCTCCACGGCGGGCGTCGTCACAGGATCACCTCCCCATGTCCTCGAGGGAGAGTGAAGTACTGAACATGAAAGAAAGGCGGATCAGTGACCAACGCTGACGTCAGAAAACAAGTGCACACGGTGTCTCTGTTACGCTTTCCTTTCTGCCTAATCCGTCGACGTTGACAGAACGCGAACATTAATGAAAAGTGGAGAGCACAAGACTGAGGTGGTGGTGATGCTCTTGAGCAGTCGTTTTACGCTCATTTTCGCGAATGGAGAAGGAGAAAATCGATATGGCTGAAATGCATTCTATGTCACAAGGATGGGCGCAAGACCGGTGCAACAAGAGCATTTGTCCGCCTGCAGGAATGAAACCACAGAGATCTATGCTTTGAACGTAGTAATGAAACGGTGCGCTGGCCGGCAATGGAGTGGACACTGCTCGAGGCGTACGCAGTATGTTCCGGTGGCCCTAGCGTGCGGACGAGAACAAGGCGGTGGGTCCCGGTGTCCGCCAAGTCTCAGCGGTTGTGCGAAACACCCGACGTACCAGTCATCCGTTGCTTCGTGTCTATACGCATCGCTCGTCAGAGGCCCGAGCACGTTCGCCGAGCCCGACGCAAGCGAGTCCGTAACGCGCGATGCAGCTGGAAAGCACTGGAGCGGAGGGCATGGCGGTGCGATTGAGTCGACCAGGAAAGGCAGGCCAGAAGCCGATTGAGCCAGCGCGGAACCCGGGACGAACCTGTGCTTGCCATTCATGGACCAGTCTGCGCCGGTGTGAGCCGGTGAACTGGGCCAAACTTCCAAAGCACTGGCCTGGAAACGCTAATTGTGTCCATTTCGTGTGCTCGGGAGAAGAAAAGAGCACGAACACTGGGGCCTGTACTCCGACAGCATCATCTTGCCCCAACCTAGACGGGGCTTTGTTTGGGTGCCCTTCGTATATATACAACGCTCCCATTGTCCTCTGGATCGCCCACTTGCCCGTACTCCGTGTACTTCGAGTCCCCCTCCCGCGAGCGCTCAGGCGTATTCCATATCCCACCGGCTTTTTTCAAATCCTGCACTTTCATATCCTACACTTCATTTTAGTCTGACTTTCTTCTCTCCACTCCTCGCCACTTCTTTCTGCCTCGAGGCAAACTTCAAAAGCACAAGCGGCGGACGCACGGTTTTCGAGTGTTTTCATTGAGTAATCAGTAGGGTCTTCTCACGGTAAGTGACCATCCATACTTGTTCCCTTCCACAGCCAAACACGCACGGTTGCGTGATTTGGCTCCGTCACAGGCTGGACTGGCGGTGGTCGCGGGGGGACCGCATCAGGTCCCAACAATCAGCCGGGCTGGGTGGGGGATGTCGGCACATCTCCCGATCTTGGGATGATTACATAATGAAAACCCTGACGGGGTTTTTCTGATGTGCGTTGATTGAGGACGCCGCATGCTGTCGGATATAATCGACAGCGTGTCGTCCGTCCCTCTTCTCCCGTCTCATGGTCCTGTCTGTTTTCAGACTTTCCTTCTTTGCCCACACCACACCGCTCCCGTTTTATAGACTTTGTCATTTGCTCGTCGCTCACTATTTTCCCCCTTCTTTTCCAGCGCTTTTCGCATCCTTTTCGTTTGACTTCTCTCATCCCCTCCCCTCGTCGTCTCTGGTATCATCATGGCTGCTGTAATGGGCCCCTCCATCGCACAGCACCCCTCCCCCTTCCGTGCGGCGCATAACGTTTCGGTCTCTCAGTCACGACAAGGGTTCCATCCGCCCCCATCGGTACGTCTTCATGTCTAATTCCTTAGTCGCCGGATTGCTACAACTCCGTTCTAGGCCCCGCCCAAACCGGCGTCGACACAGCCTTCGACGACCCGCGACCCCTTCTATGGGCACGAGAACGCGGCGCGCCTCTGCGCCCGCTTTATCACTCATCTCTTCGCCTGTCCGGAGTACCCTCCCTCGTCGTCGGGCTCGACTGTGAAGCTCCCGTACTTCATCGCATATGCCCTCCACCGGACGAAACTCCACGCCTCGGTCACCTTTGCCGCCCTCGTCCTGCTACAGCGCCTCAAGGCTCGCTTCCCCACCGCGCGCGGCTCCTCTGGCCACCGTCTCTTCGTCTCGGCCTTCATGATTGCCTCCAAGGTGATCTGCGACGACACTTACTCCAACAAGTCCTGGAGTATCGTCGCCCAGAGTATGTTCCAACTCCGCGAGATCAACCAGATGGAACGGGAGATGTGCCAGTACTTGGACTGGGAGCTGAATGTCGACCCGGTCACCCTCCAGGAGTTCGAGGCGATGATCCGCAAGGATTTCGCTGGCCCTGGGCCCTACCCCACTTACATCCTCCCCTCCCCTTCGAAGGCGACTCCTCCTCCCCCCTCCACTGTCTTCCCCTCGTCGACACCCACACCCGGGCCCACGTCGTCGAGCTCGTCGACACCCTCGCCCTCCCCTTATGCCCCTCAGCGCTATCCTTCGCCCCCGAAGCCCGTGCGCCCATCACCACCACCAGCAGCCCCTCTCGCGCACCCGCCTGCTCCCTCGTACTCGCCCCCAGACACTCCGGAGACTCCCTCACCTTCATATTCGACGTCATCGTCCCCCGCCTCGACAGCGTCTCCCAAGACGCCTCATGGCATCGAGGACCACACGGCGCGGATCGTGTCGGCGGAGTCGTCGCCCGTGTCAAAACACGACGCGATGCCGGTCCAGCAGCAGCAGCACCAGGTGTCGATCGGCAAGTCGAAAATGTTCGCGTTCGCCATACCGTCGGTATGGTAATTTATTTCCTTCTTTTCTCATACTCCTTTGCTCCTCTCTTCGCGTCTACTCTCTCCCTGATCGTATTATGGGCTGGATCTCGACGGCGACGCGGCTAACTCTGTACATGCATATCTATCGGACGAAAATAACTTTATACCCGTTGCTTTCATACCTCAGGGCGTCGATGATGTGCACTCTTTTTCTTCTTTTTCTTCTTCTATCATCATCGCATAACGAAATCATCAAGTGTCATATTAGCATTAGGGTCATTGTGTCAATAGTATTACAGCATAATAAAAGCAAAGTTTTAGACGTTCTTCAGCGGTATGATCAGTCTTGAGTGTCTTTAAGCATCTTCGAGTGAGTCATCAAGTCCATCTTTCGAAGATAGCGAGTCGAGTGCCTGCCCCTGGCCTTCGGGTGAAGTCGGACTCTCGGACTCTCGCGTCGTTGAGTTGTCGACACGATGCTAATCAATCTCGATCACAGCTCATCAAACACCTGGCCTCGATCTGAGCCTGTTTCTCGACGGCCGACGGCGTGTGCTCTGCGGCGCCTTCTCGCATGCATGCAGCGTGAACGACTCAAAGATCCGTCCATTGACTTCAACGTTTAAACTCTGCGTTCGCGGCTTACACCTAGGTTTACCGGGGCCGTTGCGGAGCACGAACGTGAACGCACTCGTCGCTAGCTCGAACGTTCGCACTCGAACGAGCGTGTCTCATGATCGTGACCTGATCTCTACCATTAGATCGATTCGTCCGAGGGATTTCTGTGCTAATTAATAATGCGCGTGCGTGGTGAACTTACACACTCTGCGTACCGTGCGTCGATCACACAGTTCCTTATCCTTTCGTGTCCTTGTTGCTTCTGTCACCCTGTGATCCAGCTACAATACGAAGTGAAAAACGTGCTCGTCGCCGCCCATTTGCTTATCAGCCTCGCCGCTAACGTTCAACTTGCGACAGCCTTCTCATTGCGAAGCCCTCCTTCGCGTTTCATGCTCACTTCGCGCTAATATAAAAACGAGGACCGCCGCATCACTCAAAGGGCTCGCAATTGCAAGTTAGAACTTTGAAGAAGAGGGGAAGCAAGTTCACCCGGCCGGCTTCCCGCATCCGAGTACCGCACCGGCGTTCATGCCATGGGCCAGGCACGCGCGGCACCCGGCGCGGCAGGTGCCGTTGTGTCTCCACCTTCTTTATTTCTGCTGCGGCTCCGCGCCCTTGAGCCGGGAGCTGGGGTTGTGGGGCCGTCGCGTCGCCACTACTCCAGCACTCCTGGCTAATAGCGAACAAGCCTGAAGGCCTGAGGGGGGAACAAGCCCAGGACGAGCGGTGCAGGGACGATCGACAAGCCCTGGCTTGAATGACGAGAGGCTCCGAGATGCACTATTGGGCACCGGGAGATCGATGCATCAGAACGTCACCTGGGCTTCTGTTTGGAAGCGTCCAGGGAGGGGAGGCTGGGACAGAAAATTTGCCCACGAGACCGTCCGTGGCGGTAACACGTTTTTCTTTAGCACGCTCTGGTGACGCGGACGCATCGCACGCCTGCAGGCAGCAGCACCCAGCCCTGCGACTGCAGCCCCCACAGCGATGTCCGCTGTCCGCTCGCTGTCAGCGCGCAAGCTCGAAAGAAGAGAGGCTCAGCCTCGCGGCCGGTGCTCTCAGCTAGTTGAGTTAGGGTGCTTCCTTGATTCATCCGCATCGGGCAATTTCTTAACCTTGTTGCTGCACCGCCGCTCGGACGAGTTGCCGTTTTTGCCCTTTGCAGCGCTGCTGTGGGCGCACGTGGTCTCCTTCTCTGCAGGCGCTCAGCTGGCGTTTTGTGCCCAGCCCAGCCTCCTTTGTCACATTCTGTCAAAGTCTCTTTTGTTTCACTATCCGCTAGCGTTAACGAGCGAGCGTCTTGCAACGTACTGAATTACACCCCCCAGGGCGCGACGATTGGCTGCACGGGGGCACTAGTGTCAGCACTACTCCTTCCTATCCTCAGCATCTGGGACGATGCGAGATAAGCGTTAAGCAACCGCGGTCGCTATTTCTGGAAGTGCACTTTGTCTTCTTGTACGCCGGCAATGTGACGAAGTACGCTCAGTTTGGACGAGTCAGCTACTGAGGACGGTATGGGGCGTTTGCTGCCTTGGAGAGTTAGGTATTGCCCATCATCAAGTGTTGCATAATCTCCACAGCAAGTAATAGTGCCTTGTTCTTCCCTTCTCCTATTTCCGTTGCGTCTCCAGTTCTGAACTTATGATTTCCAAAGTATCTCGGTCCATCCCGGTGCCTCGGCATGTCGCTCATCATATCGAAGACGAAGACGAGAGAGACGCTGTACTACAGCCCCTTTATTCTATGTTGCCAGGAAGGCAAAACAGGCGCATATATCGAAGACAATGCCGCGCTTCGTTCTCATATCCGCCTTCATTCTTCATGTTCCTGTGCGCCCTTGGACTGTGACCGTCCGCATTCCGACCTTCTTCTGTTCTGTCGCCGCTCTTCACTCGCATGCGCACCGACAACGCACCAACGGCAACCTTGTATTTTGCATTTTAGCGCACCACCACCTCGAAACCGCCCGCTCAGCTGCTGTGAGCCGCGTTTTCCATCAAGCACATTGTCCGGTCCATTTACTTGTCCACCTCCTTCTTGGACCATCTCATCTCGTGTGCTTACCCAGGATCACGGGCCCAGTAGAAGATCTATACGTGCCATGGCAAACCTAAAGACTCGTCCACCGCGGGCCAATTTGTGGCCTGCTGACCTGCCCACGCCACAATGCTGGATTGGGCAAACCCGTAAGAATCAAACGACCGTTCCGGGCTCTCGATAATGCAGTAAGCGTGTATGGACGCTGCTTTGATTAAAGTGTTGCGCTCCTCATTGGAATCTTTCACGGGATCCGTGGACCGCGATGCCGTTTGGAGATCGCCTTATCGAGCCGTCTTTGAGCTTTTGAGGCGGTGCTTCTTCCACTCTGTGTCTGCTCGAGAGGGTACTGTGTACGTACACGCTGAGGTTTGGCTAAGGTGCGAATGCTTCCTGTACTGTGCGTTTCGTGCTTCGTTATCTAACGTGTGTACTATTGTGGGCTCAGATGGTATGCAGGATTCAGGTCGATAGGGTTCTGTAGCTGATCGAGGACTCCGATCGCGTCTAATCAATCCGTCAGATGAATGCGCTGCTGACTTCTTTTTTCTCAACGTTCACCGCGAGTGGTCAGGTGCGTATGGATGCGAAATCTTATCCTTCATCGTTCGACGCTGACAAAGCCCTGCCAGGTTGTGGCTTTACTTCCGCTAGTTCACATCCCAGTCCACTTTGTGCTCGGTGAGCTTGACCGGAATGTGACAGTACCAGGCACCCGCTTCCGTCTTACAAAGCATCGGAGGTACGCAGTGTGCGGACCAAGCCCGATGGACATGCACATGAAACAGTGCTCAGAGCCAAAGAAAGCTCCGGGCGAGCGGGATCGACGTGCACCGCCTTAAGGAGTCTGATTTCTGACTCTGGCTCTAGACAAGTGGAAACGGAGGTATTCGACGCTCCATTATGGGACATTAAACTGTTCCGCCATCCGCGTACGGCGGCGGCGTATGCACACTTGCGCATCTTTGTATTTGGGACGTTTGTCCTCCCGCGAGTTCCATTTCGCCTTCTATACCGGGTATCTTTCATTCAAGAGCCGTCGACCGTCGTACGATGATGAACAAGAGACAACGTGCCCCCGGGAGATGGTCGCTTCTGGGCGCCCGTGTACCGACAAGCGGGGCGCACCGTCCGCCGCGGTCTCAGACGGCGTGGTGTTGGATCGTGACGCGTCCACGCGTTCCTGGGTTCGTGTCAGTGCTAGTTCACTACATGTGCTTCCGTCTGATGGCGGGAACTGTCTTCTAGCGCTTTGATTCCGCCCCGTCGCGCCCCTGGGTGGACCTGAGACATGACGGCTTCGCCGTCATGTCTCGGTCACTGTGGATGGCAGCGGCAGCAACTATATAGCGTCCACGACGCCTCTGCAATACTGCCTCCGAGAGGCGGCAGGGCTTTGCTCGCGCGTCATTAATCACGCTGTGTAGGCGCACGGCTCCGGGGCTCAGGCCTCAGGGCTCAGATGTCTGAAACTGTTCTACCGAGTTTTCCCTTCCGTTTCCCTCCGTGCCTGGATCTCAGAAGAGTCGAGCGTAGGCAGGCTCCGAGGTCTACTCACTTCTGAGCTCCAAGGCGATCTATCGAACATCACATATGCCCTTCGTCTGACTGCTCGGGTTCTGGGTTTCGTATTCAACCCTGTCGCATTGGGTGCCGGACGAACGGGCGTGGCGAGACTAGGTCCGCACTGCAATTTTTAGACTGAGCTGTGGAGCTCAGACTAACTGTCGACTTCAGCCTCAGCCTCAGTATCTCCCGGTAGTGCGGCTCGGCCAGCCACAACGAGACTAAAGTGAGATTGATAATGGACGAGCTGCGCATGTAGGGTCCCCTCGTTTTCTGCGTTCTTGGTGGCTTGGTATAGTACCTTTAGCGTTTTCGTGTCTCCTGTGGCTTTCCACCAGCCGTTTTCCACATGAATGAACAAGGCTCGTCTGGGTATGGTATGTCCAAGGACCGTATCTCACGAAACCACGGGGCGTTGTTTTGTTCGAGAAACTCGTCCGTATCGTACTCGTGCTCAGAGGCCATGCTGTGTCAACGCTGGCTCAGATTCAGCCTCCTCGATCACGCACGGTCCACTTCCAAGCTTGCTGGCTTCGAACGTCGTTCGCATCCGCCACACGGACGCTTCGGAGCTTCCAGTGATACACCCGGGCCCCTTGAAGTTTAATGTGAAGCTTCGGCGGACGACTGCATCGATCCGGGTGTCGTGCTATACTTAGTACACTGATCCAGGTTCGTGACCGAACATTGTCCGCAGGCTTCTTCGACGCTCACTAAGACGCGCCCCTGGAAATGTACCACAGGCAAAGTTCTACTGGAGTGCTATATGGGCTTGTTTCACGATAATCAGAGACATGATCTTTCGTTGGGGGAAAGACAGGAACGCGTCGGGCGTGGAAGCCTTTGAAGCACCACTGGTGCCTTGCCGCGGGCTTCGCAAGCTGGTGCATAGGAACGCCAAGTGGGAGGTAACTCTATCGTTAAGCTTTAAGGGCTCCTCGGGCTGAGACCGCATGCACCGAATTCTAGCACTGATGTCTCAGGAAGACGCAGCCAAGCTGCAGTTAATGGATCTACAGGAACACGAGGGCCAAGGGACAAAGGAGTCGACTTCTGCGGCGTTCCACTGATCAAGTTGGCTTCTCGGTAGGAAGAGGCAGAGTGCTCTATTTACTAGCAGTGTTGCGCAAGCAAAGACTCACGGGATGTGGTCACAGGAAAACACTCTGGCGCCCGCACAGCCGCTTCGATGGTCTGCGCTGATCCTTTCGTATCCCACATCCTAATGGACCATTACCTCATTCACGAGACATTTGCTTTCTCACGGACGCGATTCTACGCAGTCAATGGACGTCGGACATCCAAGCCTTCGATATCTTCGATGACTACGTCTTTTGGACGCGTATGGGTGCTACGGGCTGTGCCGCGGTCCATACGAACAGGTGACTTTGGCGCCTGACGTCCACCTCGAGTCCATCAACACCTCTGATAAGGTCTATCAGTGGCGGAAGGCGGTGGCAAACATAGGTGATATGGACGTATATGGGTCCTATCTTTATGGCATCGCTGCAACTGTAGTTGACTATCTAGGGTCACCTGTCATCCCAGCTGTGAGTGAGTGGATTTGCGTGAGATATGCTGCTAAAGCGGGCTGATTTCTGTGGCTTTGGACTCACATCTTGCAATAGCAATCAATTGCACGCCATTAAACAAGTTTCGGCGCTCGACCGATGACGGCGAACTGAGCGGTCCAATGGAGTGAGAATACATTGCCCTCTCCGAGTCTATCACTGTTTATTCATCCATTAGCGGCTATGTCGCGCGCTGTCGTTGACGTAGCGACGTTTCAAGGTATAGGCGGGCACATACTGCAACATGGGCATCGTATACTGACCACCGAGGTGCAATGCGGCCTCATCGGTTCGAACAAATGACCGTTGTTAGTTCTAAAACAATCTGATGTCTTCAGGCGACCACACAACGTGTTGACGCAAAAAATGCATATAAAGACGTACACCGGCAGTCTAAGTACAACCCATGCAAGTTGCTCCCCTACTAGTGGAAGGTCAGTAGCAAGATCTTTGGCGTCGGCCGAGTGATTGCATTTTGCAAGCTAATTATTGACTTCGTCGCATAGGTAGCGTTCGCAACGAGAATTCTGAAGCAAACCCGCCGCTAGACCCCGCCATGCCCTTCGAGACGCTCAAACGATTGCCATCGCCGCCGTCGCTTTACCTTTGTCGCTTGGCGTGCGACGGTGCCCCGACATGCACCGCACCGATGCAGTGCGTAATATGATTCACCTTCCCTGGTCGAAGTCTATGTCGATTGCTAGGGATACTTGATGCGCTGATGCCGGTGATCCGCAGTGCGAGTATGGCTCACTTGCAGGCCGCGGCGCGATTCAATGATGCACTCTGCGGACTAGCGGGCGGCGGGTGCCGACCGCCACGATCAGTTGGCAACGTTCTCCGACGGCCGGTTCGTCGGCTCGGTACGGCGGCTCGCGCGAGTTCGCAATGCGCAAGTCAGAGTCGGGAGTCGGGGATCGGCATCGGTATCGGCTATCGCCAGGGCACCCCTTTGATATCAGCGCTCCCGCGAACGTGCCTTGCGGCGGGTGCGCTCCCACGTGTAATGATGGCCGACGCCCGTCGACGTCATCCCCGCTTGATATCCCCGCCTCCTGTGACATGCTGGACAGGTTGCGACAGTTGCTATTGGGCTTAATATCAGTACGTTGAGGTATTGTCGAAGTTCATGATCATTATTGCGTTTCATCAGGAGTTTGTAATCTCGAGGCACTCTCATGAACGTCGCTCTCAGTCTGAATCTGGCTTACACCAGAGTCGGGGTTGGTGCCGCCGGTAAGTAGATGGTCTTGGCCTTCTAATCGCTCTTCCAGCCGAAGTACGGATCACGGTGGCCGCTAGTGGAAGCTGATGGTTGCTCAAGAAGCCCATGGGTTGGAGCTGACCGCCGCTTGACTCTTCGCCGACACTTCTTCGACTTCTTTAGCTTAGCAAAGGACATCCGAACATTGACTGAACTCCCTTTCCACCATGATGTGAGCCGATGCCAAGTTTCCTTTACCTCGTTTGACTACGCATTCTCGTCGTTGTTGTTGCAGGCACGAAAGTTCTCCTTGCGGATTACTGTCCCCCACGATATCCAAGGTCAAACGGGGCTGACTATTTAACATCAGGACCTCATCCTGGGCTGATGTGAACGCGATGCGCTCCGGTATCGTTTAGCTCACGACAGGTAGGGGAGGCGATCATCGCTGCAGTGTACTGATTTCGAGTCTGGGACCAGTATCAACGAGGTACGAACACTTATAGAAACCGCAAACAATGTAACAGCAGGAAGGAATCTGCCTTCTCTATTCAAAGGCTTAAGAGGGCGTGACCTCTTGTTATCTACCATTGATCTGCGCTCTCAGAATCTTGGCGGCGCGATCTTTTGCCTCTCGGTGCCGCTCTGATATAGAAGAACCTATAAGCTGAAATGAACGTCTGGCGCCTCCTTATCCAGGAACCCCTACCCAACATCAACGGAGCCTTGGCCTCTTCCGGCCCTCGTCTTCCAACACTGGACGGATACCTCTTCTGTCCTCTGCTCGATCATCTCTCTAGATAGCGGTCGGCCCCGGATGCCCGCGGCGTGCTGTTGCTGTCGAGCTTCCCGGCACTCGAGCTCGTAGCCACTCCTTTGGATCTTCGTGACCGAACTTTTGCTACTCTCACACCAGCTCGTCTGGCGTCTAGGCTCTGCCAAACGAATGGCTCATGACGACATTCATTGGTGTCTATAGAAGATCATCCACTTACACCACTTCGAAACTCTACAATATGTTTAGCACTGAATATGAATGACCTCACACTTGCGTGATATCATACGTTGTCTTGTGAGTCTTGGGTATAAATACATACACCGAAGTACGTTCTCAGTCCATCTGAGTTGCGAATTTGGCACGATGACGCCTCTGATGAGCCGCGATTGCCGAGAACGCCAGCAATTACAGACAAGCACAAGTCCTCGAGTGTCCAGATGTAGATGCGGGGCCCCACATGGGTCAGCCCGCGTGACGAGCCAACGAGACGCGCTGGTGTCGATAGCGGCGGCGCTACGCGCGATACAAGAAGCTAGTCTGGCTGTCACTCTGTCAAGCCACGAACGCCTCGAAAACTTACAATAACAAGGATGATGGAAGTTTGTTTCATCTGCGGGATTATCTTTAGTAGTAAGTGACTGGCCACCCTTGATCCTTAATCGTCCTCGGGACTCTTCGGCGCTTAATGACAGCCGCACTCGGCCTCATATCGATCGTACAATGCTCGAGACGGTCCTACAGGCGTACATCCATCGGCCCGAATCCGATCACAGCTTTAACCATCTCGCAAGTTGGGCAACATCAAAGCTGAATGACCGCATGTCTCATCACATCATACAGCATGAGAGGTACAGATTCGAGACGTACGTATCAATGGCCTTGCACAGCTGCACCTGCATCATCGACAGGTCCATCGCCTCCAGACTCCTAGAAACTCTTATAGATCACCCACGCATCCACATACTCTTCGCCTTTTCCGTCCTTTGTCCGTAGCCTGCCTGCATTCGGAATCCGACCCGCACGAGTAAACCCGAGAGCGTCCCATAACCTGTGAGCAAGAAGTGTCGCTGTTTCAGCGATACACCAGGGATAGGAGAACGGCCATGAACGTACTTAAGGCTGGCTTGGTTGTTCACGTAAACGAGATTGAACACGCTCGCGGTGTATCCGAGTCGGGGGCCATAGTGGAGGTAAGAGCGTGCGAGGATGTGTCCGTAGCCTTTCTTGCGCTGGGACGGAGGGACGACGAAGCCAGCATTACAGATCTAGGGAAATATGATCCATTTAGACGCGATGACGTTTAGGAAGAGGAAATAGGCGCGTACATGAGATCCACGCCCAGGATAGTTGGGCTTCACCTGTGAAGGTCCGTTTGATGATCCTTAATGGACGCGGAAGAGAGCGCTGAGAGAACTCACGTAGTAGTATCCAGCTACGCACTCCGCCCACGTTCTGCTTCCCTTCACCGCCGCCGGCAAGAGCCCGCCTTGTACCTCCCTAACACTCTTTCTGTCTTGCACCACCTTCGGAACGTTCGTATCCCTTTCATGGGTAAACGCTATCAAAACGTCCGCTGCGAAGAAGTAGGCTTTGAATGCATCAAGATCGCGCATGTCTTCCTGGGGGTAAGTCATCCCTGAGTCGACCTCATCAGCGAAGACTTGGTGGAGATAGGTGATGAGGCCATCGTTGGATTGATCCTGTGCGGATTCAAGGTTTAGATGGTGGATTGAGATGATTTGTGAAGCTGAAGGGTGTTGGCTAGTAGGAGATGACGCGTCCCAGAGAGTCGCGGGAAGAAGCGGACGGGGTGGACGAGTGATTGCGCCGTACGCCGACATATGAAGTCAAATACGCAGCTGAAGAACGCTCACTAGGGATACAAACCTGAAATAAGGGAACTGTCAAGACTCCTTCGTTGATTCATGCATGCACCGGTGAGTTGCCCTCACGACCGAGTCGGGTCACGAGCCGAGGGCGGAGACCAAGTTCTAGAATAACGTTAACCTTGCCGATACATCCAGCCGATAGGAAGAGCCTCTTTCGATATGATGACCGCTCCTTTCAAGCGTTGGACGTTAATCGCAAATGTGCATTGGTTCCATGTCCATAAGCACAGGACCACCTGCTCAAGATGCAATTCAAGAACCCTGGCTGGCGTGCTTCACGCATCGGGAAACGACGGAGCGGGCGACGGGCTACTATACCTGTCAATGTCCGCACATTGGACTTTGGCAATCATCATGGTTTTTACACACTCATGAATGGTCGTTCTACGAAGAATACTCTGCGCAAGATAGCCTGACATATCCCACATAAAAGAGCAACTTGATGTGGACCACAGAAAGATCCTGTCTTCAGGTAAAAGCCAAGCGTTAAATTCCGTCAAGCTCCAGTTTCATATCGCGTCACGGTGCACCCGATGAGCCATAGCTTTGAGGGAGGTAATTTCCATTTTCATCTTAGTAAGTTGTTAACCTTCGTCGTTGGGACCGCTCAAGTTAACTTTACTCTGTCAGCAGGAGCCGATGCTTGGATAAAACTGGCTGAAGCAAGCGCTCATGGTGCCGCGTATGATTCATATGAACGTCAAAAGTGCTCTGGGTGCACGCCTAAGAAACGAGGCAATTATCCCCCCAAACTGGGAAAAGCTATTCAAAGTCACAGCCGAAAAATTATCTGGATCACTGAAGAAATAGGGTCGGGAAAGTCATCTGTTGCTCACTCTCTCGCCGAACACCTCCGAGAGGAGGGCAAGCTAGCAGCCTCGTTTTTCTTTGCGCGAAACCACCCTAAACGAAACAACTTTGATAATCTTTTCCTCACACTTGCATATCAACTTGGCCTACACCACCCACGTGCGCGGGATATCATTACCCAAGCCATCGTAGACGACCCCGCCCTACTGTTCCCTGAAAAATCTCGCCGTGATCAATTCGAGAAACTCATAATCGTTCCATTGAAAGATCTGGCTCGTGTTTGGAAGATGAATGACAAAGCGGCAATGACGATCATTTTGGACGCTGTTGACGAGGGTGCAGCTAGGGATGATCTTCATGCGATTCAATACCACATCGCATTCTTAACAACTCTTGTACGGGATCTGAAACTTCCACTAGTCAACATCGTTATATCTAGCAGGACTTCTACGTATGATACCATAATTCGAAACGACGAATTTGAGGATATACTGTATCCCATCTGTCTCGATGACCATGATTCCATCCAGACCAACTCCTCGCATGCTCCCAAGAAGGTCAGAACGTTACCCGGATTACCGGGCACAAAGACGTGGCCCTCTGAGGACGATTTCTCTCGGCAGGAGAAATATACCACGAGAAAAGTTGCTCTTGGCAAGGTTAACAAAAGGCTTGTTGACCAGCATCGCCCCTCGTGCTTCATAGCTATTAAGGTTCGCCGTTATCTAAAGTCAAAGGAAGGGTACATCCAAAACCTATTCGACTCGCCCATACATCAGCAGCAATCCTTCCCCATTTGCTACGCTACCGTTCCATCGGCACCAAACATTGAGCAACTTTCCAAGCTTGAATCCCCCATGATCCTGTCTGGTTTTGACATCGCGGAAAAACATAATACCCTTCCTCGTGGCGTCTGTCAGATCCACGAAGAAGACAAAGCGCCTTTCATTTTGTTGTTGCCTGTATTATCCCGGACGCGAACGTATGGGCGGAATTTGGTAGGAAATGTAACTTCGGGATTCCGGCGATCGATATTGGACGCATTCCCAAGCGGCTTACCACGGACATAAATTGGCGTTTGCAAGAGGTAGTGTTTTGGACCGATTGAGTCCCATAGGTGTAGTACCACTATGAGAACCAAACGTATTCCCGCTATTAGTCATTTGTGAAGCAGACACTCCACTTTACTATAGAAGATATCTAAAGCCCCTCCGTCGCCGAGCAGCTTCGTCAAACGAAATTCCCTCTAGCCTAGCCGCTTCTTCGATGCGTGCTCGCTCGGCGCCACCAGGCGCCAACGCGGCCACCTCTGAACGCTCAAGCGCTCGGTTCTGGGACACGAGAATACAGCGTATAACTGACGCACAAGTACATGAGATATTAGATGTCAGGGTAAGAGAGAGAGAGAGTATCTCACGAAAGCTCAAGCACGTCGCAAATGAGAGGCAACAGAGAGCAATGATCATGGTTGGGCGATAACCAGGGCCCCATTTGGTGGGCCAAACATACCCACCAATCCTGAATTAGCGGTGCGAGTGAAATTAAGCACCTTCACAATAAATGAAGGTACAAACTACTCACAAGGCTCCCACATTTCCGAACCCGTTGACTAAGCCCATGGCGACGGAGCGCTTTGCGGGCGGGCGTGGAATGGCGTTTGATACCCACACCAGCACCATTGTGAAGCCTTCCATGCGGAAAGCGTCAGATTGGCCTAGAAAGCGAAGATTTTTTGGGAAAACGGCGTACCACAGTAGCCAGTGGTCATGAGAAAGAGAGAGAAGTAACGCGGGCCAATACCGTGCGTCGCGAGAGCGATGATGTACCCGACCATGACGACCCACCACCAGGCGGTCATGTGAAAGAAGCGCTCGCCCGTCCTGTCTATGAATGACGTCAGGGGAAGCTCTAGGATGAAAACGTGAGGATCAACCTGCGCTCCACGTTCCGATGAGGGTACAGATAGCAGCGAATACCCACGGCGGGCTGGCAATTTCAATGAGTTCATTAGAACAAAGTGGGATAGAGGGGCAAAGACGCACGCAGACATGAGCAGGGTAACGGTCGTGGAGAAGTTGAGCGTCGCAGTCAATCTGTGAGGTGGTCGCGTGGGCATGTACCGGGTCATCAGGTCTCTACATGCTGACGTACGTAGGGAAGAAGCTGATGAAGCTAAGCCCCACCAGCTGTGCGCAGTTCATGATCATGAAGATAGGAACCTTGGGGTCCTTGAGCGCCATCCAGAGTCCTGAGAAAGGACTATAGTGTATTCAGAAACTCAACTTCTCTTCAGCCATCTGAAAAATGATATCAGAACATACGAAGCGTTTTCCTGATCCTGGTCGGCTTCCCCCGCATCTTCGGCAAGGCGCGCCTGAGCGAGAAGTCGTTCGGCGGGGCTTAGCCAGCGCGTGTTATATGGCTGTAGTGATTAAACACGTCTCAGTGCCCAAAGATAAGAAGGATGTATGAGATGATGGGTCACGAACATAGTCCGGAAGTAGCCACCTCCAACCATAGTTAGCTCAGGTATAAACAGCCGTTACACCTGCAATCTCACATTGCTTGGAACCCAATGAAAACCGTGATGGCGCCCTCAATGTAGAATAACCTAGCGTCTCTCGGTGAGGTAGTTCTGGCGATTAACTTCAGATATCCGACATACCATCTCCACGCAGCGATACCAAGTGTGCCCTCCATATTGGCTAGAATACCAGCGGCGATGAGCTAGATAGCAGTATCCAAACTCTCAGTTTCGCAATGTATGTTCATATAATCTGTGGGTACGCACACTTCCGAATGCATTTGATACCAATAGCCCTGCGTAGAGGATCCCAGACCGGAATGCGAGCTCCTGGCCGATCTTATAGAACGGGTACAATAGATATGAGATTAATAACTAACCTTTCGCGTATACCAGCATGAGAGGAGATACATGGCACCAGGATAAAATGCAGCCTGTATTCAGTTGCGGTCAGTACGAAGGTCGACTCGGGCATGATTACTGTCACAGTTACCTCGGGGACACCAAGAAGAACTCGGCACGTAACGATGTCTCCGAAGTTGCGGGTAACCTGCATACAGACTCAGTATTCAGTCTCCCTCAGCTCGGGAGTGGTTTACCCCTGTCAAGGCACTAAAGAGGCCCCATAATACAGCGCAGGAACCGATGTATAGAGCTGGCCTATGATGAACGATATTCAGCTTTGGTGTCTAGGAAGAAAGAGGAGGGGTAACACCTTCGCACATAGTTCAAGAGCTGAAATGGAGGTCAGATAAGAGCGGCAGTTTTGCACTATATGGACTCACCATGTTCGAAGGGATCTGCGCAGGGCAGTAGGATGCGTAGACTATGATCAGGACGGTGTCGTATTGCGTATCTGCCCTTCTGTAAACCTTTTAGCTCGCGGCGTGGAGAGGAAACACACCTGCCAGTCCTAAATCTGCCTCCAAGCCTTGCAGCCGCGCTGAGCTCACTGCTACGCGCTAATTACATCATTAGTATTCATGTCAAGAGTGAAATCAAGGCAAGAGCTCACGTCGATGTAGTTCATAAGGAAGATGAGGACCACTGTCGGGAGCAGGCGTGCATCTAGTTTTCGGATAATGGCTCTCTCCGTTGCCTTCCGAGTAGCATCTTCCAACACGGCAGGTTCTTCATCTTTGTCTCCAACCGAGATGTTCTGTTCCAGCACTACGACGTCGGAGACACGCTGTTCCTTTCCCGGTGTCTTGTACTCCTTGTCCATCGAGGAGACTGAGATCGTTAGACGGATGAGATACGGGAAGAAACCACAATCTAAAGCGCCGGGAAGGCCCCGGAGTGAAGCTATATAACGTGGAAAGACGCTGGTGGATTGAGGAGCCTCGTGACTGGTGTGCTGTTCTTGGAGGCGTTCGATGGCTCAAAAGTAGCCCAAGAGAGTGAGAAAGTCATTGGCGACGCGTATAGCACAGGGACGGAAGAACGAGCCCAGATGTGAGCGCGTTCGAAAGGTTGAGCCCTTTAACTGCGTTGGTGGAGCACCCGAGCATGATGGAGCGGAACAAGGTGCGTCGGAATTTCGCGTCTCACGCGGTTCGCGTCTTTACCTCATCATCCCATCATCTGAATCTTGCCCACAATTCAACCAACTTATTCATGTCCGCTCCGTCCCAATTGCGAATCATCTGCAACGCGGTCAGAAGGGACGAGCGTTTGTAGAGATCGACTTCCTACACTCGACGAGCATTCAGCACTTCCGTCCATGGAAAGACATGGAGGCCTCGCTCCTTGACGAGACACGGCGGCATCCCGTAGCTTGTCCAAGGAAGGGCATCCGCAAGGCGTCCGTGCATGGCAATCGCACGGTTTCCCTCGATGCATCGTGCTCAGGAATCGTAGTACCACGAACGATACCGTAAGCCACCCCTGCTATCTCGCCAATCTGTTCTCTTTTGTTTCTCAGCCATTGGCCGACACTCGTCTATGATCCAAGTTGTGCTTTGAAGGTTAGACGTTCTGGCATGATGAGCCTGAGGTCCGAACAGCTCTGACCTCACTTGCGATTTTGAGCTGTGCTTTCAGATCACTGGTGAGTCATCAGCATATCAAAACCTCCGGTAACCCCGTTAGTTAACATACGATATGCCTTTTGTTACTGTACTGTAAGGGCCAGCTGAGTGTCGTTCAGCCCGTCATCATATATCACGGTACTTATGCCTTCGGACCTATGTTCGGTCTAAGTAACAGACAAACTCACGAACAATGACAGCTTCGACATGGGCGCTTTGATGGAATCCGAAAAGGTCGTCGGCGTAATACGAAAGTCCGAGGCTCTGAAACCGCAAGGGCGACCTATGCCTGTTCGCGTGGCGACGAGCACAAGCTGTACGTAGTAGCTTTTCATTAAATTGCATGCGCTCACACCAAACGGGCTTACAATTGGTGTAGTTCAGCTCGGATCATGCTTTGCAGTGCTACATACATTGTGAAGTGGTGAACGGGTGGACATGCGCGACATGAACCAGTGTAAAATATCAAGTCATACGTTCTTCCAGTCATCTGCGTGGATACGTGCGACGTAAACCAGTGTAGGTATGAAGTCAGATGTTCGTCATGTGCGCTTAGCTGCTGAGAGGTTCATGCGGAGGTATGTTTCATGTCAGGTATAAAGCCAGAAGTGCTCAGCATCAGACGGAACAATAACTCACTCCCCCATACCATCCAACGCTCAGATATCTAACATGAATTTCATCCATACCGCTATCATCTCTGCCGTTTTACTGGTCACTCAAGGTGCATTCGCCCAGTATAACCCCATCGGCCAGCCCTGCGACTCTCCAGGTAGGCGTCGACTCGAATTAGTTGCACGTCAGTGACGCTGAGGTGACTCACTTTGCGTTCTCAGGTGCAGAGGGCTGCAACGCCGACGCGGGGACGAATAATGGCAATGCGTACATATATGAATGTGGCCCAGCCAACAAGTTCGTCTACTCTGCAGGGTGCAGTTGCCCAACATGCTGCAAGGCCACCACCAGTGGCGCTTTTTGCACCTGAGCGGCCTCATTGAAGTTCTTGTAGTAACGTAGACTTAGTAGTGATCATGCTGGGAACATTCACATGGTTTCATAACAAGGAGCAAGGGATAGTCACGAAGGAGATTATGTATCAAAAGCATGTAATATTACCCATAATTTAACGATATGATGTGTTCTGCCCATTCATCGATCAATCTAAAGAACTTTCTGTGTTTACCCGCATTGCCCACTCGCGCCATTCAAATACAGCTGCGGTAGACTTGAGTTCGGGCTCAAAGACCTGAAACGCTCTTGATACCCCCTGCACTCCACACATGACGAATTTAGCGAGCTTTTCCCCTGCTGCCGCGCGAGCCTTTAGAGCGTTTATGGCATTCGAAGGCGGCGAATATGATATAGTCTTCTGGCTCCCTTGTCCAACGCTTTCGACGTAGCACCATTGAAGGTACAGCTCCTTTAGATTTGGAACAAGTACAGCTTTCTCTCCGTCTACACTGGACGGACTCAGGGCATTCAGGAAGGAGATCAAGTCAGAAGGTGTAACGTCAAGGGCGAGTCGCGACAGATTGGGCATGGCACTGAGAAGTATGTTCCAATCAACTGCTCGTCCTGGATGGGTCGAGGTGACAAGTTTGAGCGTATCGATATTCTCGAGACCTGCGCCAGCCAGAGGCATGAGTGTGGGCAGCAGATTTTCATGTTCAGTGCCTTCGTCCTCAGGACGCGGGAAACTAGCGTCGATCCTTGGATAAGAAGTATTTGGGATGTATTCGCCCGTGACGTCGTCGAACGAGTGATCAGTGTTGGCGGGGCATAACTCTGATCCATGCTCGGTCCCTTGGTCGTAAACTGACCAAAAGGACAAATCCTCCGTAAGCGCGTCAACGTACGTGCTCGTGTGGACACTGATGTTGTAGAAAGCGTGCGCGTAGATGCTGAGAGTTTTGTTAGGAGGTTGACCGTTGCCTAGTCTGAGTTTAGGCTCCAGCAGAGATCGAGGTAGAAGAGCGTCGGAGTCCGCTGCGCAGTTGTACATCACAGAGAAGCAGATCTGGACTTTATCAGGCAGAGTAAGACCACCAACGAACAGAAAGAGCTCGGGGAAGGAGTGGTTGCAGATATAAAGTCTCTCGAGATGAGGTAAAGAGACGACAGGACGGGGGTGATCTTCAGCGTCCACTTCCTCCCAATAAAAAGAGCCGTCCAGCCTGAGAGTCTTAAGCGCTGGGGTTCTCTGCAAAAGACGTAGCATCTCGATTAACTCAGATTCTTCTGAGTCGGATACGTGCTGAATGCTAAGGTGCGTCAGAGCAGCCCCAAACAGGTTCGAGTTCCAGTTTAACGAACAAGCAGTCAACATAATCGTTCGTAGCTTCGGAGCATAGTTGCCAAGGAACGAGTCGGAGAGAGATTGCGAGTGTTCTTCCCAATCCATGTCGACGGTACTGTAGTCGATATTAACGATGAGCGTCTCCAGCAAAGGGGCAGCGTGGACAAGCTGGGAGAGAGGATAAGCCGTGTCGGTGGCGATTAACCATAGGTCCAACGTCCGGTAACGGCAAGCACTCTCCGGAGACAGGGCGCAGTCCAGTAGATCATAGCCGATATCAAGATCCGTGTCATCGCTGGGAGGGTGATCAATGGAGACTCTCAAGTCGATAGGATATCTATCGCCAGCGCGAGCCATCTTGGTGTTCTCTCGTTCGAATGTGGATGCATCAAACGGATGGATGTTAAATTTTGTCCATAGGCTGCAGTTGCCAAGAGCCACATCGCGAAGATGTCGGCAGGTCCAAGTCAGTCGAATCCTTGCGTCCGGGAGGCAGAAATAGAATATCCTCGCGAGCAGCTCAGTCGGTAGCTGCATGATGAAGGGGATAGGGTAACTCAAAACAGACGCTCCGTTCGAGAGAGTAAGCTGGCTATTAAGCGACATGGCGTAGTGTGCTAGCAAAAACAGTGAGAACGTAACCGAAAGCAAGCCAGAAGAACAACTTACCTGTGTGTTTATTGCTGGGCGCTACAAAAATAGGAGAAAAGGAAAAGGAGGGAAGAAAATGGCTACCTTGGGGCAAAAGACTGGTGAAGGTTTTTATATGCAACGTAGATGGCCTAAATGCGGCGGTAAATGCTGTCCCGGAACGTACGTACTACGAAACCGTCGTGATGTCTTGCCAATTGAATTGTGTACGGAAGACAAAAAGCTGTTTTGACACCCTGCGAACAGACCCTCGTGATCGTAGCGAAGCAGGGTCCAAGGCAAGGGTCATGGCGAGGGTCAGCCAATCATCGAGGGTCAAAGTGTCGAGGCGAGGGTCAAAGCAAGGGTCAAGGGGAAAGTGGTCTACGCGCGGAGATGGTCGATTGTTGCGTTCTCAACATCAATGCGTCGCCTTCCGGAACTTATGGATTGTGGCGGTGTACTAGCATTGCATACTTTCAGAAATCTTGTCACGGTCCTCAAGGAAATTTAAGGCGCATAGCTATAGATCTCGGAAATATTCTAGTTTGAAACATTCTCTCTACCTTGCGGTATAATATCTTTACCTACGGTTACTGAAAGTGTGCAGAAAAATATACCTTCGGTTGTCACAAGTATCCAACAACATCAAAACAACATTTCAACACCTTCGACTCGGATAATTCGCCATCAAACACCCGGCCGCTCAAGCTGACCTACCAGAACCTCCAAAGTCCCAGCAAACTCTTGATACTGTGTCTCAAAATCTGCTCCACGAATGACAAGTCTGTCAAGCGAACGCACGGAGGATTGCTTGCGTGCGGATAAAAGTCCCACGAAGTCGACCATTGTGGAAGGATTCAAGAACTCGATATATTCATCGTCTTCGCCGTCGTCGTCGTAGCCATTCCAGTACAGATACAGCTGGGAGAGCTCGGGAAGAAGGGACATACCCGAGTCCCTCTCCGGTTGCAGGGCATCCATGATGGCGCTGAAATCTCCTTCATCGACATCGACTACAAGTCGGCTTACGCGAGGTGCCGACTTGAAAAGAGTGGTCCAGTCCAGGCTGAGGTTATCGTTGTGCACAGATAGCTTCAGCGTGTCGATGTTGTCCAAACGCGCACATGCGGGAGATAAAAACGTCGAAAACAGGTAGTCGTGCGGAATCCAGCTTGGATCTCGATCCGAGACATCGGTAAAGTAGCAGGTGAACTTGGCGTCAATCCTAGGAGAACACGAGTAAGGTACGAAGTAGCCCGTGACCTCGTCGTAAAAGAGATCAGGCGAGCAGTGATATTCTCCCGGCACCCATACCATAGAGAAGTAGCCGTCCGAGTCAAAGATGGAAGCAAAGTCAAGGTCGGAGAGCGTGTCTGAGGCGTCATACGAGCTTGGGTGAACACTGATATCGTAGGTTTCTCGTTGTTTGCCCGAGTCCCGCATTATGAGGTCCCCTTCGGAATCGCCTTCGGAGTCGTCTCTGGCATGAATACTCAAAGTGTAGTAGGCTTGCCTAGTGGTGTCCATCGAGTCAGCATTCACCTCGCGAGTACACTTGGCTTCCAACAAAGACTTCGGAAATAGTGGACCTATATCTTCGGGGGAGTACAAATCAGCCTCGATGCGAATGGCGACGTCCCGAGGAAGTATGAGGTGTGTTAGAAAATTCGTATAGCGGTCGAACATGCCAAAGAAGCATAATGCGCGCAGAAACGGAAGCGAAACGACGTGGTTCGAATCTGGGATTGAGTCCTCGTGGAAGCTCGGCAAGGTCAGCTCAAAGGTAATCTCTCCCAGAGTAAGTGATTCGAGCCTCGGAGTCTTCCTAAGCAGAGAAAGCAGTTCTGGAAAAGAGGGTTCCGTTTCCTTGGGAGTGTTAAAGAGGCTGAGGTGCTTCAGCATCTCGCTCCAGAGCGGCGAGTCCCATCGAAGCGAGATTCTGTCAAGGCAGACAATCTCAAGAGCGGGAGCGTGTCCAGCTAAAAAGGTGTCGGGAATAAACTCTTTATAGCTGTTTGCGCTTGTCAATTCGAGTTGCACTAGGTGTTCCGCGGGCTCATGGAGCAAGCTCAGGACTCCTAAAATTCTCTTGTCCGAGAAGTATAGATCGAGGCTACGAGCACGAAACGGCACCAATGCACGTTCGATAAGGCGTTCGCCCTCTCCATCTAGGTCTTGAGAGCCAAAGTCAGCTTCGGGTGACCCATCGTCACTGATCTTCAGGCTAAGGAGCTGATCCTTGGCGCGGTCGAGCAGCATCCGTGTCTCTGGCCATCCTCGTGGACGGGGTACCGCGAAGTCAAGTCTCGTCCATAGGCTGGAACAGTGAAGAGCCACCTCGCGGAAATGGTGGCAAACGTGAGATATCGATATCATGGTGCACGCTGAGAGGTACGAGAAAATCTGCCCCAGGACCTCCGGTGGGATGGGTCTGCCACCAATGAGGATGGTGAAGCTTGCTGGGCTAACAGATAGCGTCATAGCGCTCAGTCGTATCGCGGAGTCTGTGGTGCTTTCGGTTTGAAGAATCTTGGAAGATAAATCAGAGTCGGTTTCATAGTAAAAGCTCGAGTAGAAGACACTTACAAAGAGCAGCGGGGAAAGATATTGGGTTGGAAGACGGTTATGTCTGAGAATAAAGAGCGCAAACTAAAGTGGGCCAGCCACAGTACTTATAGTGGGTTTTCCGAACCGCGCTTTAGCTTCGTGGATTCATAATGCTTGAGCACTCAAATGAAATGCATGTGACAGTTGGCACAAGAGCCTCGGAGGACCAACCGTCAATTATCCAAAATTCGCTTTACATGCAAGGCACAGCGTAGTCCGACCCTTCATGTCATGAGGCGCTTATTCATGGAATCGCAACAAGCGACCCGATCCTACAAACTTCTTGATTAGGGCACAACAATGAAAGGAAGAGACAAAACGTGCATGTTACCTAGGGAGGGCGCGACGGTCAGAGCGACTGGCGCGTGCCCGAGACAATTAAGCTTCAGCCCGCGCTTCGTATTGCCATTCCGCATTAATGTCTCATTCTTCACTCGCTGTGCCAGAGATTATGGCAGACTCGTCGAGAATACAGCTGATGATGCCGAGATGACAACACAACGAGAGAGCGAGAGAGAGAACCTCAGGCATGGGAACGACAATGAGCAACGGCAGCTGCGTGGACTCGAGGTTTCTCCCCGCTTGATGCTCGAAATAGCCTTGAACTCCTGGTGAGGGGGAAGATCGTTAGCCAAAGTGGAGAAGAAGAGCGCCCGCTCTGGATTTCAAAGCCGTTGAAACGATTATAGAACGAATACGCGCTATGTCACGGTGCGACGGAAGAAGCTTAACTGGTCTCTATGGACATGGTTACAAACTTACGAACATGCGGTTAGTGTTGCCGCGGTTCGGGAAACCAGCTCAAACCGACTCCTTGAAACGCACTTTCTTGTCACAACACCGACCAAGCAAGTGTTAATCTTCGCGGTTTTTAGTCTCTACGCAGCGACGATGTGTGTTATCTGGACTGATGACAAGTGCAAATACAAGTTTCTTCGGCTTGGTTCCAGCCAGTTCGCCAAATGCGGCAACACTACATGCGGTGAAGTGCCCGAAGGTGGAAAGCTTGAGACCCAGCAATACGCAGTTTCTCTTGATGGTTTTTGGAGACATTGATAAGAAGGGCTGTGATATTCAGGATGACATATGCCTTGACCTCACAAGAAGTCGATGAAGGCTGCGGGTGGAAACCGAAGAAGGGCAAGCTTGGATTAGCTAATGTGCACAGCCACCATCGGCAAACGCGGCATGGTATGCTCTTGTCCCTGGCCACCCTTCATGTCTCCATCCATAGTCGTCGCAGCCCCAGCCATTCAGTTCTCTCAATCCTTGCCAGCGACAAGCATTCACGAGTCTGACAGAACGAGCATAAGCGAAGATATGTCATGGAGCTAGTCAAGGTACAAGTTGGCCTATGGACAGCACCTGCGAGCCCCGTTGCGCCCATGGTGGAGCCTGGATCCATAACACCACCCTACACCGATGACGCCGAGCGAGACCTCATAACCACTTTCGAATTCCTGTCTCCCTTAGCTTTATCCCTCAATGTCTTCACCCACCTTTTACGCCAGCAGCAAACCACCCAGAGACCGTAGCCCTCCTCCCACTGGCAACAGCAGCAGGGGTTCGAGCGGGTCCTCATCCACCGACATGCCCTCTTCATCCGAAAACACCTTCGAAAAGCCCAACCATGTTCATCTTCCGCAGGAAACGGACCTGCACATGCACGACGGGCCGCCACCACTGAGCTTCACGCTCCGCAGCGGGCGCAGGTTGACTAAATGCGCCCTTTTTCTCGGCTTCGTGATTTTTGACACGGGTATCCTCCCGCTCATTCTTTTCTATGCGCTGAGGTGGAGCGCACACCTCTCTATCACCATCAACCTCGCCATCATCACGTCCGTCATCGGACTCGGTTCGTCGGCAAAGCTCACACATCGCACGTACCTGCTGTGGTATGCGAAAGGGTGTGAGTCGCGCAGACCCATTGGGTCGGGTCGCTGGGGGCTCGATGCAACGCAGTACGTCGTCCTTTGCTTTCTGGTGGATGTATGCTCAAATTTCCATAGCTTCTTTGGTTCTTGGGCATTATTCGCGTTTCTGGTCCCGCTGATCATCGGCTCGTCGATGTACGTGCCTTCTTCACCCCTATGACACCAGCCCCTCACATTCGCTAACTCGACCTCGCAGGACGCCCGCCTCCGTACCCATTGTCTCCATGGCACTCCCATGTCAGATGCTCTCCCTCTCCGTACCTTGCCTCATCAGCGCGATATTCGACCACCACCTGCGCCTCCCCGTCCGCATCTCCTCACTACCACCCGGCGAAATCCTGCCTCCTTTTCCGTATACACTTGTCGAAGACGTCATTGCCGTCGATGGCGGCGGCGGACTTGCTTTCCGCCAAGAATGGCGTCATCGGTATGAAGACTCAGTCATAATTCGGTCTCTCGTGAGGCAGCTCGCGTTCATGTGGGGCCTCAGCGGCACGATCATTGGCGCACTGCTCATCGTCGCGGCGTGGCTCGCGACGACCGACACCGCGTATGGGCTCGCGTACGGCATCCCGTGGGTGTGGGTGCTTGTGTGTATCCCCGTGACGGTGCTGTACGTGCAAAGCCAGCTCCGGAGGGAGCATCAAGAGTGGTACAAGGAGTGCGTGCACAAAGTCCGGCCGCTGCATGTACACGAGACGGTGCTCGACAAGGAGGTGGACCATATGGTCCTCGAGCGACAGGCGACGCACGCCGGGTCGATGGCGTCTCCCAGAGCGTCGGTGGCTTCTCCGAGGAGGGCGTCGATGAGATCCCCGAGAGAATCTGCTGGGTCCCAGCCGAGGAGGTCAAGATCGCGGTCAAGAGCGCCGCCTGTATAAACGGCACGTATGTTTTATTCTACTTTCACTTTCTCACCCGTACTCTTGAGACCTTGGTAACGGCTTAGATGCTTACGACTTACCTGATTTTACCGTATAGGGTATATTTTAGTGCCCACGATACGCTTATATGGCATGTACAACACATACGTTACAACGCACTCCGAACATTCAACTTGCTCTGCTCGGAGAACATATCGCACGCGATACACAAAATGCACGTACCCACCCGAGACTCACTTAGTTGTATGATACCAGCATCGTTACCCTATAATATGCTACATGGATAAACGACATGATTTGACCGCACTTCAGTACTTGGACGCTTATGTATGTGGCTGGCGAGCCAGCGGCGGCCTGACGACGTGAAGGTCCCGCTTCATGATACCAACAAGTCCACATATGAGCATCCTACTGACGTCACCAACACACCTGTCGCGTATGACGTCACTGATAGCTTGTCTTTCTTTTCGATCTTCATCGCATCGAGGCAGTTCGCTGTTGATGCACATGCTGAGCATCTCCAATAGCACAGAACAAAAGATCAACGCGAAGTATTGCTCTGAGCTCGTCCTACGTGAGATACCGGAACCCCTTCCGCCGGCGCACGGCCTCGTCGAACGAGATGCCCTCGAGCCTTGCCGCCTCCTCGATGCGCTCCCGCTCCGGTCCTTCTATGATTTCCAGCTCGTCGCGGTCCATCTTTTTGTTCTCCTGGACGAGCATGTACCGTATGACTAAGTATATGAATGTTGCATGTCAGGAGGGAAACAAAAACGGGAACGAAGGACGCACTGCACGCAAGAACGAACGCGAACGCCATCGCCGCGATGGAAATGATCATCGATGGCTGGTATTGGGGACCCCAGTCGGCTTTCCACATGAAGGAGCTGACGCTATCAGAGTTCAAAGGTTGTCAATTGAACTCAAAGTTACACTGTAGTGATAGAAAAAAGGATGGTAATTTGACTTACATGAGCGCCGTATTCCCGAACCCATTGACCAGCCCGATTGCCGCAGAGCGTTTGGCAGGTGGACGGGGCACGGCGTTCGACACCCATGCGAGTGTCAGTGCGAATCCTAAGTGAGCTCGCAGTCAGCTTTTATTTCTACACGGAAAGTCACAGATAACATACCGACATATCCCGAGCAGAGACAAAACAAGTAGAAGTACCGCCCACCAGTAGACATCGTCGAAAGCCCGATGATGTACCCGATGGTGCAGATCCACCACCATATCGCGAGACTCCAGAAGCGGTCGCCCCGCTTGTCTTTCATTCGGCACAACCATGGTCAATGTTCTGGGTACTTGGAAGAAGAGCAGAATCACGCTTACCAGCTATCCATGCGTTTCCTACACTCAAGAAACCAGCGACGATCCACGGAGGACTGATGCATAATTTAGTAACCATATATATGTCTGGTGAAAGCAGCGTGTACGACGACGTACGCGCAAAGCAAGAGTGTGGTAGTAGTACTGAAACCCAGTGTACCGACCAACCTAATGGTAAAAGGCGATGAAACCATGATGAGGCCCGGTTCGGAGGAATAGGCCACGATAAGAACTCACGTCGGGAAAAAGTTGACAAATCCCAGCCCAATGAGCTCTGCGAATTGCATAAGCATAAATAGAGGGACTTTTGGATCCCTTATCGCCAGCTTGAAACCCTCCAAGATCCTGTCGAACGTTCCTCAAGTCAGTGATTATTGGAACATGACATAGTGGACTCACGAGACGTCCGCATCCTTGTCCGCCTCACCGGCATCCTCGGCGAGACGCACCTGCGCCAGTCGCAGCTCAGCTTTAGATAGCCACCGTGTGTTGTCCGGCTGATCGCGCCAGGGGTAACATAAACGCATAAGATTATCCGCCTTCTAGAACATCGGTGAGAGGTATACTCACCCAATCTGGCAGAAGCCACCTGGAGTGCGAATTTGTTAGAATGCCGAGGAGGTTCAAAGGATGAGAAGAGAGGTGGCAGTGCTCACATGACTTGGAAGCCGAAGAACATCGTGATTGCACCCTGCGTAGCGGGTCGTTAACAAAGCTGATGCATGCGGGTATTCGGCCTTCGTACCTCAATGTAGAACAACCTACCCAAGTGACATAGTCAGAAACAAGCTGTTAGTCTATAGACTCAACGCAGGGATTTCTTACCATCGCCACGCAGCGATTCCAAGTGCACCTTCCATATTGCCAAGAATACCAGCGGCAGCCAACTAGGTTCACACGGAAACCCATCCATTCTCAGTTCGGAATATGCCCGTGAACGTTCGAGAGGGAAAACGCACGCTGCCGAAGGCGTTGGAGATCATCTGACCCTCGTAGAATATAGCGGAGCGGAAGGCGAGTTCCTGGAACCGAGATCAGGTGTAAGTTTTCGTGAGGTGGAAATGCGCGTAAGCAAACGAAAGAGGCATGCCTTTTTTGTGTACCATCGTGATAGCAGGTACGAACATCCCGGATAGAACGCGGCCTGAAAGATGGTCAGCTATGTATGTTCAATCGAAAGTCATGGTGATTACTATACCTCCGGAAGCCCGATGAATATACGACACAGCAGTAGGCCGATAAAGTTATGGGTAGCCTACATAGATATTAGCCAAACGTGCGACCGTTCAATGTCAGCAGTGTGCCTACCCCAGAAAGTGCACTAGTAAGACCCCATGCGACAACGCAGGCGCCAATGTATAGCGAGGGTCTGGGGGAAAATGGGTCATGGTCATAACGGCTAAACGTAGTGCAATCCGCCTTACCGTGAGATATAGCTGATGATCTACGGCATGTCATGGTATCGGCGGAGATGGTATGAGCAAGTACATTGACAACTTACGATATTTGAAGGTATTTGGGCTGGACAATACGATGCAAATAGTACGGCGACGACTGCATCGTACTGAACATCTGTCCGTAGTAGGTCAGGCTCAAGCTAGCGTCAGACAAGAGGATAACGAGACGCACCAGATAGCTTGAGGTCTCTCTCTAGACCTTGTAAACGTGCGGATGTCACCGCGACTCGCTGAAACCGGGGACGAGTCAGAGTTCGGAATCTGTCCTTACAAGTGAGACGTACGTCAAGGTAATTGAGAAGATAGATGACGACCACAGTTGGCATCAGCCGACAGTCTAGCTTTCGGACCAGCTTCCGTTCTGCAGCCCGTCTGCTTTCCTCGGGAAGAACATCCACCTCGTCCTTCCTCTCATCTTCGATCTTCTCTTGTGAGGCGCTTCCCGGATCGTCGAGAGACGACGCATGTTTTAAGTCGTCTTCACAGGGCATGACGAGAGGAGCGAGGGAGATATGAAGAATCTAGGCGAACGCAACCTTCGAGGAGAGACAGAGTATTTAGAAAGTCGCTCTTATAGGCAATCTAGGAAGGCTTAAGGCAAATTTCCAAGTGTTCTTCGAGAAGTGTGAGAAGCCAATCTAGGGAACCAGATGATTCTCTACTACACACCGAGGGAGCGAATCCTGCAAGGGATTCCATGCTTCCTTGGGGCCTGTGCTTTCACGCGAGAGGCTTCTGCTGTCGTTATTTTTGCGCCGATTGCACATAATCTATTCAAGGCGGCCCAAAAGTCGGTCAGCTGATATCCCAGAGAGATAAAGTGGCGAATGTACGTGTTGGTGTTCTCGCTAGTGCTCTCTTGCCGAGAAGTACTAAAGGAGGAGCCGTTAACTTACACCAGGCTTCAGACCAATCCCAAAAAGGGAGAAAATGTCAACCAAAACGCCCTATGTGGATTGATTGACCAGTGGCCATAGCAAAGGATACTACACACCGGGGTCCTTCAAAATATCGGGAAAATGTTGTCCCTAGTATCTGAGTGTCACAGGGGCTGAACAACGCACGAGGGCTGAGAGGCCCGCGGCCTAAAGTCATCGGCTCCCTGGTAGTCAGTCTCTCAAAGAGATACCAAACATACAGACTACCAGAGAGGTTCGATTCCAGTCCAGATGATCATGCTAAGTTCCGCTTCCAGGCCAAAGGGGTGTCAGCGCGTGGAATAAGCGTAGCTGCTAGCAACATCCATCCTGGGGGGCTGTGGCTATTGTTTGTCGCGCGATGCTACATGTGGTATAACATGTGCATGAATTGAATGCGTGGAAGAGTTATTGATAGAGAAACCCGCATTTGAGGATACTGGATGGTCTGCACTTGGTCTGCGCTGCCTGAGCAGGGTTTGAGCAGGACTGGGTGGGACCAAGTCATCGTGAGAATATCAACCTCGAAATTCTCACCATGCTACGGGGTGGATGCACCATTTCCCGGTCTCTATGGCAAAACAGTTGTCTCGAGCATCAAGCTTAGGATAATTCGCGGAGTAAGCGTTGATTTTTCTGACTATTAGACACTTCATTTCTTTTATGCCAGGGACTCCTATCTTATGTTGTGCTCAAGGGATGATCGATGAGGGATGGATGTTGGCATGCATCAGGAACCTTGACACCACCTTAACATGGATTCGCATTTGTAGGATAAAAAAGTTGTCCACTAGCAGCAAGTACCCTGTAAATCAGATGATCAGAATCAACCGGATGTCACAACATTACTTGATCATATCAAATGTCGATGAATGACTGAACCTTGCCCTTTTGTACCCCAGGTTCCCCAGCTGGGTTCCCCGTGCTTACTCGATCCTGCGATGGATCCCGGGTCACTCATGTTGGGTTCTGCGAATCCGTACAACACCGCGAGACGCAGACGCGGAGAGCGGTGGCGGTGAAGTGGCGCAGAACGGGAAAAGCTCAGAGGCTCAGTACTAGTGTACAGGTGCGGCAGCTACATCTTACCCCTCATTCACTCATACCACAGGCGACTCGGAGCCCCGCCGTCGCCTCATTATAGATGTATTATCAGCTACCAGCATTACCTAGTCTAATACACTACAGGCAGAACACATGTATTCGCTCATACCACGAACAATAAGTATAGCGCACAAGCACGTGTTGGCATGACCTTTTCAGGTTTATATGGTGGGGCAGGGCCCGTTACACTACCGACTTGTACTTAGAGTAGGACTGTCCGCCTTAGAGTTCTGTAACTCTCCTGGACATTAATATGATTCATTCATCCATCCAAGTATAGCGCACTACAGTTCTTAACAACTCAAGCAACCTGCCAGTGCGTAGTGCTGCACCATCACATCAAGTCCAAATGTACAGTAATAGGAAATCTAAATAGCACAGGAATCGTATGCACATTGTCCAACAGGAACACTGATTGTGTTTGATGAGTTTTCGATTGCCAATTGATTTATTGTTGTCCATCAAGGACAAAAATAACTCGGAGTGAGGGTCAGATCTGGATTATCAATAGATACATGCCAATGAGCTGCAGCCTCTACCGACGTATCAAGATTGTTCAAAGCTCGAGTTCACAGGGTGAGTTACGATGGATATGATCTAGCAGATGTTCCACAATCTTTTACTGAAAGCTGCGCAGATCCCCGCCTCATCACTAAGCCAACATATGGGACTAAAGCCATGCCGTGAGGAAGCCTTTCGTAAATTTATCAGCACGTTCTTCACACACATCTTATTCATAAGAAAACTAAGCTAATTAATCTAAATGAATAGAAAGCAGTTTTATTCATTAAGGGTACGTACTTTGTTAACTTGAGCCACAAAAATTACTCTGTTTCATACGCTCTTCCGTTCCGTACATTTATGCACGAGGAAGCTATGTTTAACTCATAGAGACACATCTCATCACGACCTTGATCCACACAACTTGATACTATACTTATTCTCATTTGAGGGATGAAACAGCGGATAGAAGAACACAGCTAGACATATCTCATCATGATCATGATGTGCTTCAGCTAATACACATTCTTGAGGCTGTGGTTTCTGTGCCTGGACGGAGCAGCAAGCTATGCTCTGTCTCAAGGCTATAAATCAACCTCCGCGGAGCGCATGGTGGGATAAACACATGTCCTTGTGAATATCTCAGGACACAATCCAAGGTTTCCTCATCGCCTTCTCGACGATATCACCGATGGCAACCTGTTCTGTTCCTGCAGACATTATCCGGCTGTAAGTGTGTGCAATATTCTCTTGAGCTAGCAAGGTTTCTTACAAAAACCTACTCAGATTAACCCCTAACGTAAGCTATCGAGAATGTCCTGGTGTCTGTGTCACTTATAGCTAGACCTTAGCTTATTGGAAGCCAGCTCAACTGGGCCCTATACGGTGTTCTTGTAGTCCAGTTATGTCAGTCCATTTGTTGAATCACCTTGAATCACCTTGAATCATGCAATCACTCATTCCAACAGACACTTATCATGTCACCATTTTTCCTGATTCCGTGTTTGTGACAGCGGTGGTTTATACAGCATTTCTACTCGAAACTGCTCAGACTATCACAATGTCCTATGATACTTATCACATTTTGATTCGCAGCTGGGGATGTTCAGCAAGTGCTTATGGGATATACACAACGTACATGTCTTTGCTCATCCTTCCGTCCCTTGGTGAGTGCGTGAACTGCACACCAAATTAACCACTTATATTCCAGTTTTTAAGCGGGAGGAATTACACAGTCCTTTTATGCCTGGAGACTCTATATTATTGGCCAGTCACTGCCTCAAAGCATAATTGTTATGGTGGTAAGTCTCCAAGAACAGACAATTAACACAGAGCTCAAAATAGTAGCTGGTGTTGCTACAAGTGGGGGCAGCAATGGCCTGCGGTATAGGATCTAGCCAACATAGCACAGACTATGACTTGACTTCTTCACGCGAGGTCTTGAGCTCAGCGATTGTACAAATTTTATTCTATTTAACGTCTAAAATGTCGCTGATTTCAAGAGCAGCTTTGGGCAGTGACAACAGGAATTTGTGACATATTCATTGCTGCGTCAATGACTTACCATGTACGCAAATACTGCTTACGGGGAAAGGACCTTTTTAATTGCATGTCAGCTATCAAAAAAGAGAACTGGCTTCAAGAAAACCGACAAACTCATCGATGGTATAATTCGAGTGATTGTTGAAACAGGAAGCGCATCAGGTACTATGCTCTATCCTCGTTTACATGTAACAGTTTCTCACAACTGAAGCAGTTATAGTGGTGCTTGTAGCGGTTGTCCTCACCTTGGGCTTCTCAAAATATCATTACTACGTTGCACCCTCCCTTATCAGCTCCAAGGTATACAGCAACTCCTTATTGGTAGTCTTGAACAATCGAAGGTCCGAGCCTAATGGCTCTGAAGTCTCAATCTCTGCAATGAACTATCATGAGCCTCGGGGACTTGCTAATCCTCTGAGAAGAGAGGAAAACACGGCCACTACCCATATATCCCTTCAAAGAAGCGAAAATGAGAGAATAGTCATGGTAGATCTTCAAGCTGTAAGTTTCGTTCAGTTGATAAAATACCATCTCACGCATATCACATTCATCAGGTACAGACACGAAATCGCGAGAGTCATCCTTCAAACTGCGTTGATGATGCTTCCACGAAGGCATGAGTGAATAGGAGATATCTGCGGAGGTCATATCACGACAAGACGCCATTCATTCTATCAAACAAACAGATTGAAGGTGCATGCATCGCTTTTGATATCTCGCTGTAGCGGGATGTGTAAACGTACGAAGAACTCTGATGCGCAGCGTCAAAAGAGCATAGCGACACGTGTAAAATGGCTGCAATAAGGAGACTATCTGATGAAGCCTCCTTTGGCTATGTATGGTCACTGAAATCTGCTATGCATGTATCAGAAAATTAACGGTCATCTTTTAGATGATAACGCGGGAAGAGTAGGTTTGTCATGGGCAGCAGGCGTTTTACCTATCAAAGAGGTCGGTGCGGTTTGCATGAGTCAATGATGCCCGTTGAGTCTCCCTTCGCCGAACCTCAGAGAATATACGTGAAAAAAGAGGTTTGGGATCGGAGGAATCGTTGATTTCCAGAGGATGGACGCACCGGCGAGATATAGTGACGGGGGTGACTTGAAGGTGTGTCCGCAAAGCGTGGAAAACCGGAGTTTGAAATAAACCACAGTGTGCGCGTTGACGGATGTGACCACAACTTAATCATCATCTCCATGATACCATACAAGAGTCCAGCTGCCCTGTACTGGCATAATACCGCGCTTCATGAACATCTCACAGCCACGTACCGCCCGTTATAGAAGACAAGCGCGGCAAATTTCTAGGCTGTGAGATAAATTGTACGAAATGTGTAAGTGGCTTTGTCATGCTAGGTATCGCACTGAGTCAGCTATTGATCTCCGGAAGGGCGGCGAAAAGCACATACCACGAATGGTAACATGTCGGAACACCAAACGATAGTGGTTGAGATCGCTACGAAGGTGTTTTTACGTGGACTCTGGGTCGCTGATCGCAGTAAAGGGGCCTAGCTTCGCTGTGGAGTCCTATCAGCGCTGGATCAGGTCGTCATGTTTGCTCGCGGGACTGGTTTCTGGCCCGGCTTTCTTCGGATACAGAACCACAGGGGCGGGGCTGGTGACATATAACCCACACAACAGCTGCGTCTGTGTCAGTGTTTGAACATCCCAGCTCTTCAAGCTTCGCCCCTCACTCGCGATTGCCAACACCTCACAATGACGCTCCCGCAAACGGTTCGCGCATATCGCTCTAACGTATGTCTTCTCAGCGACGAGCGCACTGAAGGAATCTGATTTCCAATGACCTTCCTAGCGCGAGGGCTACCGTAAACTCCAACTTACCGAGGGGCCCCTAGAGCAGCCGAAGGCAATGGAGGTGCTTGTTAAAGTTCATTCTGTATCCCTCAATGTGAGTGTCTGAACTCCCGAGGACGTGATCTGGTTTCATTTGACATTCGTGTCAGTACCGTGACATCGTCATCGCGAGAGGACTCTATCCCGGGTACGTCGTCTATCCCTACACTTGTACCAAATGTTGGGTTATTCACTTTTGCTTACGATTGGTAGACCCGCAATCAAAGACAATGTGATTCCATGCTCTGATATGGCTGGCGAAATTGTCGCCTTGGGGACAGACGTGGAGGGCTGGGAGGTTGGCGCACGCGTCAGCGCCAACTTTTCTCTAACACATCTCGACGGTGACCCGTCGGCGAAAACGAGGGCTAACGCGTTGGGTGCGCCAATAGACGGCGTTCTGAGGGAGTACATGACAGTTCCAGTTCATGTACGTGTATGCTCCTTACACCCTACCATGAGCCTTGCTGACAGTCAACCCGATGTATGTGAACAGTCCCTCGTCCGCTTACCCGCAAATTTGTCGTATGACGAGGCTTCAACGCTCCCGTAGGACAACTGCTTCACGTTATCTTGGGTTGGAAGCTTACTGCTTTTGCCCCTGTACTAGTTGCGCCGCTCTTACAGCGTGGAACGCATTGGTTGGGCTCAAACCAATCAAAGCTGGAGATTATGTCCTTCTCTTAGGAACAGGTGGCGTATCGATGTAAGGCATTGGGCATGATAGCATGACCTTGTTGATTTACAGTTTGCTTCAGATTCGGTTTGCAGTTAGCTGTCGTCTCCGGCGCCACGGCTATCGTCACATCTTCCTCAGATGAGAAGCTCGAGTTCGCAAAAAGGCTCGGTGCACACCATACAATCAACTATAATAAGACCAAGAACTGGGACGAGGAGGTTTTAAGAATCGTAAGCAATGAGATGCTCCCCACCGAATGGCGCGTCCTGACATACCCTCTATCTACAGACTGGAGGACGTGGTGTGGATCATGTTATCGAGGTGAGCATATGACGTTCTAAGACTCTCGTAAACACCTAGACATCTCGACTTTTCAAGGTCGGAGGTGCTGGAACGATTGCCAGGTCCGCCAATTCCGCCCGCCACGCTGGCTGCGTAGACCTTATTGGATTCGTAGCCGAAGTACGTTTACATATGAAGCATGTTTTCTAACAAGAATGAACGAGTGCTAATCTGTTAATAGGGGGCTAACCAGATTCCTGTTGAGACAGTCATATCAAAGGCACTCATATTCCGGGGTGTTTTGATTGGATCGGTGGCTCAGTACGTTTCATTAATCATTAATGCTGTGTGAAATGTTGCCGATGCGTTCACCTAGATTTGAAGCGATGAACCGGCTCATCGAGGCGAGGGATATACATCCGATCGTAGACAAGGTCTTCCCGTTCGAGGAAGCTATTGACGCATACGCGTACCTCGACTCCCAGAAGCATGTTGGGAAGGTCGTCATCAGAGTGTCCAAGAATTAGATAGAACCAAGTCTCTCGTTCACTTTTGTCACCTCGACATCTTTTCAAGGGTTCGCAATTTTGTCTATGGATCAACAGAATACGACCCGGCATTATCTTCAAACGTAAATATCTTTATAGAATGCGATGGTGTAGGTAACATGTATGCGACTTATACGTTCCCAGAGTAGCCACAGGTAAAAGTTGCTCTCGTTTTCATATGAAAGGTTACGAGCCAATCTCCTCCTCATATATGACCGAAGCGGGGCTCCTTTGAGCATCAAAGTCAGCTCGCAGCAAGATGCTCGGAACAAGTTATAACTCACCGTTTTTCGACTCCCTGATGATATGTTCAGTCGTTCACGAGGTTATACAGAGCCGTGGCGAATGAAGTTGTTCACTCACATTTTCAATCCAGCTTATCTGCGCTTGCAGCTCCGTTAGACCAAACTTTAGTATAATATCATACCACAACACGTAGTATGTCGACGAGTATCCTCGCAGTGCCTGTAAGGCTTTGGATGCAACGGAAGTGTCCGCTTGAACAGAGCAAGCGGTTGAGAAGGCACCTGAATGCATCAAGCATGATTTAGCCAGAGAACATTGCGTCTCGTTCCTCACCTTGCGCTTCATCGACAAAGATGGGCGGAGAGTTTGTGCCGCGGTACACCAAAACCGTCGCGTGTAATACAGGAAACCTAATGTTGGACATGGTTTCCTCGTGATATGAACGCCTGAATTCCTGAGCCTCCGACACCCGACTCCCCTGCGGACTCAAGCTCAGAGGGTTGTCAGTGCACACCAGGTGACTTGAGCCTAACCTTTGCTAGTATGGTGTCGAAAACACCTGGGACGCGCTGCCCTCCAGAGGGCCAAGTAAACACTGTGTTCCATCGTGCTACATGTTGTCTGTTTGTGGGGTCAAATGCCACATTCATCTTCATGCCATAGGTGTACTTAGCAACGCGAGATGTAACGAGGTGATCGATATAATACGACATGGCACCGTCTGCAACAGCCTTATTACTGGAGAAGTGGTGAATGATAATAACAAAATATAAAACAGTGGTGCAACGAACGCGTGGCTATCGGGACGGCTTAGACTAAGCCCAGTGGATGCCAGCCGGACTTGAAGCTGTGAGAATAGATACCCACTCGCGGCAAAACCGCCGACGAGGAAGACAAACTAAGAACCCACGATTGAGTTCGAGTTCTGAAATGAATTATCGGACGCACTCCTATTTCCATCGTTGAGGCCTTTCGCTGCTGGTTGATGACATTAACGACACTTTGTATGGATGGTTCAAACAGCGCGGCAACATCGTGTCTAAAATTGTTGAAGGCATTATGTCATATCCGAGAATGATAGACTGACCCCTGGAGTCTGAGTTGTCCCGATCGAATACCAAACGACTGGTCCTTGTCGCGCATGGTGCCGAATTTGACATAACTGGGCTCATCCTTGCTTCGAAAACGGAGCTTCGTCGTCTTGTCAAAGGCCTCAGTCATTTGACTGATATAGTCCGGAGCTGCGAAACGGGAGCCTTCGAGTTTCTCTGCGGATATATTTGTGAGTAATGGAATTTTCTGAAGGTAAAATTGACTGAACTAACCATTAAGTAAAGCATTCGCACGGCGAGTCACAAACACCGATCCCTGTAAACGGCCTAGCGGATACGCATTGTAAGACCGTAGAACTGAATTGGTGGGCGTAACACGCACATTCTGCTGGTGCAATCTCTTCAAAAGACACAGGTGTGCTCGTATTGTCATCCGACACCATTGAGTACGCGCTAACGTCAATAGTACCTCCACCGGCGTCTACGATAATGACGCCCCTGTCGCCTCCGAAACCTGGCTCGGATAGTGTTGACGATCCGTCCACTGGTTTTTCGATAGGTAATCTGGACCAGGTATCCGAAGCCAAGACGTTCGAGACGCAATAGTGAAGGCTGGCTTCGCCTTCAGTGACGAGTCTGACACGCTCCTGGGCTGACGGGAGATCGGGAACCAGCATAGCGAGAACCGCTGCGCGACGGATCTGGCTTTGCTGGGGACCTTCCCAGCCATTAGGATGGGGCAAGACGAAGTCGATGGCATCACCAAAGGAGTCCCAGTGCTGTTGCCCGTTCGCGTATGTCTCGATGATGTACTGCTTCGCACACCGGAAAAGATACGCCATGAAGTCAGCGAGGACCTGTAGTGCTGTGAGTCCATTCGGGAGAGGAGGGATATCGCTGTCCTTGATGTGGCCGGACGTGAGGTGTTTCGAGCGAAGATGCATTTTCCACCTAATCGGCCACAGGAGCGTAATGAATGATGCGTCTAATCGGCTGAACGAGTGACGAACCATTCTAGCCTAATCCATTGCTCGTCCTCTGCCTGCTCTACAATGTGCTCCTGCAGCGCCTCGGCTCCAACAGCGCGAACTTGATGTGCCTGGTCGTAGTAGAGGATAGACGGAATCTTCGAGTCCCCACCAACATGTTCCTGAGCAGGGTATCTAAGCACACAGTTAGTGCACATAACAGAGCCAGAAGCCTACGTGTACATCTCACCTTGATACACCCTGGATCTTCGGGACTTCGCCGGGGTCCAGCACACAGAATGATACTCCACTGAACGTAGTCCCAACATCGAACGCCAACACGAGCTTACGCGAGAGACCCTGGTACGGACGCCTTTCCAACATATCGTGCGAGGGTAGATAGCTCGGATTCAGAGTCGATAAGGCAGGGATTCAAGCGAAAGAGCGCCAGACCAAGGGTCGAGGGCCTCCCATACGTGCGAAGAACGAACTACCGTGGGCGGATGGTGATAGCGTGAAGAGTTGAAAGGCAAGAAACAGCACGAGCTGGCCGCGTGTCCTTTCAAGATACGGCCGAGCGCGTGAATATATGCGGGTTGGATTCAAGGTTTAATATTTCAATCCTCACTCCGGTTCTTAATACTGTGTGCCTGGGATGGAAATTTTGAGGATAGCAAGGGACAATAAAATGAAGCGCTTCAAAACTGTGTCGTAGTCACAAATAGCGGAGACAACCAAACCATGTCACTAGTGTACATTGTTTATCTTCTCGGAACATACACTCCATGAACGTGAAATATCGTCAATCTCACATCGCATCGTCGTACACGACAACAGCGGGACTCCTGGATAGATCAGACCGATTATGTCAGCTCATAGTTTCAACATGGAACTGCCTTCACTTACCGCTGTTGAGCTCCCTGAAAGGGTCAGAAAGTCGCGTCAGCGTCTCGGATCGACGTAAACTATGTCTAAGTCAGACGCACCGATGAGTCTCTCCAGCTGATTTGAGCACGAAGCTCCGTCAACCCAAACAGCAAGACCACCTCGAACTCGAGTTCATAATACGTGCGTCCAGGAGCAGTACGCGGACGAAGACTTTTCGCTAGCTCTGACGTATCTGCGCGGACGGTGCATAACCGGGTGAAGGATGCTGTATGGCCATACGGCGTTGTTCAACTACACGCTAATAGCGGTGCGAAGTATCCTTGACGCACCATTATCATCATCCGTCCACCGAGGGTCTGCATCGCTTCCTCGATACGCCAGAATGTGGCCTTCAATCTGCTTACATCCCTCTAGTTCGTTATCTTGTTTCCTGTATGGATGCTTGAACTCTTGGATTTCTGCCACTCTAGTCCCCTGGATCGACAGAACAACGCATGAGAACCATACACTTGTGAGGGCAAGAAGAAACTCGCTGACCTTCCGCACGATCGAAGTGAAGAAATGCGGAACGGCTACTACGCCCGATGCAGCCACGCATTTTGTGTGCTGCCGCTTGATATGTTCGGAATTGTAGGGCTCGAAGACGGTGAAGCACTCCACACCGTATGCGAACCTGGCAGCTCGTGATGATACCAGGTGGTCTATGTAGAACGATGCAGCACCGTCCGCCACAGCTTTATTTCTGGATACAAAGTCAGGTTCGAATACATTTTGCAGCGCAACCACGCTTTATATTACTCACGTGTGACTGTCCGGACGGCTCAGAGTGACGCCGGTAGGAGCGAGGCGGGACTGAAGCTGGGAGAACAAGTAGTCGCTAGCCGCAAACCCGCCGACGAGGAAGACAAACTAATCTATGGATTAGGCTATCGCTTCGGCGGGACTGGAACTAGACGCACTGATATCTCCTTTGTAGACGCTTGTCGCTGCTTCTGGATGGCTTCGACGACACTCTCAATGGCTGGCTGGAAGAGTCCAGCAACGTCGCTCCTGTATCATGATTAGCTGAGTGTCACGCACGAAGGAATGAATTCGAGAAACTGACCCTTGGAGCTTAAGCTGGCCAGAGCGAATGTCGAAAGAGGGCTCCTTGTCTCGCATGGTCCCAAATTTGATGTAACACGGTTCATCGGCGTTTCTGAAGCGCAGCTTCGTAGTCTTATCAAATATGCTTGTCATTTGGTCGATATAGTCTCGCTCCGCGAATCGGGAGCCCTGGAGTTTTTCTACGAGAAGCAGTTAATCCGCCATATACAGCGACAGTGATAGGCCACCTGCCTTGAAGGAATGTGTTGGCTCGTCTGGTGACGAAGACCGATCCTTGCAGACGGCCTACGGGGAAATTAGAGCTGAGAACTCAATAGGTGAGGGAAGTACGCACATTCGGTAGGTGCAACCTCCTCGAAAGACATCCCTTTCCCTGTCCCTGTGGCCGATTCCATAGAATAGGCGCTAAGGTCTATCGTGCCACCCCCAGCATCGACAATGATAACGCCGCCACGCATACTAGCTCCAGCACCCGAAGACTCGTCATCATCCACAGGCTTCTCGATCGGCACTCTCGCCAGTTTGTCCGACGAGAGAACGTTCGAGACACAGTAGTGGAGACTGGCCTCCCCTTCGGTGACGAGCTGGATACGTTCCTCGCCCGCCTTATCGTCTGGCACGAGGCCAGCGATAACAGCCGCGCGGCGGATCTGCGTCTGTTGAGAACCCTCCCACCCGTTCGGGTGCGAGAGAACGAAGTCGATGCTGTCCGAGAACGAGGCGAGGAAGTCCCGACCGGTTGCGTGCGATTCGGTGATGTACGTGCGGGCGCAGTGGTAGAGGTACGCCATGAAGTCGGCGAGGACTTGGAGGGCTGAGACACCCGCTGGGAGAGGGGGGATGTCGGAGTCTTTGATGTGGGAGGAGTTGAGGTGTTTGGAGCGGAGGTGCATCTTCCACCTGTTGGATGAAGCGTAAGTGAGTTCGAAGGGCACGTTAGTCTTTGAGTGGGCGAATACGCACCACTCCACCTTAGTCCATCCCTCCTCCTCGGCTTTCTCGATGATGTTCTCCTGAAGAGCCTCCGCTCCTATCGCGCGAGCTTGTTGGTTCCGGTCGTAGTAGAGTATAGAGGGGATCTTCGAGTCGCCTCCCACTTGCTCTTGAGCAGGGTACCTGCACAAACACTGTTCAGCTAGGCTGGTTTGGCGGCCTGAGACGCTTACCGAGACACCCCTTGGATCTTGGGAACTTCCCCAGGATCGAGAATGCAGTACGATACTCCGCTGAAGGTCGTGCCTACATCGAAAGCCAGAACGAGCTTGCGAGAGAGGCCCTTGTAAGGCTGTCTGTCCAACATCTTGGCAGCGGACGATGATGGTGGTAGCAGGGAAGTGGCGTATGCAGAGTACACGAGGTTCCCTTCCTGTATTTTGAGGGCCGAGGGTTGCCCATTGTAGGCGCCCTACGTGACTGGGCACAGGCGTCAGACTTCATTTTACACGCGTGCCTCACGTGGTCTGTGTCAAGGAGTTTTCAGAGATTGACGAGTGGATAGACGCGGATCAAGCGACGAACCACGAAACCACGTAGATTATGTAGCTATACACAGCGCTGCCGATGACTTGGTGTTATTTGGGGAGTGAATCTGTTTACAAGTGAAGGGAGTCATATGTTGAAGTCGCGGTGGTCATTGACAGAATGCGTGGGAAAATAACGCTGGCGCGTCGGGAGCGTACGCGCGTACGGCGCACAGTTCGTTTCAATCTTTGACTTCTGCTTTGATCCCCTCTGCCACGCCAACCATCGCATACAACGCATCACTGTCTTTATCTCATAGAAGTTGTTTCTCTTATATGTCAAGATCTGGATGACAAGAAGTCTCTTGGACGGCTTGCCCAAGTTAGCCAGAACCTGAAGGAGCCCGCACTGGATGCACTTTACGCCGACATCGAGAATATCGTCGACCTACTCAGGAGTTTTCCTTCCCACGTGTTGAATCTAGAGGAGCGTCCACCTAATAAACCTATGCTGGTATTGTTGTCTCCTCATGTACACTTTGGCCTCAGTGACACATTGCCTTGGCTAGGTTGCGAGGCAGCAGCCAACTCGTGCGGACTGGGACAAGGTACTTTCGTACACATCGAGAGTCAGATGCCTCAACGAACAGCCATTTGGGTCCGAGTCGGCTGTTCTCCCGCCAGATACCGCTGATGCTATGTGCGAGTGGATCCGCCCGTTTTCGTTCCTGTTTCCAAAGCTACGTAAAGTGTGTATATCACTTCAACACGACCGCTACTATCGCTTCATCACGACGTTCATCACTGAACCTTCCCTTCTTCACTTGGAGCTGGATGGGTGCTATCAGCCGCTACTCTTTCAATGCGCCCCGAATCTGGCTTCTACGTGCCCGTCGCTTGTAACTCTCAACATCACGTGCGAAGTCTATCAGATTGATGACGAGGACAATGGCAACAACCCTATTCCTGCCGTTCTGGAGAACCTATGTGGCTGGCGGAACTTACGGAACCTCAGCTGCGGCCCCCTCGACTGCGATGCACTGACTTACCTATCATGCCTTCCGACACTACGTTCTCTGTCTATACCTGCCACGAAGTACTCGTCGTGGATCAACAGCCCTAAGCGTGGCTACTTCGACTCTCTGGACCATCTCACATTGCTGGTCGACGACTTTCAGGTTTGCATGACTGCCATTACGATGTTATTCTCGCTTCCAGATGGCCGGAAAGCTCATCTGCGTAGCTTACGGCTTCAAGTAGATATCAGCCAACGGGGTGAGGCGTTATTTAGCTCTCCGTCACAGCTGGCGTCCGTCACCACTGCACTAACGGCGTATCTCGCTCGCACCTCACTAAAGGAATTCTTCGTCTCTCAGGAAAGCATCCCGGACGCAGGAATGGTCCCCGCACTAACGAATCTCTACACGGGTCTATTTCCGCTTACCTCTTTTCCTGCCCTCACACACCTCACGACCAGGCATTACGGGAATAGGTCGGATGACGGTTATTTGCTCACCGAATCTGAGCTTTTGGAGCTCCTTCGACATTGGCCTGCTCTTGAGCGCATTGACTGCGCTACGCAGAGCATATCTCTCAGGAGTCTCGTCACGATCCTTCGTCTCTGCTCCGGCGTGCGATTTATCATGGTCCCTGTCAAATTCTCCTTAAACGACGTCTTTGAATGTCTCTTTGGCGCAGAACGGCCCCGAGGAACGCCTCTAACGTTTGCGGACCTTCCATGCCACACCTCAGTAACCGACCTGTCATTCACTTTCGAGCCGCCCGACGTGGTCTCGCCTGAAGCTATGCTAGCTGTGGCAACATTTTTCTTCCGTGTCGTACCCAACATTAGGGCGCCTTTCGACCGGAGATTACTTGAATATGTCACTCGGAAACAGTTCTGGGATGCCACCTTTGCCATCGTCAAGTCTTTGCGTTCAGGTCTGTGGGACAGTTTTCTCAACAGATTTGTTCCGCCGAACCCGGTTTGATGCCCAACTCCCGCTTTTTGTAAACTGTGTAGTAAATTCGATAAATGGTCTGTGACCTCGTTTTCCCTTTGTCACTTAGCACTTCGCGACAGATAATCACTCGGTTTTCAGAGTATTACCCGATAACCTCAGTACGCATACGTACATCGTGGTTGTGTGCGACGCAGTCGGATACTCATATGAAACCGTTGATACAGAGGCAGCATTCTGGAACCAATCACCCCATAGGACCGCGCTGCAAAACTCATAAATAGCTAAGGTATCATAGTGGCTATCTCTTCAGGCTAAATTTTACTTCAGAGTTCAATGTCCGTGATAAGAGGATACACCGATGCAGAAAAATCGATATTTTGAAGAGTTTCAGACGAATGGGCGACCTTGATCTCCACCCGATGCAGTATCTGCCCTAGCGTATCAAAATACTAATCTGTCTGGCCCAATCGTGGCTCATGTTCGACGGAGGTTCTGTGAGGTAAGGTTCTAGCTATCTAGACGCCTATGACGCTACTATACGTTCTCGTGAGCGTTGATGAGCGCTCACTCTCGTTCTTATACAAGTCAGCGGGACGCTCATTATTACTCATCCCTGAAGAACCACCATGGCGAACTCGTCCGTGCAGCCTACTGCCAATGCACCCCCAGCTCAGGTCAAAGACATGGATGAAGCCCTCCTCGCGAGGATCGGATATAAGCAGGAGCTTAAGCGCGAGTTCCGTCCTCTTGAGGTACGCCGTCCAGATACGAGTCCATACGAGCCTTCCGACTAACGCTGATCTGTTCCTCATCCTTGCATCTTGAATCAGATGCTCGCTGTGTGTCTGAACGTGATGGGAATAGTTCCGACCATAGCGTGCGTGTAAACCTTCGCTAGAAGCAAAGAGGGGGAACTTATCTGATTAATATCATCCCCACATTTCATAGGTCAGTGCTCTTCAATTCAGTTCCTAATGGAGGGCCCGTAGCAATGGTATGGGGTGTGAGTCTTTCCCGCTGCATTCTTATCCCATCGTTCTCAACGGGTTTTATCTTATCAGTGGGTAGTCGTGTTCCCCTTCATCCTGTGCATCGCTTTGAGTATTGCCGAGCTCGCATCGGCTAATCCAACGTCAGGTGGGGTGAGTACTTTTATCCTAGCTCCAGCGGGCAACTTGAAATGCTGTAATTCACGGATACGTAGCTATATTACTGGACGCACGCGCTCTCCCCGCCCAAATGCCGGAACTTCATGTCGTGGGTCACTGGATGTGAGTATGATTGTAGAAACAAGATTCATCCAATGAAAGAAAGGCGCATTTACTTAAAGGTTGAGCACGACAGACGCAAACACGATTGGAAGCTCTACATGTTTAACCGGCGTCGACTGGGCGTTTTCGGTGCAGATTATGGCAGGCGCGAGCATGGCCACGGATGGGGCATTTGTTGCAGCGCAGGCTCAGACTTTGTAAGCTGTGCAATCTCTGATCAGTCTATTAGAACAATTTCTCAGCCGCTGAATGTAGTGCTGTCTTTGTCGCAACCATGCTTCTCCATGGCATGGTGTGTACACTTGGAACGAAGGTCCTCGCAAAACTTCAAAGAGTTCTGGTACTAATAAACGCGTTGTGGGTGACACGCATTATATGCGAACACGGCCACTGAGCTCACACGCACCGTGCTCCCGTCGAAGTCTTTGTATTGCGGTGATAATTGTACTTCCTATCGTGACCCCAGCAGAGCTAAGGAATCCACCTTCCTATGTATTCGGCGGATTTACAAACAGTAAGCAGTCGCAATCACGCACCGAGCATGTCATCAATGTAGCTAATATGGCAATACAGCCAGTGGATGGCCTTCTGGATTTGCTTTCTGCCTAAGCTTTCTCGCTCCTCTGTGGACCGTAGGCAAGCCGAGTATCCACCACTACCCATTTCCTTGAAGGCTTACACGGTCTCTACACAGCCGGATACGATTCAAGTGTGCACATGAGCGAGGAGGCTTCTAATGCAGCAATCGTTGTTCCGTGGGCGACAGTAATCTCCGTCATCTCGGGATTTATCCTAGGCTTAGGTACGTCCCTTTCATTCACTCTGTTTGCGTGAGACTAGCAGCTGCTAAATGACCGTTATCTTGTCCTCAGCCGTCAACATCTCTCTCGCATTTTGCATGGGCCGGTCCACCATCACGCTTGTCGACTCTCCCCTAGGCCAGCCGATGGCGCAGATCTTTTCTGCCTCTCTAGGCACACGCGCTGGGCTCGCGCTCTGGTCCATTGTCATTGTCGCGCAATTTTCCGTAGGAGCCAGCTTCCTGCTCGTCATGTCACGCCAAGTGTTTGCGTTTGCGCGTGATGGCGCGCTGCCGTTTTCCCGGTTTATATACAGTATCGGATACGGACGTGGCGGAGCACTAGGTTTGATAGGAGAGGGTGTACCGGTAATAGCGGTGTGGACGCTCGTTGTTTTTGCGGCGCTGACAGGATTATTGAGCTTCGCTGGGGAACAGGCGATTAACGCAGTATTTGCGATGTCTATGGTGGCGATTTATGTGGCATACATTGGACCTATTGCTGCAAGGGTGATGGCTGCATGGAATGAAGCTGCGTGTTTTAGGCCAGGGCCATTTCATATGGGGTATTGGGTGAGTCTTGGCTTTCCTTTGTACTGCTTCTTGCTTCCGTTACTTACGGACACGTATATGTTGATGCAGGGCGTTCCAATCAATCTAGTCGCTCTGGCGTTCATGGTCTTTACGATCGTCGTCTTTCTATTTCCTGCCTCTCCTGGCACTGCAGTGGCCGACATGAATTATGCCGTTGTTGTCCTAAGTGTGACGTTCGCGCTCATTGTGGGGTGGTATTATTGCCTTACGTATGGAGGTGTGCATTGGTTCCGAGGACCGCAGGCGAACGTCGGGACCGGATTTAACGTGTCTCGGGAGAAAGATGATTGTGATGGTGAGAGACTTGAATCTCAGCTTTCAGGTGAAGAGTGTAGATGAAGGTCAAACAGCGGGGATTATTTGCCTTTGGCATGCTAGATGGATGTACGTAGGTGCTCGATATTGGATGCAAGCCCCTCACTCACCTTTCATAAAAGAAGTTTTGGGTCAAGGTGGCATGTCTAGCACTTTACTACTTAATCCTTTCTCGCATAGTCCACATCTGACTCCCATGTTTATACATTAATTCTAGGGAGCAAATGGCTGTATCAGTGAGAAGTATGTGCGTCCACGTCAATGGTTTAGTGCAAGTATAGTGCAACTGTACGTTGACTGTACGGATAGAAGCTGGCCTTAGTGCGGCCGGTGCGCGGGAGCGATCGTGCTCCCGGGCCGAAGAGCGTGGGAAATTTGACTGGCGCTCCGCTTGCAAACCCTTACGTGGCTTTTGCATTGTCTCCTTTGCGCCACCTGAAGGACGCCCTTGCATGGTGTGAGCAACATAGCTGAACCCCCTACGGAATGTGCTTTGAATGTACGTTACTCCCCGCAAGGCGTACACTCGCTTCACCCCACTCCGCACCTGAAAGCGAATATGGACATTTGCATAATGGTCCGGGACGGAAGGCAACAGATTACGGTAGGCGGGTACCTAGACGTCAGCGATACGATGGTAACCCTCTCCAAATGATAAGCTCCTAGTATCACAGGGCAAAGAAACGCTGACCACTTAGGTATGGTCGTGACCATCCTCGTACAACTGAATCTTACTTCAAGGTTCAAACAGTATCACGGCTGGTTAGCGCTGACCCAGAATGATTGTGACACTCAGGAATGACGTCTCAAATGAATGAGTGCCTTTTCACTTCCCCGTGTTTGTTCAAATTGCTGCCGCCACGGGCCTGCTCCTATCTGCCTTGTCGTAAAGGGCTCAACAGTCCGACGCAATCGTGTCTATATATATTCGGGTTAGATGGCCGTTTCAATGAAGGCGAGTCTTTTACTTTACCTAGACCGCGTATGAGGCTGCCATAGTTTTAAGTGAGTGGATAGTTGCTGCATAGTTCAGTTGCTCTGGGTTCATGAACCTGGCTCTCGTCCTTTTAAACAGGGTGCAAGCAAGTCAACGGTGTGCCAGTAACCATTGCTGTTAAAGACCCCCATGACGAGCACATCTGCACAAAGCGATACTAACTCCTCTTCATGTCGGATCGAAGAAGCCGACGAAGCCGTCCTCGCAAGGATTGGTTACAAGCAGGAGCTCAAACGTGAGTTCACCGCCTTCGAGGTACGTTCTGTCACTACATCCGGACCCTCCTCAATGTCGGTCGTTTCACCTTTATGAGATCGTCTAATCTATTCCTATGGATCAGATTTTTGCAGTGTGCTTCAATGCCATGGGGATTGTGCCAACCATAGCGTGCGTGCTATCGACAAGAACTAGAGCTCACATGTACTCACCATGCGGCATATGTAGGTCAGTGCTCTTTGATTCCATCCCTTACGGAGGACCGGCGGCGATGGTGTGGGGAGTAAGCCTTTTCCATTACGTTCCTGCTATGCTGGTACCTGTAACCAATGTTGACTCAGTGGGTTACTGTCTTCCCTTTCATCCTGTGCATCGCCTTGGGGATTGCCGAGCTTGCCTCTGCAAACCCCACTTCAGGTGGCGTAAGTCTGCAATTTCCCATTTTGCGATCACACAGCGCCGTTAATAGCGGATACATCAGTTGTACTACTGGACACACGCACTCTCCCCGCCAGAGTGCCGGAACTTCATGTCGTGGATGGTGGGATGTGAGTTCAATTTCATTAATGCTGGTTTTGTCATCATAGAAAGGCAAGAGTCAATACCGAGATTTTCAGACGCAAATACAATCGGCAACTGTACCGGTATGGCCGCCGCTGAGTGGGCGCTTGCGATACAGGTCATGGCAGCTGCAAGCATGGCTACGGGGGGAGCCTTCGTTGCAACTCAGTTGCAGACTTTGTAAGTTTTTCAGCATCGTGTTATTCTTATTGGAATCATTTGAAGTTTTTGACTGCTGGTTGCAGTGCCGTATTTATCGCAGCGGCTCTTCTCCATGGCATGGTGTGCACGCTCGGCACAAAGGTCCTCGCAAGGCTCCAGCATGTGATTATTCTGATAGGTGTGCTGTAAGCGATATACTCTCTAAAGCTCGGAGCTTAATAACCGTGCTGATTTTCTATTCTCTCGGCCGAAGTCTTAGTGTTTTGGTGATCATCGTACTTCCTGTCGTGACTCCAACGGAGCTGAGGAATCCCCCTTCCTATGTATTCGGTGGTTTTATCAACAGTGAGTAATCACAATCAAGTCCCGGGCTCTTCTCGTCACCGCGGCTAACATGCAATTTGTTACTACAGTCAGCGGATGGCCTTCGGGATTCGCTTTCTGCCTTAGCTTTCTTGCTCCGTTGTGGACTATAGGTAAACCAGATACCTATCGTCGCCAATTTTTTTTGAAGGCTGATGGGTTCATCACGTAGCCGGATTCGACTCAAGTGTGCATATGAGCGAAGAAGCTTCTAATGCAGCAACTGTCGTCCCGTGGGCCGCATTATCTTCTGTCGTCTCGGGATTCATCCTAGGCTTAGGTACGTCTCCTCCTATCGTTGTCTTCACAGAAGGCTAGAAGACTAAATGACAATCTCTACCATTCAACTCAGCCGTAAACATCTCCCTCGCGTTCTCCATGGGCCCTTCCACTGACGCAGTTGTCAACTCGCCCTTCGGCCAGCCGATGGCCCAGATATTCTTCGCCTCGCTAGGCCAGCGCGCCGGGCTCGGCCTCTGGGTTCTCCTCATCGTGTCACAGTTCTCTGTCTGCGCTAGCTTCCTGCTTGTCGTCTCACGTCAGGTGTTTGCGTTCGCGCGAGATGGCGCGCTGCCGTTTTCCCGATACGTGTACAGCACCGGGTACGGACGCTGCAAAATGCCGGGGTCGATGGGCGACGGTGTACCGGTGATGGCGGTGTGGATGGTCGTCGCGGTCGCGGCGCTGTTGGGCCTGCTGAGCTTCGCGGGGGCGCAGGCGATTAACGCGGTTTTTGGCATGGCGATTGTGGCGCTTTATATAGCGTTCAGTGGTCCTATCGCTGCAAGGGTGTTGGCTGCGCGGAGAGGGCTCGATGAGGCGGCCCGTTTCAGGCCTGGACCATTTAATTTGGGGTCTTGGGTGGGTCTTGGCTTTCCTCCATACAGTGTCTTCTGATTACCTCGGATGCTAACAATCATGTATGTTTTGATGTAGGGCGTTCCGATTGACCTGGTTGCCCTAACGTTTATGGTCTGCATGATCATTATCTTTCTCTTCCCTGCTTCTCCTAGCACCACAGCGGCCAACATGAACTATGCTGTTGTTGTCTTAGGTGTGACGTTTGCGCTTGTTGTGGGGTGGTATTACTGCCCGGTGTATGGAGGAGTGCATTGGTTCCGAGGACCGGTGGCCAATGTCAATACTGCATTTGACTCTCTGCAAGAGAATGAGACCAAGGAGCAGCCAGAACCATAGAATATAGTATGTTATTCACGAGCTGGATGCAGCTCTGCCCCCGTAATATATGTGTCTTGTACTAAGCGATCTCGGTCCGGATTTATATGACATCAAATGGTAGAGTCCACTATCCCTGATAGACAAGGAGCGACTCTAGGACCTGCCGTTGACTACCCTTGTTTAGAGCTATATATTTTATGTATTTATTGTAAATAGTATCGGACATACAACTACGAATGACGTGCGTGAGTCTTCGTGTCCCCAACGTTATTAAGTTGAACTTCGAGTTCCGTCCGCATCCCACACTTCACTTACATCGTCGCTCTTCCTATCTGTAACGATACACACACCGATGATCATTGGCTTGAGTTAGAAGGGTGGACAACAGAGGAGATGAGATACTGCGCATCTTGGGATGCTGATGCTCCATTTTTGCGCGCAGGAACCAAAAATACTGCCCCACATGCCCATAATATAATCTAAGCATAACCATTGCAGGTAGATCAGCGTGAATACAGTTTCAGAAAGGGTTCATAGGCTCACCATTAGCAACGGACGCTAATTATTATAACCAGGAGGAATCCACGTCATACCAACTCTCCTTTGATGTGCGATACGCATGGGTCTCGGCAGTAGTGAAGGCAAATTCGACGGAAGGAATGGCAAACTCTTCGCCGATGCTAACCGCGGCCCGACGAACTTCGCTGTTCTCGAACCACTCAGATTCCTCTGTTTTCACATTGGTCAAGGTAAGACTCGACAGACGACACTTCGATCGCCGAAGGAAACGGCTTATGAACGCGAGGTTTCCGCATCGCGGTGGAGCGGTTACAATGAGGTTGGAGAGGGAAGGGAACGAAAGAGCGCCAAAGAGGGTTCCGAGATCATTTTCTTCCAGAGATGCTCCCTCTACCCAAAGCGAGAAGGTCTGTAGCGTGCGAGACGACGTGGCCGTCCAGCTCTGTTCCGTGTCTGCCTTGTCTGCGACTATAAATAGCTCGACGAGACTCGGAGAACGGGCCAGTATAGCCCGAAGAATGTGGTCTTCGATGGCCCAGTGCGGCATTTCTACCGTCAGCGAGGTCAGGCTCGACCATGGACGGTTCAGGTTCGGCGACAAGTGGTTGTCGAAGAACCTGTTCACGTGGGAGTCAAACCACAGGTAGACATGCATATGGGTGAGACGGCTGCGGAGGCGATCGGGAATACACACAGGGTCATCGAGATGGATGTTGATGAGCGATAGATGGGTAAGATTGGGAAACTGGTGCATCCAGCCGAAGAGCTCTGAGGAGCGGATATGCGAATCCCCCTGGACATCCATCCCCTTTATGTTCTTGATCTCTGGTGTGACCGGAATGTGACCGACGTCTGCCTCTGTGAAGACCTTCGTCGGCCGAAGAACGAGTGTTAAAAACACCGAGGATGGCGGCGATCTGCCTAGGACGTGTAGCGGGAGCGGGAGCGACTCCGCGAACATCACAGCGTCCTCTACAGTGCAAAGTCTGATCATCCTCCACAGCTCGGGAATAGCTAGCGCTACATTCCTCCACTGGCGGCAGACTCGGGCGACGTTCAGGGTGCCGGATAGATCGGCTTCGACCAATGTCTTGCGAGGGTACTTGGGTATACACCATTCGTTCACGGGATGGACGGGTTTCTGCGCACTGTGCACAAAGATCTTGGCTAGGAGTTCAAAGGGAAGCTGATTTATGACGGGAACGGGCTGTGATGAAGGGAGGGTCGTCTGGCTTGCCATGATAGGAACTGAAGAATGTGTGGGTTTATCAGCTGAGATCTAACGTAGATGGTATTCCCCAGAACTCACGAGCGCTCGAAGACGAGAGCTAGGACAGGCCAGTCTATAATCCTGGCTGTGACAGACTGTAAGGAGCACGGAGGCGCTATCAATAGTAACTAATAGTTACTATCTGCACAACAGGAAGCAGAGAATCGGCTCCGCGGCATGATCCGGCGACTGGCACAGCTTCGATAAGCGCCCGCGGGCGCTTAGAAATAGTAAGCTTTTCTCGGACACAAGGTGAATATGTAGGAGGTCTGCACTCTGCCCCTCGTCTCTGCGGGAAATGGTGGAGCCAAATGGGCGATCGGAAGAGAAAAGGTGCGAGGCAAAAACGAGCAAACGGATTTGAGGAGAATGTTCGCGTTCAATGACACGAGTGGCATGTGCTAGCGTCAGCCGTCAAAGTTTCATCGCGACACAGTCGATCCAGTTGATCAGAGCTGGAAGGTATAAGCATGTGTAGACTTAGTTATGGTGTGCTCAAAGTGCTTACATAGAGAGGCCGCTGGTGTCGTGAAAGAGGGCCGTGTCTCCTCCGAAAGGTCTGAGTTGGTTGAGAGCGTTGTGTGTTGTCAACGTTGCACGGTTGTGAACAGAATTGACTCGTGGAGCATAAAACATCTCCCTAGGACAGGTCTGAGTCATGCTGGCACACCTGTGGGGTCGATTTCCGAAATTGTCTTACTCATCGGGGCCGGGGATGAGCCTTCGAGTTACCTGGTCCAGATGCATGCAGCTGCTGGGCATTGGAAATGGCATCGAATGAAAGTGCGATATAGCCGAGTGCAGCAATTTGAATCCGCAGCAGTGAAGAGGAAGGTTTGATGGAGGCGCGAGACAGTAGCAAAAGCAACGAATGCGAGATCTAGACGCGTTGGAAATCAAAACACACGTACGACGCGTCAGCATCCCGTTGGCGGGCCCGACCCGCCGTTGATATAGATAGCTCCCGAACCACTGTGCGGTCGCTCGAGACGCGATCTGCCATGGTGGCGCGCGGGCCCACGGATACATACGCAAATATGACAGAAAGCGCTCGGACTCGTTCCGATCAGCGTCGCGTCAATCCGCGCATCGCACGACGCAGGGGAGATCATCCATCACTGGGGATCAGTTGCGCTGGGTGCGAGTCGCGCCACTTGAGTGATGATCAGCCAAAGAACTGAATGAATACGTTTGTTTGACGGGGAGCCGCGAAACGGTGGGGTTGATTTGGGGTGCAACTGGATGAAAGGAAGGGCTTAGTTCGTTCGTCTGCCAGCTGGTAGATAGGTACAGTATTGGCGTTCGATACGCTGGCTGACCCTTGTCACTGTATGTTGCGTTTCATGTCAGGTTTGGACCTTGGAGATTCGAGATGGTGGCGGACTCCCCTCGTGCCCGTATCCCCAGTGTATCTCCGCACTATCTAGCGGAAGCGAAGAACTTCAAGAAGATAACGAGAGCCATTAATATCCTGTCAAACACGTTCCGAGTACAACGAGGACGTGCTTCAGGCTGCAACTTTGCACTCGACTTTGATGGAGGCGCATACATCCAAGGAAGGAAAACGAACTGCGAGAAGCTGATGTGAAAGAAGCGTCCCGGGACGCGTCGAAGGAAGCTGGAGGAAGGGAGGCCGAGGAGACGCGCATCATCCACCGCAGCTCGTTGACGACGGCCCGCTATTTTGAGCGACAGAAAGGCCTGGAATGGGACGACAATGCGGAACAAAGGGCGGCAGTCCCGACATATTGCGATGGATTGAGAAAGGAATTCGGGCCATGACACCGGAAGAGGGTAGCGGAGGCCGTCTGGTGAAAAGAGGGCGGTGAGAGTGCTGCGCACGGGGCAGAATCGACGAGCATCCTGTCGTGTGGAGGCGGCATGGCGAGGAGGTCTGCATATATGCTGAGAAGTAACAATATTGAGCAAGCGCGCGAGAGTGAGTGTGAAACAAAGTGGTGTTTATTTAGAGATGGTTCGAGCACAGCAAGGAGGATTGTTTACGAGAGCGGTGGAGCTATGAGCGAGAGAACGGACGCGGGGGAGCGGGGTTTATAGCCGTGGTTCGGAGGGCGAAGGATGCCCCTTGCGGTGGAGGTCCACCTTCTCTTTCTCCTCTCTCTCTCTCTTTGACGTGTTCCTATACGAATCACTTATCCACGATCAAGCCATCGCGTCCTCTCTTTAACACCACCCCTTATCATCGTCTGTTCCCCTTTTCGATCCTTTGAACCTTGCACGCCACTCATTCTCTCCACTCTCTCTCTCTCGCTGCCACCACCCAGATACCCAATCCCAACATGCCCCCGCGCAAAAATGTACTGCCAAATGTTAATACCCTCAGCCCCAACGATGCCCATAACTACCCCTACGGTACCAGCTCCAGTGGCTCACCCGCCTCTCCAGCCAGGTCTCTCCAATTTCCCCAGCCCAGATCCGTCTCGCCATCCGCCAGCCTCACCCACCTCCTCTCCAAGCCCTCGCGATGGTTCGGTCGCAAGCCCTCCAACTCGAGCTCCAACGCAGGTGGCGACCAGCAGCCCTCACGCCCGAGCACCAGCTCCGGCCCGGTGAGAAAAACAAAGATCTCGCGCCCCACTGATCCACGCCCCATCCTCGCGTCCTTTCAGTCAGAGCCACGCGTCAGCAGCAATGCGAGCAGGTGAGCACGCCTCCTTTATCTTTCTTTTCTTTCGGGACGCCGATCCTCGGACGCGTCGCGTCCCAAAGTGTGCTTTTCTTTGATAGCGGTGTGCGCGGACGGCGCCCGTATCCATTTGCTTTCTACTATCCTGTTTCCCATTTCCCATATCGCAGCGCATATACCCATCCTCCGATCCTCCTTTCGTGACCCGGCGTTAGGCACCGCTACCGCCGTCCCCGATGGACTCTTGTTCCTCATCACACCTTCATCGCCCCTTCATTTGGCTCGGAGTTCGTCGCTTCATTGATCGCTGACCGTGCATCCGCGCCCATGTTTCGTTCGCAGATCCGTGATGGACCTTTCGCTCCCGCAGAAAAAGTCGATGGACCTCTCCGCCCACTTCCAGCCCAGGTCACCCGGCTCGGAGACCTCGTCCCCTGAAAGACTGCGCCCGGGCGGCGCGGCCCTTGGCGACCTGCGAAATCTGCAGCGCAAGGCCTGGTCGCGGTCCGCGGACGATCTCACCAGTCTTACAATGGACGAAAGCGGTGGAGCCGATGTGCATTTCCAGCACCGTGTGCACGAGTACAGGAACAGAAGCAACAGCAGCGCGACGATGCACCCCGCCATGTCGATTTCGGCGTCTACCTCTTTATCTGGCGCGGGCCCGCCGCGCGTGGATCTGGCGCCGAGCCCGAGCTTTACTCTTCCGATGCCCGGGCAGGAGCTGGGCGCGTCGACGGTAGCGCCGAGACCGATCGGCCGGAGCGTGCCGTTTCCCTCGCTCGTCACGGGTATCCAGCTCTCGTCCAGCCCGCCTGAACATGCTATTGACGATGAAGATGACGACGACGATGCGCCGCTGCAGTCTGCGATATCCATCTCGGTGTCGTCGCCTCCGGCGGAGATGCTGCCGTTGCCGATCTCAGCGCCTGTTCCTGAACCGGCGTATTCGCTTCCGCCGCGCGCACAGACGACGCAGGTTGCGACGACGGCTCAGCAGCAGCAGCAACAGCAGCAGCAGCAGCAGCAGCAACAGCAGCATGCATTCGCACCGCGCATCGCGTCCAAGCTCTCTGCTCCCAAGCTGCCCAATCTCCTTCCGACGAGCCCGAAGCGCAAAGGATCCGGTAACTCCCAGTACGAGCGGGGCGGGGGCGGGGGCGAGGACTCGCCGAGGGAACGCGAGCGCAAGATCTCAGCGGGCATGGGCCGCGGCATGTTCCCGTTTGCCATGGGCGCAGCGGCTGCGCAACCGCTGTCCGCGCCGCCCACGCAAACCGAGTTCAACGCGCATGGACACGTTACGCCTGCTGCTGCGAGGCCTTCGACAGGCGCGAGGCCCCCGCTAGGAGGAGCGCCCAACGCCAACGCGAACAATCCGGCGCTGCTCTCCCCGCCTATCGCACCCGAGCTCGACGTGTCCCCGCTCGACGGCGGCGGCGCGTTCAGCGCAAGGGACGCGCGCCGCGCGTCGCAGATTGTGTATAGGGCGGGGTTTCTCAATCGGCTGCCGGATTCATCCTCGTCTTCGTCGTCATCGTACACGCCGCTCGCGCATTATAGGCAGAGCACGATGTGGGGTGGCGGTGCCAGTGGCGGTGGCGGTGCAGGGGCGGGTGCAGGCGGCGGAGCGGCAGGCGGAGGGGCGGCGTTGAATCTGAGTAAAGGGTGGAAGCCTGCGAAGGCGGAGTTGAAGGGGACGAAGTTGTATTTCTATAAGCCGCCTGGGGATCGGGCGGTGGGTGTGAAGGAGCTTTTTCCGACGGAGATTGTTGCTGCTGAGGAGGATGCGGACGGCGGTACCGCAGGGGCTGGGGTTGGGGATGCAGGAGGAGGGAGGTCGAATCAGGGTAGAAGGGAGGACGGGGTGAGTGCATCGGCGAGGAAGAAGAGGGCGTATTGGGGGAGGAGGACGCATCCGGATTTGATTGTTGGTGAGGGCACGGGTGCGGGTGTGGAGAAGGGGAGCTTTGAGGCGCTGGTGCATGAGGCGGTGTTTGCGACTACTTTTCAGAAGACCGAGCAGGAGACGACGGCGAGTGCACAAGACGCCACTGGCAGCGGTGGAGCCACCACGACCACCAACAACATCGACAACGAAGCGCGCGCTAACGAGTTCGCGACGACCATTTTGCTGTCCTTGCCAATTCTCGTGGGGCGCGCAAGATTCGAGAGCGAGCTCATGCGCTGCTGCACGAATTATATCTCTGGTGCGGCGGACGAAGGCGAGAAGACGCTCGCGGTGTGCCGTGTGGGGTGGATCGCGCGCGAGTATGTGCACTTGCATGGGCAGCCTGTGGAGGGTGCTGTGTGGGATGCTTGGGTGCGGGATACGGTTCCTGCTGCAAGTTCGGATTTGGGTGCAGGTTCAAGTTCAAGTTCAAGTTCTAAGCTGGCGGACGACACAACGGCAAGACTACCAGGGATGCCCAAGAGCGAGTCGACACAGGCGATCTTTGCGCCCAGTCCAAACCCGAGCTTTGCTGCTGCCGGAGACGGAGGGAGAGCGTTCGCGGACATGGCGTCGCCGAATGTGGGGACGTTTTCGCCGCGCCCTGGTGGCGGTGTGGATACTAGTGGGCGGATGGCGTCGCTTATGGAGGCGCTTGGGCCATCGATGGCTAGTGGTGGTGGTATGACAACAGCGACAACGACAAGGGCAGAAGCTACAACGGCCACATCAACAGGACTGGCGACGCCGCCGCCTTCGGTGCCGAGCTCGCTGTCGGCGGCTACGGGCGCGCAGCTTGGTGTGCCTCTGCACCAGCAACAGGGATCGCAGTCAAGATCGTCTACATCGAGTCAGCGACCGCCACAGCAGCCTCCGTCGCCCGCTGGGTCGTCCCGCATGCAGCCGCCACCCCTGGGGTCAAGTTCAAGCTCAAACTCGGCCTCGAAGCCTCATCACCAGAGGCCGCAGAACCCGTTCGGCGGGGGCAGCAGCGAGAGCGCGCACCGCGCGTGGACGATGCTCGCGCGGGACGGGCTGACGCGGGAGGTGCTCGCGATGGTCGATCCGCAGCTGATTGCTGCGAGTCTGGGCGTGTTTCATCGTGAGGCGCTGGTGTGTGGGGTGCCGGAGGAGCTGACGGTGGGCGCTGTGTTGGGTGTTGATGAGGCGGTGAAGAGTGCGTCTGGGAAGGAGAAGGGGGAAGGCAAGGTGGATGAGATGGGCGCGTGGGTGGGTGAGGGGAGGAGTAGGGGAGAGAAAGGAGAAGGGGAAGGGAGCGGTGTTGCGAGCTCGGGCTCGCTGTTTGGGAGCGACGAGCATCCGCATTGGCTCACGCGGCTCGTGCTGCTGCAGGTTCTCGGCGCGGACGGGACGTATGCTGGTTCTTCCATGCCCACCTCCAGCTCGCTTGCTCCGTCGGACAGCGGCGGGGGACACTCGCCGACGAAGGACAGCCGCACGTCCTCCGTTGCGGCGCAGGCGCAGGCGTCGCGCACGCACTCGCGCTCCGAGGTGCTGTCCATCTGGGCACGCATCGGCGAGATCTGCCGCGCGGCGGGCGACGGCGCGTCGTGGGGCGCGATCTGCGCGGCGCTGTGTGCGCGGCCTGTGGCGAGGCTGGGTAAGGCGTGGAAGCGCGCGGATCGACAGGCGGTTGTGGCTGTCGAGGCGTGGGCGCAGACGGCGGCGTGCTTTGGCGGCGGTGGTAGTGGGGAGAGTGGGGAGAGCGGGGAGATGGGTGTTGTGACGCCGTGGGGTGGGGATGTGCGGTGGAGGCTGAGGGAGACGATGGAGCGGGCGAGGTGCGATGGGGGCAAGGCGAAGGATGAGCAGGAAGGGGATGGTGTCGAGGGAGGCAGCTGGATGGTGGGTCCGCTTGTGGAGGCGAGGGCGATCTTTGAAGGTCTGAGGACGCGGTTTGGGATGTGTCCGAGGGCGCTGAGCGGGGAGCCGGAGATGAGCCAGAATGTGGCGAGGTTGTTTGGGTTCTGGAAGGACTGTGCGGAGGGGAGGTCTGCGCAGAGGAATATGGCGGTGAAGTTTCAGCGGTGCGTGGGTTTTGTTCGCGCGGGGAGTGCTTGCGTTGATGTTGCGGGTGGTGGTGTGTTTGCAGAGTGGACCAGTTCATGTCGCTGTCGTTTGCAGCGGAGCCGAGACGCAAGGGGTTGTTCGAACCGCATTTCTGGACGGCGTCGAATCCGCAAAGCGGGTTCTATCTCAACTGTCATCCTCTTGTACCTCTGCTCTTCCCTGAGCCACTGCCGACCATCACGCTCGTTGACCGTGCGCAGCTCTGGCGGAATCGACTCGACAGTGGACCTCAGTCCCTCAACTTACAGGATCTCCAGCATTTGCACGGCGTTGACGCGAGTTTGTCAAACGTGGGCAGCGCAGGTATCGGGCTCAAGGGCCTTTCGAGACTGTCTATCCTCGGAGACGCAGATTCGCGCGGAACGGCAATACCGATCTACGACGGCGAGCTCGTCCTCGTTGTGCCTAACGACCTCGACTCCGGCCCGTCTCGGCCCGCGTCGCGTGCACCCTCGCGCCCGCCCAGCACAGTCGTCGAAGAGGGCGACCATCCCTCACCTGCCCCGTCGAAGCAGCCGGGGATGGGCCGCGCGCCATCCGTGCGCGTGCGCTCAGGCTCGAACCAGCCGCTGAACCCGTCGGGCGAGCGGCGCTCGAGCAGCACGACGCGGCGGAGCTCGCTGCCGTCGCTCACGGCGCGACCGAGCATCGCGACGCTGCGTGAGGCGCCGACGGAGAAGCCGATACGCGCGATGGTCAAGGGCGGCACGCTCGAGCGGCTCGTGCATATTCTCATTCACGGCCTGCAGGGCGTGAGCGCGAGCGTGTCGGACGATAATGGGGAGACGTCGCTCACGGAGGGCAAGGCGCGGGAGCTGGTCGTGGATCATAAGGAGTACGCGCGGGTGTGGTGGAATGTGTACAGGAGCTTTGTCACGCCGGTGGTGCTTTTTGAGGTGCGTTTCTTTCAGTGAATAGATGCAATGGAGGAGCCGCGCTGACGTGGATGGGGCTGGTGTTAGTTGATTCGCAAGCGATATGCGAGCAAGGCGCTTGGTGTTGATCCGCTCGTCGCGCTACGTAAGCGCTCGGAGATCCTCGAAATTCTCAAGGAGTGGCTTGTCTCGGGTGGCGGTACCCAGGATTGTCTCGACGACCCGCAGCTCTATGCGAGTATGGAGGGCTTCCTCGGCTCGCCTTCGGCGGACACCAAGCCAGCGTACGACACGTCCGACGAGGACGAGGTTCAAGCTGTGCAGAAGGCCTTGGACGGTATCGAGGAGAAGAGGAAGGCAACGCTGAACGTGTTTAGGTCGCATATTATGCGTCCGCCGACGTCGGCGCTGCTGTCAAGATCACGCTCCCTCGTCGCGTCTACAAAGGGACCTGGGTTCGGGAGTCAGCCGCCGGATGTGGACAGGATGTCTGCAGAGGAGCTTGTGGATAATCTCAATACGCTAGGACTGGCCGCGTACAGCAACATCACTGAAGAGGTACCGTGTCTAATCCCGCTCATCGCCTCGTCTCCTGATCCTTTGTTATAGGATCTGTTCATCACCGCTGACATATTGGAAGTCCAAATGGCAGATCGCACTGGGTGGTTCATTACGCGCGATATCAACAACTCAGAAGACCTGGAGATTCAGACGCTCAACTCGTATCTCTTGGAGATCGAGCCGTCGCCGCTGGTCTCGGAGCTTTCCCAGGAATCGATATACAAGCTCCTCCCACCCGGCGTCCGGAGCTGCATACGCGCGTTTAACATCCTCCGACGGTGGCTCATCTCTCGGATAGTGGCGCCCCGCATCGGCCTCAGCCAACGCTCAAAGCGGATGGAGCTATTCCTGCAGGCTATCGAGATCGCTCGCATGCGGAGCTACGTGGGCAGCCCAATGATGCCCGGCACCGTCCAGCAGGCGTGTGTGCGTTCGTTCGTCGAGGCGGTTGTCACCTCGGCTGCGATCAGTCCCGAGAGCCGGATGCACGCTCGCGCGTGGCAAACCGTCGCGGGCATGCGTGGCGCGCAGCGCGAGACGCTCGCTGATTTGATGGCGAAGCCTTCTGTCCAGAATGTGAACACGTCTGCGGGGTCGTTGCTTGTGGACGTGAGCTGGATCCTGGAGCGTGTGCTCGAGGTGAACAGTGTGCCGAATACTGTTCCTCCGACCGGAGGGAGCACGAGCTCTATCATCAACTTCGATAAACGGAGGTAGGTTTGATTATTTGATGCTGTATCGGCGTGGGTTGATTAAGGCGATGTTACCAGACACCTTTGCGACCTGCTCCTGAACACGTTATCTCTGCCTGGACTGAAGACGTCTCGCCAGAGCACAGAGGAACCAGATCGACGAGACTTCGAGAGGCTCAACGCCATCGAGCGGGAAGCTATTGGTATTCAGCTTGATCCTCGCGTTATCAAGGACGATGCGCAGCGCGAGGCCCTCGGCGGGAGTACATCCGGATCTGCCGCCCGAAAAGTGAAACCATTCAGCAGGCTTGTCGCACTGCAGCAGGAGAAGAACAAGCGCGACAGGGGCATCTACGAGCGTCTTGCCAAGGATAAGAAGCACGAGATGCAGCGGATGGAGCGGCGCGACGAAAACCTGAACCGGGCGATGCGCGCAAAGCAGCCGTTGTCACAGGTACAGAAGCAGCACCGCAACAAGAAGAGCTACTCTTCCGCGTTCTTCCAGCTCATGCGGCCCATATCTAGCGCGTTCACGGATAGCACCATGCCCACGGTGAAGAGGACGCCCGCCGAACTGGACTTCGCGCCGTCGGGCAAGCCATCGCTCGTGATCAGCGTCGTCGACGCCAAGGTCGCGCAGTTCGTGAACAACGAGCGCTCGTTTACGTTCCAGCTCGACACCGAGGACGGCGGGCACTACATCCTGCAGGCGATGACACGGGCAGAGATGAACAAGTGGATGGATCAGATCAGGCAGGTGTCTAAGACGGCGGCATCGCGCCGCTTGACGTACTTGGGCAACTCGCCGAAGCCGCAGTTGTCAGATCACCTGCATACGGCGGCTACTGGGGCGTCGTTGCGTGATCCGAGAGCAGGTAATGATTACGTTTTCTTGACGATGGTGATGTTGGGCACTGATTGGATTGCAGTGTTTGGTGTTTCGTTAGATTACCTTTTGCGTCGCGAGGCTGGAGGAGGCGAGGTCGAACCTGGGACAATTCCTTCAGTCATGGAGCGCTGCTTGACAGAAGTAGAGAACCGTGGTTTGACCGAAGTTGGGATCTGTGAGCTCGTTACTGACCTTAAAACGTGTGGTTGACTAACGGCGTCGTGCCCAGACCGTATCGCCGGTGCTGCCTCTGAGATTAACGGCCTTCGCGAGGCTTGTAACAGAGGTAAGTGCCTGATCTCGTACTGGCCCCTGACTACGATAACTTACAATTGCATGTTATAGGAGAGACCCCCAACATGTCCGAATCGGACATCCACGCCGTCTGCGATCTTGTCAAGCAATGGTTCCGATATCTACCAGAACCTATATTTCCGCCTTCGTTCTACTTTTCCCTCATCGAGGCCGTTAGTGGGTGTCGTTCAAAATCAAGTTTGAGAGATGTATGTAGCTAACGAATGACGCGTCAGAGCTCGAAAACCTTAACAATCGCCTCTTGGCCATCCGAGGCGTTGTGCGGAGCCTTCCTCAAGCTAACTTTGACCTTGTCAAGAGGGTCGTGGAGCACTTGGACAAGTCCGTCTTCTCATTATTCATGACTTTTATTCATGACTGAACGCTTATTCAGGGTGACCGACTTTGAGGACCGCAACCAGATGAGCGCGGAAGCTCTCGCCATCGTTTTCAGCCCCAATTTGCTTCGCGCGCCGCAAAATGATTTTTCGCTGATCCTGAGCAACATGGGGCATGCCAACAAGCTGGTGAAGGCATTGATCTCCCATGTGAGTATCCGTCATTGGCTATCGAACCATTCCTCCTGAACAGCGTGCTCACCATCCATCGTAGTATCACGTCATTTTCGACGACGAAATCGAGGCCGACCCCGACGGCGAAGAGGAGGAGCTCGAGATCGACGAGCCGATCGTGGAGGAGGACGAGGAAGACGAGGAGAACCTGCCCATCTCGGATATATCATCCACCTCGGACCATCCGTTGGCCGGCAGCAGTACTTAGGAAGAAGACAAAGAAGAAAAAACTCACGTTGATATACCCCGTTGACGAGAACGCGCTACGGACGCTCAGAGCTTATGATCACGTCGTTAAATTCACCCGCTTTATTACCTTAATGTCGCTAACTTATGCGTTGTACTATTAGTCTAGTACCATCCATCCATTCATGATCCTTTCATCGATGCATCCGGGACTTTCTTTTCTTGCTAGCTTTCCCTTCTTTCTCTTTGTTTTCTTTGGAACTTCTGCACCAATGGACAAGGACTCGCCGTTATGGCGCCACGGACCTGTGTGCACTCTTTCACCAGCCTCTCCTTACACGTGTTGTCTGCGTGCCTCCCGCTATCGATCGTCGCCTGTCTGCCTCTGCATATCTGCCTCTATTCGTTCTCGCCTGTGTCCTAGAGCAATTCTAGTCATTTCAGCACGTACTTAATAGCACTACTATAGTAATTTGACGCTGTCATCATAGCAAAGCCAACCGATGGGCAGAGGAAGCGATTACGAATGGACATCTGGCTGCACCTAATCCTCGTCCCAGTTGCCCGACTGCTGCGGGACTTTGGGTCCGCCTGCGGGCTTGCTCATGATGATCGCGTCGACGCTAAGCACGGAGACGGCAGCCTCGGTCGCGAGGCGGATCGCCCATGCCTTGGCGGCGAGCGGGTCTGCGATGCCATGTTGCGTCGCCTGGAGCGTCCCGTCATCTTCCGACTGATGCCCCACGCTCATCAGCGCTATGAAAGTAAAACATTCAGATGAACGGGACGCACCTCGACATCGACGCCCCAAACATGACCGCCCTCTTCGCTGTGCTTCGCCATCAGCTTCGTGAGCACCTCGTTCCCCTGTGCGCCGCCCATCGCGTTTTCCGCAAGCGTGCGCGGGATAACCTCGAGCGCCTGCGCATACCGCTTCACCGCGTGCTGCGCAAGGCCCTTCAGCCCAGAGCCGTACGCATCGACCTTGCGCGCGAGCGCGAGCTCCGTCGCGCCCGCGCCGGGCACGAGCCGCGGGTCCTTGATCAGCGCCTTGATCACGTTCACGCCGTCGTCTATCGCACGCTCGAGATCGTCGAGCCTGTTCGCCGTCGCGCCGCGCAGCACGATCGTCGCCGTGCGCGCGCGCTCCGCGGTGCCGTCGTAGCCGTCTTCGTTGGGCCCGAGCTGGCGCAGGACCGTGACGCGGTCGCCGCCGATCTCGGTCGTCTCGAAGACGTCGATGAAGCCGGCTTCCTCGGGCGTGGGCGCGCCGACGCGCGCGAGGGGCGTCGCGTTAACGACGCGGCAGACACGGCGGAGGTCGAATTTGGAGAGGACCTTGAGGACGGCGATGTTGAACCGGTTGAGGTAGTGCATGGCGAGGTCGCCGATGGAGGAGCCGGCGATGATGACTTTGACGCCCGAGTCTGCGATCTCTTTGAAGATCTGCTTCGTGCGTTAGTTTGAAATTTGCTTACGCCAGAGAGATAGGAAATGGGAAGGGCAGAGGGTGCGATGAAGTGTGATGGGGTAGCGCACCTTTTCGAGGTGTTGCTCCTCGCCGCGGGTGAAATTGAGCATCTCCTCGGCGTTCTTGAGCAGCACGGTTCCCTTCGTCTCGGTCTGCGCAATATCTAGAGCGCTTGTGAACACTGCGACTTTGGCCTTGGTGACCTTTTTGATGAGGCCTGTTATGCTCGTTAGGGCAAGTAAAGCTACCGCGTAATAAGGGGTAATACGCACCTTCCGGCTCACGGCCGAAGACCATACCCTGAACGACTCTACTTCCTTCAAGACTTCCACCCATGATCTTGACGACGCGCACGTTATCGACGTTGAAGTTCTTGGGGTCATTCGGCATCACAGCGAGTGCTGCCTCAGCAACAAGGGCTGAGAGCATGTCCTCGAAGCCGTACTGTTTTGATGCGATCGCAGGCTTGACCGCGTCGGCGAGGGTGGAAGCGGTTAGTGGTGATGGGAGGCTTGACGTCGAGAGATCTATCCGTCGATTAACACGGCAGGCATCGGGTAGACATAGAGAACACGCACTTTCGAGCTCCTCAAGAGCTTTTGCGCATGCGAGTTCATAGCCCTTGATTACTTCACTAGGTACGAGGCCGAGAAGGAGAAGTTGTTCTGACTTCTTGAGAAGTTCGCCAGCGAGGATGAGAACGGTGTTGGTCGCGTCGCCCATCTGGTGGCGTTTAGTCAACATCAAACATTTAAGAAGGCCAGGGACAGGCGTACCTCTGTCTCCTGCGCTTGAGATGCCATGACGAGTAGTTTAGCTGCTGGATGGACAACCTCGATCTCCCGTATTATTGTGGCTGCATCGGATGTGACGAACAATCGGCCAAGGTGATTGATCAAAAGCTTATTCCGACCTGTGGAGTAGCGTTATTTTGTGCGACGGAGATGTGCACAACATAGCCCACCATTTGGACCAAAGCTTGTTCGAACGACGTCTGAAAGCTCTGCCACAGCCTGGATGTTGCGGAGGACGGCATCTTCAAGGCCTTGCGTGTGCTGTAATCCATCATTGAGATCCGGCCACGATGATTTGCGCAACATGAGCTCACCTTGTACCCGTCCTTGAAGAGCTGGAGATTGTTTGATTTTGGAACCTTGAGAGACATGGCTGGGGAGTCGGGACGAGGAGAAGGGGAGATCAGAGGAGGGGACGCGGCGCGCGTCAGATTACTTTTGGCTGTTTCTCACAGTAGCAGTTTTACTAACATCTTGAATGTCATCACACTCGCCTCCATCCATCTCCCTTCCTCCCTTTCCTCCGCCTTCCGCAACCTCACAGGCCAGTCGGTGGCCCAACGTGGCTCAAGATGGTCCTCAAGTTAACACTGGCGGCTGTCGACAAACTCCTCCCGTCGACGTACTACCTCCATGTCGTCGTTGCTGTCGCAGTCGTCCTCATTACACGCGTCGTCTCTCAAGGACGCAGGACAACACGCGACCGCGACATGCACGGTCGGATATTCCTCGTTACAGTACGTCGTCTTTGCCCGTTACTGCCGATTACCAGCTCATGACGCATACAGGGAGGTTTTACTCCGCTTGGCATAACGCTCTTAGAGCAGCTCGCCGCACGCGGTGCACACATCATCGCACTTTCTCCTAAGCCCATCAATGCGCCCGAAATCGACCTTTTAGTCTCGGTACTACGACAAACGACCTCCAACGAGCAAATATACGCCGAGGAATGTGACCTCTCCTCTCCGCCCTCGATACGCGCCTTCTGCACGCGCTTCCTCACGGGCCAAGAACAACGCCTTGACGGAATAGTCTTTGTACATGAATACGCACAGCGCGGCTCGCTCTTGTCCACTACAAATGCAGGGCTAGCATCAACGGGAGCGCCGAGCTCAGGGCAAGCGAGGAGATCGGGGAAGTCGTGGGCAGAGGCGCTGGAAGACGAAAGAAAGGCTGCGTCATTGGCCACGTTCCTGATCATCACTCTCCTGTTGCCCGTTCTTCTCGTGGCGCCCGTCGAGCGCGACATCCGCATCGTCAGTGTCGTCAATCCCTTCTACGCCGCCGCATCCTCCCTCTTCTCTACTTCCACCCCATCAGCGCCTGCGAAGATTCCCAAGGGGTTGTTGGGCCAGGAGGGCTGGCGTGCGCTGCAGATGTCGGTGTACGTTCGACACCTCCAGCGCGTGCTCGACGCACTACCGAACGCCGGTCAGGTGCCCAAGACAGACGAGCCGACCGTGCACGTTGTGTCAGATAAGCTGCAGAAGAGCAACATCGTCTCCGTCTCCGTCTGCCCCGGGATCAGCAGGTTGGACACCGTAGCACCGCTTTTGGGTGCTTCTAGGGCCAGCGAAGGGCCCCAATCGAAGCTTGGGACCATCCTGTGTGTACCACCCTCCTTATCCTTCTGCACCCCTCGCTAACCGAGCAACGAAACGAAATCAGGTACATCCTCCTCCAGCCCCTCCTCTGGCTCTTCGCCAAATCCACTACGTCAGCCGTTCAATCCATTCTCCACGTTCTCTTCCTCCCCACCCCGTTCAAATCCCCCCGCGCCATGGCCCACGCCGCAGCCAACCCCGGCGGCGCAGGCGCGAGCGACCCCGTCGCCGCCGCCACATCGGACCTCCGGCCCGAGGAGATCCTCAAGCCCGGCGCGCTCTACCGTGAGTGCGCGGTCGTGAACCTGCCGCTCCCCATCGCGCCCCCGCCACCAGACGCAGACGTAGACGCCGATGCCAAGGACAGCGATCCCGGGGTGAACCCGCCGCCGAACGACAACGAACTCGGTGGGATGCATCTCGGCCAGGCCGTGTGGGAGCACTTTGAGGTCGCGCTCAAGGAGTGGGAGGCAGCGCACCCCAGTGTGGAGGAGAAGGCGGTGGCCGAGTCGGGGCAGACGACGACGGCGTCTGTCGATCAGGATGCGTCGGCTGGGTCCTGAGCAATTGGATGATTTTAGGCGCTCTGTGCTGGGCACGGTGGAACTGTGGATACCCCGCATCTCCGGACGGTGCATTTCGCTGTGCTTTGCTCTTTGCTATCTGACGGACCTATGTACGTTCTCTCCATAGGACGATAACCTCATCATGAACTCGATTATTCTACGTAATAGTAACACATCGCAATACGGACGCATGGGCGGGGAACTCCCGCCTGCCTTTTGAATTGACATCAGTTGTAGGTTGTGCTCCTAAGCATGGTCATTGTTTTCGCCCTGAGATGAAGGCATTTCTTCAACTTTTTAGAGTCGTTTTTTTGTCTCATTTTTGTCTCACCGTCTCATCGAATAGGTAATGATTTTCTCGGTCGTCGGTTGGAAATTTGTTCTCCTTCAAAAAACGAGTTCTCGAATATCTTGCTTTTCCTTGGATCAGGTTAGCTCGCATAGATGGCGCTAAATGTTGGGCATTTTGCAATGATTTTTTTTTGGCCGCTTTGGTTTCCGTTGGTGACTCGGAAACTCGAAGCCTTGTCATCCGACTCTAGCCTGGTCTCGTATCCTACATTCGTGTTCGGAAAGAAACTCATGTCGTGATTGTGTCCGAGTCGCCATCTTCTCCAGTCACTTTTGGTCAGGAAGGAGCTCCCACTACTGTACCCGTAAGTTCATCCCCTGTCCACCCGGGGCTCGAACTGAACTTAAATTGGGTGGACAGCTGTGGACAGTTCACCTTCGGTCGGCTCTTCTGAGTGATATTGGTGGACACAGGTGGACACTCATGATTGCAGCAGTCTCTAAAGTGACCATCCATTCATCTCTTCATTTAGTCTCCTCGAGGTTGTCTATAGGTAGATATTGGAGAAGGAAGACAATTAGAAAGTGTCTGTTTGCGTATACCGCCAATAACTGCTGAAGAATCCGGTTCCAACAAAACTGACTTTGGAGGGTTAGCGACCATTGTAGGCAGACGCGTGAACAACGGCGGTTTCACGGCGATGCCTACACTTGTGCTTGATAGATTAGGTCCGCGAGTGTATCTATCACGTACAAAGGGCTTTGTAACGCTCGCCAATGCTCGAACCGCTCGACTCGGAACTCCATATACTTCATCGTGCCGGCGAGAATAATGTCCTCGAGGATCGCCACTGACAGGACTGGCACCTCTCGCATCTAGCCATTTCAGTGCTAAACGCTTTCACCTCAATCCACTCTATACTTCACCACCGATAATGCATCCGCGGCAACGTCACAGTCTCCGCAGCGGCAGGCAGCTAGCTTGTCCATGCGGCAACATTGTCAACACCTTCTCAAAACCACCATCGGCTCGAACCTACCAGCCTGAGTCTCTTATACAGCATCTCTAGGCCTTTGAACCTCGGATGAAGATTTGGTTCCTGATCTACACCTATTTTGCTCCTGTGCCTGATCCTTACGATCAAATATTGACGGAGTACAACACGTGGAACCCCGGTGAGCCAGTTTGCCGGTGAAGGCATGGGTACATAGCCAAAACATCACCCGTGTGTAATGTGCACTGGCGCCTAGAAATGTCCCAGCCGGATCGGCTCTTTACCTTCCACGAGAAGTAGCATACGCGAACTCGATGGTTCGCGGGAAAGAGTTGGTCGCGACGAAAACGGAAAACCGAATAGTCTCGACCCCTTCGTTGGACACCTCTTTGCAGAATGGGCCGATCCAGGGACTCGAACGCGAGAAGGTAGATAAAAATGATGTAGATGCACGAGGCCCCGTTGTTTTGGGGCCCCGCGTTAACTTTCTCCGTCTGATCCATTCCTCTACTTTCACGCGTACCCCGCCCCTTGGTCCGTCCGTGATGATCAGGCTCTTGGAAGTTCCAGTGTTACAGCATCTCGAACGATCATCTGGTTCATTCTCGCCTTTTTCAGAGACATCATGTTGTGGTGCATCCAATTCTCGGCGGATAAGCGATAGCATGTCACGATGGTTGTGCATTGCCTCTGCCATGAAGAACTTGATATCGCAGCTTCGGACCGAATCCGATCCACAGAAAGATCCCGCCGTTAATAACGGACATGCGCATGGGCGCCTGTCACGCCTCGTGGCAGATATTTCGATCAGGCGTCGTGGCTCACTCGTCTACGCCTACTTCATCGACGTAGACCTGCAAGTTAACTTTGTCGGTAAGCGGCCTGGAACAAACAGAAAGTTCCATCTACAAGTCGTGTCCATTAGCAACGCCTTCAAGGCACATATCCTCCAAAGATGGCAAACACTCAGGCAGTGTCACTGGATTCGGCATCGTTTTTCTGGCCTCAAGGTCCAATGTTCGGGGGGTGCTCAAGGGCTCACGTCAACAACACCCAGCTTATCGAATGTTGCTACTCACAGCGCAGCCACAGCTCGATAGCAAACTTTGATTTTGGGTTTGCGCAGTCTCTATCATCAACTCCAACGCAAACTCGTACACCGTACATTGTTCTTCGAGCGCTGGCGGATCATGGATAAAACATCTCGTCAATGCAGTTTTCCCAGTGTCTGGGTTTTCTCTCGCTTGTATTTTATTGTGACATGGCATAGGACATATTCATAGGTCACTATCTTGTTAAAAACAGTAATAAATATGTGGGATAAATAAATAGGTGGTATAACTAAAAGTGTGGCAGCTACGAAATAGAACGTACAGTAAGGATTTCCGGGAGAATGGTGGGCCAAGTATGCTCCGAGAAATGACAACTATAATTAGCGATATGGAAGAAGCATATTATTCGCAACGAAAGCATGCGGAGAAGGGATTAGTATGGCATATCGAAAGAAGGTGATCATGAAAGAAAAAAAATTAATGACAAGAGCCGACGGAATGGTAACACTCAAAAGCATTAATGCCCGCTTACTGTTGATGACCCTGACTAGGTCCCCAATAAGTGTCTTCGAAGCTATTCCGGGAGTAGTTATTAATCTCGGTGCTGCACTCAAATGCACCACGTGCTTGCATGTTATCGAAGTAATCCGCGACAGCATCTCCTTGATACCCATTGCTCTGAAGAGGTGGGTACGCAGTGGATGAGTGAGTCGAGAAAGAACCAAATGGGCCTTGTGGTAAAGGCTGATGAGATGGATCGCCGTCACAACTGCGGCTATCGTACAGGAGATTGCTTGCGCCACCCGCTGCAAAGGTAGAAAAATCAGAAGCAGAAAGCGAGTGGTCATGAGGGGAAACTGATGTAGCTGAGAAAGTGTACAATGTCTCCGGAAATAGTTGGTTCGTTGAAATTAATCCTGGCTGATCGCCAAGGAGTGGTTGTTGGAGAAACTGGAAGTCCGAAGTATTCGACAGTGATGTTGTCGACGTAGATGGACTACACGTTTGACTGCCCAAATCTGGGCGTAGGGACGATAGGTCTTCCTCCAGCTGAGAGGTCGTCGCGTGCCGCATATACGGCGGGAACCCATGACCCGACAGATTTCTCCGACGAGGTTTGGCCTCGTATTTATGAATGGCCTTACGATGGCGAATGAGGGCAGAAGGGTCACCAAAAGCACGTCCACATTGTAAGGTTGGGCAAACGTGTGGTTTCTCTCCGGTACTATATTGGTCTACTGTCAAGTGGCTGTGAATAGTGTTAGTAGACCTCGAGCACTTACTGAGTGGCCTTGTGGGCGTCGAGGTTGCGCTTCTGCTTCGCGATATAGTGGCAAAAAGGGCATCTATGTATACGTTGTTTCCTGATGTGTGTGCTGATATCGGTACCTTACGAAAGGTGTCATGCTAAACTGACACTTACCGAGCCATCATTATCAAGCGAGAGGTTACGGAGTAGCAAGAGAATGTAGAACCTTCAACAAGAGTCGAAATAATGCGTTTATGGACGGGAGTGATGGATGATGATGAGTCACTAGTCGAGGTTGCCCAGACAAGAGAGGGCTTTATATCCCTTCGAAGTGAGTACAGCATGTGACTGAACTGACATCGACGGAATGCTATACAGTAGTCGATGCGTTCGTTGTTGTCTGTAGCTCACTCCGACGATCCGCCGCTTATTTCGAAGTAAGTAGGGCCGGATCACGATGCAACGATGGTGTGAATCTTCAGATGGGGAGCTCAACAAAGCTGTCATGTGTTCAGTGCAGTAACGGTTGCAGTCCTTGGATGCTGAGATGTACGAGTACGTACAGCTCGGCTCCCCGGCTGCTTGTGAGATAGCAGATAGAGCCCGAACGCTATACAGCATGGGATTATACAGGATTCTCTGCATTAAATGGTAGGTAATGCCAATAAAAGATAATACGAGTATCATAAACAAAGGCACAAGAAATGGTGTACCCGCAAGTCGTTCATAATTTCTTATTTTCTTTCTGTGCGATAACTTCCTTACTCTTGCTCTTATCTTGGACTTCGACTATGGGAAGTCATGTACAAAAAAGGTTAGGAGAAAGAAGCCGTCCTAATGAAGTAGCACCTTCTAACGAGTTAGATCCGTCTCGTAGAGGAATCTAAGGCTAGGGACGCCAAGGGCCATGTCGGAAAATGCAAAATCCGCGCGAACACATGTCGACGTTTCGCTTACGGATGGGCTCGGCGACGGCAAGAGCGTCCCGAAACCGCTCCAACAGCCATCCTGACGCTATTGGAAGGCGTTGGTATCAAAGCCAATCATATCGCGTTCCGAACATCATATCCTCATTTTACGGCATTGTGACGGCGCTAATTTGACAGCGCTCTGAAGATAAACGGACGCTTCAGCGCGGTGGCGGCGGGGTATACAGTCTTCAGCGCTCAGCTTTCGTCGGGATGCACATTTCAGATTTTCCGACATAACACGCGTATTCCAAGTTTGAAGATCTGGATAAAGCGCTGTGAGAGAGCGAAGCACGATCTCAATGCCACAGTTCGGTGACAGGCGCTCTCCAGAACTTGGTACATACGCAAGCTCTATTGCTGGTGGGCTCGGATAATTCAACTGGCAAAACTTACCGTGACCGCAGTGAGAGTCCTGTGAAGGGGGTGCTTTGGTAACGTTGATGATCACTGACCTAGCTTTCGGTCACAATCATCATAGTTGTGCACGCTGAACTGCAATCTTGGGCCTATTAATGGGACGGGTCATCACACTCAACCATGCGGCACCAAACGGCGAGGTGCCGCGGGATCATTTAGCGCACGTCACCTCTCAACCCACTAGTGAATATGCCGCTGAACCTGGGTTTGGTTTGCACTGCTCGACCAAGATGCGTTCTTCAGATCGAGGATGATTTTACCAAATCCGAATCACCGATCTTCCAGTCCGGGCAGTTTAAAGGTCATCAACGCATGCGGGGATAGGTCTGTTGTATTTTCCAACGGACCGCCTGATGGATCGTGATCCATTCTAGAACTAGTACTCATCATCCATGCAGATCTGGAGCCGATTAGTGCACTGGGTCTTCTCGGAGAGCTATCATAGGCGGGATCATAACACGTGTATGCCACGCTTCAACAAAGAGTTACTTACGAGAAGGCAACCACGGGGTATCCCTTGTCACCCCGCACCGTCATCCTGCTACTGCATAGCCGATGGTGTTTGCTCTAGTATGCGTGCGAAGTAGATGTAGAATCACGGCTGAACCTTGCGTACTATACAGCATGGCATCCCTGATATGATGGGAACTGTAGACCGCTGAAAACATGGAAACGATCAACCGCGGATTGATCGAGTATACTTGGACGAGGTGAAAAGAAACACTGAACCGGAGAACGTACACCATTGACCCGTATCAACACCGTTATCTCGATCCTGAAAAAAAAACAGGTTGGAACAAAAAAGAAAAGGGAAAGAAAAGAAAAGAAAAAAACAATATCGCGTCGACGACATAGGATAGTGCAGGGACGCCGCTAAGGTGCCATCAATGTAATGACTGGATCTCAGAACTCCCGTGGGCCAGACCAGTATAAAACCCTAGTCAAGTTCTGTACAACGCCCAAAAGAAATGCTGTCATAGTTCGAGCCGTATAGCTGAGGCCGCGGAGCGCGCGTGAAATTGCGAGTCCAACTCCGAGATCCCGAGATTTCGGGGAGGTGATCAACGGCCGCGCCGCGTTTTGCATAGCTCTTGAGGTGATCCCACAGAACCAATGTCAGATAGCCCCGTGATGTCGTCCAGAGAGATGATGAAAGTGACCGTGAGAGTACACAAGCTCTGGTAAAGGCGAAGGATGGAGATGAGACCGCAAAGGGAGAGCTCTTTTATGGGGTCCTTGCAGGTGATGGGCTCCAGGTGCGGCCAGTGTTGCAGATGGCGTCAAACGTGCTTTCTGCGAGACTAAGTTTTCTCTGCGGAGAAGAGGTGAGTATATCTGAAGATCTTAACTCGAGATGTATAAGAGTATATGCTGCCCCATTCCGCTTTGGTGGGTTGGCGGTTGATGACTGTCTGGATTCATTTGGATGAGATCGTAGTGGAATTGATACTGTATACGCAGCTTGCATGTAATAGACTCACGAACCTGTAGGGTACCCAGTCCTCACTTCCATATTCCAGTCTCCACAGACCGATGGGAAAGCTCCTCAACCGATTGACAAGACTGTCGACTTTGGCGCAGAGTGCATTCGAGGCAGGTTCCTTCAGGGTCTAGCTGGCCCTAGCAAGTTTCGCCAGCAAGCCCTTGCCAGTAACATCCTGGCAGGTGAGTCCAAGGAACCCCGGCAGACAAAGGCAATGATACATTGGGCGAAAATCGGTGGAGTGGACGAGCATCAAACGTTGGACGTTGAGTTGCTGAACGTGCGCGTAAACCCCCCCACAGCCAGCGGAGTTACAGGCATTTCCCACGATTTCCCACACATCCCCTCTACGATCATCATACATCAGGAGTCAGACGTTGCCTAACGATGTGGCCGACAATGCATATAGAATGCATGCAAGACAGGAGAAGTTCTGCCGCAGCTCTGACAACGCCTACTCGACGTGTTTCAGATTCTTTCTGGAGCTAAGGCCTGGGGCCGGAGGCCGGAGGGGGCTCGTCGATGATAAGAGCCAGAAACCCAATTGGGAGATGAAGTGCATGCCGTGAGTAGTGTCCCATGATATGTTGTTCATGAATGGACGAGCTTACATTTCACAATGAATTCTGAGACAGCTGTCGGGTGCAGCCGGAGTGAAGTGTCATGGATCATTCCGGGATATCCCAGGTCGGTCGATAGCTCGCTGCTAAGATGCAGGCATGTCTACATCCCTCTTGTTTCATTCTGTTCACGACTAGTGAAGTTGTCTCGACTGTGACAATATGCATCAGCGTATAAAAGGAACTTGCTCGTTTTCTCAAGGGTGCATCATTCGACAGTATTCACCAGTTGCCCCCGCATTAGATGACTATGTCTTTCGTCTCTCAGATTTCTAGGTCTACCATCCCCGTCCTTATCGTTCGTACCTTTGGTCTGTGATTAATCGCTACCCCTTACAGCTAACACTTGCTGGTCCAACAGTCCGGTGCAGGCCCTTCAGGTCTTACCGCTGCCCTCATACTCCTTCGTAGTGGCGTTAACGTGCGCGTTATCGACAAGTTGCCGGCATTCAATCCGGGGTGTCGCGGACCAGGGCTACAACCCCGCACACTTGAACTCTTCCACCAGGCCGGCCTACATGAGATCGTGGAGTCTGCACAGCGATTGATTCCCATCCGCATGTACAAGCCAGGCACTATGGAGCCGGCCAGAGACGTCATGATGAGCCAGCCGCATGCTCCAACTGCTCACTTTCCCTATGTATGTTTCTATTGTATCGTTCACCGAGAGCCCATGTTCATGTCTTGTGATTTTACACAGGGAGAAACGCTCATACTTGGACAGAACCGGACGGAGCACCTTTTACGCGAACAGCTCGCTAAGCACGACGTGCATGTCGAGCTGAGCACCGAGCTCCTTTCATTCGAGCAAGACGAGGAGGGTGTTGTTGTACAGGTTGCGAAGAAGCAAGGAGGTCATGATATCCCCGAGACCATTCACGCTCAGTTTCTTTTAGGCGCCGACGGGGCGCGAAGTGTCGTGCGCAAGGGGCTCGGATGCTCCTTCCTGGGCGAGACACGGCAGGATACGCGACTCATGATTGGCGATGTCCGTCTCGCAGGCGAGGGCCTTGATCGTGAACATTGGCATAGCTTCGGTGACATGAAGTCCAAGGCGTAAGTACACCCGTCCAACCTTTACCTGTTGCTTTCTTGGGGCGTGGTTTACTAATTACTCGTGCGACATTGTAGCGTTCTCCTTAACCCGATCCACACTATCGGCTCTGGGGAAGATGGTTTTCAACTTATGGCTGGGGGTATAGACGTGGATATAGGCGCGACGATCGCTGCTGGGCAGGAGGCGATATATGACCTTATACAAGAACTCCTCCCGGTCAAAGTAGACTTTAGGGAGCTAATCTGGGTCAACGAGTTCAGGCCCAACATCCGTATGACGGATAAGTTTAGCGATGGGAGGGTGTTTATCGCAGGCGATGCTGCGCAGTACGTCTCGTGTTTTTTGTCATATTGGAGCTACGGGGCTAATGTCTTTCATCGCTTAGCTGCCACAGTCCCACTGGCGCACAAGGGCTTAACTCCAGTGTCCAGGACGCTGTAAGTGTCCCATTTTATTCTGCACCATGTCCAACACTAATCTGATGACGTTACCCTAGTTCAACCTCGCATGGAAGATGGCCTTGGTCGTCAAAGGTCTCTCACCCCGATCCCTCCTCGATACATACACCCCTGAACGTCTCCCTGTCATCGCCGAGATGCTCAATCTCACCACCTCCATCCTCAACCGCGCGGCAACCCAGGGCGCCGATCGCTCATGGGAGCGTCCCGATCGCCTGCGCATGCTCGGCGTAAATTATCGCTCGTCGCCTATCGTTCTCGACGAAGTCTCCGCAGGTCTCGACCCCGTCCCAGCGTACGGAGACGCCAACAACCTGGAGGGCGGCGCACCGCTCGTAGCCGGTGACCGCGCACCCGATGCGCCGGGTCTGTTGGACGCAGAAAGGAACAAACACAGGATGTTCGACATCTTCGAGCCAACTAGGCACACAGTGCTCATCTTCGCCCCGACGCCCGAGAACGCTCGGCCCATGCTCGAAGCGCTCGATCGTCAGGGCAGCGGGAGGGACAAGTGGACTGAGGTGGTAAGCTCCGTCGTCGTTCTTCCTGCTGGTGCAACGGTCTCCGATGGACGATTGGAGGGTGTTCTCTTGCTAGAGGACGCGGAGGGCTTTGCGTACGCTGGATTCAGCCCTGGCGAAGGCGAGACTCACACCGTTGTCGTGCGTCCGGATGGTTACATCGGTGCTGTTGGGCGCAGTATTGAAGGGATAAAGAGGTATCTGGAGCAAATATTCGCTTAAGCAGGCTTTCTATTGGGAAGAGTTGGTGTATATAGATGTATCCATCTAGAGCATGTATAATTATCGGTGATGTAGTCACAATTTCCCCTCTTAATCACTTCCTCGGAGAGCAGAGATTCAGACCGACCACCCGCCCTACATTAGCTGTACTGCACTTCCCTGTCTAAGTGCTGCCAGAGTAAGTTGGCCTTATTATCGCGGTAGATATGCCGAAACGCGATGATACCTTGGCGAGCGTCTAGATGTATTGATCGCCATATGGGAGATAATTTGGCTCTAAAATCTTTTAAAGCACTCCTCGGCGAATGAAATTTCTCATGTTTGGGACGACAATAGAGAAGAAAGATACCACCGCCGCCGGAGCTTCAGCACACCGCTTCACTACGGAACCCTAACGGATCACTACTGAGGTAGTTGAATGTCAAGTGACAGCCCAAAGATCTCGATGATCCGTGGGAGATTGCTCTGTACTTCCCCCTCCTCCGCTGCGCCACACAGCATCTTATGGTACCGTCTCTTATCAATCGTCATATTTCCTTAATGGCTTACATTACGAAAGGTTCGTGAACGAGAGAGTTTTCCGTTACCCTCAGCATTGGAGCACTAGCTAGGTTTGGATAGGCTGACGTGCCTGAGACATTCAGTAGGTGGAAAGACAGAAGTAAAAAGGGCCGCAGTCGCAACTTACTTCCCACCAATAACTATCCGTTTAGCTCCGTGATCTTCTTCGCTTGATCGCCGTTTTGGACTTGTGAGAGTGTTGCAAGTTATAGACCATTGCGAAGGAGCTGGCATATCCCCTAGGTTCGCATGAAGCCCATCGTACGGCTCCACACACTTTGGGATTTTCCCACAGAGTACTCCTACGTCATGGCTTCGTACGTTCCGAGTATTCGGTTTGTGAACGAGCTTAGATTAGACGTTCTTATCATCTCAAATGTCAGCAGACCAAGAAAGCTATGGTATTTTCATGCGTCCCAAACACCATGTCACTGGCAGCTGTTCCAGCCATACTGACCTGGTACGTTACTTTTGCTTTCAGTGCATCTCATTTCGGTGCTTCACATTTTGGAATCCCGTAAGACCACGCTGCGCACTCTCACCCCTGTCATAGTACGAGGCAACATGAACCCAGAATGCCGTTATCATTTTCCTGTATCTCCTACTCCAGCAGCTCCTCGCCCTCCGGGTGTTTCCAGTCATCGTCTATCAGTTAGATGACGTGCTGCATCCAGAGATAGAAAGTCTTCGTCTTTATAAGCTCCCCTTTCAACCTGTCGACCTTCTCACTCCCACTTGGCCTACCATGTATTTTCTGATCCCAGCATCAGCTGCGGTAATTGTACTGGTGTTGACTACCATTGTGCGCACTCGTCGCAAGCTGAAAGACAAGGGTCTGCCTCCAGGTCCCAAGCCACTCCCTCTGATGGGAAATCTTTATCAAGTCGACCCAGCACATCCGTGGATTACGTTTGCTGAGTGGAAGAGATATGGTACGGTCCCGTATATTAGCGCTAGATACTCACTTGACTTACTTATTCGTAAGGCGACCCCGTCTACTGTCAAATGTTCGGGCGAGATGTCGTTGTTGTTAACTCCGAAAGGGTAGCGCAAGATCTATTTGAGAAACGATCGCGAAACTATTCGGATAGGATGAGTATGCCGAACATGTTAGAGCCGTAAGCTTGTTAAACTATCGTTCGGCGGACTGAAGAAACTCTATTGACCGGAACACAGGTATGGCCTTGCATTTGACACTGCTGCCTTGAACCATGACACCGTGTGGCGTGGACATCGGCGTGTCTTCCAGCAAACGTTACGCCCAGAAACAATCGTTGCTTACGAGGCAACGCAGTTCCGTTGTGCGGCCAATCTGTTAAAAGACATGAGAATTACTCCTGAATCATGGTGGAAACATATTCGAAAGTCTGTCAATTGCCATTATGCTCTATCTCATTACCTGACACCACATTCATTGTATCCAGATACTCAGCTGCCGTTATCATGGGGGCTATGTACGACCACGAGCTCCCCATGAAGCCGGAAGAAGACATCACGTTCCGTACTATGGTCGAAGGGGCTGACCTCATTTTCATAATTGCTTCGGCAGGGATGATCGCGCTGCTTACTGCGCTCCCTTTCTGTAAGATTTAGTATAGTACGAAAACCATTTCATTTGACAACACGCATGCGTAGTGCGATATGTTCCAGCATGGTGCCCAGGCGGACGCTGGCTTAACGCCGAAAACTCCCTTCGACGAATGAACGCTTTGATCAACACACCGTTCAATACCCTGAAGAAGCGGATTGTATGTCTCCCTTTCTTCTTCCCATCCGCATTAACTCCAACTCTGATTTTATTCAGGCCAGCGGAGAAGCAGGACCTTGTATGATGTCCGAAGCATTTGCTAAATTCGAAGATATGAGTAAGTTGGAAGATGCCGAGCGCATCATCAAAGATGCCTGTGGTACGGCATATATTGGTGAGTATATTCCAGTATCAATACGAAGTATCTAAGTTGACTTGGAGTACCAATAGCGGGAGAAGAAACGGTATGTCAACACGACCTTGCTAAAGCCGAAATGCTGATAACAGACTCTAGACCGGATCTACATTGATTGTTTTTACTCTTGCCATGATCCTTTACCCAGTTGTTCAAAAGCGAGCCCAAGAAGAGATCGAGAGTGTAGTTGGGGTAGATCGCCTTCACGAGTTCAGTGATAAACCTTTGTTACCCTATACCGAGGCTTTAGTACGGGAGACACTAAGATGGAGGCCCGTTGTTCCACTTGGTACGTGCGCAAATTCACATACACTTGTTAATCTAACATGAGACTGGCCCGACCGGCAGCAATATCTCATGCTGCAACTAGCGACGACATCTATGAAGGTTACTCCATTCCCGAGGGTAAGGCCGCTTATCATTACTATGCACTCGCTAATAATCGCAAGTAGGTGCTGCTGTTATACCGAACATATGGTGCGTTTCAACATATATACTATCATGACTATTCACGTGAGCAAGTTCCTAGGGCTATGACACGGGATCCGGAAAAATATCCGCGCCCCGATACTTTCGATCCAGGAAGGTTCCTCGATGCAAACGGACATCTAACCAAGGATACGTGCGAAATTTCATTTGGCTTTGGACGACGCATCTGCCCTGGCAGACACTTCGCGCGTGCATCCGTATGGATTGCAATAGCACAGATTCTTGCCTCTTTTACTATCGAAAAAGCGAAAGACGCATCGGGAAATCCAATCACGCCGGCTCCCGAGTGGGCAACTGGGATCACTTCGCAAGTCTTTTAATGATCTTCGTAAAACTATGTGAACTGACATGACGACGTCGTCACTGACAGGTATCCAAAACCATTCCCGTGCAACTTTGCGCCTCGGCATAAATAAGTAACAGAAACCAGACTCGTATTCCATGCATAAATTTCAATGACTCTCTTTTCTTTCTCTCTTGCTACCCTTACGAACGATAAAAGCCATAGTCTACTGATTCCCGCACGCTATTAGCAAGATCTATGAGTTCGTGGTACGCACCATCAAAATTTGCTAAGATTTGTCGCAGAAATATGTTGAAAACTTATTTATGTAAAATTACTTGAAGTACAAGGGAGACGAGGCGACACTGGCAAACACGCTTGATGGACATTGTAAGATATAACGGCACTATTTAAGGCGCCAAGGTTCTGTGATTATCATTCAGTGAGTTACGGTGAGAGGCGAAGTGAAGAGAAAGTTGGTACGAGTTACAAGTTAGTTTGTCAACGCGTGGGAATAAATTAGCCAAGTTAACTGAGTGGGCAAAGTCAGCAAAATACGGTACGCGCCGCAAGTAACTTGCATCACTAAAAGTGCAGCGCTCTTGTAACCAGGTTACAAGACTTTACAATGAGCACAAGGGCGACGAGGGCCACTGCGCCAGAGAGTGACTCACAAGCGTTACAACGCACCTTTAATTTTGACAAAATCGAGGTAGTTTCACAAGAAACGCGGTCGTCTTGCAAGTGCGTGCGAGTGCGAGCACCCTTGCAGCAGCGACAAGGCTCAAACAACTTTGTGAGCGTTGTGACGCTGTACAAGTCTCAGACGTCGTTTGAGCCATTGTAACTCGTCGAATATTTGCTAAACTTGACATAGCCGCAGATTGGATTGCAATCGCATTCACATTACAAACGCCAATAGTTTATCAAATTATTTAGAGCACAATTAATACATGAGAATAATAACATAGAGACGAGAACAACTAAAAGAACATGGAATACACGGTGCTTACAAACGTACAAGAACATTGCAATGAGGAAAGTCGCATTGAGGGATGTATTAAAAGGCTGGGCCATCGATTAGAAGTCGAAGACGATGTACAGAGAAAGAAAGACGTACCCGCTCAGTTCCTCTTCTTCCTTGCAGTTACTCCGGTCGTCTTGGCTGATGCGACTAGCTTTGACCGGGTGGTAACAGTCTTCCTGGAGGCTTCGGCGTTTTCAGCATCCTCCGCGTCCGAAAGCGCCTCGTCGGCGAACGTGAGGTCTGCCGACGCTTGCGGCCTGCGAAGGCGAGCGGGTACGGCAGTGCTTGTCCCAGCCGCCTCATCGAGCTGCTCGCCGTTGTTGGGTTCGCCTTCGACGGGCTCGGAGTGCCGATCCGAGTGACCTTGATGGCGAGTGCTTGTGGCGGGCTGCGTGTCGTCAACGTTGGGGACAACGTCTTTGCGAGGGGGCAAAATCTGGCGGTTGCGGGTGTTGGTGGTGGATGCGTCGGCATCGATGTTGTCCTCGCCTGAGTGAGAAGGTGATGGGATGGTACGACGCTTGCGAGGAGGCTTTGAAGGCGGCTTCGAGGGTGGCTGTTCGCTGTCGGAAAACTGGGGAGTCTAGTAGTATAGGAGCGTTAGTAAAAGATAAATGGTGGATGTAGAGGCGAGCTCACCTTGTCCCGACCCTTTTCGATATCCTCCGTCGCCTGGTCAAATTCAAGTGCGCTATCGAACTGGTCTTGATCCTTCTCAAGCGTGATGTCCACAGTGCGAGCTCGAATGTCAGTCTCGGCAGTGTTTGACTCGCTGTCCTTTTCCTCTTGCGCCGCGACCGCCTTCTTGCGCTCAAGCTGTGCTCGAAGCTGCGTGAACATGTTTTTGTCATTGGACTCGTCATCGTCATCGTCGACGGACTCCGGGTTGGCGCCATCCTCGTGGCCAAAGACTTGGCTTTGAATGCATCAGCGTGTAATTAGTGAAAGAATAATTGAATACTGACAGGTTCAGATACCGCACAGCCTTGTTGACCACATCCTCGTAGACGGGGTCCCACACGATCTCGAGCAGGTGTCTGTGCGCTTTTTTCCACTGATACGCACCATCAGCAGTCTCTCCCCACTGTTTCCCAGCACAGATACCCCAGCGCCCCTGCATTCCAGTGTGGACGGATGAAATAACGTGATAAGAAATAAAACTCACTACAATCGTGATGTATGGCAAGTGCTCCGGGATAATCTCGGTGGTGTCCATGATAACGGCATTGCTGCGAGTACTGACAGGAGTGACATCATTGTTCAAGCCAGCCTTTGGGGCTACAAAGATGTGTTTGGCGATCTGGGAATTGTTAGACGTGCTCAAGACAGGAAAGGTGACACGTTACTCACGCGTTCCATCATGTAGCCCTCCCACATGCCCTCGGCAATGTTCTCGGGGTCGTACTCAGAGCCTGCGACAGCATCACCTTTATACGTAAAGGCTGGTAGGAGGGTCGATATGCCGGGGATGCTTCCTGCCAGAAGTTTGGCTTGCGTCCTTATTCGGTGTCAGAATAGATGTAAACGCGTTGAGTCAAGAGTCATTCACCTTTTACGGTTTTCGCGCCAATCCTGAATGTAAGGGATAGGGCACAGGAGCCGACCCAGCTGCCTGTGGTTGAAGCCGTACTCGTCCCGGCCACTGTGATTGGTGAGGTAGGGCTTGAGAGGTTCGTTCATGTTGGGGGAGGCGTAGAAGCTGATGCGGGCGCGAACCGGATTAAAGTCGTTGCTTCTGGTGGTGTTGATACGGTTTCGGATCTAGGAACAGCTCATCAGTCTACATACGCGCAAGTGGTAAAACAACAGGGTAACTACCTTGTCAATGCAAGCATCCAACTCGTCCTGAGCGTCTGGGGTCTGGACCAAGTCCAGCACTGCTGGCGCGTTGGACCTCATATAGTCGAAAAGAGTTTGGTGCCATTGTAGGGCACCGGCGCTCCTGTACATGTAAATAGAGTTAGTATAAGGACTGAGACGTAAAACAAGAGCTTACATTGACTTGACCCTGCGTTTGAGCGAGGGAGAGACAGCACCAAAGACGCTGTCATCTAAGTCGCCACCAAGGCCTTGATACAGAGCGACCTGGAGGATGTCATTGACCTCCCAAACTAGCCCTGCCGTGCGAGTAAGGTATTTCCCGAGGCGGTCACAATGCTTCATGACACTAGAAAGGGGTGCTTAGCTGTCATATACATTCAAAAATACTGCATATACTTACGTTGACGAGAGTACAGGGCTGGTTTGATGTCCGGCCTTGCTTGATGATCGAGAAGACTTGGATGCCGGTGATACTGAGCGAGAGTGAGAGCGAGCTGAGTTCTGGATGGTCCAGGTGTTGGAGAATGTGAAGCCCATTGTATTCTGACCGGTGGTGTGAGCTCACGGTTGAGCTGCATACCTGCAGCGCCGTACACGGCCTCTCGAGCAGCTCGGGAATTTGGACAGGATCTCAAGTGGATACGAAGTCCCATCGCTTTTTTGAACTTTCGATTGCATGGCTCACAGTAGTTTTCATGCGAGCGAGAGGGCGCCATTGGGAAAGGAGGACAGCAGGCTGCTGTTTACTCAAGGGGAGGCATTGAGGTAGAGCACAGTTGAAAAGTCTGCGGTGGTACACTTTCTCGGCAAGTTCTGATGCCGAGCTGCTTCAGCACTTGCACAGAAGCCAGTGCCGAGAACGCTGCCTTTGTGTGCTTGGCTGCGCTTCTAAAAACGCAGTGCTGCGCACTTTTAGGTGAACGACGATCTCAGACTACAGCTATATTGCCAATGCAGAAGCAAGCAGCCAAGAATGCTGATCATCGCACACCTAAAAAGTGTGTGGTGTTGCATTTTTAGAAGTGCAACAACGGCAAGCCATCCTCGGCATTGCTTCAGGGGCCAATGGCCGAAAACGCCGGTCACTGCTTGTCTAAATCTGCATCTTGGATGCACTTTTTAAGCGAGCAGTGACAGCAAGGTGTCCTCGGCGCGGAAGTAAATCGAAGCTCCATAGAAAGAAGCTCGTTATAATTAATTTAGCTGCATTAAGCAAGTGGTCCGAGCGCCTTGCACTGACATGGCCAAACGCATCTTATTACTCGACGTGTTCTCGACAATTCCCTCCTGTCCCTCCTCTGTCTCTTGCCACCACCATGCCCCAACGCGGCTCCAGGAAGGAGCTGCTTTTCTCCTCTGAATCGTCCGAGTCCTCCCCCGAACGCCCACCCCCAGCAAAAAAACTGAAGACATCTGGTCCTCCGACATCCAAGTCCTCACGGGGCCGCTCATCTCCCCCACCATCTAAATCGTCTCGTTGCTCATCTCCCCCACCATCCAAATCATCTCGTCGCTCATCTCCCCCACCATCCAAATCGTCCCGTCGCTCGTCTCCTCCCCCTTCTAAATTATCTCGCCGCTCGTCACCACCTATCTCTAGATCTTCTCGTGGCCGCTCGTCTCCACCCGTTTCAAGGACTTCTCGCTGGTAATGAAGTGGAAACCATAGATCCCCTTCCCATGAGCCAAGACATGCCACCACTACAGCAAGTGCGTCACATCATTTCCACTTGCTAACTTGTACTTATTCCATTTGTCCAATAGCTCCACACCTCAAACAGATCAGGGCGCTTGCTCCGAATGCCCAGACGTTTTGAAGACCTTATCCCGAGTGGCCCAATGCATCTTTCGCATATGCGGCACTCGTCTCATCAGCCACAGCAGAGTGGAACTCCTAGTCCTTCTCCTGAGAGGTCCCCCTCTCCAACGTCCTCACAACTGGCTCCAGAGCTTTCAAAAATCACCACCAAGCCCAATTCTTTTGGTCTCTATCGTATATACGCCTCAACACCCACTCAGGACCCCTCAGATACGCTTGCAGATGTCTCAGACTCCCCTCTATTTCAATCTAGCCCTCGTCATCTTCCAACCACGTCTCTCAATAGCTCTGGTGCACCTGAACTGCCCGAATTTAGTGTTGAAGATGTCATGGCACCGTTCACAAACCCGACACAGGGTATTCTTGCAGCCTACTACTACGGTCGCTCAAGGGCCAAGACTGAAGCTGATTCCGAGTTCCTCGAGTCTCTTATTACGCACCCTCTATTCGAGAAAACCGAAGCAAAGGGCTTCAGGCTTCATACTCAGAATAAGCGCCTCGACGAGTTTTTGAAGACCAAAGACGGCAATATATTTCGGCAAGAACACGGATGGCAAGTGTCATCTTTCGAGATACCTCTTCCATTTGAAGGCCGTCGCACCATTGGAGGCGAGCAGAATGTTCCCAAACTGCGAGTTGAAGGAGTTTACCACCGTCGCATCGCTTCTATAGTCCAAGGTGCACTTGAAGATCCCATCTCAAATACCTACAATACAACACCTTTCGAGCAACACTGGAGAACAGCAGACGGTCAAGATATGCGGGTTTATTCCGAGGCATACAGCTCTGACGCTGTTCTTGATGCGTACCATGAGGTCAACGCTGCTCCACGTCCATCTGGAGATAACTACGAGCGTATTGTTGTCCCGCTTATGCTATGGTCAGATGCCACGCTCCTTGCAAATTTTGGGAGCGCGTCATTATGGCCGATTTATCTATTTCTTGGCAACCAGTCAAAACATGTGCGTAACAAGCCTTCAGCTCATGCGTGCCATCACGTTGCATATATTCCAAGTGTAGGTGATCCATTATTATAGTATAAGCTGGCGTGCTGAGTATACAATGTTTCAGCTGCCTGACGGATGGCAAAACACTTACACCGGCATATTTGGAAAGCCTCCTACCAAAGACGTTCATACCCATCTCAAGCGTGAGCTCGTGCACGCTGTGTGGAGACTTTTGCTTCAAGATGACGATTTCAAGCGTGCATACGACCAGGGCCTTCTGACAAAGTGCAGTGATGACATCATTCGTCGTGCCTTTATTCGGTTTTTCACATATGGAGCCGATTATCCTGAGAAGTGAGTGCTACATATTTTGCCTCTGGATCTTTTTCTAACACTCGTCTAAGGGTATTACTCTGTACAATTAAATTTCTAGCAAAGTTCCCATGTCCACGCTGTCTCACTCCCAAGTTTCGGGTTGGTGAGATGGGTATGAGATTGGATATGCTTCGGCGTGCCAAAGCCCGTATTGACAGTGCAGAACGTCAGGATCTTGTTCAGCGCGCACGCGTCCGTATTTTCAAGAATGGCCGGTCGGTTAATTCAAAGCGGGTGATGTCCCTGCTTGACTATCACTCATATGTTCCGGTCAAGGTATGATTCTCCACGTCTCTGCTGATATCACTAACATTCTGCTGTAGAACGCATTCTCAGAGTTCTTGCTAGAGCGAGGAGTCAACTTCTTTGCGCTATTCCCTGTCGACGTCCTACACGAGTTTGAACTCGGTGTCTGGAAGGCAATATTTGTGCATTTGATTCGCATGGCACTCTCCATTGGTGGTTCTGCCGTGCAAGACATCAACGATCGGTAAGCTAGTGTTCTATGGAGATTTAGCAGCCATTAATTAATATACACGTGGCTCAGGTATCGTAACACACCACCATTTGGCCGAGCCACCATACGCCGATTTAGGAAGAATACCTCAGATATGAAACGAATTGCAGCTCGAGACTTTGAAGATATTCTTCAGGTACCGCAACAGATTACTGACTCTTCCCGGTTTACTCAAGTCAAAAATTTCCAGTGTTCAATGCCGGTATTTGAAGGCATTCTACCAAACGAGACCCACAACAAAACTCTGCTTGATCTTCTATTCGACCTAAGCTACTGGCACGCACATGCAAAGCTCCGCCTTCATACTGACCTCACACTTAGTCAGTTCGATCAAGCAGTGATAAGTCTTGGTTCCTCTGCACGCAAGTTTCAATCTCAAGTCTGTCCCTTGTACGATACGCGAGAGCTGCCAGCTGAGACCTCAGCACGTGGACGTCGGGCGGTCACCAAAGTTGCTAATACATTGGCAAAGACAAAGCAGGGGCGGGTTCGTGCAGCACGGCTTGCGCAATCAAGACATCATAAACGCTTGAACCTGGAAACCTTCAAATTTCACTCTTTGGGAGACTATCCCGACATGATTCGACGCTATGGGACCACAGATAATTACAGCACTCTACCGGTAATTAATATTTGTCTGGTCATGTGTATCTCCCGCTGACTTGTCCGATTCTGGCCATCTAGGGTGAGGTCGCTCATCGGACATCAAAAGGACGATATCCGCACACCGGCAAAAAGCATAATTCAATGCTGGCATCAATGACCAAGATAGACTCACGCACCCGTTTTGCTGTCAAGCTCGTTGACTACTTGAAAGCCACGGCTTCTCCCCAAGAGAGTTCTGCTGGACCATCTGGTAGCACAGAGTCTGAGTGTCTCATTCATTCAGATCCTCGGGAGCGATATTCTGTTTCTAAAGACTCACGAGCCTCGTTCTCACTGCATGACATCATTGAGGCAATGAATGAGTCATGTCAAATGGAGAAAACGGTGAGATTTGTTCCCCGTCATGTGTGCGTTTGTTCTCATATCACCTATGTCAAGGAATTTATCCCTTGCCTCAAGACTCATATACTAGACCGGCTACGAGAGCAGAATGCACTTCCTGGTGGCATTGAGTTACCCGAGTCAGAAGATATCGAGTACTCGGACGAGCAGCTTGACTCTCTCGTTATCGGCGACAACAAAGTATACGAACACAAGACACTTCATGCCCATTACACAACCTACGACCTCCGCCGCGAGTCTGATACAATAAACCCCCGATCTCGTGCTGACATCATGGTGCTGTCACAGGACAAGCCAGACGAAGAGGACGCTCATCCATACTGGTATGCCCGTGTTCTCTACATTTTCCACGTCAATGTTCGTTTCCGTGGCGAGGCTCCATCAAAATCTCGCCGGCTCGATGTGTTACTTGTACGTTGGTTGCAACGAGACCCTAGGTTCCCATGTGGCTTTGAAGCCCGTCGTCTCCCTCGCATATCATTCTATCCACTCGGTACATCATCATGCTGGGATTTCATCGACCCTGCCACTGTTGTCCGTGCTGCCCATTTCCTCCCTGTGTCTCAATATGGTCGTACACCCGGCCCCTCAATCCCTCATAACATTGCTGTCATGCATTTTGGGGCGAATCGTGCCGAGTTTGACCAAGAGTATGTGTATTACGATGTCAATATGTGAGTGAGCCTCTGTCAATTTATGCTGTTTGTCTACTTACACTATTTCCAGGTTTTCAGACCGGGACATGTTCATGCGCTTTTTAGGCGGTGCAATTGGTCACTCTCTTTCCCCGGAGTGGAACCGGAAACTGGCCTCAGAAGCAAAGTCGAACATGTCTATAATCAGAGAACGGGGAACTTCGGATCAGGGTTCGGACGACAATTTGGATGGCACAGACACAGACGATGATAAAGATGGGTGGGAAACGGACTTGGAGCACAATGAAGAGACTGATGATGACGGTGAGCTTGCGGCTGATGGAGGCAATGAGATGGGAGACGACGAGAGGCTGTATGACAGCGCTGGTTTTGGGGCACCTTAAAGGTATGCCGTCCTTTGGCTGGCATACCTTATTGCTGACCATCTTCTTAGTGTTCCTTAGTGACGATAAGCAAAACTAATATATTATTTGCAAAATACGATGGTACAGTCGGGGACTCGAGTTCAACCAGCGGCAGCGTGTGCACATTGGGATGCGTGTATTTTCGTGCATGTCACCTGCCGCAACGAGGCCCTTGACTGCATCGAAGGATGCGGCGACGCAAAAGCTCAGGCTGGTCGTCGACCACGGTCTGATCAGTCAAGTAGCTGACCCGTCTATTTGAGCAACCTTCCTGACAGGTGGCCGCGGTCGAGATTGCACGTCCGTTGCGCTCGGCGTGAAGCTGTGAAGGGTCGGTGGTGTGACACGTTGGGCGCGCCGCGCCGTGAACTCGCCCTGGCCCCTCAGGAGACGGTACAGAGGCGGAAGTGCTCAGCACCGTCCCTTGTCGTGCTCTGTAGGGCCACCGCCGTGTATGGTACGGTCATGAAGTCAAAAAGTCTTAATATGCCAATGTCACGACTTACATTGCTTTACAGGGCTGTGAGTACATTCTGCATCCGGCTGCAAATTGCACGTTGTCCTTGTGAAACTCGGCGTCGGCGTAGCGTAACCTTGTACGCGTTTACATCCCCTCGTGAGTTGTCAGCCACTCTGGCAAGTCGGTGAAATGCATCACAAGGTGCGTTCGATGATCACAACCACGTGTGAGCGTTACCTTAACTGACAAAGGCTCACAAACTGTCAAAAAGCCTTAAACGGCGTCATCACTTCAGCTCCGTTTTCACAGCGCTCGAAGCGCTCATAAATCCTATGCACTTTTAGTGATGTGGTGCACTCTGTACGCTTATCAACACGAAGTGCCGCCAGCCGTGCTCGGTTACCCGTGATATGATTCTGTTTACGTATACGATGCCGCCTGTGTGGTACATTGCGTTCCACGAGACGAGTGTGACTGGCATGCCTGTCTTGCGGTAAGCTTATGTCAATCAAGAACTTGATGGCGGCTGATGAAATTGTGGTTAGTCCTCAGTAAATTGTCTTCCGGAAAAACGAGGCTGACTTCGCCATCGATGATCAGTTCTACGTCGGCTCGTCGGCTCTACTCATCAAGCCTGTCATGGAGAAGGGCGTCAATAAGGCGTCTGTCTACCTCGACGAGGGTGACCAGGTCCGCAGACTCTGTGAAAGAACCCGTACTTTTCACAGTACTGACCCATCTACTGCTCTCTGCAGGTCGACCACAACTACTTCATGCACGAAGCTTACCCCGGCTCCGCCTGCGGAAAACACGCCACCCTTTCCGCCGCGCTGCACGAAATCCCGGTGCTCATCCGGGGCGACTCGATCGTGCCCATGCGCGAGCGCTTCCGGCGCTTGTCGCTGCTCATGAAAGCCGACCCGTTTACGCTCTGCATTGCGAGCGATTACGGTACCGGGCTCACCAAGAAAATGAATGAACTGATTTTCGTCCTTCCTCGTCCTGCAAATCGCAGATGGAAAAGATACTTCCATACATGCATCCGATCCTTGCGTGTAGCAAGTAAAAGGTGCTGGTGTAATCAAGAGAGCGGAATTTCACGCTTGAGCTCCTGCTTATGGCCAATCCTCGCAAGGAAGGCGTCATCCGCATCTTTGGCTTGAACCAATGAAGGTGTGGCAACATTGCTGAGCGCTGATATGCTGTACGGATCGGCTGGTTATGGCGGTTCTTCGATGGTGAGTGTAAATTAACACCCCGCTGGCGTGCCTCGTAGATAGGGCATATACATGCACAGGAGCGGAAAGTGAGCGCTTGAGCGCTCAAAGTCACTCGCACGCTTACAAGAGAGTATGGTTGCGCCATAGGCGTCTAGATAGCCAGAGCCTTACTTCCAACGTGACCCACAATCGTGCCAGACCATTGATTTTTACCTTACATTAGAGCGTCCATGACAAGCTACACGACAGGCTAGCATCAGCAACTTGCCTCGGATGGGGAGCACGTCAACGCAACCGGTTCATTTCAGGCCCAAATCGTGAAAATGTCGGTCTTTCTGCGTCAGCGCTACCCTGTTATTACGTTGGTTGAACCCTGAAATAAGATTCAACTTTAAAAGATGGTCACGGTGATTCATAAGTTGTTTGCGAAAATTTCAATGTGATCCTACGGGGAAGTCAGTCCGAGAAGGTTGCCTCTGTATCAATGGTTACATACGGATACCTGACTGCGTCGCACACAACCGTGGTGTGTACGCACAGCGTTTATCGGATAACAGTAACTGAGAAAGGGCTTATCACCCGTCGCGAAGCGTTCAGAGACAACGGGAGCATCTAAGATTGGTCATGAGGCATTCTTCAAAATTGTGACAACGTTTACAACAGCAGAAGCGTAGATATAAAGTCTGGGTCAACGGAAGGAGCGCATTGTGAAACCCGTCCCATAATCCCGAACGTAAAGGGGCCATAACAGCATAGACAGCATCCCAGAAATCTTGTTGGACAGTGTATGCCAATGATCCACAGCGGACAGACGGTGCTAAGTTGGGAGCAACTCTAGAGAAAAATATCGCCACAGTTTGCACAGCCCCAGGCGAGACCACGTCGTGCGGCTGGAACTTCAATTTCGCGTCGGTTAGTGAGGTATTGTGGCACGGAATATCGATGAAAGTGAGAGGCATTCCTGGTGACCATTCCTCGCCGAAGAGATATTCTAAGACGTCGTCCAAGCAAAATGTAGCAGAGACCATGACGGAGCGTATTCGGGGGCAGAGACGAAGGATAGCAATAATACCACTGAGAGATATGCTCTGTGTAGCGCAGTCAATGATCTCGAGAGCCGGCCAGTGCCGAAGGAGCTCCAGGAGCTTGGATTCGGTGAGCTGAAAGGTGTCGCCCCACCCGTTCCCGTAATCCCTGGTCGTGAGGTGAGTAAGGGCAGTAAAGGAGGTAAGCGGAAAGAGACTCTGGAAGTGATCTATAAACGCAGTGGCTATTCCCACGTCCGGGCTGTTGTGCTGAGAGACGAAGAATTCCTTTAGCGTGGTGCGACAGAGATAGGTCGCCAAAGCAGCTGTGATGGGAGCCAGGGGTGAAGGAGTGCTTAATAGCACCTCGTCACTTTGGCACATGAGTACATGAAGTCGTAAGCTACGTAACCGAGCTCTGAGGCCATCGGACCGCGAGAATAACTTCATAACCGCAATCACGCCAACCTGATAATCGGCGACTTTTAACGTGAGATGGTCCAGAGAGCCGAAGTAGCCGCATGTAGGGCTGTTGATCCAAGACGAATATCGTGTGACAGGTATAGTCAGAGAGCGCAGTGTCGGGAGGCGAGACAGGTAAACCAGCGAATCGCAGTCAAGAGGGCCATAATTAATGCTCCGCAAGTTCGGCCAGCCGCGTAGGTTTTCGAGAGCAGCAGGGATATGAATGTTGACGTTGTCCTCGTCATCAGTCTGGTGGATGTCGCACGTTATAATGAGAGTTTCGAGAGATGGGCACATGGATGCTAGATTCGGAGCGCATCGAAAGAGTAGCGGCTTGTAGCATTCATCCAGCTCCAAGTGAAGAAGGGATGGTCCAGTGATGAATGTCGTGACGAAGTGGTAGTAGCCGACGTGTTGAAGCGATATGCACACTTTACGTAGCTTTGGAAACAGGAACGAAGTCGGGCGGATCCACTCGCACATAGCATCAGCAGTTTCTGGCGGGGGTACGGCCGACTCGGAGCCAAACACCTGCTCGTTGAGACATCTGACTCTCGATGTGTACGAAAGTACCTTGTCCCGGTCCGCACGAGCTGGCTGCTGCCTCGCAAGCTGGTCGAACCGTGAGTCACTGAGGCCAAGTGTCCAGGAAGAGATAAGAATACCAGTATAGGTTTATTAGGTGGATGCTCCTCTAGACTCAACACGTGGGAAGGAAAGCTTCTGAGTAGGTCGACGATATTCTCGATGTCGGCGTAAAGCGCATCCAGTGCGGGTTCCTTCAGGTTCTGGCTAACTTGGGCAAGCCATGCAAGAGACTTCTTGTCATCCAGATCTTGACATATGATAGCAACAACTTCTATGAGACGAAGGCAACGATGCATTGTGTGCGATGGTTAGCGTGACAGGTAAAGCAGGAGTCAAAGGTTGAAACCAAGTTGAAACGAACTGCGTCGTACGCGTACGCTCCCAGCGTTATTTTCCCACGCATTCTGTCCACGACCACCGCGACCTCGACATATGACTTTCTTCACTTGTAACCAGATTTTCTCCTCAATGTATCACGAAGACATCGGCAGCACTGTGTGTAGTTACATAACCTACGTGACTTCATGGTTCGTCGCTTGATCCGCGTCTATCCACTCGTCAATCTCTGAAAGCTCCATGAAACGGACCACGTGGGGCACGCGTGTAAAATGAAGTCTGCAACCTCCGAAGCCAGTCACGGTAGGGCGCCTACAATGGGCAACCCTCGGCCCTCGAAATACAGGAAGGGAGCCTCGTGTACTCTGCATACGCCACTTCCCTGTTACCACCATTATCGTCCGCCGCCAAGATGCTGGACAGACAGCCTTACAAGGGCCTCTCTCGCAAGCTCGTCCTGGCTTTCGATGTAGGCACGACCTTCAGCAGAGTATCGTACTGCACTCTCGATCCTGGTAAAGTTCCGAAGATTCAAGGGGTATATAGGTAAGCATCTCAGGCCGCCAAACTAGCCTAGCTGAGCAATGTCTGCCCAGGTACCCTGCTCAAGAGCAAGTGGGAGGCGACTCCAAGACCCCCTCTATACTCTACTGCGACCGGAATCAGCACACTCGCGTAATAGGTGCGGAAGCTCTTCAGGAGAATGTCATCGAGAAAGCCGAAGAGGAGGGTTGGACTAAGGTGGAGTGGTGAGTATTCGCCCACTCGAAGACTAGTGGGCCCTTCGGACTCACTTACGCTTCATCCAACAGGTGGAAGATGCACCTCCGCTCCAAACACCTCAACTCCTCCCACATCAAAGACTCCGACATCCCCCCTCTCCCAGCGGGTGTCTCAGCCCTCCAAGTCCTCGCCGACTTCATGGCGTACCTCTACCACTGCGCCCGCACGTACATCACCGAATCGCACGCAACCGGTCGGGACTTTCTCGCCTCGTTCTCGGACAGCATCGACTTCGTGCTCTCGCACCCGAACGGGTGGGAGGGTTCGCAGCAGACGCAGATCCAATGCCCAGCAGCTGCATGCATCTGGACCAGGTAACTCGAAGGCCTATCCCCGGCCCCGATGAGTCAGACAATTTCGGAAATCAACCCCGCAGGTGTGCCAACATGACTCAGACGTGTCCTAGGGAGATGTTTTTTGCTCCACGAGTCAATTCTGTTCAAAACCGTGCAACGTTGACAACACACAACGCTCTCAACCAGCTCAGGCCTTTCGGAAGAGACACGGCCCTCATCCACGGCACCAGCAGCCTCTCTATGTAAGCACTTTGAGCACATTATAAATAAGCCTGCACGCGCTGATACCGGCTCTGATCCACTAGATCGACACTGTCGCGATCAAGCTTCGCGATGGAGGAATAAGGCGTTCAAGTATCTGCGATTATCTGTCAATACAGCTGTTATACACGGCTGACGCTAGCACATGCCATTCGTATCATTGAACGCGAACATTCGCCTCAAATCCGTTTGCTCGTTTTTTGCCTCGCACCTTTTCTCTTTCAGTCACCCATTTGGCTCCACCATTTCCTGCAGAGACGAGGGGCCGAGTGCAGACCTCCTACATATTCACCTTGTGTCCGAGAAAAGTTTATTATATCTAAGCGCCAATGGGCGCTTATCGAAGCTGTGCCAGTCGCCGGATCATGCCGCGGAGCCGATTCTCTGCTTCCTGCTGTGCAGATAGCGTCTCCGTGCTTCCTACAGTCTGTCACAGCCAGGATTATAGACTGGCCTGTCCTAGCTCTCGTCTTCGAGCGCTCGTGAGTTCTGGGGGATACCGGCTCCGTTAGATCTCAGCTGATAAGCCCACACGTTCTTCAGTTCCTATCATGGCAAGCCAGACTACCCTCCCTTCATCACAGCCCGTTCCCGTCATAAATCAGCTTCCCTTCGAACTCCTAGCCAAGATCTTCGTGCACAGTGCGCAGAAACCCGTCCATCCCGTGAACGAATGGTGTATACCCAAGTACCCTCGCGAGACATTGGTCGAAGCCGATCTATCTGGCACCCTGAACATCGCCCGAGTCTGCCGCCAGTGGAGAAATGTGGTGCTAGCTATTCCCGAGCTGTGGAAGATGATCAAAATTTCCACTGCAGAGGACGCTGTGACGTTCGCGGAGTCGCTCCCGCTCCCGCTACATGTCCTAGGCAGATCGCCGCCATCCTCGGTGTTTTTAACACTCATTTTTCGGCCGACGAAGGTCTTCACAGAGGCAGACGTCGGTCACATTCCGGTCACACCAGAGATCAAGAACATAAAGGGGATGGATGTCCAGGGGGATTCGCATATCCGCTCCTCAGCGCTCTTCGGCTGGATGCACCAGTTTCCCAATCTCACCCATCTATCGCTCATCAACATCCATGTCGATCATGACGCTGTGTGTATTCCCGATCCCCTCCGCAGCCGTCTCACCCATCTACATGTCTACCTGTGGTTTGACTCCCATGTGAACAGGTTCTTCGACAACCGCTTGTCGCCGAGCCTGAACCGTCCATGGTCGAGCTTGACCTCGCTGACGGTAGAGATGCCTAACTGGGTCCTTGAAAACCACATTCTGCGTGCTATACTAGCCCGTTCTCCGAATCTCGTCGAGCTATTCATCGTCGCAGGCGAGGTAGACCCAGATCAGAACTGGACGGCCACGTCGTCTCGCACATTACGGACGTTCTCATTTTGGGTAGAGGGAGCGTCTCTGGAAGAAAACGTTCTCGTAGCCCTCTTTGGCGCTCTTTCGTTCCCTTCCCTCTCCAACCTCATCGTAACCGCTCCACCGCGATGCGGAAACCTCGCGTTCATAAGCCGCTTCCTTCGGCGATCGAAGTGTCGTCTGTCGAGTCTTACCTTGACCAATGTGAAAACGGAGGACTCTGAGTGGTTCGAGAACAGCGAAGTTCGTCGAGCCGCGGTTAGCATCGGCGAAGAGTTTGCGATTCCTTCCGTCGAATTTGCCTTCACTACTGCGGAGACCCGTGTATACCAAGCATCCAAGGAGAGGTGGTATGACTTGGACTCTTCCTGGCTATAAAGCTGTAGCATCCAGGAAGTGACTACGATACGGTCGAAACGCAGAGTCACAGCATCCTCAAAGATGCAGACACAGAGAACGTGCCACTACTGGTCGTCGTGGATCCTTTGGTTGAGTCCTCATCACATCATCTATCCCTGTACAACTGTGATATGGATAAATAATCATACGTAGCCATCGTTTGCAATTATCCCAACGGATGTACGTTTCGGATAAGCAGTGTCACCCAGTCACTTAGTTTGGAACATAGGTCGAACGTTGCTTTTAGAGCTTCGAGTCTGCTCCTTGACAGACGTTCGGAACTTTTAAGGCAGCTAATCCTTTCCCATCAGGCACAGCACTCTCCTCCGCACCCGCTTCCTCGTGTTCTTGGTTTCTTTCTCGATCAAGCACAATATTTCGGAACTGTCGCCCTTTGTTACAATTGTCATCCTATTCCAGGACCTTCTGCCGCTGAAGATAGCACGTTGTCATCAACAACCTGCTTAGGGTAAGGAGTTTTCTTTGCTTTGCGTGTAAGCAAAAACCACGCCAGGACGTATTTGACGCGCACAGGTCCAGATGCCACAGCATCAGTCTGATTCCGATCCTGTATTCTTTTCCCAGACCGCACTGCCCGGAGTACATACAGATAAAAACCGACGCGAGAGCCTGGGACGCCGCGAGTCCCGTCTTTCCACTTGTGTCCAGGCGCCTTGAGTGACCTTGCTGTGTTCGCTAGGTAAGCATGTAAACTTGTTCCCTTGTGTGGGTTCAAATTGTGCATTTATCAGCTCCTTCACAATCGTGTAGCCTTTCTGAAGAAACGACATGGATCCGAAGTCATGGATGGAATCGATCATGGAGTCCCTTATGGAGGACAACTCGCGCTCAATTGGTTTGCTCGGTTTGGGCGATAACATCGATTCTGATGCACGAAGGGCACGTCCGGCAAGCATCGATTCTTTTCAGCCAGAGCTTCTTGCTCGCATCATGCTCCTTGCTGGCAGAATGCGACCGCGGGAGATGAAGGACATAGGTGATCAAACGTTGGTTTTGTCGCATGTTTCCCGATACTGGCACGATGTCGCCCTTTCCACCCCTCAGCTTTGGGCAAGCTTTGCGACATACAGGGACCGTAGTCCGAAGAAGTCACAGATGTTCCTCGAACGTTCGAAGTCCGCTCTGATAGACGTCGACATTGATCTTTTCCAGTTGCCCCAAGACCGAGGCTGGGACGAGGTCATAGCTCATGTCCTCGCGCAGACTTCAAGATTTTCTGAGCTTTCCTTCTCCACCACAGAGTCCAAGCTCCCTGAATGTCTATACACCAGACCAGCGCCATTCCTCAAACGGCTACGCATCTCATATCGCCGCATGAGATGGGATGATGATCTTCTCACAATACCGGTAGAACTTTTTGATGGAAAGGCACCCTTACTGCAGTCTCTCGCCCTGGATGGATTCGCAATGGACTGTAAATCCCCGATCTTCCACAAGCTCACTGAACTAAATATCACGTCTCCAATGTTCCGGTCACCTCCTCATCTAAGGACAACGAGCGTGCAGATGGCCACCATTCTCCGTTGTTGCGCTTCCACCCTCGAAAGGCTTCTCCTCGATGATTGCTTAGTACAAGAAGCAACCACCCCCAATTCCTGGGCGACGCGACCGGGAGCTGTGACACTTCCGCGGCTCAAGATGGCCAAGCTTGTGCGGTTTCCGTTCGCTTCCGTTGTCCATTTCTTGACGTCCATTGTTTTTTCGCCCATCGTTCATGTCAATCTCTTGGATGTTAGCCTTCATGATACTGACCCGATGCTCACGCCCATCCCTATCCTACCCGAAAGGCTCTTCACCACTTCATATCATTTCCCAGATCCGTCGCGATGCCTCCTACTTGATTTAAACGCTGACAGATTCCAAATCTGTATGTGGGACAGAGTGGAACGCGAAAAGGATGAACCTTGGTATCTCTACAGGCCTGGCGAAGAAGACCAATGTCTCGACGCCTCGTTCTCGTTTTGGATTTTCATGCTCGGAAAAAATGCGTTTGCTCGCAACGTGCTCAAAGACCTCCCTCTTTCGGAGATCCACACACTCAAAGTCGGCCGCGGCCTAATGCAGATGTACTCCGAAGAGAATTCGTCTTTGGACGAGCTCTTCCGTGATGCAAGTCAAGTGCGTCACCTCTTCCTTGGGTCAGACCTTGAAGAAGCCCATTTGGAGAGCATCATCCGCCTACTCAGTCCCCCGCAATCTGCCCATAGTGACCCTGGGAAACCCGAAGAACTCCTTTTGCCGTATCTCGTCCACTTGCACTTCTCGGCGACGCGCATCAGGTACCTGCCTCTGAATCTCGTGCTTGACCTCATCAGGGGCAGGGCTCGCGTTGGTGCACAGCTAAAGCATCTGACGATACGGAAGCCATCGCGTACGATCCCCATGCTTCAGGTGTACGCCGAGTCCATCGGAGCAAACCTCGTCACTGATATGAATAGCGGTAATGAGAAAGAAGTTCAGAGTGCCGATAGAGAACTGCTGTGAGGCTCTCAGTGTGGCTACGCAACTTCGATAACGGGGACACGAATACTCATACACGTCGTCCGGAAGTGTATAACCCACACTGGTCGCCATAGCCACTTACTGTAGCAGATATGTCTCGGACTGATTATGGAACACCGTCGCTCCTCGTCTAGTAGTAGGCATGGATGAAATCTGCAATTTGAACCTACTTTCCGAGAGGATTCCATCTGCGAACTGCGAACTAAGGTCACTTACTGCACGGCACAGATGTCACAATACCACAGATTAACTCTCACTCGTATACATGTATCTTAATATCTGTGAAGTTATTATTCTTTGACCTCTTTCTTCCCTCGGAGCGAGTTAGGTGTGGTATCGACATTAGCCACCGGTCCTCGGAACCAATGCACTCCTCCGTACACAGGGCAGTAGTACCACCCCACGACAAGCGCAAACGTCGCACCTAGTACGACGACCGCATAGTTCATGTTGGCCGCTGTAGTGCCAGGAGAAGCAGGGAAGAGGAAGACGATGATCATGCAGACCATGAAGGTTAGAGCAACGAGGTCGACTGGAACGCCCTACATCAACATATATGTGTCCGTAAGTAACGGAAGCGAGAAACAGTACGAAAGAAAGCCAAGACTCACCCAAGGCCCCATATGAAATGGCCCAGGCCTGAAACGCTCAGCCTCATCTAAGCCTCTCCGCGCAGCCAACACCCTGGCGGCAATAGGACCACTGAACGCTATATAAAGCGCCACGATAGCCATCCCGAACACAGCATTGATCGCCTGCTCCCCCGCGAAGCTTAGTAGGCCCAACAGCGCCGCGACCACGACGACCATCCACACCGCCATCACCGGTATGCCGTCGCCCATCGACCCCGGTATCCTGCAGCGTCTGTACCCAGTACTGTATACGTATCGGGAGAACGGCAGCGCGCCATCACGCGCGAAAGCAAACACTTGACGCGAGACAACAAGCAGGAAGCTAGCGCAGACGGAGAACTGTGCCACGATGAGTAGAGCCCAGAGGCTGAGCCCGACGCGCTGGCCCAGCGAGGCGAAGAATATCTGGGCCATTGGCTGGCCAAAAGGTGAACTGACAACTGCGGCAGTGGAAGGGCCCATGCAAAATGCGAGGGATATGTTGACGGCTTGATGTAGGAAATAATGGTTGATATTTAACAGTTGCTTGTCTTACGAGAAGCAAGTGATGCAAGAAGACGTACCCAGGCCTAGGACAAATGCCGAGATGATGGAGGATACCGCGGCCCATGGAACGACGGTTGCTGCGTTGGATGCTTCTTCGCTCATGTGCACACTTGAGTCGAATCCGGCTGCATGATAAACACATCAGCCTTCAAGAATGTTGGCGATGATAGATATCAAGTTTACCTATGGTCCACAACGGAGCGAGAAAGCTAAGGCAGAAAGCGAATCCCGACGGCCACCCGCTGACTGTAGCAATGGATTGAGCGTTAGCCGCAGTGATGAGAATGACCCGGTATTTGATTGTGATCACTTACTGTTAGTAAAACCACCGAATACATAGGAAGGAGGATTCCTCAGCTTTGCTGGGGTCACGACAGGAAGTACGATGATCACCAAAATACAGAGACTTTGACCGGTAGAATAGAATCAGCACGGTTATTAAGCTCCGAGCTTGAGAGAATGTGTCGCTTACAGCACTTCTATCAGAGTAATCACGTTTTGAAGCCTTGCGAGGACCTTTGTACCGAGCGTGCACACCATGCCGTGGAGAAGAATAGCTGCGATGAAGACGGCACTGTAATCAACAGTCAGCAAACGGTTCCAGTCAGAATAACAAGACTTTGAAAAACTTACAAAGTCTGCGACTGAGTTGCAATGAATGCTCCCTCCGTGGCCATGCTCACAGCTGCCATGACCTGTATTGCAAGCGACCACTCAGCGGCGGCCATACCGGTACAGTTCCCAATTGTGTTCGCGTCTGACAAGTCTTTGTCTGATGGCGTGAAAAGGTTTCGTGGAATCAAACTCACATCCGACCATCCACGACATGAAGTTCCGGCAGCCTGGCGGAGAGAGCGCGTGTGTCCAGTAATACAGCTGATGTATCCGTGAAACATGGTTCTTGTCACTCGTAAACTGGAGATTTAGACACTTACCCCGCCTGACGTTGGATTTGCGGAGGCAAGCTCAGCGATTCCCAAGGCTATACACAGGATGAATGGAAAGACGGCCACCCACTGCGCTGACATCAGTTACAGATAACGGCATATCATGAACGTAACGTGATAAGCTTACTCCCCATACCATCGCCGCAGGTCCTCCATAAGGGATAGAATCAAAGAGCACTGATCTATTCCGCATCATGAATACAAACGCCCTCTTGTTCTTATCCCGCACCAAGGTTTATGCACGTACGCTATGGTTGGAACGATCCCCATGGCGTTAAAGCACACTGCGAATATCTGATTCATGGAGATGTATTAGACAATGTCATAAAGGTGGAATAATCGAATTCGAGGGGAGTCCAGATGCAGTGACAGAACGTACCTCGAAGGGAGTGAACTCGCGTTTCAGCTCCTGCTTGTAGCCGATTCTTGCGAGGACTGCTTCGTCGGCCTCTTCAATCCGACATGAAAAAGAGTTGGTATCGCTTTGTGTAGATGGACTCGCCATGGGGCTCCTCAACAGTAATAATCACTGGCACTCCGCTGACTTGCTTGCGCCCCGTTTAAAAGGACGAGAACCAGACTCATGAATGTAGAGTGACAGATCCTATGCAACAGCTATCCGCCCACGTCAAAGTATGGCAGCTTCATAAGTGGTCTAGATAAGGTAAAAGACTCGCCTTCATTGAGATGGCCATCTAACATATGACACGATTGCGTCGGACTGTGGGGCCCTTTACGACAAGGCAGATAAGAGCAGGCCCGTGGCAGCAGCAATTTGAGGGAACACGGGGAAGTGCAAAGGCACTCATTCATTTGGCACGTCATTCCTGAATGTCACAATCATTCTGGGCCAGCGCTAACCGGCTATAATACTGTTTGAACCTTGATGTAAGATTCGGCTGTACGAGGATGGTCACGAACATACCTAAGTTGTCTGCGCGCCTTTGCCCTATGATCCTACGAGCTTGTCATTTGAAGAGGTTACGCCCGTACCGCTGACGTCTAGGTACCCGTCTACCGTAATCTGTGGCCCTCCGTCGGGGACCGTTATGTAAACGTCCATATTCACTTCCAGGCGCAGAGTGGAGTGGAGCGAGTATACGACTTGCGTGGCGGAGAGCGTATTCACAGCGCGTTCCTTGGGTGTCCGATTATGTTGCTCAACACGTGCATGAAAGTCCTTTAGGACTGCATACAATGGCTGACATGTTGCAAACTTGAAGGGGGCGAAGTAAAAGCCAAGGGATCGCGAAGCGATGCGCGCGCAGAGCGCCCATCAATTTTCCCACGCGCTTCGGCCCGGGAACACAACCGCTCCCCCGCAACACCGGCTGCTTGCCGGCTCCTCTCCGCAGATTAGCACTGAGTTGCTAGTGTTCTTGCATCTGCTTGATAAACATTTGTCTCACTGCTAGGGACATTCATCTCCTGCTAACAAGTTTGAAATGCGGGCATGAGACGCGGGCTGTGCGAGAAAGATCAAATTGAGGTGCCAATTGTACATCCATCTAGCATGTCAAATTTTCGAAGGTGTATAACCCCCGCTGTTTGACCTTCATCTACGCTCTTCACCTGAAAGCTAAAGCTGAAATTCGAGTCTCTGATCATCACAATCACCTTTCTCCCGAGGCACGTTGAATCCGGTCCCGACGTTCGCCTGCGGTCCTCGGAACCAATGCACACCTCCATACGTAGGACAATAATACCACCCCACAATGAGCGCGAACATCACACTTAGGACAACAACGGCATAATTCATGTCGGCCACTGCAGTGCCAGGAGAGGCAGGAAATAGAAAGACGACGATCGTAAAGACCATGAACGCCAGAGCGACTAGATTGATTGGAACGCCCTGCATCAACATATACGTGTCCGTAAGTAACGGAAGCAAGAAACAGTACAAAGGAAAGCCAAGACTCACCCAATACCCCATATGAAATGGCCCTGGCCTAAAACACGCAGCTTCATTCCATGCAGCCATCACCCTTGCAGCAATAGGTCCAATGTATGCCACATAAATCGCCACCATAGACATCGCAAATACTGCCTTAATCGCCTGTTCCCCAGCGAAGCTCAATAATCCTGTCAGCGCCGCAAGAACAACGAGCGTCCACACCGCTATTACTGGTACACCCTCTCCTATCAAACCTAGTGCTCCGCCACGTCCGTACCCGATACTGTATATAAACCGGGAAAATGGCAGCGCGCCATCACGCGCAAACGCAAACACCTGGCGTGACATGACGAGCAGGAAGCTGGCTCCTACGGAAAATTGCGCGACAATGACAATGGACCAGAGCGCAAGCCCAGCGCGTGTGCCTAGAGAGGTAGAAAAGATCTGCGCCATCGGCTGGCCTAGGGGAGAGTCGACAAGCGTGATGGTGGACGGGCCCATGCAAAATGCGAGAGAGATGTTAACGGCTGAGGACAAAATAATGGTCATATAGCAGCTGTTGGTCTCACGCAAACACGCAACTGAAAGGAACGTACCTAAGCCTAGGACAAATCCCGAGATGACGGAGATTACTGTCGCCCACGGAACAACCATCGCTGCATTAGAAGCCTCCTCGCTCATGTGCACACTTGAATCGTATCCGGCTGTGTAGGGACAGTGTAAGCCTCCAAGGAAGTTGGTGATGATGGATACTCGGCTTGCCTACGGTCCACAAAGGAGCGAGAAAACTTAGGCAAAAAGCAAATCCAGAAGGCCATCCACTGACTGCATTGCCATATTAGCCACATTGATGATATACTCGGTGCGTGATTGCGACTGCTTACTGTTTGTGAATCCACCGAATACATAGGAAGGTGGATTCCTTAGCTCTGCTGGAGTCACGATAGGAAGTACGATTATCACCACAATACAAAGACTTCAACGGGAGCACGACGAGTGTGAGCTCGGTGACCATGTTCGCACAAAATGCGTGTCACTCACAATACATGTATTAGGATCAACACAGTTTGAAGTTTTGCGAGGACCTTCGTACCAAGTGTGCACACCATGCCGTGGAAAATCACGGTTGCGACAAAGACAGCACTACATTTAGCGGTTGACACATTGTTCCAATAGAATGATAAGAGATTGCGCAGCTTACAAAGTCTGAGCCTGCGTTGCAACAAACGCCCCTTCCGTGGCCATGCTCGCGCCTGCCATGACCTGCACCGAAAACGCCCAGTCGATACCGGTCATACCTGTAGAGCTTCCAATCGTGTTTGCGTCTGTCGTGCTCAACCTTTAAGTAAATGCGCATTTCTTTCATTGGATGAATCTTGTTTCTGCAATCATACTCACATCCAGTGACCCACGACATGAAGTTCCGGCATTTGGGCGGGGAGAGCGCGTGCGTCCAGTAATATAGCTATGTATCCGTGGATTACAGCATTTCAAGTTGCTCGCTGGAGCGAGGATAAAAGTACTCACCCCACCTGACGTTGGATTAGCCGATGCGAGCTCGGCAATACTCAAAGCGATGCACAGGATGAAGGGGAACACGACTACCCACTGATAAGATAACACCCGCTGAGAACGGTGGTATAAGAATGCAGCGGGAAAGACTCACACCCCATACCATTGCTACGGGCCCTCCATTAGGAACTGAATTGAAGAGCACTGACCTATGAAATGTGGGGATGATATTAATCAGATAAGTTCCCCCTCTTTGCTTCTAGCGAAGGTTTACACGCACGCTATGGTCGGAACTATTCCCATCACGTTCAGACACACAGCAAGCATCTGATTCAAGATGCAAGGAGGAGGAGCAAATCAGCGTTAGTCGGAAGGCTCGTATGGACTCGTATCTGGACGGCGTACCTCGAGAGGACGGAACTCGCGCTTGAGCTCCTGCCTGTATCCAATCCTCGCCAGGAGAGCTTCATCCGTGACTTTGACCTGAGCTGAAGGTGTATTGGCAGTAGGCTGTATGGATGGGTTCGCCATGGTGGTTCTTCAGAGATGAATGATAACGAGCGTCCCGCTGACTTGCGTATGCGCCCCCTAAATAGGCTAAAGACACGCATAAGAGCGAGAGCGAGCGCTCATCATTATGCACGCGCTCACGAGAACGTATGGTTGCGTCATAGGCGTCTAGATAGCCAGAACCTTACCTCGCAGAACCTCCGTCAAACGTGAGCCACGATTGGGCCAGTCCAATGAGTATTTTTGATACGTTAGAGCAGAAATTGCATCGGGTGGGAACAAGGTCGCCCATTCATCTGGAGCTCCTCAAAATACCGATCTTTCTGCATCGGTGTACCCTCTTATCATGGTCATTGAACCTTGAAGTAAGATTCAGCCTGAAGAGATAGGTAAGTCAGTGCATCGCAGTCGAGAGGGCCGCAGCTGAGGTTTCCGCAAGTTCCGCCAGCCGCATAGGTTCTCCAGAACGGCAGGAATAGGGTTATTGCGTTTCCCTCGTCATTGATCTGATAGACTTTGCATGTGATATTGAGAGTTTCAAGCGATGGGCACAGAGAAGCCAAATTCTGAGCACATTGAAAGAGTAGCGGCCGATAACATCCATCCAGCTCCAAGTGAAGAAGGGAAGGTTCAATGATGAACGTCGTGATGAAGCGGTAGTAGCAGTCGTGTTGAAGCGATATGCACGCTGTACGTAGCTTTGGAAACAGGAACGGAAACGGGTGGATCCACTCGCACATAGCATCAGCGGTATCTGGCGGGAGAACGGCCGACTCGGACCCAAATGGCTGTTCGTTGAGGCATCTAACTCTCGATGTGTACGAAAGTACCCTGTCCCAGTCCGTACGAGTTGGCTGCAACCTAGTCAAACCGTGACTTGCTGAGGCCAAAGTGTCCAGGAAGGGGTAACAATACCAGCGTAGGTTTATCAGGCGGACGCTCCTCTAGGCTCAGCACGTGGGAAGGAAAACTCCCGAGTAGGTCGACGATGTTCTCGATGTCGGCGTAAAGTGCATCCAGTGCGGGCTCCTTCAGGTTCTGGCTAACTTGGGCAAGCCGCGCAAGAGACTTCTTGTCATCCAGATCTTGACATATAAGAGCAACAACTTCTATGAGATGAAGGCAGTGATGCATTGTGTACGAGGGTTGAAACGTTGATGTGGCAGAGGGGAGCAAAGCAAAAGTCAAAGATTGAAACGCTCCCGACGCGCCAACATGATATTTCCCACGCATTCTGTCCACGACTCCACGACCACCGCGACATCAACATATGACTCCTGTACAATGGATTGTAGACATGTGAACCACGCGATCAGAGTAATAGGCTGGTTCGAGGTAGCGCAAAAAAAACAATTGCACAAACGATCGTGCGTCATCTCATCGAGGACCTCAACCACGAAGTTCCTGAGAGGGAGTCTGGGATGGCAGGACATCGACGATTAGCAGGCGCGCAGAGCGCCAGCCAGTTTTCCCACCTTCTTCGGTCCGGGAACACGACCGCTCCCGCGCGCCGGCCGCACTAAAGCCAACTCCTGTCCGCAAAGTTGCACTAAACTTGCACTAAACTATTGACGTTGACGTACATGCTTCTCCACTGATACAGTTACTTGTTCCCTACAAAAGTTGTCTAAACGCGGCCATGGGTTGTGGACTATATGAGAAAGAAATTATGGTAAAGTGCTAGACGTGGTGGTACCTTGATCCAAAACATTTATGAGAGATGAGAGATGAGCGAGGGGCTCGCATCCAGCGTATCGAGCACCTACATGGGTCTAGCATGTCAAAGGCGAATAACCCCTTCCGTTTGACCTTCATCTATACCCTTAATCTGGATGCTGAAGCGCTGAAGTTTGACTCCGAGAGATATTCGCGCACGGGACTCAACGCACAAGGCGAGAGCGTACTGACGGAGCAAGTAACGGAAATCAAGGAGAAAAAAGCAGTCGAAGTGCAGACAATATGGATCTTCCTCTTAGACTGGTTCGAGACAACACAGAAAGAAGGCAAGAATCGCACAAACAATCGTACATCATTTCGTCAAAGAGACGTCACGGTCATTCACAAAACGCTCAAGAGAAGAGGAGAAGACAGAGGGTTGACGGCTTGATCTGATCTGCAAAGCTCAGCTTCAACGCCGACCATTCATCTTCACAGCGTTAGTGACGTTCTCGAGCGCGACCTTGGGCTTGACGAGAATGGTCGTCTCGAACTCGTCCTCCTGCGTCTTTACGGACTGGATCAAGCCGAGCTCCGTTGTGCATAGCACAACCTGGCCCTTCTGCGCGCCACCATCTTCCGTATGCATACCGCGCATATCATCCCCGTTGAAAACCTTGCCAAAATCGATATACGCCGGCCACAGGTCGGCCGATGTTACCTCTGCGCCCATCGCGCGGTTCAGGCGCGTGGCCATGTCAACGAGCGCGGAGATGCGTGCACCGAACGCGGACGCGATGCGTTTGGATGTCTCGTCGTACGTGCACACGCAGCCGGCGGCGACGAGCACGAGGACGAGCGCCTCAGTGAGGTTGGTAATGAGGAGGGCGGTTTGATGTGCGTCTTCGCGGAAGGCGACCTTTTGTGCGTGCGTACGGGTGAGCGCGCGCCAGCGGCCCGCGACCATTTGGCATTCTGCGGCGCGAATGTGTCAAGACAAGGTGGCGAAAGCAAATGGATGCGACGTACCTGTCTCGCGTATGTTCTGGTACACCTCCATTAACGGCTGCTCCGCCTGCAACACGTCATAATCCCAAGTACTGATCATCCACCGCGAAAACTCCACAATCGAGCTTTGCAGCGCGATCTGGATAAGCGTCGAGTTTTCGTCATGCCTCACTCGTCGGAGCAAGTCGAGAAGCGAGGCGCCCATAATGTCCTGTAGCTTCATGCGCGCGTCCTCCATCTCGGCGACGCCGCCTTTGCGCGCCTGCACTTTGGCGAAAGAAAAATCGAACGAGTCAGCCACCGCGAAAGCCGTATTCGTGGCTTCTGTGTTGAACGCAGCGAGCAAGGAAACGACGTCTGCACTCGAGAGGGAGTCTTGCCTGGTACTCAGCGCGGTCAGCCCCTGAACGAGCTTGAGCTCGTGCGTGCGGGTTTTGAGAAGAGTCTGCGTCTCTTCATGGCGCGTCTTCAGTGTCTGGAGCTCGTTTCCGAGTGTCTGTGCATCCATGCGCTTCAAATCGAACTGTTGTGTGAGGGAAGCGTTGACGGATCGGAGTTGCTGAACGTCAGACTTGAGCATGTCGTTGGTGCTTCGCTGCTCGCGTATCTCATCCTGCAGACGCATGCGGTCCTGCTTGTCCTGGTCTGCTACAGAGCGGAGCTGATTGTTCGCTTCCTCCACCGCCTCGATCTTCTTCCTGAACACTGCTCCAGCCTCCTCGGCTCTCCCCAGTCTCGTTTCATAATCGGTGGCATCTTCACGTGCTTGTGCATTCGTTTCTTCCAGCTGTTTTGAGAGGGAAATCGTTGAGACTTCGAACGTGATGCACTTCATCCTGCAGACGTGCTCGATCCTGGCGATCGCACTTCATCGCGAGGTTCAGCCTCTCGGTTTCTTCCTCCAGAGCCCATATGCGTTTCGCGCCCTTGTTTACTCGCTCACTAAGCTCTGAGACTTGACCATCAAAGCATTTCTTGAACTTCCCTTGCAAGGTCTCCTGGACGTTGCTCTGCAGTTCTTTCAAATCCGCGGAGGAAAGCGGGACAGTAGGATGGATACCTGAGGATGAACTTCCGTGGGAAGAGAATTCCGTGATTTCGTCAGAGGTGTCAAGGAAGAGGTCGCGAATGCACCCAGCGACGATGTGTTTGATACCCTCGAGCGAATCTGAGCTCGAGGCGGGTTCGTTGCCACGCGTTTCGAAAGTACTTAGAGAAGTTGGAGGAGGAGTGCTGCATTCATCGCGAGAGTAGAGAGGCTGACAAACGAATGCATCAGAACCCTGAGGGCGTACGACTGCCACCTTGAGGACGGCGATCTCGTCAGTAGCAACCTCAAGAGCACGTTCGACCGCCTGACGGTCAGCCAACAGTATCTTGTTATCCAATCGAAGCTTCTCCATGGCTTGCGCGTCCTCCTCCATCAGCACCAGGTATCGCTCTATCCTCTGCTGCAGCACCAGACGCGCACTCTCCGCCTCAGCTGTCTCATAATGCATCGCATCCAACTGTGTACTGAGGTCATGCTCGGAAAGTCTTGTTGTTGCTGGAGTCGATGGGTCTACCCTCAGATGGAACGAAGTCATGAAGGAGTACAGATCTACCGGAGGTCAAGAGGGACAGGTAGGTGGTAGGAGACTGGCAGCAGTCGAGAAACGCGTTGAGGACGCGTGCGTGCACCATATTCCCACGATGGCAGGGACGGTCACGCTTTTTGAGCTGAAGTAATGAAAGCTTCAAGCTTCGATCTCTGGCTTGCTGCGAGCCGTTAGACGGTAGGGTAGCAAGATATAACAGTACCCATTTTGATACAGTGATGGTACTATAAACTCAGCACATTAGCACAGCATGGGTCAGGGAGTGCTGAGGGAGCGGGCAAGAATTTGAAAACCAGAAATACATGTGACGAAGGAAAAAAAACCGAAGTGTCATGAAGTCGTGTTTGACCTGTCCAAGAGCGCAAAAATAGCACACGCGAGGTTAGAAAGGGGGGAAGAAGAAGTAAAGAAAGAATGACCGCCATAAAGCGACATGCATCCTAGAGGCAAACAAACGTCTAAGCCTCATCGTCCTCAAACTCCACGACCTCCATCCCATCGACGACGCTCTCCAGCGCAACCTTGGCCTTGACAAGATGCGTCGTCGAGAACTCGGGCCGGCCCTCCACTTGCGCCTTCTCGGACCGGATCAAGCCGAGCTCCGTCGTACACAGCACGACATGCCCCTCCGACTCCTGCGCGTTTGCATCGTCCCCGTCCTCCGCATACATGTCGCGCATATCGTCCCCATTGAACGGCGTGCCGAACTCGATATACGCTGGCCACAGGTCGGCCGATGTGACCTCCTCGCCCATCGCGCGGTTCAGGCGCGTGGCCATGTCAACGAGCGCGGAGATGCGTGCACCGAACGCGGACGCGATGCGTTTGGACGTCTCGTCGTACGTGCACACGCAGCCGGCGGCGACGAGCACAAGCACGAGCGCCTCGGAAAGGTTGGTGACGAGGAGGGTGGAGTGTTGGGCGTCCTCGCGGAATGCGATTTTTTGCGCGTGTGCGCGGGTGAGGGCGCGCCAGCGGCCGGCGACTGCTTGGTTCTCTGCATACAAAGCCTCCGCATCAGCAATCGGCAGTGCCAGAGGAGGGAGAGGAGAGAGCACACACCTGTCTCGCGAATGTTCTGGTAAACCTCCATGAGAGGTTGCTCCGCCTGCAACACATCGTAGTCCCAAGTCGAAACCATCCACCGCGAAAACTCCACAATCGAGCTTTGCAGCGCGATCTGGATGAGCGTTGGGTGGTCCTCGTGCTTCACCCGCCCGAGCAGGTCCAACAATGCGGCGCCCATAACGTCCTGCAGCTTCGTGCGTGCGTCCAGCATCTCCGCGACGCCACCTTCACGCGCTTGCGCTCTGTCGAATGAGAACTCGAACGAATCCGCGATGAACGCGGCCGTCTGGAGAATCCCGGCGTTGAGTGCGCCGAGGAGCGAAATGACGTCTGCGCACGAGAGCGAGTCAGCCTTGGCGAGGAGTGCCTTGGAGACGTCGAGCTCGCGTGTGCGGCTCTCGAGCAGGCTCTGTGTCTCCTCATGACGTTTCTTGAGTGTCAGGAGTTCGTTGGCGAGTTGTTGCGCCTCCGCGTTCTTGATGGCGAGCTGATGCGTGAGGGTGGAGTTTGAGGATTGGAGCTTCTGCACTCCGGACTTGAGCGAGTCGTTGGGGCTCTCCTGCTTGCTCAGCTCGTTCTGCAGGCGCATCCTGTCCTGCTTATCCTGCTCTGCTGAGGTCGCGAGCCGCTTGGCATCCTTCTCGAGTTCCTCGATACGTCGCCGAAGTGCTGCCTCCACCCCATCGGCCTTCTTCAGTCCCGCCTCGAGGTTGGCGATGCTCTCGTCGCTCTTCCGCCTCTGTTCATCCTCCAAGCATCTCGCCGAGATACTGCCCAAACCGACCTTTTGAAGGGACGATTTGAGCGAACCCGCCCGTGGACCGCTGTTGAGGGGTACCCGCTGGCAAAACTCGTCCTGTAGGCGCACTGTGTCCTCGATATCTTGACCTGAAACAGAGTGGAGCCGCTTGTTCTCCTCCAGTACCTCGACCTTCTTCTTCAGCATTGCCCCCGCTTTTTCCGCACTCTTGAGTTTCGTCCCAAAGCTGGTGACAGCTTCCCGTACTTTCGCATCCATTTCTGTTAGCTGTTGAGAAAGGGCGTTGTTGGAATTTCGAAGCTCAAGGATGGAAGGCTGAGAGTCTTGTGTCTGGGTGGCGATACGTCCGAGCTCGTCCTGCAAATGTGCACGTTCCCGGCGTTCGCGCTCCAGCGCAAGGTGAAGCTTCTCCCTGTCTTCTTCCAAGACTCGTATCTGCTCTTCGACCCTATCCACACGCTCATCGAAGTCTTTTCTGAGCCTTCCTAGTAAGGATTCTTCGATGTCGCCTCGTAGCACCTTCAATTCTTCGGAGCGTGGTGAAACGGGGGGAGTGATACTATACGTTTGGCTGGGGTTTAGGGCACAGTGCGTGGTCTCTTCTTCGGAGGCATCGAGAAAGAGATCGCGGATGCACTCCACGAAGACCTGTTTGATATCTTCACACGATCCTGAGGAAGGCTCGTCAGCAAGTGGAAGGTGAACCGGAGGGAGGACGCTACAACCTTCGTCGCGAGGATCCGAGGGGTTGTAAATGGACGAAGCAGTAGAGCGTACACCTGCGGCCTTGAGAGCATGCTCGACAGCCAAGCGGTCGGCCAATAGTAGCTTGTTATCCAGCCTGAGCTGTTCCACAGTCTGCGCGTCCTCCTTCATCAACGCCAGATAACGCTCTATCCTCTGCTGCTGCACCAGACGCGCGCTCTCCGCCTCAGCTCGCTCGCGACCCATCGCCTCTATCTGTGTTCTCAGCTCTTGCTCGCAAAGGCCTATTGTTGTTGGGACTGGCAGTGGGTCTGTCTGCGGATTTAACAAAGTCATAGAGGAGTGACCGTGGACAGGACGTCAGGATGGGCAGGAGAGACGAGAGGGGTAGCAAAAAAAGAATTGTCACAAAGGAGACGCTGTCGGGTCCAGGGCAGCACGGTCGGCTGACGCCTTCCGCGGGTCCATTCCAATGCCATTGGTCACTTTAGGAGAATGTGTTGCTACCTTCGGCTGCGCCCAAGGACACCGAGTGGTGGTTCAGGAGACGAAGGGAATATCGGGGAGCGGACGCGAACAGCTCGCGTGATCGATCCAAGCATCGCATCGGAGTCAAGACGCGTCGAGAACGCGCCCCGCTTTCCCACGGTCATCCTCCGCGTTTCTCTATCACTAGAGATAATTCATGATTTACCCTCACCCTCAAGTTAATGTGGGCATTACTGTGAGGAGACTTAGATGGTGTGATACAAATTAACCTGGCGCTGCAAAGAAATTCTTGATAGTAGTGACACTACTATTTGAAAAGTACTTTAAATAATACGGTGAATACGGCCCAGGTTTGAACAATTAATTCCTCATTCTTCAGAAACTATATCAAAGACAGGGCCGAGTATCTGGCAACTTGCTTGTCTGTCTTTAATCGACGTCAAAATAGTAGGGAACTAATTTTTGAATCCCAGGGAGCCATTTTCACCTTATTATTGAAGATATCTACCAAATAATGATGGCCCTATTATTAAGAAACATCTGCGGTGTTACGAAAAGCTCATTTGTAACCTGTGAAAAAGAGGAATAATATGTTGCTGTCATGTACTGTACATCCGCGGGATTGTTCTATCGCCACTGCATGTATGGCAGAATCGCCTGAGATCGGCCGCTTGCGACATATCTTTGCTGCAGAGTTCTATAAATGCACTGACAGGCGCATGTTTTGATCGCCATTCAACTACCTTCAACTCGCCCGTCATCTCTCCATAACTAAAAAAAACATGACAGACCTACTCTGGGCCATCCACCCAGATGACATTGGCAGGCTCAGGCATGAGTACACCACTGGCAAGTTTCACAGTTCGCCCACTGGCATGCACCACAACTAGCCTGCGACTATACAGCGATGGTGCAAGATCCCCATCCCTCGTGGAAGGAGTGCCGGAACACAGCATGGCTTACCGCTGAGAGGGTGATATGGTTCCCCAATTTCTACTTCCCAAACAAGGAGGGCTACATTGATTCGGATGCCTCTCCCATGCTCGCGCCAGACGTATACTTGTGAAAGCCGCGTCCGCGTATGCCGGCCTAATGTAGCTCGACGTCCTCCGCGACGAAAGTATCGCATACGACGAACGGATGAAGAAACTAGGCTTCCAAGGCGAGATTAAAGTGCGCAAGAGTGTGCCCCACCAGATCTCGGCATGAATAGTGCGTTGGACTGTGTGAGAGAGGTTTCGGAAGATCTGACTAGGGTAACTGGGGAAGCCTTCAAGAAGTGTTAGACATGGAAAAATGCCAAGCAAAGCAGAGATGTACGCTTTGAGATGATATGGGCTGATCGATGGATCTGTATACCATACCTAACACTTGTACACGATGAGTAAAGCTAAAAATATCCTTTAAATGACGCTACGAAAAACACACAACCTACTTAGCAATATGTCGCAGGTCCTATTTTGATGTACCGAGAGAAAGTGTGTCCTAGATATGTTGAATTGCATCGTTTTGTTCTGGTCATGGATAACATGAACACGCGGGTAAGAGCAGTGCCAGGCAACACTTGGCGTTTACCGACGTTCCTGCTCTCATCCACGCATCTACTGGCGTCCCAAGATCAAACGATCCTTGTTCGATGGGATATGACGAACAACATTGAACCAGACCTCGTTAAGCATTAAGGCGGGGTGAATATGTCTAGAAAATGAAGATATAGATAGACAGTAACACAAGGGCACCACGACCATGCATCGCCGTGACGAAGCACAGCAGAACTTAAGCCAAGCCGGAGCGAACAAGCGCGCACAGCATACTTGTCTGCGGGCCGTGCGGTCGTCCACGCCGCGTCGGTGGCTAATCTCACGTATTGATCCGGTGCGTTGTTTCGTCATAGCCCAATCACGGATCGACGGCGAGCGGGAGGGCAACTAGTACAGTACGAGCGGGACAGCCCCGACGCCGGTACCGCCTGAGTCGCCGTTGCGACGACCTTGTCCAAGCTTAGTGCGCAGGGATGGGTATAAAGAGTGATTGATTGGAATGGTATCGCGTTACGCCGAGTGCGTGTAGTATGGGAGGAGGCTGCGGACCTTTGTTCCAAGATAAAACAGGGTTGTTTCGTACGATAGTTCGGGTGTGGTGGCTCAGGTGAGTTGTGGATGTACGTGGGCGTATGATAGGAACGTGCTTGAATAGGGACGTAGTGCACGGGGCCAAGGATGGTGCAAGATCCGGCAAGCCTGTCTCGGTACCAGGGTATCGGGATATCTGGGACGAGAAATAGACACGCACGATGAGCTCAGATAAGACAGTTGTGCTGTAGAGGGGTCCGGGCGTCTGTTGCAGCGAGAATCGGTGTTGACGGCGACCTGAGCTTAAGAGTATACTTATAGTGTCGTGCCACAGATAGCCCTTACGAGGATTTGGACAGAGAGATGATGACCGCGATGCAGTTTAGTGTCGGAAACTTACATGCTTAGTACTTTGGACTTCTTCACCCCTCGCCTAAAAACAACCACCATCAGAACGATCTACTACGTCTAAGGCGAGATATTTTGATCAAGTGTGCAATCCTCGTCAATAACATGACATTGCTTTTAGTTGAATCGGAAGAAAATCCAATCACGGGGGGTGCGCAGGAGCTCACGCTCACTATGGCCTAGGTATTCAGCTGCCCAGCTGCGGAGCCATCTATGCTCATCTTGGCCGTTTTCTCCTGCACCTCCCTGAGCCCGGTACCGTCATTCCCACCCGCTTTCTCTTTCCCAGTCGCGTCCGATTCTGGCACATCCTCCGCGCCGGCTTCCTCGCCAACACCGTGCTCGTCCAGCGACATGACTTCGACAAACCACTGCGCGCCCTCGTCCCACCCAGCAAGCTCGGCCTCGCCGAGTGGCGTGCGGCCCGCGGCGTTCTTGGCGTCGATGAGGATCGCGCCGGGCCCGCGCGGACACTCGACGAGGGCGCGGGCGGCGGGGAGCTGGCGGTTGAGTGCGGCCCAATGGAGGGGTGTGCTCTGTGCGGCGTTGGGTGCGGAGAGGAGGGTGGCGGGGTCATCGAGGAGGGGGAGGAGGTATGTGAGGATGTCTGTCGAAGGCTGGGGCGATCAGTTGGCTGGGTTGGAGAGGAGGGAGGAGGGAGACTGAGCTCACCGACGTGGCCGTTGGCAGCGCACATGTGGATGACGGAGTTGCCTAACGCATCGCGGGCGGTGGAGAGAGGTGCGGGACCGTGTGCGTCTATGAAGGCGCGGACATCATCGAGGTCGCCGTAACGGCATGAGAGGAGGAGGTCGTCGAGGTCGTCTTCTGTGGGCAGTGGCTTTGTGTCTGATGCCATGTTTTCGGAGGATGCAGAGATGCGATCGGAGATGAGTTTGTGTGTTTGTTTTCGTTTGTGGGCACAGGATCGGGAGTGAGAGGAGGTCGAGATAAGATTTGTGTTCGGGATGGGAGTAATTACCGAAGAGCGACTTCCGTTTAGAGGCGGTGCGATCTCCGGCGCTTGATGGGAGCGACGCGTGGGACTGGACGGCTACGAGACCCATATGCTCCTGGTACGCTTACATGGCCACCCCACCAAGGCACAAGACTCAAGAATTGATGCAGTTCAACCTATCACGGCCATTCTCCGCTAGTCCCCTGATGCCCACAGAAATAACCTCCGCCTCCACAGGCCCATACGCTACCAACCATTCTTTACTCCTCACCCCCACCCTCCTTCTCTTCTCTTTCCTTCTTTTCATCCCTCCCATCCCTACCCCGCCCTCCACCGAGGGTCTCTCGCAGCCCTGAATCCCTTCGTTTGTTCTTGAAGCCTTCAGGCTTTCCTTTTTGTAACCTTTGCTTCTTGTACATTGCCTCTTCTCCTCTCCCCGTATGGCACACACTTCGCCCGCAGTCAACCTTGTCTGGTCCATATTGACCACCCTCGTGTGTCCCATCCCATTCTCTTGTCGTCGCATTCATCCAACCCTACCCTACCCTCGACTAGCTCGCGAGCTTTCTCGTCTTCCATCTCTGGTCCTTTGACCGCTTCAAATGCCTCAAGTGCGTGCCTCTATTTCCTCAGCCTATATATACGATCACCCCTCCTTACTCCTTCAACCCCTTCACATGCCTTTTCACCTAAACACGACGCTGACGACGTGCTCAGATGGAATAACGGGCCCTACAGCGGCGCCTTCAAGCGCATCATGACCGTACGCACATTCTCCTTCCGGTCCCGACTGCACAGCCTCACTTACCGTTGACAATTGATCGGAATAATGTTCTCGCTGACATCACCTCTACCGTTGCTGCGCCTTCTTCCCCCTGGCAATGCCTATCGCGACATCGACAACGACGATCCTCCTCGGCGCCACCGTCCTCACTCGCCTCGGTCTGTCGAACGGCGCTTGATATGCCTATATTCGTGATTCGGAAGCACAGTACTCGTACATAGCGACACTGCCGCTTCTAATGGTGTATGCACTCGGGTTCACCATCATCAAGTACAAGTACGGCTATACGTATCTCCCGGGCTATGGCGGTGCGCATCAGCTTCATTTACGCCGTTCCTTTCACCCCTTCTTCGGTGCTCCATGCGTGCCTCGGCTCCGGGATCGCGTGTGGCTGTCGTCGTCGCCATGTTGCTGAAACCGGCGCATCAATCGCCTCATTATCGACCATCTCTCCCCTTTCCCCTTGCCATTCGGGCCACGCGTGCCTATTCTATGAACCTTTTTTTTTTCCTTTGCTGTGGTCGCATTCAAGGTAGATTCTAACCATGCGACTCTGTCAGTTATCCCAACACCGTTTGAACTCTGGAGCGACTCCTCCAAGAACGCCATCATCCCGCTCTACCTCTGCTTCTCGATCGGATGGGGCCTCGAGATGTACGTCCCCCCAATCCATCCTACCACCCGCCCCTCCTAACCCCCAACCCACCGCCCACAGGGTCACCCACCTCGAAGAGCTCTGCTTCTGGCTGTTCCTGCTCAACGCAGGCTCCGTCGGCCAAGACTGGTTCCGCTCGCTCTACTTCCGCACGTGGGCGGTCGGCTCCGTCGTCGCGGTGCTCTACATGCCGCTCGTGACGATCTTCACGCGCGGGGACTATCTCAAGTGCGAGGCGTACACGTTCCTCGCGGGGAGTATCGGCTCGTTTGCACTCACGGTGTGGTTTTTGCCGATTTTGTGGGCGTTTCCCGCGTTTTTGGATAGTTTGGTGAGTGCATGGTTTATGGTACTTTTCGTGAAGGTGGGGGTGCTGATTGAGCGATGGGTAGAGGCGCGAGAGTGTGGACACGAATACGGTGGTTAGGTTGACAAAGTTTCATGAGTTGAACGTACGTGTTTGTCGCTCTTGCCCTTAATAACAGCTAACTCAATTACCACACATCTCTACGTCCTGTCCGCTTGGTGCGTTTGCAAAAATGTACTGCCAACTCAACGACCTTCTTGATGGACGACCGTGGTGTTTTGATACTGCCTCCCCCACACCTCCCACGGGTCTTTTGATGGATCGCACGACACCCCACACGACTTTCAACGTTATCGACTGCACTACCAGTGCATCCGCGTTTTCTTCCGGTTTCTGTTTACAGTCCCGTTCATCATCCTCGGGATTGACGGTGTTCGACCGCATCAGCACATCAACGATAACATGTACGGCGCCTATCTCTCATCCCGGTTTTCTCAATGCCAGGCGCTAATCACGTTTGTGTACTGTACAGGTTCGCGACTGATTTTTTGGCTATGATCGCCGGTGTAGGATGTTCCGTGTCGTCTGCCTTGACCCTTGTCGTGAGTATCAACAAAAATCACTATCGTTCTACCGTACTTAACAACATCTCGCGTCTAACCCCTGACCAGATCTTCTTCCCCCGCTCGATCGAAAGCGAAATCGCAAACAAAGACCGCCGCCGCGGCACATCGACACAGGACATGATCCAGACGCAGCAAACCGCGACCCGGCAGGGTGGCGGTGGCGGGGGGCCCGGGCGCTCGTTTGCGCTGCACTCCCTCGGCGCGGGCGACGCGCTTTCTCCGGACGCGGACGGCGAGGAGGAGGACGACAGGGACGATCTCTCCGAGCCGTACGAGCGGGCGCCGTCTGCTGCGTTCCGAAACAACCCCACGCCGCCTGCACTCGTGCGCTCGCCGTTCAGTAACCCGGCCGTCAGTGCTGGCACTGGTACCGTAGCGGGTGCGGGTGCAACGCGCCAGGGCTCGGGTGGAGCGTTCCCCGCCGCGCGCCGCGACTCGGGGCTGCCGCCGTATTCCGACTCTGCGCTGCACGCGTCGTCGCCTGCTGGTGTCGCGCATCCGCAGCAGCAACAGCAACCACAGCAGCAGCCATCGTCGATCACGTGGAACAACGGTAAACAGGGCCTGGAATACGTCGACGAGGAGGAGGACGCGGAGTCGACGTCCAAGCGCCCGCTACCGAATGTCCCGGCCGCGGTGGCGAAGGAGGAGGAGGCGAGTGCGGGCGGCGCGCGGCTGGTGCCGAATAGGCGGACAACGAGGGGGGACGTTGAGATGGGCAGGGTGCTGTTGACGCGGGAGAATCTGGCGTGGCATAATGCGGCTCAGAGGAATTCGATGTCGGGAGGGAGGGGCGGAGGGGTGAATAGGCTTGTGCATGGGTTTAGGTCGCCGATTGGTGAGTTTTGTATTGCTTGTGTTTTGGTTTTTGGTTCGGTTTTTTCTTCCTTTCTACGAGATGTTTCCTCCTCTTTCTTTCTGCTATGTTTTCAAAGAACGGGTGACTAATTTTTGTCTTAGATTTGATGGACACGCGTTACCCGTGATCGATTTTCTCATTTTTCGCTGGTGGATGCTGGGTCTTCGCGAGGTGGAGGTGTGTTTAATGGGTGAAAAGGGCATGAGAGTTTTCTGGATTCTCGGGCGAGTATGGACAATCGACCGTGTCCGGCGACATGGATGTACGTCCGACTTATGGGTGCCACCACGTCCAGGTACGGTTCTATGTCGTTCAAGCTGGCTACCTGCGTGCTGTTGTTCCTTCGTCGCGCATGGGACGTTCTTCTCCCCGAGCATCTGGTACGCACCGTAAGAGGTGTTAATGCTTTTATACAAGTCTGCCCCCGTTTACTGTTGCCACGAACTGGTGCTTCGCCATGGCTTTTTATCTTCGTTGCTTACTTACTGGTTGGTCTGCCTCCTCTTTACACATTTACTACGATATTTATTTACCAAGGGAGGGTCGTCTGTTTCGTCGCTCGCCTCGTGTGAAGCGTTGTCCGTCAGCTCTGATATGGTTCGAGTGTCTCCGTCAGTTTGCACAAATGCATGCTGTGCAGTTTATCGGCGAGTGATGGGGGGCTCAGCCTGGCATGCCATTATCTAGCCAGTGAGGTGGAGACAGTGCTCGAGCGTTGATGTTTTCTCTGATGGTGTCTTGCTGAATCGCAGTGACTTCAGAGACTGCCAAATTGGTTGCAGCAGCTAACGGAGAATTCTTGTTGGGCTGGTTTCAAGTTCCACATGACGAGTCTCGCTATGATCTCATATTAATATCTACGTCTTTACCCAACGGTAGCCTTGATCGAGTCAGTTTAGAGTCAACTGTACATCTCATTCGCTAATATCCGGGGTTGTGTGCATCAACATGTAGTATCCGCGCGTTCGACGTTGCCGTACCTCGCGGTTGCCCTGCTCTCGCACGGGGCAAGGCGCAGTAAGCTTGTTTCCCGAGAGTAGCCCCGTGCCGGTGCACCACTATATCGCGTCGGAGTTCGAAATCCAAAGCTCGTGCGCCAGAAAACTCCGTGTAATTATAAGTCGCTTGGTCAAACTGCCAGCTTAGCATTGTTCATTGTGTAAGGGCGAAACCTGAAGGGATAAAGCGCGGCCTTCAAATTCGATCGTTCAGGGTCTGACGGATCTGTAGACCAATAGTGGGAACTTTGTCCCTGCGCACGCGGCGGTATTGGAACGCCCGGACCACCGTGACAGCAAAGCCACAGCTTGGGCCACGCCAGGACCACGCCTTTTTAAGCTGTCAGTGTCCTATCATTCCTTGCACCCTCTCTCCTCCTCTCCTTGAGCTCTCCCGCACACATTCTGTCACAGTACTCTCCTCGATTTCGCTCATGACAGACTCTGCCCCCGACTTCGGCGATGAATGGGAAACAATTGGCCAGTTCCCAGTCTCCTCCACTAGTTCCGTGCCGCTGAGCGCCCGAAGTGAAGATGTGATAAGTCTTCAGAGTGGGATCAGCGAAGCTCTGTCTTTGGAAGTCAGAGAACTGGAGGAGCTCCGCGAGCGCAATGCCACGCTGGAGAAGGCAAATGTGGACCTGGCTCGGGAGAATGCGGACGTTGTCTCGCAGAAGGATGCGCTTCAAGACGAGGTGAAGCGGCTACACGAGATGCTTGGCAAGAAGTCCCTGGAGCTCGACGCGTACTGCGAGCGCTACAACGCGTTGGAGGACCAGCACCTGAGGTTGACCCAGTCCAAAGACGTACTGGACCGAGAGGCCGGAGGCCTCCGTATCCAAGTCGCCTGTTTCGAGGAGGTAAGCCTTAGCGTAGTGTTATGGCGATGTAGCGCTCACACAGTCCTTAGGATACCATCAAAGTTGCGAAGGACAAGGAAGCGCTTGTCGCTGAGAAGAGGACACTCGAGGAGCAGCTTGCCCAGGAGAGGAACGCTGCAAAGCTTCGCTACGAAGGCTTGCGCAACGAGACAGTCGATCTGAATACCAGATTCCAGCTTGGGGCAAGTCAAGAGAACGCGCGCAAGCTTACTGAGCAGATCAACAAACTCACCGAACAGGTCAAGAGCACGAACGTGGCGCTCGAACAGGCCCACAAACGCTACACTGCTCTTCAGTCGCAGAACATCAAGCTCGCGCAGGAGAAAGAGGCACTTATATACGAGAAACGAGGTCAATTAGGTGGCGCCAATGTCGCGAAAGATCTTGCTATGGTGAAACAAGCATTAGAAGATTCTCAAGAACGTTGCAAAGCCTTACAAAGGTCTAACAGCACTTTGACGGACGAGAACACCAAGATCGCTTCCGAGAGAGATGTAGCTCAGAAGAAGGTCGTTGAGCTTGAAAACGATATCAAGAAGAGGGACGAGTATATGAACGTAATCCGGGTCCGAAGCACCGCTATTCAGAAGTCCGAGGCCGAGAGGAAACGGCTTAGTGGGCATGTGAAGCTTCTGACCGACGAGCTGAAGTCCGTTAGGTCAGAGGGTCAAGCAGTTCGGAGGACATGTGTTGACTTGGAGAATAAGGTCGCGGCATTGGCGAAGGAAAATAAGGAACTCAAGGTTAAGGCACTCGCATTGGAGGGCGAAAAGGGCAAGCTGGAGGAGAGGGTAGATCGGTGGAAGGCCAACTACGATTCAATGCACCAGAAGGCGAGGTAATCTAGGATTAGCTTACACGCAGACTGTCCCTGGAACGGTTGGATATGATGACTGTCCTATTGGTATCCACTGGCAGCCTGTCAGTACCTACTAAGTAATATTAATTGCGTATTTACCTAGTTCGACCACGTGTACGCTATACTGGCGTGCGGGAAGTTTATCCAATACTCCGGGGGTGAGACATTCATAGACGGTGCATAAATTGGATTGCGAGCACTAGGCTGACTGAGCAAGCGATCGTTTACCTGGCATGGACGAGATTTCCCGACCAATAGGCGACCGTCTGGGCGTCTATCAGTGGGCGTCTATCTTTGGCAGGGCGGCAAGCCAATCATAGTGTGCGAATAGCCTGCAGTGGGCCCCGCGAAACCGGAGATCGGCCTTTGTCTTCCTTCTATCTACTCTAGGCGCCCGCGATCCTCTTCAGCGCCCGTCCAGGATCTCCTGCTTGCCCGGCGTTCAGTACATGGATGAGTAACAGTTGCCAAGCGCACGCGATGACGATTGCGTGCTCGTGCAGGCACTTGAACGTATAAAAGGGCCTTGTTGGTCGACGTTTCTATCCAACAGCCAGCTCAGCCCCTTCTACATATCAATCACACCTTCCTATACTTTCCTCAACAAACATGGTCTTGAAAGTTTACGGCAACCCTGCATCTCCCTGCACCCGTACCGTCACGATGGTTTGCAAGGAGCTCAACCTTCCCTATGAGGTCGTTGTCATCGACTTCACCAAGGGCGAACACAAGCTGCCCGAGTACATCAAGAAACAGCCCTTCGGCCAGATCCCTTACATCGTGCGCCCTTGTTTCCCATATTTATGTGTGAAAATGCTTACGCTCCGCTCGTAAGGACGACGACGGCTTTGTGCTTTACGAGTCCCGCGCCATTGCTCGCTACCTGGCATCCAAGTACGCCAACGCAGACACAGCGATCCTCTATCCGAGCGACTTTCAGGGAAGAGCTCTCGTCGAACAAGCAGCGTCTATCGAGGCGTTCAACTTTTATCCGTCCGTGTACGGCGCCGTTTCTGAGAGGATCTTCAAGCCGTACGTTCTTTCTCTATCTCTCGCATGCCACAAAGCTGACCTGCGTACAACCACAGTGCCTTCCGTGGCCAGCCTACTGATGAGACTAGGCTTCAGGAGCATCTCTCGGCCTTGAACCCCAAGCTGGATGCTTATGACAAGATTCTTGACACGCAGAAGTACCTCACTGGAGATGTGAGTATGCCTCCGCTAATTAATCTTCTGTCCGATTGACTGTGCCTTGTAGAACTTTACGCTCGCTGACCTGTTCCACATTGCGTATAGCGCGTTGTTGGAACAGGCAGGCCTAGGGTCCCTCTTTGAGTCTCGCCCCAACGTTGCTAGGTGAGTTATCTCATCTACCGGCGTGTCTCAACTGACTTCTCAACGAATAATTCAGGTGGTGGAAGGACATTGCCGCTAGGGAATCTTGGCTTGCCGTCAAGGATGCCGCTTGAAGCGAAATAACTAGTAGTCAATGTAAAGTAGAGAACTACTTACCAACACGAATGCTCCAATTCTCCCTGTGATTACGAATTTTACGAAATCAAAGCTACACTATATGCGTCATTTTATTTCAAGTCATAGCAAGTGTAAGAGGAAGCTCAGCTTGAACGTTGAACGTATGGATGTTTATAGTAGCGAGTAATAGTATCATAGAAACTTGCCCTGCAATAATCTGCGAAGAGATGGATGCAATGGTTACTTCTTCTTTAGATGGCTTTGCCCTTCAACGGCGAGGGTTTAGTCCTAGCTTTCATCGAACCGAGCTTCTTAGAGCATTTGAGAAGAGCCACGCGGCAGATGGCGCCTCATCTTCAGGCTTTCCAAGTACCCATGACCGGATCGTCGTGCATTGGCGCCAGGGCACAATCGGGTTTTAAGCTTTAAGTTCGACAATCGCCATGCGATGCTCTAACGTCTCGACAGAGACACTGCGAAGTCTTTGGTGGGATGAACGGCGTAGTTCAGGGAGTTACATGTTTAACGTTTAGGGTTCAGCACGACGAGATGATTGGAGAAGAAGAGCCGTGGAGGATCCAGGAGCTGATTGGGCAGCTAAGAAGTCGAGGATTCAAAGCTTCAAGCTGAAGATGAGAATCATTTAGCGCTCGGCGGCTTCAGGCGGAGCTGGCCGAATGGAGCTGGGAGCTTGAGACGCAAATTCTCAGGCTTCACAATCAGTGACGTGTCCGAGCTGCGCATCCTTGACTCGTCCTTGACTCAACCTCTCGTAGACTCGCGTATGGTCGACTTGTGATCAGAAACGACTCTACTTGCGTAGCCACGCGCATAGCATAAAGGGAAACATGGCGTTGAAAGAGATGATGCCCATAGGTGTTATCTCTTTCAACGCCATGTTCCCCTCTTCCAGCTGAACACGGAGGCCTTCTGCTATCGTAGGATGGGTAAATCGTGTGCTTACTCCTGAGTGCCAGCATTGATTTTGAATGCCATTGTAGCATTCCCGTACACTAGAAAAACAAACACAGTGTCTCATCAGCTTCACAAATGAAACTCTGCGTCACATCTTCGAGCTCCTGAAGTACAAGCCGGGATGGGAGACCGTCTGCACTCGCTGGCTCCACATCATCACTTCCCTTCCAACCGAATACGCGTCATGGGATGGGATCGTCGTCTCACTCGGCGCGCCGGTTCTGCCGTCCGTGATCGAAGCCTACCTCGCTGCCGCGGCGAACGAGAAACGATTGGAGGTCTTCCTCGTCTCGCGTTCCTCGAAGGACCCGACGAAGCGAGCGCCAACTTCTCAGGCAGAATGTTGCAGGGTGGGGACGGCGATGAAGCTCCTTGTGCCTCATTTCGGACGTTTCAAGACGCTCTCCGTCCAAACGTACTATCGCTCCGCCGCGCTCGTTGCCGTGAAGCACATCAGCGCTCGGGAAAACGACGATGCTCCACTGCTCGAGGTCCTCGAGATCGACTCGCGCGTTACCGACACGACCATAGCCGCGCCATCCGCCTCATTCAGGTGCCCGTGGCTCTCGGGCCTCAGCTTAGACGGGCGGACCTTTGTCGACTTTGTCAATAGTGAAGGTATGAATGGTGGTAGGACCAACGATGAACACAAGCTGGATACCGAGCCTGATGGCCTCGAGAACCCGGGAGAGATGCACCTTACCGTTTCTTACCGCCCGACATCTGGATCCCGTAATCTCACGCCGACGGCGCTTCTCGGCGCCTTATACAAGTTCACAATGTGGGATAGATTTGAGATGGAACTCGAGATTGATGATGTGTCTTTTGACGATGGCGATGATGACGACAACCACCATGCCTCTCGACTCAACGTTATCGCTTTTGATATAATCGACGACTCTGACATCACGCTCTCGTCTCTCTCCTACCCCTTCCTCTGCACATTTTTCGACCACTTCCGGCCCAGATGGCAGCCGCACGAAGCTATTGCTACTACGGAAGCAGGCAGAACGGCTTCTGTAGTCCTCTCGAACTGCTCTATAGATGGGCGGCTCGACATCGACTACGAGCTCGGAGTCCGCCTCGTCAGCATCAAAACTGCCAACAAGATCGTCAATTTTCTGGTGAGCTGGCAAGGCAGCAGGCTCGATATCATCGACTGACATGCGTTTGACGACGCTCTTATCGACAGACTGCGTACAGCAACGTGGTGGGATCATTGCAGAGCACTTGAATGTCTCACGATTAAGAGGTGTCCGGGCGTTTCGGCGCGTGCACTGTGTGGGCTGCTGAGAGGGCGAGAGACCAACCTGCGGCAGCTGATCGTACATGACGCATCTCGGCCGCTTAGTAAGGAGGAGGAGGAATCACTGGTGTATTTAGTCGTAGATTACGAGTCTCGCGATCGAGCGGGAATCGTGGATTGGTCTGTGCTATCTGAATGATTGCTGGATCATCCTTCCCCTGCCTGCTCCCTTCAGCTTCTCGGAGAAAAAACGGATGGTGCACGAAGGAAACCACGGCTAGACAGGACGTGGCTTAGCCCACGCGTAGGAAGTCTCCCCAAGCCGTGGAGATAAGTGCCTGCCTCAAGAGCATCAACTCGAATTCCTCCCGGATCATTCATCAAAGGAATTAGAAGCTAACGCCGCAAGAGCTAGTACGTGCATACCTTAACATTTATTCGCTTCCAAATTTGGTGATGTACTTCGGGTTCCTAGAGAAGTCTTCGATTGTAGTTCGATTCTCCACGCTGTGATGCCGGTGCCGCGATGAGCGCGTAAAGATCTCGTCCTGAACGAATGAGCGCTTACTATAGCAAAACACTCGGGCGGCGGACTCGTCAAACAACACTCTCTGTTTGCGCCCAGCACTGTATTCTTCCCTCATCATCATGACGGCTACCAAGTGGTTCAGCTACGCTACATCGCTCTCATCATCTTTTCGAAGTCCCCCGCGCAACGCCCGCGCCAGAGATAATGCACAACATCATTCGTCGCCGCAACAACAGGACCTAATCCAGCAGCTGGCCAATCTCAGAGACGACTGCGACAATCTTTATGCAGAGAACGAGTATTTGGTGGAGAAGAAAGATGGGTACAGATTGGATAGGCGAGAGCTGAGAGAGGTTGTAAAGCAGTTGAAAGCAGAGCTTAAAAGTAGAGACGAGGACAACAGGGTTCTAACCGCTGAGCTGAAGGAAGTACAAGCCAAGGCCGATGAACATGGGCGGGATATAGTTAAGTACCAGGAGAAAAGCAAAGAAGACGTTCACACCATTAGTCTCCTGGAGGAACAGAACAAAGTACAGGCCGCGGATATAAAAGCTACGGAGGGGCGCCGGGCAAAAGATGCGGAGACGTCGTCGCAGAAGGCTCAAGATCGTATCCTTGTCGTGGAGAGCGAGGCCAGCCGTCAGGCGCAGAAATACAGGGCCGCATTCTCTCAGCTGGAGGCAACGCTGGAGAGTACCAAAAAGACGCTCGACGACCGCACTGGCCTCCTTAATACCCGTACTGCCGAGCTCAAAGGCGCGGAGTCCTTCCTCTCCACCGCTGACGCCGTTACTGGGGCTCATGTCATCGACTCAATCCGGCGCCTCAACAACGAGTTCATGCAAGTCGCAGCTTCCTTGGCGGAGTCATCTCTCGAGTCGTTTGAGTTCGCGGAGGGCTACACTGGTGTCGCATCGGAGGAGTACACATCCGCTGTAGAACGAGTACGAGAAATCATGGGCACAAAGCTAGTCGACTGCTTGGCGGATAAGAACCACCAAAACGAACCGCTCCTGATCCAGATTGCGTTACAGTCGTATTTCGCCGTGATATTCCAGTGGGTCATAGCATCGTGGACCGCAGACGACTCCAGGATGGATAGCTGCCTGAAGACGGTCTGGGAGCATATTAGGGCGCGTGGTAAGCACGATCTGCGGCTTCGGAACACGGGTATAAACTGACGCCACATAGAGGTACAAGCTGTCTCCGGAAAATGGAGGGCGCTTACCATAGCCAGCCTCAACACGGCCGACGGCGGTAGCATCATCAAAGGGGTGTTGCGTGACATACGTTCCATTCTTGTTGCGGCAAAGTGCACGACCCCTACTTCTGACATTCGGGCTTCGCTCGAAGCCAAGTATGCTAGCCAAATCGGGATCATGGAGAAGATGGCAACTGACGTCCGCAAAAATATCGGGGAAGACGTCACGTCTACCGACTTCGAGGTCTTCTTCACCCATACCGGCTCCGACTTCGACCCGGAGAGCATGGCGGATGCGTACAACGACGAGTCTCCCACCCAGAGCGAGCAGAACCGGGGCCGCGTGCTGTGTCCCACCGACTTGGGTTTGCTCCAGCGCACGAACACCGCTCGCGGAAAGGATGCGAAGTGGAGCGTCAAGCTGCTTTTGAAGCCGAAAGTGGCTTTGGAGTCTGTCATTGATGCTTTGGAAGGCTGACGCGTTTGGGGGCAAAGGCATCTCATACGTATAACAAAGTTATATAATTCTTGTACTTTTCCCCTTCGCCTTTCAAATATGGGAATCCCTTGCTGAAGTTATATGCGAATTAGGAAAAACAATACGAAACTCAGGGGATGAAGCTAAGGTAAACCCAAGCTGTAGTCATAGCGGAACCGCCGTCGTGTGCATGCCTGTGAGATTTCATGACGCGCGCTGAGAGTTGGGAGATCGTTTACTGAGTAGGACTGATAAAATGCTGCGACCGGAAGCGCTGTTTCCACAACGTTAACTAACGGTAGGTTTGATTGGCTCTGGCCGGGATACGGTCTGTGAAATTCGCGCGCACAACCACTTGAAGTACACAGCTTAGAACGTTTTTACCGAGCGTCTTGCAACCGCCTGGCTCGATATAAGTGGAGATAATTCGTCTCAAGACGAGAGACATGTCAATTGTAAGGTCAATCCACTGCACAAACCTCGTCAAGATAAAATATGCATCTGGTTCAGACGTAAGGTACTACTACCCTCGTACAATGTCAAGAAGTTAGGTAAAAGTATCAAACTCTCAAACATTCTACTCCATATGAATGATGGATGCCGGGCTCCTTGGCGACAATGAGCCTCTCGGATATTGCGGCAAAACATAAACTTACCTTTTTTCAACGCCCTGGTGACAGTAATACGAATTAGATTGATACGGCAACGGTTAGAGCTCGGCACTCACGTTCTCTGTCCAGGCGATTTGAGCTTGTAGTTCTGTAGATCCAAAGAAGAGAACAATGTCTATGTCCAGCTCAAAGTAAGCTTGCGACTTCCCCCTGTGGATATTAAGTAGTTGGGAAACACCGGAGGTGTCAGCTCGCACGGTGCATGCAGTTGAAAAGTCATCAGCTGCTAATACATTAGGACATGTAAGCATCGAATGCTATACACGCACCCTCTTCTCCGTCCGCGAAGGTTGGAACGGGACCACTTCCGCGATGACAGACGATTTCTCGATTCATGGACAGGAAAGCAGCCCTTATTTTGGTTTGTGCTGTATAGGTACGCCTATATTCATCGAGCTCGGATACTCGGCTGCCCTGCAGAGACCGCTCTTGTGTCAGTTTTTGGTTTGATGTCGAAACAATGGTTATACCTTTGGAAGTATTATGTCGAAGTGGTTAGGGATCACTTTCACTCCCGATAACGAAGTATAAACGGTTTCTTCCCGAAGCGCGTGTTCTGGGTCATGACAGTCGTAGCGAGTACTGCAGTTGAAACCATAAGTGAACTTAGAAAAACGGGCAGACACGAGATGGTCGACGTAGAACGATACCGCCCCATCAGCGACGGCTTTACCCCTGGAAAACTTGTAAGATTCGTGAGGACTCAAGTGGTTACAATGACTTACGTATCACTGTGTGGACGATGAAGGGTAAGTCCGAGGCCAGACACGTACGCCTGAAGCTCTGAAAACAGATAGTCGCTCATAGCAAAGCCGCCGACGAGGAAGATAAACTAGATCCGTGATAAGTGACTGCTTACTCGACTAAAACTCGAACGCACCGAGATATCGCTACTTGACGCCAACAGTTGCTTGTTGACGGCATCGATGATACTCTGGACTGATGGTCTGAATAGACGAGCTACATCTTGTCTAGCGACTCGTCACAACAATGAATGTTAATCGAATGGAGAAGAGACGAACCCTTCAAGCCTGAGTCGCCCGTTACGAATGTTACACGTGGAATCAGTATCACGGATCGTTCCAAACTTGACGAAGGTTAGGCTCTCGGGACCCCTGAAGCGGATTTTGCCTTCTTGGTCAAAAGCAGCTGTCATCTGCTCCACATAGTCCATCACGCCAAAGCGGGATCCACTAAGTTTTTCTTTAAATGTCCATGAAATGATAGTGAGACTGACGGAATATAGGATCGCAAAAGTGGCCTACCTTTTATCAATGTTCCCGCACGGCGAGTCACAAACACCGAGCCTTGCATACGGCCTTTATGGGCACAAGAGTCAGTAACAGGCGAAGTATCAGAAATAGCCACAAACACTCCGCTGGTGCGATCTCCTCAAAGATCATCGTCGAGCCAGTACTGCAATAGGCACTGACGTCAATCGTACCACCCCCAGCGTCAATAACAATGACACCTCCGCTAGGCACACCGCCCTCCATGCCAAATCCAGATTTCTCGGCGTGTACTGTCGATAAACTCTCGGAGGCAAGCATGTTTGACACGCAAAAGTGTAAACTTGCCTCGCCCTCGGTCACAAGGCGTATGCGCGAATGTCCTTCGAGCGTGTCTGGCACAAGACCGGCAAGAACCGCTGCGCGCCGAATGTGGCTCTGCTGCGCGCCTTCCCATCCGTTGGGATGGGACAGGACGAAGTCGATGTCGGTTCTGGGGAAGGCGAAGAGGCTCTTGCCGATTAGGTGAGTATCCTCGATATAAGTCTGCGCGCAGCGAAATAGATACGCCATAAAGTCTGCGAGGACCTCTACGGCCGTGAGACCATGCGGAAGAGGTGGGATGTCCTGTTCTTTGATATGTTCGGCGGCAAGATGTTTGGGACGTAAATGTAACTTCCACCTGAACCTTGCGTGAGCATCGAACCGAGAACAAGATAGGGATACGCACCACGTTAACTTCAACCATTGCTGGTCCTCTGCTTCCTCAATGATATGCTCTTGCAGAGCCTCGGCACCGACCGCGCGTACGTTGTTAGATTGATCATAGTACATAGTGGATGGAATCTTGAAGTTGCCTGCGACGTGGTCTTGTGCAGGATACCTTGTCCATGCACAGCGAATTGTTAACGATAATTCAACGCGTAATAACCATCCCTTACCGGCCTACGCAACGGATCTCAGGGACTGAGTCGGGGTCCAATATACAGTAGGATACACCACTGAAAGTAGTCCCTACGTCAAACGCAAGGACAAGTTTTCTCGACTCTCCTTGGTAATGGTTTCGGGTGAGCATATTGTGGCGACGTAGAAGGAGGGAAGGGGTTTCCATTTCGTGGCAGAGCGACAGATATTTACCAGTGCCATAGTGCACTTCAACCGGGGGCATCGCATATCACCGGCCACCGCCAACGGCGGTGTACGGAAGTGCAGGCAGCCAAGAAAGCCATGTTGTGTAGATGTCCTAACAAAGAAGTCCAACAAGGCGGATGCCTGGTAGATTCGCAGCTTCGCAAGAACTTAAAGACACCGAATTGCTTAAACAGGCCACTCGAAAAGACGACCATGAGTCGAGTGATTTCCCATCTGATTATCATGAAGTGCCAAAAATGGTGATTTTAGACTGTTCGTGAAACAGAAGGCACGGTCGGGATCAGATGAAGTCTAGTGCTATTCTCGCATCTCTGATGTCGATGAAGCTTGAAGTTGAAGAAAACACATCATGCTGCCTTCTGGCCTCGGAGTCTTCGAAATCGTGCAAGACGGTGATGGGAATGGAACGGAGCTTAAAGTGGTCGTAAACAGAACCACTAGCACCCGCGTGGAGTTGAGATCAGCGCATCTCCAATACAATACTGTCACGGAGAGTGTTTCTGACAGTCCGCGTGTCTTATTCTCGACAAACCAACACGCTGCATGTTTACACAGCAAAGTTCTTGATAGTTAGAAACACACTAGGGCGGAAAACATCTTAGATGAAACTCGAACTGAAAGCAGCGGTGTTTCAATTATCGGGTAACGGATGGGAAAGCTGAGCTTGAGCTTATAGTAGTAACTGTACCACCGTGTGTATAAGTTAAGGCGGAGACGCATGCCAATGGAAACGTATCGGGAAGGACGAATTCCTTGGGCGAGGTATCGAGCAGCTAGCCGAAATATATACCGAGGAAGCAGTCGGGATCGAAAGAAAAAGTGACCGAAGCGGCTGTGATCGGCGCGGGAGTTGCAAATAGTAATAGAAGGTACACAATGGAGTAGAAGAGCTGGGAGAAGTCAACCTGTAGAAGCATGCCGGTGGGGTGGTCCGAAAAGCGGTGTGTAACAATGCGGAGAGTTGTTGATAAGTTCTTCCATGAGGAAGTGAGCAAGTAGACGGAACTAGAATTCAAAAAATCGATACAGCTTCAATACACTGACGCAGGACAACCGCGTTCAAATTGATAGGTATCTGGTAGTAAGAATAAGCGGTAACGTATTCTGTTCGGCGGAGGGAACGGACTGCTGGGTAAAGATGGGCGCCACGTGTTTACGAATGGTCATGACATAAACAACAGAACAGCGTTCAGTAACCCATATCGTCAACATACAACAGGGGATCACCACGACTTACTTTAGATTTCATCGTTGTACACGATAGTTGCGGGACTCCTAGTTAAGATGCTCAGGCCGAGGAACAAAGGCAACTGATCCCATTGCTTACCGCTTCTCAAATCCCTAGAGTACAACATATGAGACTGCCGGTAACCAATATATCATATTGTGACCCACGTACCTTCTCTAACCATCTTACCTGCGCCTGCAACTCCGTGAGCCCAAACAGTAGGATAATATCGAATTCAAGCTGGTAGAACGTGAAACCTCCGTTCTTCTTTTTACGAAGATTCTTGGCGATGGACGACGTGTCAGCATATACGGTGCATAGTTCTGTATATTCAGCTAAATGGACGCATTAATCTTAGCAAGTCTAGTTACCGACCAGAAACAGAACAATGACGTACATTCCTCATCGTCTATCCAAGTTGGCCTTGTCGACATCCCCCGATATACGATCAAATCGACGTCAATTTGATAAAGACTCTCCTTACGCACTCGTTCCCGAACGAACGATTGACTGAACTCTTTGACCTCGGATACTCTCGTTCCCTGATCACGTTTACCCATGGAAATGAGCTCGTTTCAGCGTTATAAGACAAATCCGAGACATACCTTGCTCAAAATTATCCAGAAACAGTCAGGAAGCACGTTTGTTCCATCCAGAGAAGTGTACTTCTTGTGTCTTCGGAGTCGGTGCTCGTGGTCTCTCTTGTTGTAGAGGACATTGGCGGATTTGCCATAGAAGAACCTAGCCGCGCGGGTAGCTACTAGATGGTCGATGTAAAACGAGATGGCTCCGTCCGCGACCGCCTTGTTCCTTGTGCTTGAATAAGCAAGCGGATGACAATAAGGTCCGCATAATACATACGTATGACTATCTGGTCGACACAAGCTCATCCCAAGTCTTGATAGCCGAGCTTGAAGCTGCTTGAACAAGTAGTCACTGGCGGCAAAACCGCCAACGAGGAAGACATGCTTCGGAACCAAACAAGTCAGCTGGACCAGGAGAAGGTAAGCAAAAGGAATCGTACAGATATAGTGATCTGTGAAGCAGCCTTCTGCCTTTCGACAGCATCGACGACACTTTGAATAGACGGCTCAAATAAGGTTGCAATGTCTTTCCTATTATATACCGGTCAGAGTATAGCTAACACGAACGCGGCGTATCACGAACCCATGAAGCCGTAGTTGACCACCTCGAACATCATACGAAGGCTCCTTGTCGCGCATCGTGCCGAATTTGATGTAGCACGAATCGTCTGGGCTAGTGAAGCGCAGCTTCGTACTCGTGTCGAATACCTCTGTCATCTGGTTGATGTAGTCTTGCTCTGCGAACCGAGAACCTTCCAACTTCTCTAAATTTGCGTGTCAACGTAATCCAGAAGTTAGAGCAAATGGGCAATACCCACTCTCGAGAAAGTCATGCCCACGCCTGGTTACCCAAACCGACCCCTGGAGCCGACCTAGCAGACATACCGTTAGGACGAGTTAGGTCAAGGGATAGGGAATGGAACGTCGCGTACATTCTGTGGGTGCAATTTCCTCGAAAGATATTGCCTTTCCAGTCGCAGTACCGGAATGCATATAATATGCACTAAGGTCAATGGTTCCGCCTCCAGCATCGACGACGATAACTCCCCCCTTTTCGGCCTCTTCAGCTTCCAGAGAGCCACTGTCGAGCTCCAACTTCTCGATTGGTAACCTGGACCACGTATCTGAAGCGAGAACGTTGGCCACACAGTAGTGCAGGCTCGCCTCGCCCTCCGTGACTAGCCTGATGCGCTCTTGGGCCTCTCTACCCTCATCTGGCACAAGTCCCGCCATGACGGCCGCGCGACGGATTTGCTTCTGCTGCACGCCCTCCCATCCATTGGGATGGGACAAGACATACTCGATGCTGTCGCCGAACGAAGCGAAAAGACTCGGTCCGTTCGCGTGGGATTCGATAATATAAGTCTTAGCGCAGTGGTACAGGTAGCCCATGAAGTCAGCGAGAACCTGCAAAGCAGAGACGCCTGTGGGGAGAGGCGGGATGTCGCTGTCCTTGATGTGCGCGGCGCTCAGGTGTTTGGAGCGGAGGTGCATCTTCCACCTAAAGCATTGGAAAAGGGTGATGATCCACTTAATGACGGGAGAGGGAACAGTATCAAGGCATCCACGCACCATTCCAGCTTTGTCCATCCCTCCATCTCGGCTTGCTCGACGATGGATTCTTGCCGAGCTTCGGCACCCATAGCCCGGACTTGTTGGTTCCGGTCATAGTATAGGATGGACGGTATCTTCGAATCGCCGCCAACATGCTCTTGTGCGGGGTACCTACGAAACATCAGCATATTATCGGAGCCAGAATGCTGTACATTACACACCTAGAGACGCGTTGGATATGCGGAACCTCGCCAGGATCCAGAACGCAATATGACACACCACTAAACGTCGTGCCTACGTCGAACGCGAGCACGAGTTTGCGAGAAAACCCTTGATATGTTTCTCTATCGACCATGTTGAGGTGTGTTTGCGGGGAAGCGAAGGTGATAGGATGATGTCGTAGCGCTCAGCCAAGGGGTGCGTGAGACCACATGTACCTATATGAGCTTGCGCACGTTGTCGCCTGCAGGTCGAGACGTGAAGGACCCCGGAGTTGCGTATCTGCGGAACCATCCTTGGAAAACGCCACCAGCTGCATAAGGACTTCACAGATAAGTTTAGAGAAACAATGCGCTTACCTGGACGCGCTTCTGCGCTTCCGCGGAGCGGAAGACCTAGAGATTCAGAACAGTACGAGGCCAATGCTACCACTGGGGTGGATCCCGGAGGCGTACCCAAACCCGACAGGCAGTGGAGAATTCATAACGCGAGATGTTATCACTCCGAGAACCAAAACCGTAGGGAGGGAATGTAGAGAGTCGGCGGTACGTAAGTTGTAACCAGGCGTGCGGGGCAACATATAGGCGTGGGAAATTTGTGCGCCGGCTCCTCGCCGGTTCCCGCGGACTTGGATATTACGCTTTCCTTGTCCATATAGACGCCCGTGACCCTCTTTAGTGCTCACCCAGATCCTCTTACAATACAACCGACCCACGTCCTACAGGAGCTTCATCTAACTTTCTGGTAGAATTCCTAAAACAGATACAAGTATATGCTGGGACTAAGGCTGCTTGAGGTCAGCCTTAGGTAAACCCATCAGATGAATTAGAAGCTAGCGCCACAAGAGCAAGTACGAGCATTCATCAACTTTACACGCATCTCAATCCAGAGCAGTCACGTCGCTATTGGCTTACCGAAAGGTTCCCTAAGCGCGACGCCAAAGGTGATCGTCGGCCCCACGCTACGACCCCCGTGCCTCGTGGTCTGATGCCTCGTGGTGGGTGAAAGGGGTCTCACCGTATGCAAGTGAGCGCCCAAGATTTCTCAAGCAGCGGAGTCGTCCGCCAACTAACCCTCTCTTCACCCTATAGACTGCCGTCACCTCCCTCATCGTACACAATGATGACAGCGATTACCGAGTTCCTCAAGTCTGGGTCAGAGGGCGCATCTGCAGGCCCAAATCAATCTGGCGATGTCAATCCCAGGAGCGACGCTCACGAAGACACGTCCACACAAGGCCAGGAACAAGTCCAACGAAAAACCCAGTATATTAGCTGGGTGCACCGTCTCCGGGGGGAAAACGGGAGGCTGCTGAAGAAGAATGGCAGGTTATTTGAGGAGAATAGCAAGCTATGGGATGTTAGAGAGCAGCTGGAAGCAGATCTCGCGAACGAGAGAGGGAAGAATAAGGCACTCTCTGTCGACGTGAAGGAGACAAAGACCTCCTTGCAGAAGGCTCACGCTCATATCCATGTCTTGAAGAGCGACGCTAACCGTCGGGCCCAGGAGCATGAAGCCAAGCTTGCCGAGCTGGCGACCACCAAGAAGAAGTTCGATGAACTCTCGTCCCTCCTTGACTCCCGTACCTCCGAGCTCAGAGGCGCGCAGTCCTTCCTCTCCACCGCCGATGCTGTCACTGGCACGCATATCATCGACTCACTCAAGCGTTTTAACAACGACATCATGCAAGCTGCGGCATATCTATCCGAGGAAGTACTGGTGCAATTCCGGTTCGATGATCGCTCGGAGAGGGTTATTTCAGAGGACCGAAGGCTCGCCCTGCAGTCTTCAGCAAAAGTGATTGGTCCGAAGCTAGCGAGTTACTTACTAGCGAAGAACCACAAGGACGATCCCATTCTCATACAGATCGCGCTCCAGTCGTTCCTCGCTACCAAGTTTCACTTGATCATGACGTCTTGGGCTGCAGGAAAGGGCACAATTAACAGCTTCCTAAACGCAATTTACGAACGGGTCCGAGCGACAGGTGAGTCATGACGTTTATGCGATAGAGTCCGAACTGATCTGAGTAAACCAGAGGTACAGGCCGTATCTGCCAAATGGAAGGCGCTCACCCGCGCAAACCTGCCTCAGCCCGATGACGCACAACGCATCGAGTCCATCGTAGATATGGTGATCGGTGGGCTGTGCCATATTATCCTCGCCGCTAAGTGTACCGCCTCCATTGGCGATATCAAAAGCACCTTAAAGGCGAGGTTCGCCCATCGCGTCGCGCTCATGGCCAAAATGGCTCTCGAAATCAGCAAGAATATCGCAGAGGACGTCACTTCCTGCGAATACGAGGTCTTCGCGATACAGAGTGGCTGTGCGTTCAAAGCGGAGGAGATGGATGACGCGTATGGCGACAGCCAGCCTCGCCACAGGACGGCTCCTCCCGTAGTTCTTTGCCCTACTGACCTGGGTATAATGCAGCGTACTAAGGTTGGCGATGCGAAGGATAGCAGGCGGGACACCAAGATGCTCTTGAAGCCCAAAGTGGCTCTGGAGTCCGTCATCGAGGTCATGGGGTAGTTTTGGGTTATGATTAAAACTTCCTATTCTTAACGCAATGTTTGAGGTACTACTTGACGTCCGCATGTATGTTGTTCTTGCTGTATTAAAAATTTCTTGCCCGACACGAGTACGATGCCGATGGCTAGGATGGAAAATAATGATAGATTACGATGAGGTGCTGGCAACAGACGCCCTCGTTGTCATCCCGTATTTAAATATTGACCCAGCGTGTGTAGCCGAACATACGGCACCGGGCTTGTTATTCTGGCGCATCGTCAACACCATGCATGACATGACCTTTTAGAACCCGGAAACTTAGGATACAACTTTAACAAAAACCTCTTCAATGCTTATTCGTATACAAAATCGTTCGTGTGCATATGGCGCTAGATTTTCCCTACTTTACTAGTGAAATACCAAGAAATCCGGCCAAAACCCCGCGGCCCTTATGAGGTTTCCTCCTCCTCGTGAATGATAGATGCGGGACTCCTTAATGAATATGAGTACACCAATACGCTGTACGATGATGACCATACCTTTTCTCAACACCCTGACGTGGACGACTCCAGTGAGTTGAGCGAACTAAACAATACGAATAACAGGGCTTACGTTTTCGATCCAGCTAATTTGCGCTTGCAGCTCCGTCAATCCGAAGAGCAGCACTATATCGAACTTCAACTCATAGTACGTAGACGACGGTCCACTGCGAGCTTGAAGCAATCGAGCGAATTTTGACGTATCTGCGTACACCGTGCAAGCAGTTGAAAGCGCTCCTGTATTAATGGTAGCATTAGAGGGATGGATTGAAACACTCTAATAATCACACCTCTGTCCTCATCTGTAAAGGATGGAGCAGGCGCATCGCCCCGATGTGCAAGAATTTTCTGATTCAAGGAAAGTAAGCCCGTTCTCTTGACGGAGGTCATCCAGTAAGAGCGCCTGTACTCCTGAGTTTCCGAGACTCGAGTCGCCTACGGTAGATATTTAGTCAAGGCACTCGAAGTATCATCGAAAATCACTTACTTTGTGGAGAATGATACTGAATACGTTCTGGATCACTTGGACTCCCGAAACCTGCGTATACATGTTATGCCTCCGTAGCGCGTGCTGTCGGTTTTTTTTATCGAAAGGAGTGTTACAGTCAATGCCATACGTAAACCTTGAGACCCGGGTAGACACGAGATGATCAACGTAAAATGACGCAGCGCCTTCAGCAACGGCTTTCCCTCTAGAAATATTGAGTAAAAGGCTATGATGCGAGTCGGACGACATACGTATCGCTGCGCGGACGGCTGAGGATGAGCCCGTTGGCTGAGAGGTGCGCTTGAAGCTCAGAGAACACGTAGTCGCTCATGGCGAACCCGCCCACGAGAAAAACAAACTAAGTCATTCTCGATTAGGTCACTATTCATGCACTACAGCCCGAGACGTACCAAGATATGGCTGTTGGATGCGACTCGCTGTTTGTCGATGGCATCGATGGTGCTCTGAATCGACGGCCTGAATAGTTGGGCCACGTCTTGCCTATCAACTTATTAGGATATCTCTGGATAGTCGAGTGCCAGAGAGGACAAACCCTTGAAGCTTGAGGCGCCCGTTTCGAATGTTATGCGAGAGCTCCGTGTCACGGATAGTGCCAAACTTGACATAGGTTGGCTCGTCGACACCCCTGAAGCGAATCTTGGCTTCCTGGTCGAAGGCGGCGGTCATTTGATCGACGTAGTCAGTAGCGCCGAAACGAGACCCGCTGAGTTTTTCTGTGACGCACAGGACGTTTAGATTGATGAACAGCGGAAACGTAGAAGGGTACTAGCCTTTTATCATCGTGCTGGCACGACGGGTGACAAATACAGACCCCTGAAGTCGACCTATTGGAATTTAGAAAGCGATAAAAATGTATAAAACAAGAGGGTAATACGAACATTCTGTAGGTGCAATCTCTTCGAAAGACAACGGCGAGCCTGTGCTAGCATAGGCGCTGAGATCGATCGTACCTCCGCCAGCATCAACGATGATGACACCTGCGTCGGTCATTTTGCTCGCCTTCAAATCGAACCCAGGTTTCTCAATGACCACGCGCGAGAAACTATCCGAGGCAAGCATGTTGGATATGCAGAAATGTAAGCTTGCCTCTCCTTCAGTCACGAGCCGAACGCGCGCCTGTCCCTCGGGGGTATCAGGAATGAGCCCGGCTAGGACGGCAGCCTGACGGATCTGGCTCTGTTGCGGTCCTTCCCACCCGTTCGGATGAGATAGGACAAAGTCGATTTTCCTCCCAGAGGAAGCAAACAGGCTCCTACCGCTGACATGCGCTTCTTCGATATAGGTTTGAGCGCAGCGAAAGAGGTACGCCATGAAGTCAGCAAGAACACGTGTGGAAGTGAGTTCTTGCGGGAGAGGCGGGATGTCGCTGTCGCTGATATGTGCAGCAGCAAGATGCTTGGGACGCATATGCATCTTCCACCTATGCCTCACGTGAGCACCGAAGACACCAAGCTACGAAGAAACGCACCAAGTAAGCTTAATCCACTGCTGGTCCATTGCTTTCTCGACAACGGATTCTTGAAGTGCTTCTGCCCCGACCGCACGTACATTGTGGCCTTGGTCGTAGTAAAGGATGGAGGGAATCTTGAAATGGCCCCCGACATGGTCCTGTGCAGGATACCTAGCCGATACAAGCCGATTTGTCAGCGAGATGGAAAGATGAGTAAGACCATTACTCACCGAGCCACACTATGGATTTGGGGAACTTCTCCGGGGTCGAGGATACAATATGAGACACCGCTGTAAGTGGTCCCTACATCAAAAGCAAGGACAAGCTTGCGGGCTCCTCCTTGGTAAGGCTCTCGGGTGAGCATCGTATAGCAGCGAGGAAGAGTGGGGCGAGATGCGATTCATGTTAAGTACGGCTGATTTATTCACGATGTCCTGTACCAGCTACCAGACCCTACGATGGATGCCAAACATTGACGGTGATCTACGGCGGGAAAGGTCAGAAGGTCTGATAGGACAACGTGTAAGTGTTCGATCCAAGAACACCAAGACGCATACATAGTAGATTCGCCAAGTCATCACGAGGCGATACTTGTCTGGAGTTATTTGCGGAGCGATCAAGGAAGGTCGTGTAGAGACCAACCGCCCATACGGGAGAGCCAGGAAGGGTTATTGAGGGGACAAAGTAGGCAACCTAGTGTTAACGCACGGTTAGTGTGGCCAAACGCTGCTTTCCCGGCTACGGGAAGTCAAGATGCAACAATGGGGCCCAGCAAGCCGGTCCTGCAAACAAGAGGCGCGCAAGACAATAACAGAAGCGAGATAGAAGAACTCCTGGGCGACAGCAGATGGAATTGTTCAGATTATTGCGCTGACATGAGATGCGTACTAGTCCATCATGATATGGGACTTTGTTTACCCTACGCGGGGCACGCTTGCAAAGTCGACGCCGCGGTGGTTCTCATTCGTATACTAGTCTAAAGTGTATGTGATTCCGGGCAGGCCACACCTTTAATCAACAGTCAACCTCAACACGTAAAGCATGAGCAACCTGCCTATCACCGACCTGTGTACAAACCCACCCTCTTCCATCGAGGCTCTTAATGTTACGTGATGCTGCTGATATGTTGGCTGTAGCCAAAGCGAGGAGTCGGGAATTGGTAAGCATGAGTCGCAGTTTGTAAACCACAGTGGTAAGTACCCTTCATGTTATTGAGCCGTCGTGGTCGGGAGAGAGGGAGCGTGGGAGTTTTCCTTTTCATCACGTCAGGGCTTTTACGCGACTTGCTGAAACGTTGTTCGTCAACCCCATCACGCTGTATTCATGTTTTCCACCAGTTTTCTACCGTGTCCTTTCTATTTCGCCTTGAATTGACACCGCCAAAGTCCTATTCCGAGTTAGAGTCAGTACTTTTACACTACCTTGACATTAGCAAATGTGCTTTTGGTCGCTGTAGCCTGAATGACTGAGCACTTTGCGTTTGTCATCACCGATATCTCTTCAGCGTTCGCTCGCTCGCCGGGATATGTGATTTCTATCATATAAAAGGAGACTCATGTGCGTATTCCAAACACACTAGCAGATATACCCTTGGTTCTTCCGCTTACACGCCCACATCTAGTCACTCAGCACCATGACCCCGGATGATAGAGAGATTGATATTTGCCAGATCGCTACCACTTGGCTTGCTAGTCTGGGTGAGGCCGCTGCATCTCGCGACCTCGACAAGTTCACCCAGCACTTCTTGCCTGAAGGCTGGTTAAGAGGTCAGTGGTAACTAAATCTATGGGGTCACAGAGCTGAAACTCCATGTGTCACTGTTAGATATCCTTTGCTTTGCATGGGACTTCGCGAGCGTTGAAGGACGTGACAAGATCGCCGCGTTCCTGTCCGAGCCACTTGAGGATGGACGTCGCTTCGATGTGGTCGGATTGCACAGCCTCACCATTGACTCGGACAGCACACTGGGCGAGCCCTCTACGTTTCCCGTTCCTGGAACCAATGTTTCCGGGATTCAGAGCGCGTTTAGGTTCGCTATACGCGAGCCTCAGGCACGAGGGAGAGGCTTCTTCCGACTTATTCCCTCCTCGGAAGGATACAAGGCGCTCACTGTGTACTTTTCTCTTCATGAGCTCATCGGCCATGAAGAGCCGACTTCGCGTCCCAGGGGGATACCTCTCGATGCGACCGCTATGACGACCTGGGAGGAGGATAGGCAGAAAGAGGTCGAGGCTATTGAGCGCGACCCAACAGTTCTCATCGGTACGTAAACCCTCGCGATCTCGCAGATGATCAATTGTTCTTACTAATCATCGTAGTTGGAGGCGGTCACTGCGGGCTCATGGCTGCTGCTCGATTCCGTCAGACCGGAATTCGTGCGTTGGTCATCGAGAAGACACCTCGCGTTGGTGATGTATGGCGAAATAGGTGTGTCCTCACCCTATGAAGTCTGAATCAACGTTCTGACGTATTATCTAAGATACCCAACTCTGTCATTGCACCTACCTGCGCATTACAGTTCCTGTGAGTGTATCCTTCCGTTGCGCTAGAACGACTGGCTCAAAGTGTGTTTGTAGACCTCTATCACTCGTACCCCAAGAACTTCCCGGAGTACATCGGACGAACGAAACTCGCCAACTTCATGGAGTCCTACGCAATCCAGCAAGAGCTCACGGTCTGGACATCTTCCGTCGTGCTATCAGACCCGACTCCGACATTCAACTCTGAAACAAAGAGGTGGACCGTGGTCGTCAATCGCGCGGGAAACCATGTCACACTAAACCCAAAGCACCTTGTCATTGCGACTGGTGGCGGTTCCCCGTACATACCCGACATACCCGGGCAGCAGGTGTTTAGAGGCGAGTTATACCACTCCGACTTTCACAAAGGCGGTCATGGGTATGCCGGGAAGCGTACGGTTATTGTTGGCGCGGTATGCCCATGTATTATCCTAAAGTTACCGCTCACTTGTACTGACAAGTTCACCAACAGGGTAATGCAGCATCCGATATAGCGCAGGATTTTGTCTCCAAGGGTGCATCGTCCACCACATTGATACAGAGAACCGCGTCGTTTGTAATTTCTCTTAAGACAGCATCGGATGATCTTGCGCACAGCTACCCGGAGACGCGCGATCTCGATGATGCCGACCTCATTGCAAACTCGATCCCACCTCGACTGGTTATCCAGATGGGCAAAGATACCCTTGAGGACAAAAAGAAGCTCGACGAGGATCTTCATATGCGACTCGAAGCAAAAGGCCTCAAGTTGATGTGGGGGGAGCACGAAGGCCAAGGTGCTGGCGCTCCCGTCTTCGTCTATGAGGCACTCGGTGCTGGAAGCAGTACGTCGAGTCCACGATTATCTTTCTATGATTACTGAGATATTTCGATGTATAGTGCTCGATACCGGAATTGGCCAGCTCATCATAGACGGTCACGTCAAGGTCAAGCAGGGTGTAGAGGTTTCTTACTTTGAAGAGAACACCGTCGTCTTCAATGACGGGTCAAAGCTCGAAGCTGATGTCGTGGTGCTCGCGTACGTCTTTCATTAATTAACTGTAAGCACAATTATTCAGCGGTTTACAGAACTGGATATCATCCGTGGGCATCAACGATCGAGAAACTCATGGGCCCAGCCATTGCCGCCAAAGTTGGGCGTGTCTGGGGACTCGACGATGTCGGCGAGCTTCGCTGTTTAGCTGGTCGACCAACGAGTCAACAGGGTCTATGGATCTTCCCGGGTGGCTTGCCTACGGCTCGGTACTTCAGCCGTTACCTCGCGCTCCAGATACTCGCTGAAGAGCTAGGTGTCAAGAGCTCCAAGGCGAAGGTTGCAGGTAAACCTTTCAAAACTTAGTGTAAGCCTGTTGACTGATAGCAACTAGTTTAGGTCGTGTGCATTGAGCGTTCATTAGTCGGTACGCTGTTGTCGATCCCACTCGGAGGGATAGATTTTGAGGGTTCTAGCAATAACCAATGAAATAAATCTCGATATCGTCTTCAGCGGGGTGAAAGTAACTGATGCAAACGGAAGCTAGCACTGCAAAGGATGAGGGCAAAGTAAACAGCAATACACCACCTTGTTCTACTACACATATCGCCATACTCAATATGAAAAACTACTGCTCCTCATCTCACACCTCATCATCGTACACGATACTTGCAGGACTCCTGATGGACGTGAGGAGACGATGGGGTTTGCTTGTATTACGATACGTACCGTTTCTCGACCCCCTGAACACGAAATAATTGATGAGACATAACATATAAACTGCATATACAGATATGTAACAGCAACATACCTTCTCTAGCCACCGTATCTGTGCCTGCAGTTCCGTTAGCCCGAATAGTATGATAACATCGAACGAAACTTTGTAAAACGTGTGCCCATTCCTTGTTTTCGGTTCGAGATCCTGTGCGATGTCCGACGTGTCGGCGAACACGGTGCACAGCTGAGAAAAATCGGCTTCGTAAGGCACATTCCCTCGTCAAAACCGGTCTGATATGGCAGGCAATGCGTACAGAACCTACACTCATTCTCGTCAACCCAAGACGGTGCCTTGAAGGGACCACGATACGCTAGCAGCGTCACGCCTATTTCACAAAGCTCGTCTTTTGATTCGTCAGTGAGTCGATAAGAGTCGCTGAACTCTTTTGTTTCTGAAACGCGTTCGCCCTGAACCGCGTTAAGACGAACCATTTGAGTATCAAACGTACTACAGAAGAGAAACACAAACCTTGGGCAGTATCGTGCTGAATCCACAAGGGAGGGCGTCATCACCTGTAGCACATGTGTAGCGTTTGTGCTCTCTAATCCGGTGTTCATGGTTTGCTTCATCATATTTGACCCTAGTTTTGATGCCGTACGAGAACCTCGCTGTCCGTGTCGATACAAGATGATCGATGTAAAATGAGACTGCGCCATCAGCAACGGCCTTATTACTGTCGGAGGTATGAATATTCCGTGACTTCACAAGGAGTAGGAAATGAGGCGCACGTATGACTGTCCGGTCGACATACGCTCAAGCCAGTGGCTGATAAGCGAGATTGGAGCTGTTTGAACAGGTAATCGCTGGCGGCGAACCCGCCGACGAGGAACACGTGCTATAGAAGGAAGTTATATTCAATCCCGAAGAAACTATACAGTACTTACCGAGATAATTATCGGCGAACTTGAGCTCTGCTTCTCAACCGCCTCCACTACGCTTTGAATAGAAGGCTCAAATAGGGTTGCCACGTCTATCCTGATGTACTTGTGAGTCAAGATTCAACGCAAGAAAAATAACGGCTACGAACCCTTGAAGTTTCAGTTGACCCGCTCGAATACCGTACGAGGGGTCCTTGTCACGCATGGTACCGAACTTGATATAGCAAGGGTCTTCTGCAGTGCTGAAACGTAACTTAGTAGTCTCGTCGAAGACTTCCGTCATCCGTTTGATGTAGTCCTCCTCGTTGAACGGAGAACCTTCCAATTTCTCTGTGGATTTAGAACGACATAAGTTGTCCGGAGATGAGTGTTAGACCAGAGAGCTTCCCACCTTCGAGAAACGCGTGAGCGCGCCTAGTGACAAACACTGATCCCTGCAACCGGCCTTGAAGTGGAATTTGGGGAAGGTATACAAAACCAAGTCATAATAACGTACATTCCGTTGGCGCAATTTCCTCAAATGACATCGCCTTTCCTGTATCTATCCCCGAATTCATAGAATACGCGCTCAGATCGATAGTCCCGCCTCCAGCGTCGACGATGATAACTCCCCGTTCCGGTGTCTCCTCTGTGTCCGAAGAATTGTCAAGCTCCGACTTCTCAATCGGCACCTTGGACCAGGTATCCGAAGCGAGGACGTTGGTTACACAGTAATGCAAACTTGCTTCGCCCTCCGTCACGAGCCTGATGCGCTCTTGAGCCTCCCTACCCTGGTCTGGCACGAGTCCTGCCATGACGGCCGCGCGACGGATTTGCGACTGTTGGACGCCTTCCCATCCGTTTGGGTGGGACAACACGTAGTCGATGTTATCGCCGAACGAGGCGAAGAAACCTAGTCCGTTAGCATGCGAGTCGATGATGTACGTTTTGGCACAGTGGAATAGATAACCCATGAAGTCGGCGAGAACCTGCACGGCGGAGACGCCTTGGGGAAGAGGAGGAATGTCGATGTCCTTGATGTGAGCTGCAGTGAGATGTTTAGAGCGAAGATGTAACTTCCACCTAGAGGATCGGCAGTGACTTGTGAGCCAGATGAAGACCAATGAGAAAACTAACCACACACCACTCCAGTTTGGTCCATTCTTCCATCTCAGCTTGCTCCACGACGTGCCCCTGACGGGTTTCTGCGCCAATAGCTCGGACCTGCTGATTCCGATCGTAGTAAACGATGGAGGGGATCTTCGAGTCGCCACCGACGTGCTCTTGTGCAGGATACCTACCGAGAATCAGCTCAATGTCAAAGTTAGATCACAGATCATCGCATACCTAGAGACGCTCTGTATCCGTGGAACCTCACCAGGATCTAGAATACAGTATGACACGCCGCTGAACGTCGTGCCTACATCGAACGCAAGCACGAGTTTACGGGAAAGGCCTTGGTAGGGCTCTCTATCGACCATGTTGGGGGATGTGTACGGGAGGTGGAGGTGATGAGAGGAGGCTGGTACCACTCAACCACGAGGTGCGTGAAACCGCTTGTGGTGATACGTGCAATCGCGGGGAGTCCACGTTGCTGCCTACAAATCAAGAAGGAAGGACCCCGGAGGTCCGTAATCTAGCGAGGCTGCGAGGTGATATCAGCTGTAGTTCTCCCAGACTAGCGAGTCTGCGCGTCCGAGAGAAAGAAGGTTCAGGGTACGCAGGTGAGTTGTCACTGCCGGATGATTTTGGACCGCTCTCGGATGTATGCATCGAGGAAACGTGGGTTTCCAACGAAGTTGCCTGGCGAAGTTCGATTGTGTCTACTCACGCAATCAAGCTTTGGGTGGCACTCACCTTCCCCAGATAACACTCGAGGTCTCGAGGCATCATCTGGGCTAAGTAGGCGGATTGCGTATGTCACTTCAGCCCCGGGCCTCCAGTACATAGGAGGTGCCATATGTACACCTCGTGACACATCCGTAAAGGGAGCTATAAAGGAAGTGGATAAGTATAGAGCAAAAATGGATGCAGCTACGAGTAGACGCACATTCGTGCTTCCGCGAAGTGTGTATCATGCGACTGCTCCCAGGAGTACATGAGGCCAACCTCACCATTGAGACAGTTCGCGAAGACTTTCTTTGACCTACACAGCGGATAATTCGTATCGCAAGGAATGTCTCCGAGAACAGACAAGACACCGCGTAGCGGTTTAGGAGATGAAGGGCTTGGGGGAAGCGAGCCAGTAGCGGACGCGCGGCCGAGTAGCTCCGAGCATCTGACGCGTCGGGAACGCGCCCTGCTTTCCCTCGGACCTGCATCTCTCCACACCCCCATTATACCGTGGTCCAAGCATAAAAAGCATGACATAGAAAATGGTCGTGACATTCGTAATTTACATTCTATAAGTGTTCATAACAAGTCGTTACTAACGCACAAATTGATCTAATACAAGGAGTAGTAGCAAGCAAGCAAAGTGAGTATGATGACAGGAAGGGGAAAAAGTCGCCTCTTCGGGTTACATCTCCTCATCGTAAACTATCGTAGCAGGGCTCCTGAATGATATAAGACAACGATATGGGATACGTCATTAAAAATCTCACCTTTTCTCAATTCCCTGGGTTGATACCAAAAGTCAGATTCTGTCGCAGCAATTCAGAGAATAATCTGGTTACATACCCCTTGAAACCACCGTATTTGTGCCTGTAGCTCCGTTAATCCGAACAATAGGATGACGTCGAATTCAACTCTGAAGAATCCCTTCCCATTATTCTTTCTCTTCTTGAGGTGATGTGTGATAGCCGACGTATCTGCGTAAACAGAGCACAGGGTTGTGTATTCGGCTGCGTGGGGGTTGTTTCATGTCTTCAACAGAAAATATAAGTCGGAATGACATACCTTCGTGGCCGTCAACCCAAGTAGGCAATGACAAACAACCGCGGTACACGATTATGTCAACGCCTACTTGGGATAGTTCCGCTTTGGAAGACCGTTCGCGTGAATATGCTCGAGTGAACTCTTGGACCTCTGATACCTGAGTGCCCTACAACATGTTGTGTGATACCTATTAGCCCCCGAGGCATCGTCCTATTCCAATGTACTGCATAACATGCCTTTTTTAGGATTACGCTGAAGTAACCGGGAATGGCCACATCTCCCGAAAGGCGCATGAACCTCTTATGACTTCTGATCTGATGTTCCTCGTCGCGGTCATCATATACGATGTTAGCTGGGGTGCCATACGAGAACCTTGCTGTACGTGAGGAAACAAAATGGTCAATGTAGAATGACACGGCGCCATCAGCGACGGCCTTGTTACTGCGCGTCAATGAGCATCTATGTTTTCTTCCAAATTTTGAATACAAAGCATACGTTTGGCTATCAGGTCGACATAAACTCATCCCAGTGTTAGACAAGCGAGATTGGAGTTGCTTGAATAGGTAGTCGCTAGCCGCGAACCCTCCGACAAGAAAGACATTCTACGAAAACGGGAAACGTCCAGTAGATCAAGAAAGCCCGGCACAGGCAAACAAAAACACACTAACCGACACCCCTATCAACGACGCAGCCCTCTGCAGTTCGATGGACTCAACTACGCTTTCGATAGAAGGATCAAAGAGAGTAGCAACGTCCCTCCTTTTAAAGATGTCAACATCGTACGACGTGGAAAAGATATAGATACAAACCCTTGAAGCTTCAGTTGCCCCGCTCGAATGCCGTACACGGGATCTTTGTCACGCATGGTACCAAATTTTATGTAGCATGGATCATCAGCGTTGCTGAAACGCAATTTGGTGGTCTTGTCGAAGACCTCCGTCATCTGGTCGATAAGTTCTGGCTCTGCGAATCCAGAGCCTTCTAACTTCTCTGGAGATACTCGTCAGTCTATCTGAGGCGCTGGCATATATCAAGTGACACCAACTTTCAAGGAAGTCATGACCGCGTCTAGTTACCCAGACTGACCCCTGCAGCCGACCTGGTAGACACGTGGTAAGCACACGTCAGATAAACGTATGCATAACGAGACAACGAACACTCTGTGGGTGCGATCTCCTTGAAAGACGTCGCTGTGCCAGTCACAGTACCCGAATGCATCGAGTACGCGCCGAGATCGATAGTCCCGCCTCCAGCATCCACAACGATAACTCCCTGGTCTGTGGCACCCACCCTATCCGAAGGATCGTCGCCGAACTCCGACTTCTCGATCGGAACCTTGGACCAGGCATCCGAAGCAAGAACATTTATGACGCAATAATGTAAGCTCGCCTCGCCCTCCGTCACGAGCTTGATACGCTCCTGTGCTTCCTTACTGTCATCTGGTACAAGTCCCGCCATAACGGCCGCGCGACGGATTTGCTTTTGCTGCGGACCCTCCCATCCATTTGGGTGCGACAGAACGTACTCGATGTTGTTTCCAAACGAGGCGAAGAAGTGCGTTCCATTCGCTTGAGACTCAACAATATACGTCTTGGCGCAGTGGTATAGATATCCCATAAAGTCGGCTAGAACCTGCAGAGCAGAGACGCCGGGGGGAAGAGGAGGGATGTCGGTGTCGTTGATATGCGCGGCACTCAGGTGCTTGGAGCGGAGGTGCATCTTCCACCTGAAGCATCGGAGAGTGGATTACGTCAACAATCAACGGGCCAATGTAAGAGCGGTCACATACCACTCCAGCTTGGTCCATCCCTCTGCCTCAGCTTGCTCGATGATATGTTCCTGTAGCGCCTCTGCGCCGAAAGCCCGAGCTTGCCGGTTCTTATCGTAGTAGAGGATCGAGGGTATCTTGGAATCGCCGCCAACATGCTCCTGTGCGGGATACCTGCTAAACGTCAACACTGTCTCATAATCTATCGAAGACCACATACCTGGAGACGCTTTGGATACGAGGGACCTCACCAGGGTCTAGAATGCAGTACGATACGCCACTAAAGGTCGTGCCCACATCGAATGCCAGCACAAGTTTGCGAGATAGACCCTGGTAGGGCTCCCTGTCGAGCATGCCGGCCGTACGTGAGGGGAGAGAAGGCGAAGAAACGAGGCTGCTAGCGCCAGGATGCGTGAGACCACTTGTACTGATATGAACAGCTGCGGGAAGCTCGCGTTATTGCGTGCAGATCGAGATGTGAAGGACCCCGAAGGTGCATGTACGTGATATAAACTTTGAGTGATGCTGTCAGCGTACGATCGCAGCTGAGCTTCTTTCGTATGTGTGCGCGGAAGGAACGTGGATTGAAGAATGGGTGGGTATATGCACCTCCGGAGCTGATGATGTTCGCAATCAAGCTTCGGGCTGTGTTGGCGCCAACGCTAGTTATGGATGGATCGTGTTCATCGAGGGCGTCTTCGAGCATGAGGGCGCCATCCGTACGCCTCGTGGTAAGGCCAGAAAGGAAGTGGACTAGTATAGAGCGACAACGGGGGCTGCTAGACGCTCATTCGTGTATCAGCCGACTGCCCCGGGAACAACACGAGGCCAACCGTATCAGCGGGATCGCTCGCAAAAGCATTCCTTTTACCGATGTATCGCGGAAACTTCATATTGCAAGGAGTGTCCAAGGACCAAAGAAGCTTGCAGCGAAGAGGGACAAAGGCGATGTTGAGAGTCGGTGATAAGGAGGCCAGCGGTCTAGGACAGTCCTGCGGCGCTCTTCGGAAGCGTATCCGAGGTCCGAAAATCTAACGTCTGTGCTTCGTAGTTCGCTGGCAAGTAACTCGAAATTATTTGATCGCGTTTCATCAGTATGAGTACTTGCTACGAGAGGGACAGGGATATCTCGTATAAAAAGGAAATGAAAAGACTACGGATCCAAAATGTTGCAAACTTGAACGATCTTACCGCATTTCATCATCGTAAACTACAGTGGCAGGGCTCCTACGCGACTGTTTAACAAGCTAGACCTTTGTCGGGCGCCACGCTAGTATCACTCACTGTTTCTCGACACCCTGCCGTTATATTGACCTCAGCACCGATTTTTCTAGATGGAGTACAAAGTGCTTACGTTTTCCATCCATGCGAGCTGTGCTCGTAACTCTGTGAGACCAAAGTGAAGGATGATGCGATATGCAATTCGGTAATAGGAATGTGAACCGCGGTGCTGAACTTGAAGGTTCCGTGCAGCTTCAGTTGCATCCGCCTTTATCGTGCACAGATGTGTGAACATATCTACGATCCACGTGATGGTCATTAGTTGACGGTGATACGAGGGATTATTGAAACATGCCTTCTTCCTCGTCAGCCCATCGAGGATCAGCCTTGGAGCCGCGGTAAACTGTGATAACTCCCCGTCTCCTCTTGAGCTCCGAGCGTGATGTCCCTTCATCTGTAATCCAACGAGAGAATTCCTGCGTCTCAAAGACGCGCGTTCCCTAGATCATTCGATATATAGCAACACATTCACAACGGATTCACGAACCTTCTTGAGTATGGACCTGAATGCACCGGGGATAGCCTGTGTCCCTGATACGCTGGTGTATATCTTGTGATTCCTAGCACGAAACTCAGGGTCGTTTGCGATGTACTGCGTGTCACAGATAAACCCGTAGGTAAACTTCGCAACCCGCGAGGAAACCAGGCAGTCTAGGTAGAACGACACCGCACCATCTGCCACCGCTTTGTTCCTGAACATAATAAATTAAGATGATGTTTTGTCGCGCGAAAACACAGAACGCACGCATGGTTATCCGGTCGGCTTATATTGATCCCATATGTAACCAGACGATCTTGGAGTTGCGCAAACAAATAGTCACTGGCAGCAAAACCGCCAACTAGGAAAACAAGCTATTATAGAGGCATCAGTGACGTTGTCAAAGATGAAATGAGTCGAGCACTGACCGAGATGGGCTTGGAGGAGGCTTTACGCTGATTTTCGATCGCATCGACGATGCTCTGTATAGAGGGCTCGAAGAGTGTCGCAACTTCCTCCCTAAAACCTCGCAGTTCATCAGCTAGTCCTTTCGAGAGCTGGGGAGAGGGACATACCCTCGCAGTTTGAGTTGACCCCCGCGGATATTATATGCCGGATCTTTGTCCCGACTAGTGCCGAACTTGATATAGCAGGGATCTTCGGCACGCCTAAAGCGGAGCTTGCTCGACTTGTCGAAGACGTCCGCCATCTGGTTGATGTAGTCTTCATCGGAGAAGCGTGAGTCTTTGAGCTTTTCTGTGGGTACGTAGGTTGGGGAAACATCATGAGAGCTACTGCGCAGGCAGCACTCGCCTTTGAGATATCCGTGCGCTCGACGCGTTACAAACACAGAGCCTTGTAGTCGACCTGAGGTAGACGATTAATGCCAACATTAGGGAGCAATGAATGATATCAGTGGTGAGCCAAAACGTACATTCCGCAGGAGCAACCTCGGTGAACGACAACGCGGGACCACTCCTCGCGCCCGACTTCATCGAATACGCACTAAGATCCACCGTCCCTCCTCCAGCATCAACAACGATCACACCCCCGTCTGGCTCCCTAGTCCCGCTCGACCTAGGCTCGGAACCAGAGCTCGCCTCGCGATCATCGTTCGACTTCTCTATCGGGACTCTCGACCACGTGTCCGAAGCGAGGATATTTGACACGCAGTAATGCAGGCTCGCCTCGCCCTCCGTGACGAGGCTAATCCGGTCCTGCGAGCCCCGAGACGCGTCTGGGACGAGACCCGCGAGAACGGCCGCGTGGCGTATCTGGCTCTGCTGCGCTCCTTCCCAGCCGTTTGGGTGCGAGAGCACGAAGTCTATGTCCTCGCCGAACGACGACCAGAGCTGCTCTCCGTTTGCATGCGTTTCTTGGATGTATATACGCGCGCAGTGGAATAGGTAGCGCATGAAGTCGGTGAGGACTTGGATCGCTGAGACGCCGAGTGGGAGTGGGGGGATGTCGTTATCGCTGATGTGGGTCGCGCTGAGATGTTTGGAGCGGAGGTGCATTTTCCACCTTAGATGCAATGCCGATTATGACACGATGGCTGCGAGAGTTCAAATTTATGTACATACCATTCGACTTTGATCCACTGTTCGTCTTCTGCTTGCTCGACGATATGCTCTTGAAGCGCTTCAGCACCCACAGCACGAACATGTTGGCTCCGGTCGTAGTAGAGAATAGACGGAATTTTCGAAGCGCCCCCGACATGTTCTTGAGCCGGATACCTATGCTCGTTTCAGTCTAGTCAGGCGAACACCATAGTATTGAGGCTCGTCAGTTACCTGGTTACACCTTGTATGTGCGGCGCTTCTCCTGGGTCCAAGATGCAGTACGAGATACCGCTGAACGTCGTACCAACATCGAAAGCGAGCACAAGTTTGCGATAGGGGCCCTGATAGGGAGGTCTGTCGAGCATCTTGACGAGGTAAACGGTGCCAGCAGCCAAAGTGTCCAACGAGGCACCGTGAGACTCGCCATACTGCTATGAATGACTGCGGGACTGCACGCTGTTGCCTGGAGGCTGGACCTGGGGCGATGGATCGTGAATCATGAAGGACGTGCATGTCATGAAGAGAAACATGTCGTTTTGACGTATTCACCGATGCAACACCCGGAGTCAAAGCGCTAAGTTCAATGCAACGAGGATCACGAATCCGCAGTCCACGAATACGGTGGAAGTGAATGATTCCGAGCGCGGTGCCGTTGAGGGTACACACGGAAGTGACCGTGGTGTTCGATGCATTACTAGGTCCGAGCCAGATTCTGTGTTGGACAATAGCGGCGCTGTTTTCGAGAAAGAGAGAGAACGCTCGTGATACCGCCCGGCGTGTTCTCGTTCACAGAAGTAGTATGTTCCATTTGTTGCTTGTGATGCCTAGGAGCAGACGCTCAGGCAAAGATAGACTGACAATAAAAGTTCAGCTTTGCTTGGAAAGTGGTAAAGTGAAACGATGAGTAGGCCCCTAAGAACAGCCTCAAAAGCACGACAACAGCACGAGGCCACCTTATTATCATCGAGAGGGGGTTCAAAGACGTGGCCCATGACCAGAAGATAGCATACACGGATGTTCATGCCGCCAGCTGTATCAGGTACAGAGAGAAGACGGGCATCGTGGAGTGGAGTGTCGGTGATAAGCTGGCCGCCATAAGCGCGAGGACTGTCAACTTCGGGACCGTATCCGAACTCCGATAAAGCGCTCCCGACGTCTGGTTTTGGCAGTTCGCTTGACACTTCCCCCGCCAAAATGTTCGCCGACCTTGTTTCCTATTTTTCGACAGCGCAACCGTTGCAAGTCTCCTAGCCAAAACAACAAACATATCCTCGGAGATCTGAAGCCTGTGCTCCGGATTGGTGTGTCCAGGAGAAAGGCAGAATGAAGTCTGAGCACATCATGTTCGGTATCGCATTCCGGAAACGAGGCGCGTGTATGTCCAGCGTACGCGCCGATCACACTCGTGTTGCAAGGTTCCGCGGATGAGCCGGCGTCTAGCGGTGCTCGCCCTATAGAGAAGCACAGGATCGCTGCCGTACAGCCGTCCGACACGGCCCCCACCGGAGCACAAGCCCAGCAGCGCGTCGCCGGCGCGCCAGCACAGTGGCACCCACGCGTCGGCCGCATGCCGTCACCCAGCAGCCCCCTTCCGTCCTTCACCCAGTCCCCCCTTCTTTTCTTCCAACACCTTCTCCGTCACCCCCCAGAATCCCTCAAGAGCAGCTACGCACCTCCCCGCGCGCGGCTCTCTATCTCTCCCCTGCGAACACGAACGCTGGGTGCAGGAGCATGAACCCAACATTCGCCATTACTCCCTGGAAAGCGATCCTAGGCGTCCCAGTACTCTTAGTAGGCATGAACTTGCTCAACAGTGCTCTTCGGAAGGTCGGCATTGGTGGTGCTTCTGAGAGGCGCCTGGAGGATGAACGGAGGCGGAAGAGTGATGAGAGCATCGCCAACCTCGAGGCGGAACTAAAGAAGGCCGATGGGGTGGAGGCGGCACTCCGACGTCGTATCGAGGAACTCGAGAAGGATGCCAAGCGGCTCGCGATCTCAGCAGAGCAAGATAAGCAGGACAGGATGCGCCTGCAGAACGAGCTGAACAAGCAGGAGAGCACCAACGACTCGCTCAAATCCGGAGTGCAGAAGCTCCAATCCTCGAACTCCACCCTCACACATCAGCTCGCCATCAAGAACGCGGAGGCGCAACAACTCGCCAACGAGCTCTTGACACTCAAGAAACGTCACGAGGAGACACAGAGCCTGCTCGAGAGCCGCACACGCGAGCTCAAGGGCTCCCAGGCGTTCCTCACCAAGGCCGACTCGCTCTCGGGTGCCGACGTCATCTCCCTCCTCGGCGCCCTCAATGCCGAGATTCTCCAGACAGCCGCGTTCATCGCGGATTCGTTCGAATTCTCCTTCGACAAGGTGCAGGCGCGTGAAGGTGGCGTCGCGGAGATGCTGGACGCGCGCACGAAGCTGCAGGACGTTATGGGCGCCTCGTTGTTGGACCTGCTCGGGCGGGTAAAGCACCAAGACGACCCGACGCTCATCCAGATTGCGCTCCAGAGCTCGATTGTGGAGTTTTCGCGGTGGATGGTTTCGACTTGGGACTACGACGTGTTGCAGGCGGAGCAACCTCTCATGGAGGTTTACCAGAACATTCGCGAGACAGGTGTGTCCTCTCTCCTTCCCCTCTTCTCGCACTGCCTATTGCTGATGCGGAGGCTTTGTATGTAGAGAACCAAGCAGTCGCCGGCCGCTGGCGCGCCCTCACCCGCGCACACGCGCAAAAAATCGCGTTCCGCGAGGACGCCCAACATTCCACCCTCCTCGTCACCAACCTCTCCGAGGCACTCGTCCTCGTCCTCGTCGCCGCCGGGTGCGCGGGGACATACGATGAGACGTACAAACGCATCGCGTCCGCATTCGGTGCCCGCATCTCTGCGCTCGTCGACATGGCCACGCGCCTGAACCGCGCCATGGGTGAGGAGGTCACCTCAGCCGACCTGTGGCCGGCCTATATCGAATTCGGCACGCCGTTTAACGGGGATGATATGCGCGACATGTATGCGGAGGACGGGGACGATGCAAACGCGCAGGAGTCGGAGGGGCATGTCGTGCTGTGTACGACGGAGCTCGGCTTGATCCGGTCCGAGAAGGCGCAGGTGGAGGGCCGGCCCGAGTTCTCGACGACGCATCTTGTCAAGGCCAAGGTTGCGCTGGAGAGCGTCGTCGATGGGATGGAGGTCGTGGAGTTTGAGGACGACGAGGCTTAGACGTTTGTTTGCCTCTAGACTGCGCGTCGGTTATTCTTTCGTTACATCTTTTCTTCTCTTCTCCGTCTCGCTCTCAACTCTGCTCGACAATTGACGACTCATACAGCTCTTGCATTGCTCTACCCAATGTGCTATCTTTGCTTTCTTGGACAGCTTCAAAACGACTCTCATGACATCCACTTTCCGAGTCTATATATGTATTTCTGCGTTTCGAACTCTTGTCCGCTCCGCTACACTCCATCCTGGCCCATGCTGTGCTAATATGTGTTTGCCACTGTAATATCACGATATCAGTGTTTTAGAATGCATGCTATTATATATTGATACTCCACCATCGACCGTACAGTACTTGTGATCGAATCGCGCTAGTTTGACTCTCAGGTAAATGGGTGGACTTCGGGTCAGAAACTTGACGGTGTAGCGCCCGTGGGAAAGCGGGCCGCGTTCCCGGCGCGTCTGATGTGCGGAGCTATTCGGCCACGCGTCCGCTCCAGCTCACTTCCCTTCGTCTCCTGAACTTGTCCTAGACCGCCACTACGGAGCAGCCTATGCTGTATAACAAGCTACTGCTGGCTGACCGCGAGGCGGTTGAGCGTGCCCTGGCGGCCGCCACGGGCGAGACAGCTGCTCTCAAGGCGGGTGCATGATCTACTGTTCCGTCTATCCACAATTTTGCGCGTTTCTGTGATGAAGATTGTACCGGTCCCCCTCCACTTTCTCTTCCACAAACCAACGAGTCTCAGGATAGCGCGATGATATCAAACTCGTCGTCGTTGATTGCATCCGCAGCCAGGGGCCACGGACGGTCTCCTGAACGCGAGTCAAACATCTGACATATCCCTCATAGCCCCGTCGCGCTCTGAGAAGCTGGAAGAACCACAAGTTCAGGCCTCGACGTCACTATGGAGGGTCTAAAACCACTTCGGTGAGAGAGTTGACTGACTTGCTAAGCGATTGGACAAGGGGGGACAGCGGATACATGCCTTATAACGAGGCAATGAGAGGCTTCGCGGCGCAATGGAGCGCGAACGCCAGGATCGAACGCGGTTTCAGGATGAGCTCAGCCGCACTGTCGACGAGATCAAAGTTCCTCCTGGCTCCTTGACAAACGCAAATGCTAGCGGACCGGTACGTACCCATGCAACATGTTGTTAACTGGGTTGTACGCTGTTCCTTGTATCACCCCCAACGAATACGGAAATTTCGCTCTACTCCTTGTGTGTAAGTTCTAGGCGGCACATAGAGCGCAAATATCTGCGTTGCTTCACACGTCTCTAAACCTAATACTTCTTGAAGGCTTCCCCAATCGCCCTAGTCGCATCGTCCGAAACCTCTCGTGCACAGTCCAGCGCACCATCCATGGCCAAGACTTGGTGGGGTACACCCTTATGCACTTTGATCTCGACCGGAACACCTAGCCTTTGCATCCGCTCGCCGTACGCGATGCCCTCGTCGCGGAGGACGTCGAGTTCCATGATACCAATGTACGCGGGCGCGACCTTCGCGAGTATCTCGTCCGGTGCGAGCATGGGCGACGCGTCCCACTTGCTGCAATCCTCCTTGTTTAGGAAGTAGAAGTTGTAGAACCACATCATCCTCTCAGCAGTCAGCCACGCTGTGTTCTGGCACTCCTTCCACGAGGGATAGGGGCCCTCCACCGTCGCTGTATTGTCGCAGACTGATTGTGGCGCAGGAACGAACGTCAGCTGGGACCTTATTGTGGAACTCGGAATTAGCCTCACCGGGGACCATAAGGAACTGGAAGATGATCGGTATCGGTGGGTTCATCTGCGGTGCCTTGAGCGCAAGGATTGCGGCTAAATTCCCCCCACTGTATATACACCACTCAGCATCCATCTCATCAGGTACGTAGTGGTATAGGCCTCAAACACAAACCTCGAATTTCCCCCTATAGCAATTCTGTTGACATCTGCGCTGAGCTCTGCCTTTCCATTCTCATACACCCACACAAGAGTCGCGACCGAGTCATCGACCGCGGCGGGGTATGGGTGTTCGGGGGCGAGACAATAGTCTACGCTAATCGCGATGCACTTGTGCTCTGTCGTCAGTGAGCATGCTAACCCCACTAACAAGATTAGTTGAATAAACTACCATTGCATTGGCGCGTAACGAGCGAGTTCTGGGTCTCGATGCCTCCCAGCGCCCAGCCACCTAACCACGCAGACGTCCAGCGTTAAGCCTTTTCCCACCAACCTCACAGCGACAACACTGCGCTCACCGCCATGGATATCAATGTACACGGGCCAGCCCTTCTCCGGCGGGCTACCAGAGGGCGTAAAGACCCTTATTGTATGGTTCTCGAGTGGAATGTCCCGCACGCTCCCGACCTTCTGGACCGGAGACCCGCCTGGGGCCGGAATATGGCGAATTGCAGGATCCCACGGGAGTTTATGGGGCGGAACGCGATGTGCGATGTGCTCGTTGTGAAACTTGATGTACTCGGGCCTGAGCCTGTTGATGAAGTCGGGATGGATGGCCTGAGGCAAGTCTGACATAATTATTTGGTCTTGGATAGATGATGAGCGAGTCGAAGATCGGGATAGAGATGGTTGAGTTGGGATTAAACCCTGTACGCGCCTGCTAGTGCATTTATAGATCCTTGCGCGGCGTTGAAGCTCTGTTGCAAGTGGCCTATCTGGGGCATATCACGCATACGTACAATAGAACAAACCCGCTGATGCACAGCACAGGGCAGCGACGTATCATGTCTCCTTTATTCTTGATTTTGATGTGCTGAAGTGTGCTAGTTGCTATCCGTGGTCAGATGCCCTGATATCTGATTTTGATCCAGGCAGGCGGAATGCTGGGGTTATGAGAACAGATGTATTTGGGAACTTTAATATTACTTCAGTTCTTGGATAATGGGAGTAGTGTGGCAAAACTTCGAGCGCTTGAACTTCCCAGAAACCCTAAATCTTGTCGATGTATTCTCAGTAAAATCACATTCCGTTAAATACCGCACTGCGGCATGCCTCGCTACGCTCTACCAATTTCGTGCGCCCGATATCATTATCCCTAGAAACAACCCCGTAGCAGACACCTGCGACCGAGTATGCCAATAATGAGGCATTTTCTGTTATCGTATGCTGACAATCGGACCTGTTTTAATGCAGCGGTATAACTACATTTATATTCACGTCGGTACGGTATAGGAAGGCAAAGATCCGCTGGCCACACACTGTAGGCGATCACGGGGATTACTTACATATTTATTTCACCGATTCCGTTTCTCTCTTCAGCTTCATTTTCAATCGTACATGTAGCCTCTCACAGGGCGTAATCCACTAGACACATGGTCAGAACGACGTTATCATATTGCACATCAAGGCTAGAACACTCACTTAGTCCACTACCCCCTGCCTCGTTACCTCTACTACATACGTCACCTAGACTACCTTACACCGCCAGAGCCGCTACATAATGTGACCATGCATTCGACGCGGGGTATACATACAGAAATATCTCTTTCTCGCATGTACGATGTAGGCTTTATGAATTGATGACGTAAATGGTGCACTTCAGGAGATACGACGCAATTACTAACTTATTAGAGTCACACGCAGTCTCGTCAATACCATCAAAGAACTTTCGATCAGTTCACTCGCCATGTCAAGTGGAATATTACATGTTGTACGATCAAGAGTCTCAGCGTACAACATTGACGGCGCCTCATAACAAATAGTATGTATCAAAAATATTGCTACTGTAGAAAAATGCCTTCGCTCTCCCCCGGAAGAGTTGACATTAGAGTAATTTGTTTATTATAAATGAAATTGTTTACCTGGTTTAATATATCTCGCTTTAGACATATCAGATCCTTCTAATTGGGCGACAGAGACCAAACGAATCATGAACATGTAATTTTCCGAAGCTAAACTGCATCGTGATCATTAAAGGCCATCATTTCGCCACCCAGTGGCGCGGTGCTATATGTATACTCGCCAAGCTCAGGTTGCCGTCGACAGGCACCCCTCAGTCGTGCAACTGTCCTGTCTGAGGTAGCGCTCATCGTGAGTGTCTATTTCGCACCCCAGATCTTCCGATACCCAACGCCTCTGTCTGATCTTACACGTTACTTGCCCCTGTCAACTTCACGTTTAAGCGCATTCATATCATACGTCCCATAAATCTACAGCCCATCTGAGCCACAAGACCTGAACCATCCCTATGCACCAAAAATAAGTAAGGTCGTCGCACCAGCAACTCGGGCGGGCTGTCCTGGACGTCCCACTCGTCGTCGATCCGTGATCTACCTTGCGGAGCCAAGTTACCCCGCTAAAAGTGGAGACAGACGCGGTGTCTTTGTGAACCCTCGGCGTTCTCTGTTCAATGTTGACTCAGTTCCCCGGGGCTGAGAGCTGAGTCCGAATGGATAGCTTAAGTGTGACACCTAGTGCCCGTTCTATAAAGTACAGTACCTTGGGAGTATGTAAGGCAGACGGAATCCATCGAACATTGTTTTCTGTACCCACAGTACGAGCTCAAGTCAGCCTGTGGCGCATCCTCAAACATTGGTCCACGAAATGCGCAGTTAGCCTCCATAACACATCCCTGTAGTGTCTCGCTTGCCTATGAGGTTTGGGGCCGTTTCCAGATCGTGTGAGAAATACATCTCTTTTATTCCTTGTTCGGGGAGAAAAGCGAAGAGAGAAGCGAAGCGCGAGCATTCGAAAAGCGAGCGGACAGTTTTATACAATTTACTCAGAACGGCAGCGTTTCTCATGACATTAGTTGCTATGTAGCCCTCCAGCCATTTATGCCGGATATAAATAATTAATTAGGCCCACGGGTCATCCCTCTAGTTGTAAAACTGAGACCGTACGTAGGTTCTTGTGTCGCTGTGATGATAATTTAGTAATGTAGTCAGTGACATTACACACTGCGCAGCAGTGCCAAGAATCTTACGGTAATTCATCTACGTCGCGAAATTCCGGCACACTCTCGCTATCCATGTACTCAATAAGCCGTGCTCCAATAGACTCCGCGTACGCGCGGAGCATGACGATATCGCGCTGAGGCTTGCGTATCGTCAGACACGTCGGCTGCACCCCGACGCGGGTCCGGCCTTTGGTGAAGCTAAGCATAAGCCGCAAAGACACGAACCAGATGCGCGGTGTTGAGAAGTGCAAGTGGTCGAGATGAGGCAGGGCGATCGCGTCATCTCTCCCGAGGTCCTGAGCGGAGCGCAGGGGAGTGAGGAGTACAACAAGCTTTTCCAGCTGGGGACGGAGGTGGACACGGAAGGGTTATGATCATGGAGGTCAACCTCCGAGAGAGTGACATGAGTTGTGTGCGGGAAAGCGACCAACGTCAAGAATTCGACAACGGAAGCAAACGTGAAACCCTTGAGCTTGAGCATTCTGAGCCGTGAGAGGGAGAGGGTCACAGTGTCCAGCGGTACTCTCGCCATGGACGGGGTGGATGCCTCGGGTGCCATGCACCCATCGAGAGACAAAAATTTGAGGGTGGAGGCACAGCAACTGAGAGTAGCGATAACTTGTTCGCTTCTTATTTGCAGTGTACTACTTGCCCAGGGAGACTTGATTTCCAGTTCTGTGAGTCTAGAGAAGATCGAGGATCCCCAGACCACAGCGCATCCGTCCAAGGAGAGAGATCGCAATGAAAGAGTTTCTCCGTTGAATAATTCGTGCTTGATCGCCAGTATCCCTTGAAGCCCGCCTCGAGGCCTATAGCTGATAGCAAGTCTAATGAGGAATGGTACTGTCCCCATATGCACAGTGTCAGGGAGCTCAATCATCTCATCCGTACAGATGGAAAGTGTGGAAAATCTTGATGTCTGTGCTAGCACATGCACTATGATGTCGCCCCATCCGTGGGCTTTGGTCAAGACATCGATGCTGACGTCGAGTAGAGCGGACTGGGAGCGTTCCAAGAACACGTGGGACTTCTTCGGACTGTACCCCCAGCATGTGCTGAACGTTTCCCAAAGCTGAGGCATGGTAATGGCGACATCGCGCCAGTGTTGCGAGACATGGGACAAAACCAGTATTTGGTCGCCTATGTCCTTCATCTCCGGCGGTCGCATTATGCCTGAGAGAAGCATGGCACGAACAAGAAGCTCGGGTGGAAGAGAATTTATGCTTGCCGCAGTCGTCCTCCGCACATCCTGGTCCAAGCTCAGCAGACCGACCGAGCGCGAACTGTCGTCGAGGCTTCCATTACGTTTCTTAGAAGAGGTTATTTGATTTCAGAAGTTGAGCAGTAAAATAACTCACCTTCTGAAGGCGACAAGTGGAAACACCTGGAAAATGTATCGCAAAACGAGACGGAGACTAGAGCAGCACTTGAATCGATGGTTGTCAAACTCAGAGATCTTGAATATCACCGTCCACGAGCACTTCATGGCTTTATATATGAGACGAGACAGCTATGAGGACAACACGCCGGGGGAGACAAGGCCGTGGGTGAGGACAAATCTGAACAAATATAGGGCGATGGTTGGCAGTGTTGTTAGCGTTCAGAATACTATAGATCAATTCGTCGCAAATTCGTCGCGTCTTTGCATTCCTTGTCTTACCTTGTCTTCACACTCACGTGACACTTCTCGTTCATATTTACGTTTGCGTTCGTCTCGTTCAATACCTCAGTCACTCTCCCCTTCATCTGACTGAGGTATGTATTCACGCACTCTGCATTCGTCGTACCTTTACTGATGTACCCTAGTCATCGTTTTGTCTAGGTACATATTATAATCATCAGTCACTTTCCCCTTCATCTGACTGAGTCATCGTTTCGTCTAGATTATAACAAGTGTGCCATGATGCATGAGACTCCGGGGCGATATGATCTACGCGTCGACGATATCGCGTGATAGTATATCACCGATCGTGGGAATAGCATTCTCGAATACGTGCTCGGGCGTGGAGGTGGGGTACAAGAGACTGACAGCGTCGGGTAAGTTGCCGATGCTGTGCCATGTGGCGATGAAGAGATGACGGATGTGGCACACGCTTAAGCAGACAGTGCCATAAGTACAGTATCTTTTCGCATTTATTGACAGTAATTTCTGGCCCTGTTTTCTCCCTCATCGTGACTTCTCCAAGCTTCTCCATCAAGGTTTCCCGTGACACGTACATCATATTCTTGTCACCGTACGATTCATGGATACAACCAAATGGGTAACCTCATCTCCATCGCCCATGCAGTGTTCAATCCACCGCCCTGGAGACGCCTGCACAGACCTACCCGGATTTCCATCGTCGGCCTCGATCTCACAAGCAAATTAGAAATTCTACGATACATCGCCTCAAAAGACTTCGAACATCCCGATATCGTCATCGAAATTCCGTCCATTGGCTTGATCCTCGAGATCTTGACATGCGGCCCGTTGACCATCACTGCCCTCGACTTGGGGGGCTCAAAGCCAACAAAATGGACCCGTGACGTGGATTGGGTGCGCGCCAATACGGATGGAATGATCGTGCTGGTGGATTGCCGAGATCATGAGCGCTGGCCAGAGTTGGTATGGGAGCTGAAGCAACATGGGTTGGGGTCCGAAGAGCTTCGAGGTTGCCCTTTGCTAGCCGTTGGAGAGGATTCGGGTATTGAGGTTAGTTACCCCCTTTTGCCCATTGTTACGAGCTAAACACTTACGCTGATGAGCTATAGGGTGAAATACCCTTAGAAGATGTCAGGCGGGGAATTCGCGAAGCGGAGAATGAGCATGGCTCGGAGCTCGAAGTTTCTGAAAGGTTATTTGTATGTGTCCCTCAATCGTCCTCGTATGTAACTTGCTAACACCGACAAAGAGCGTGAAGAAAATGAATGCAAAATCAGAAGAAGGTATTTTATAGGCCTTGGAGTGGATGGAAGATGCTCTAAATTCCCAAAGCATACAAGCCGAAGATTGAGTCTCGCGGAAGAATATTCAGCCCTTACATTATAACCCGATACATACATATCTAGTTTATTGTCACATCGAAACTGATAGGTGCTTTATTACACAATATCGTTGGGACCTCGAACATGGCAGCACGATCGCGTAATTCGACCAAGCTGAGATGAGAAAGCGAGTACATCACTAAATGGGCGGTCCGAATATAAGTACATGAGCAGTAGTAGAATCAGTTATAACTGACACCGTACCTTAATGATATTTTGAATCTCCAGCACGAGTGGAGCGTAAAGTCCGTTTTTAACATATGGGAAATCAGACCAAAATCAGACGGTGAAATGGTCAGATCAGGGATGATATTATAATATTGATGGCTATCTTACCGCTGATGGTGCCTGCATGATAATTACATGATAAGAACGGCTGGTGTTTTATGCCGTATGATATAAACTCACACCATATGATGAGGACTCGCAATCTTGCCCATGATTCCAATGACAAGACATTCATTGTGAACATTATATAGTACAGCATGTAGCATTAATCGAGGTTAAAACGATGAACGAGGTAAATACACGAGAGCAGCAAGGATGCACGAGAGCAGGGACACGAGAGCAGCAGCAGTAGACGAGCGCAGGAAGTACAAAGAACGAATTAAAGCGTATAGACCGTGAAGCGACAGTTGGAAGGGAGCAAGAAAATAAAAACATACGTTTGGGCGAACACAGGCCCGAGACAAACAATCTCTGGGAAGGGAGGGGACGTGAGCGAAATGAAGCAGTGATACACTGATATAACGTACCTAGTTGCCAGTCTTCTTCGCCGGTGGTTTTCCCCCTGTACTGATCCTGGCACTCTTTGTCCTGGTTCAAATGGCAGGCTTTGGCACCGGCGCTGGATCTTCTTCAATTGAGGAGAGGTCGGACTCGATAGCGCTCGCTGGTGCCTTGCTACCGGAGGATGTGGGTGTTAGAAGTTATAGTATATTAGGCCCCATACGCAGTAGTACATGCGGATGGATGTAGTACCTATATAATATATTAGACTATAGAGCGAGTGTCAGTGTGTGTCCTGTATCGCATAGTGAGCGAAATGTGCTTACCCCATACGCAGTAGTACATGCGGATGGGGGAAAGCGAGGCCTCGAGAGGTCGCCCATATATACATGTCGGCGACCCCATGCATTCCAACCTTTATCCCTTCACGTTGTCCCGCTTCTCTGCTTCTCTACCTCTCCTGAGCATCCCGAGCTGTCCTCTATCCGCTTCTCTGCTTCTCCCGAGCATCCCAAACCGTCCTCTGTCCGCTTCTCCGCTTCTCCCGAGCATCCCGAGCCATCCACCAGACCAACGCCGGAGCGGTGTACAACCTCACTCCGACAGAGAGCAGCGATACCAGCGATGAATAAGGAGACCCAGCATAGCTTGCTGAAGCAGAGACTCCAGAACGTACAAATCAAGGGCTTTTTTGGGTGAAGACGAGGCTCTCACCAACGCAACCGGGTTCGCATCATTGTAAAGGTCAGCGGGTATTCGAATTTCTACCGTTTTTATTGTTCGTTAGTGTTCGTGTCTACCTAAAGCAGTGGCTGCCATATGTAGTTGAAGTTATCGCTCAATGATAATTTTGTTTCTGATATGGTCTCCGTATTTTATATTCGACTAACAAATGTACGAGCAAGATCATCAATTTTGATCAATGGTAAAGTGTCCGCGACATGGTGTTCGGCCGAAATTAACTGCCACACCGTAACAATATGTTCACTCAATGGGAATGCGTCACCATTCGTGATCATACAAAACTGTCTCGACGACGATATTATAACGGTGATCACTCGGTATAACGGTCAAACTTTTCCCACCCATTTAGTGATGTACACGAGAGAGGCAGATAGTCGGCGTACCAAGAAGTACTAGAATAGAATAAGTATCACTCTGGCGGCTCAGAATGTTCCAAAGCTGGTCAGAAATTCCGAGCCTTCGCTCGGTAAGGCAATGCTTATTTCAAGTCATTGAGAGAATCAGACGCCAGCTATGAATACAGGAGCCATAGATGGGATAGATCCTATCGAAATAATATCACAAGTGCAGCTAGCGATATTGACAAGATATTGACCTCTTTCTCTCGAGATTACTGGCAGAAGTCTGGAAATCCCGTTTTTCCTACAGCCCAAATCTACTTCGCTTCATTGTTGTGATAATAATCATTCTTTTTTGTGTGTATCTCAGCCTCAAACTATTTCCTCAATTAATGTAGTCCGCTTGTTCTGAACTGTGCAGCCTCGAATATAGGATTACCTTTGATAGCTAAGAAATGCAACTACCTTTTTGCTAATGTCCCTTCAAACAAGGTTTACGACCTCTGCTACTCATCAGGTATTTCTCCTCCGTTTTTTGATATGTCATGCACCGAGCTACCCACCGCTTTTGATGCCATCTTTGATATGTAATGCACCGAGCTGTTCCCCGCTTCGTGGGAAGTCTGGCAGGATTTGTCATTACGTCAGCATATTCACGTAGGGGCTCGCGCGTAACACGTTTCTCGTCATCGCGTGTTCACGCTTATCTTCGAACTAACCGCTAGCTCTGCTCTTTGATCAAAGGTTTGCTAAACACCATTCTCATTCGAGATATCAAGACTGATTATTACCAATTGCTTACACCCATTATTACTGAGCAGACCATGGTGTTTTTCCCAAGCGATGTGGCAACGATGTGGACATTCCGTTGTATCACTGCCCTCGCGTCGTCTTTAAAAGCGACTGCTGGGTCGCCTTCGTCTCTTCATCCTGCCTTTCCAAGCAACCTTGTCAGCTAGGCGAGGGCTTACGACGAACATACAATATGATCTCCAAGGAAATTGACGCATCTGAGATCGCCATCCAGTGGATCACCAGTTTCAACAAGGCCGCGGAGGATGGCGACCTCAATGCGTTTGTCAACCATTTCCTCTCAAACGGGTGGCTTCGCGGTATGCATAACCTCCTCTAGCGAATCACACAACATCATGTGACATTGACTCTCTATAGACGTCCTCTGCTTTGCCTGGGACTTCCGCTCCGTCGACGGACATGCCAACCTCACTTCCTTCCTCTCCGAGTCCCTCGGTTCCAGCGCCGGCACGCGCTTCTCTACCGTCGGCATGTGTGACATCGCACTCGACACGGATAGCACATTAGGTAGCCCTTCGACGTTCCCCGTACCCGGCACGGACATCGTCGGGGTCCAGGGAGCGTTTCGCTTTGCGCTGCGAGAGCCCGCAGCGCGAGGGAGGGGTTTCTTCAGGCTGATGCCGTCGCAGGAGGGATACAAGGCGCTCGTGGTGTACACTGCGATGCATGAACTGGTGGGCCACGAGGAGTCGATAGAGAGACCGCGGGGAATTCCGCTGGATGCGACGAAGATGACGACGTGGGAAGAGGGCAGGGAGAAAGAGGTCGAGGCCATTGAGAGTGATCCTACCGTCCTTGTCGGTGAGTGGTTCAACGTCTGTTCTTCTGCACATTTTTGACGCATTGTTGCCTAGTTGGCGGTGGCCAGTGTGGGCTGATGGTCGCAGCGCGGTTCCGTCGCATGGGCATTCGCGCGTTAGTCATCGAGAAGACGCCTCGCGTTGGTGATGTCTGGCGTAACCGGTGAGCATTTTATCGTGTTATTTGGCATGGGCAGCATCGTTGACATTGGACTTCAAGATACCCTACTCTCACTCTCCATCTTGCGGCCCACTTCAGCTCCTGTATGTCCACACTTTCTCACTTGCTCTGAGTATACCTCATTAACCTGCGACTATCCAGTCCTTTACCAATCCTACCCCACGAATTTCCCTAAGTACATCGGCCGCACGAAACTTGCAGACTTCATGGAGTCCTATGCCATCCAGCAGGAACTCACAGTTTGGACGTCCTCGACCCTTTCATCCGTCCCCGCGCCGGTGTTCGACGAGGCGGCAAAACGATGGACCATTGTTGTTAACCATGCGGGCAATGAGGTGACGCTTAACCCAAAGCACCTCATCATTGCGACGGGCATCGGTGCACCGTACGTCCCGCAAATCCCAGGCCAAAACAAATTCAAAGGCGATGTATACCATTCCGACCTGCACCCCGGTGCTGCAAAATACACTGGGAAGAAGGTAGTCGTGATTGGCGCTGTGCGTAAAGTCCTTTTTAAAATAGTTTTCTCGCTACTGTACACTGGTGATGCTCATATTCCGTTCAGGGAAACGCATCTGCGGACATATGCCAGGACTTTGTCTCCAAGGGCGCAGCATATACGACGTTCGTGCAGCGCAGCGCAACATGCGTTGGCTCTCTCAAGTGGAGTGAGACGGTCTTTGGCCCGGCTTACCCGGAGAACCGCGACCTTGAAGACGCGGACCTGATGATGAACTCGATGCCGCCGCGGCTATTGCTGCAGGTCGGGGAGCAAAATCTTGAGGAGTCCAAAAAGGCAGACGCGGCGTTGCACAGGGCACTTGAGGAGAAGGGCATGAAGCTCACATGGGAATACAAGGGTGTCAAGGCGGGCGGGGTTATCTTTCAGTACGAAAAGCTGGCAGGGAGTACGAGTGAGTTTGACACCCATTTCTACTGACATGATGAGACAGGGAATACTAATTTCTGACCTACCACTCTCTAGTGCTCGACACGGGCATCGGCCAGCTCATCATCGACGGGCATGTAAAGGTGAAGCAGGGCACTGAACCCTCTCACTTCGAAGAGAACGCCATCGTGTTCAACGACGGCTCCAAGCTCGAGGCAGATGCTGTCGTCCTTGCGTACGTCCACTCTCATTATACACCCCTAAATATACACCCATCCTGACCTATCCGTCAATGCTATTTAGCACCGGATACTACCCTATCACCACAGGCATCGAATCGCTCCTAGGCTCCGACATTGCGGCCAATGTTGGCCCTATTTGGGGGCTGGACAGCGTCGGCGAGCTCCGCCGCACGTGGCGCCCCTCTGGACAGCAAGGCTTGTGGATCTTCCTGGGCGGGTTCATGCAGGCGCGGTATCACAGTCGCCATGTCGCGCTGCAGATTCTTGCGGAGGAGCTGGGAATTAAGGGCGTTACGGAGGCTGTTCCTGGTGAGTCCTTTTGCAAAGCGTGTGGAGGATTGATGGTGGCTAATACCGGTCGGATTATGGCTTACAGTTGCTTGAATACAGTATAAGTGCGACATAGAAAACCATAGGCTGAAACGTAACCCGAAATTTTGACAAAACGAGGAATTGATGGCGAGATAAGGGTAATGCAGACAAATATACCGGATAACATACTCATGGCTTCATGTATGATGATTGTCACCGCAACGACCCCTGCTGGGTTTATATCAACTGGATTAGGGTCAGTGTCTGCGTTGACGGTGCGCCCCATCCGAGGAAACAACGCCTTTCCATCCTTCACGCCGTGCCAGCCGTCACGCGCACATACCATACATCGTGCGCTGTTCATAACTGAGATAAAGCGCATACTTGGTTGCTTCAATGACAGTTCGATGAAACGGGGTTTGTTGTTGAGTGCATCCTCTCCGCATTGACAGGAAGCCTGAGAGACACTTCATGTCAGTATGACAGAGTATATCATATAAAAATAAAGGAGGATAGAGTGATTCTGACTAACGATTGTTTGGTGCTTACATTTCGAACTCCCACTCTTATAGTGTTTCTTTGCATTATCACAGTAGTCTATGTTGGATCAACAATTGTTACGAAGGCTTTCTGCTTGACAGTACTAACGGGATAGAGTCTGTCGATGTAACATCACTATTGCAGCTAGTGACTGAACTCTTTCTTTTGAGATTGTCGACAGAGGTATCCAATTCTCCACAAGCGGCACAAGTATTTGCTGATAAAGAATGGTGTAAGAGGTGATGCATCAGACTTTTCGAGTTATAGAAACGCCTACCACCAGCGCGGCCTCTGGCAATAGAAGCCAAGATTGCAGTAAGAGCTCCCCATGCTGATCTGAAACCAAATGAATCATCATCTCTAGTAGCGTTAACGGGTAGATGCATACAAAAACATCGATAATGTCGCCGAAGAAACGCTCATGAACATGCTTCCTCCGCCTTTCATCTGCTTGACGGTGCATGCATACTGCATTTGAGCGACTGCAGGAGGCGTTGATACATCCGCCGACGGAGGAGACGTTAGGTTGGTATACGCTGGTGCTTTATCGGATGCAAGGGTTTCATTAGCGTATTCTCTACCAGGGATAATGGCATCATTCAGTGCCGATTTATTCGTAAGGATCTGTGCAGTATTAGTACGTGTTCGTAAGGGCCGCACGAGAACGTACACTATTAGGTGTCCAATGCCCGAGGTCAAGCCGTACAGCCGCATATAATACTTGGGCCATGTTTTGCAACGTTATTGGCTCAGCTTCCACTATGTTTTGATAGTTGACCAGATCTGCTACAAGGCTGAGGTCGAAAAGCGCAATGGCGTTGTACCAGGTGATAGGAATATTTGGCGTCTCATTATCGCAGGTAGGGCAAGATGGCACAAACAAGGCAGTGACCTTGTACAGCTGGCCAGGTGGATCACTATTTCTGGAGACATATCGCTGATGGTAAATCGGCTTGTACGCGTCACCTGAAATGCGTTCAGTTCTGAGTGATCAAGAGTTTGGCTGTTGAACGTACGTCCGAACCCATGCAAAATATCAAGTATAACGTGGGCTAAGCTATGTTCAGGGAACGTCGATGGTGACAAGGTTCCGAACGGTCTCCAGTTCGTGTACGTCCATGACGTACTTGCTTCGAAACCCAGGCTTGAGCAAGTAATAGCTACCTTCAGAAAAGTTAATTGATTGCGACTGACGGGCGTCTATGAGCTTACATTCGCTTCAACCGACCTATCACCAGGTAATACCACGAGCTCTACGGCGGTAACATCACATTCAGCCAGCGAGTTGCTCGAGTATGCAAAGCTCCCTTGAGCACCATATGAGTCCTTCGCCGATACTGATGGCAACATAACATTGTCTATGCTATATGTGAAAGCAGAGATATTAGTCCTGAACGAATCTCCCACTTGGAAGATGTGAGGCTGGCAGCCGTGACTTTGGTCTTTCCATGACAAAGTCCACGACAGATCTTGTGTAGTATTGAAATTGTCGGACATCACCACGACAATGTCATAGCCTATCTTTTAGCATGAGCCTAACCCGGCAAGTTAAGGCCTGAATAGTATATACTCACCTACTAGAGCGATATTTAGGGCAGCTAGACCAAGAAGAGACGTGACGGAAAACACCAGCAAACAGTGGCTAGCATAGCGCCAACGCTGCGAGAACGCTCTGGTAACGGGATATTGCTCCTCAGGTGTGAGACGTTGCAACAAATCACCACACATTGAAATTCACTCACAAAGCTGGCGTATTTATCAACTAAATTCATTCCAAGGGTGTGTCTTCAGCTCGCTTGGAGCTGTTCGCGTCGAAGAGTGTTCGCTAGAAGTTGCCGGAGTGTGTGCACATAAGTAGCCTTACAGTGCACAGCATCTCAAAACATGAAACATATGAAGGGCGCCCGGATTAATCACGACCCTACGGAAAGGAACCGCAACAGAAATAATGTCAACAATGGTAGAGCTTAATTGCAAGATCCTACCTTCGTCGTCGAGCACCGGTTACTTTATTATAACCGCATGTCCAAAATTGCTGCCTCCATCAAAATGTCTACAATCTAGCGGCTGCGGCGGAGCCACATTGATTGGAAAGAATGATGAAGCAACCTTCCACATGGAAACTCACTCCAAACATGGTAGAACTGGCATTTCAGATGAACGAAACGGAGACATAGGCGCACCTACGGAGGCACGTTCCGTCAAATACCTGTGCACATGGTAACTTATACATGCCTCCCGGTTAGCGATTGCTGATGACATATCAGAAAAATCCCCGCCGATGCGGTAGCTATCCAACGAAGCCAAAGCGAGTAAATGCAGGTTCCGACTACAAAACGACGCGTGGAAGGAGCAAGCGTAATAGCAATGTGGTAAAAAGAATGACACAGCCAACGCCCGACGCATCACCACTCACATGAGCAAGCTCGTAGACCGCCGATGATTTCTCCAGTCAGGCGGGCTAGCATCGCAACCTTTCCACTCCTCGTCCTCATCATCATGTCCTGCGACCTCCTTATCCAGCTGACCACCAGATCGCGTGGCACTAAGTAAGTCAGTAAGTGCGATAAAGTTTGAACGAGGCGGCTCAAGGTCGAACGGCGTCCACGTTGATCGTGCGGAATCTTCGCCTAAATAAAGCCCATGCGGCCCAGGAGAAGCAGTGGTCCACTTGATTTCACCCTCCACGCGTCGATGGGGAGGGACGTACTTTGCGTACCTACGAGGTCCAGAGACGATCGGGAGGAGAGATGGATTGCGTGGAGAGGGAGATGGGCTGCACATTGCGATACAGCATAAGTGACGTATCAGATATCAGACGTCTAAAAAGCACAAAAGAACCAAGCGTACCTGTTAGCTGAGCTATCGAGGGATTGCGAGCGTATATGTTGGTTGGTCAAGGCAAAACCAACACGCTTCTCAGGCCGGTATCGGCCCGGTCGACCGGGCTTCTTCGCCGAGCCGGGATTGCTGATCGTACCGTCCGAGCGAGGCGATAGCCGCGGCGCGAAGTCTGGGTCGTTCACAGCGTCCATCCAGAAGTCATCGTTGGGGTTGACCGTGGGGGAGGGAGAGGTTGGCAGCGGTCGTGCTCCCACCTCGCCTCGTGCGCTGTCTGCGGATGCGTTACGACTAGGACAGGTTGAGACTTCACTGCGGGTATAACCAGAATCAGGCGACCCGTCGCCGCTCCTGGGAGAACTTTCTGGTACCAGCTCAGACTCGGAGCTACGGCTGCCAACGTTTGGAGAGAAGAGATGCATGCGTGTATGGAGCTCTTCAGTGGAAACAGCCAGTTCGAATGGCCAAGGTTGACGCGGACTAGTGCCTGGAGTCGGAAGTGCATTCGAGAGGGCAGAAGTACCAAGGGGTGATCCTTCCCACTGACATCTATCCTGTCGACCAGAGCTACTGCCCGAGGTTTCAGTGAGTCTCGCGATGGCGTCCTTCGAGCCACTTTGAGTTATGTCGCCACCTAAACCTGATGTTGAGGGAACAGAAAGCAGGCTCTGAGTAAGGTGCGACAGATGAGTATCCGAAGAATCCGGAACGTCCAGGGTAGGATGCGTAGACGACACATAATTTTGCCACCAGCGCGACATAGAGAACGCATGCATTGCACCCGCGGCACTGAACAAGAGCGTCCAGACTGCGGAGAGCGCGAAGACAAGGGCCAGAGCCATGGAGACCTGGGGGTCAAGACGCGTATCGAAGGGAAGAGAGCCCAGTGGATCAGCGCCCCCACTGAAGGAGTGCAGGCGTTCGGTAAAGAGCGTGTAGAGAGCTTTCCGTGGGTTGACACGCAGGCTGCGGTTGAAATAGACGCTTTCAAAGTAGCAGCGAGGACTGTCTGGATCAGAAGGATCGCATGGCAAGCACTCCACGTGTGGACTGAACAGGGGGTCAAGCGCCTCGTATCCCGAGAAAAGCGGTAAGCCGTGGTCGGAAAGCACCAAAGGTGGCGGAGAGACATCCACAGTAGGTTTCACAGCGTTAAATAGCAAGGAGGATCCGAGAAGGAAGATGTCCGTGTGATAAACGAGGTCGACGAACCATGGGCGAGCGGCAAGCAAGAGCGAAAGGAGAGCGCTGATAACCCGTGCGTACATCCTCCAAACTTGCACCAGTCCAAAGATTTGAGGAAGGGTCTAGTTACTTACCAGTGAGAGTGAATGGATGATGAGGCGAGCTGATGATGAAAACCTGCAACCGGCCTGCCAGTCGAGAGAGGAGATGGAGAGAGACGAAGAGACCAGCAGCCGGCAATTGCGGTTGAAGTTCTGGTCTCGTATGCAATCACGTGTCAATGTTCACGCCCGCCGCACCAGCTTTTCGTATCCACTATATTATAACGTAGGGCCACGCGCGCGCAGCAAAAGCCCGCTACCTAGACATTGATGCAATAGTTCGAGCGTACCCTGTAAAATTGCGAGTGTATAATATACAGCCATTATAGACAGGTATAGAGTAGGGTATGTAATACTACGTCGCACCCGAGCCCCGTATCACGGAGCATTCTTCTTTGCAGGGGAAGGAGAAGGGGAGTCAGCCTTTTGTTTGCCCTTAAGTCTTAGATGATGATCCGATACTCATCAACACATTGGTAAGAGCAGGGCTGGGAGTTCTTTTAGTGGGCGTTAAGGGAAACCTAACGAGTGAAAGTACCTCACGGATCTCCATTGGCCCACCGCATTGATATTCGGACAGCACCTTGATTTCCAGGAGAGGCAAGGACTCTATCAGTCGAGATATCAACATTGAAAATACTGGAAGGGCCAAAGAACAATTGTTGGATCTCTGCCTTATATCACCTATACTGATAGCAATGAGAGTGGGACCAACAAGATCCATAGAACCAGTACAGCATTGGTTAATATCCACATTGTCACGGGAACTTGACAACAAATTAGGTGCTTGCATTGAGTGAGAATTGTCCGCATGGACATGGGAATAGACATGGGCATGGATAACACATCCGCATGGATAGGCATATATACACAGGGGGAGTAGCCTAATAAGTTCTCAAAATTTATTGTGGAATTATTGTGGATGCAGTTTAATGAAATTTTGCAAGGACAGCGAGACTTGTTTTGGAACTTACCAGGGACGCATTTTGAATAAAGTTTGGCGATTTACACGTGACACGGCCAATTTGGTCATAAAAGATAATTTGATCAGAATATCTCCCCGCTAAGTACCAAATAAGTTTCGCTTTTCCTGCAAAACAAAGTTAAAATACGTCTTCAATATTTCTACCATAAGTCCCGAGAACTTATCGGGCTATTCCCGCTGTGTATAGTCTATGAACATCGCAAACAACTGAGGAAAAGGAAGACATTGGTTGATGATATGGAAATTAGAACGCCAGCACGGTGAGGGGGCGAAGCGGGGGAAGAGTAGCGACCGCGCTGATTCAGTATCGGGATCCCAAATATGCCTAAAGAAGGAAAATGCGCGCGCGGAAAGCGAAGCGGGGGTCAAAATATCACGTGATCTCGTTTGAGCTGATTTTTGGCAGGGATCCCTAGTACACGAGTTGCGCTGAGACCCACTACCTAAGGTAGCGGGAATAGGCCTTCGACTCCTCGCAGAGCTGCAAACTTCTATGTACTAAGTAGTAAGATATTATATACTGTTGTTACTATGGTAGTATGGTATGATTGTTAAAACCCGTACGTAGTTTGCCTCAATCGCGCGGGTTACCACCTGATCCACTCGCCGTACATATTTGGGCGCTCGCCTCGAACGAATGACTCGAAAGTACGCTTGAGCACAGTAGCCCAGTCCAGGTCCGTCTTGTCGTCTGACAGCAGGTCGTCCCATTCATCCGGGTCGAGGTCCGGGTTCGCGGCACCACGAGCCACGATCTCTCCAGCCATGAAGCGAGGGCCCAGGTCAGGCCAGTTCCGCGTGGTATCGAATGGTTTCCACCTATGGATGAGTGATGAGTGGTTCATTGGAGGTAGATGAAGACTGGTGTACGTACCAGAAGTTGTGGAAGTGATACGAGTATGCGCCCCTGAAGAAACCCTCAAATCCAAGCGTCAGTGGGGCACCGCTCGCGTTGGTGGGGGTATCGAAGAACTGAGCAAAACTGTAGACGCTCGGTAAGTCACGGTCAAGCGGAAGACTGAGAGGTAGGCTCACCTCCTGAATAAAGGCTGAGGAGGGCGATCTAGCTGCAACTTATCCGTGTTCAGCCAAGCAGAGTCAAAGAGCGCGTCCGGCGCGCGGAGCAGCAGGCCATCAAGATGCGCGTCCTTGAGATAGCGCCAAATCTTCTTCGGGTGGAAGTCCATGCCATTGCATAGCGCAGTACGAAGAACAAACGAGCCGATTGCAGCCTGTTTGTTCATCTTGAGCACGGCGGTATTGTACGCCCTCATGATAACCCAGCGTCTAATGTCTTGGACATGGCCAGACTCCCCGCTAAACCTCTTCCGTCCGTCGCTGATCAGAACAAAGATCCAGGAAACTTCTGATAGAGGCGCAATTACGCACTGAGCAGTTGCTGTGTTGTCAGCGTTTAAAGCTTTGGCACGAGATGAAGGGACCAGGCCGCGCCTCAAAATCTAACGTAAGATCGAGATTTCATCATGGAAGTGGCCTGTTGTTCTATCAGCGTCGCTTTTGGACGTCTTCCTTCTATCAACTTGAAGTCTAAAGCTGTGCGTACAAAGGACGCTGTGGTCTAGCCTAGGCACGTGAGTAAGTATTTCGGATGAATATGAGTGCGTACTCTGAGGCTTCGGCGTTGCAACGTAGCATAGCAGAGGGGCGCAGAGTGTGAGTCGGCGGGCTAAGAGAAAACAAGTCAGTGGAGGATCCGGAGTGGTCGAGCATAGCCGAGAGCTTCCTCCCTGAAACCCCAAGTTACCTTAAAAGGCAACGGGAATAAGCGCCCGCGGTGGAGTCTGAAATCTTAAACCTTAAAGATCCCGAGCCTAATGAGCTCCAACAAAGACGTGCGCGGAGACTTGCCTCGCCACAGAAACCAAACTACACATCCATTCCGAGTCAAACACGAATTATACAACAAGACATATGGCATACACATGTACATAAGCCACTGAATTAAGCATAAGATAACACCTAGACATATTGTAGAATATAGCGAATAGCGATCAACGCGCACAAAAATCAAGACATAGCGTTACATTATGCACAGCTTGACGTCCGCAACCTCCCCTCACCCTTCGCTCCCTTATACCCTCTTCTCCTAAATACGGGTTCTTCTATATCACGTAAACATTCTCCTCGTGGATATGGTACTCCTCCAGTTTCCTGAAGTACTCGATGCGAGCCTGGGTCTCACGCGCATGCTTCTGCGGGAGTAAGAGTCAGGATATGCATTCAGGGTAGGCACCATGGTATGCAAGAGCGCGACGTACATCTCTATCCTCATCGCCGCTGTCATCACTGTTGACAACCGTAGCGACTTTGCCCTTCCCCTTCGTTCCGGCACGTGACGCTGGCTTGGCCGTACTTCGCGACTGAGGCTTTCGCGTGGCCTTTAACGTAGCCTTCGACGCAGCCGCGCTCGTAGCTCTCGTCTTCCGCTTGCCTGTAGGAAGAACGTCCCATGTCGCGTCGTAATCTTCCTGCTCCTGCAGCCGCGTGCTCCGCCGTGTGCTGCGCTGTGGACGCTGCGGAAGGAGCGCCTCGAGCTTCTTGACGTGCTGCCGTGGGCTGAGTGAATCTTCGTTGCTTGTGCGCGGCTTCTTTCGCGAGCCCCGCGTTACGCGCTTTGCAATCTGCATCGGTGTCATGTCGTCTCCGCCTTCGCTTCCATGAACTGGTGCATCCGTCTTGTCCGCCAGCGGAGCGCGAGAGAGTTTGACAGGAGAAGGGCTAGATGGAACGTCGCTAGATGATGGTGTGCCGGTATTGATGACCTTGCCGTGCTTGCGCTTGTGAGGCGTCCGCAAGGGATCGCGGGTGCCCTTACTAGGGAGGTCCGCTGCAGTTGCGCGAGATGGGTCGAGGGCAGAGGGGACGAAGATCGGGGGAGGAATGGGAGAGTCGTCGATCTCGTCGTCTTCGTCGTTGTGCTGGGGAATGTCCATGTATAAGTCATCAAAATCCTCGTCGTTGGTGGGCACGACTGGACTGGGCTCGCGGACCACAGAGTGCCGGAGGCGAGAGCGAGGGGTTGGAGTAGGAGTGGGGATCTGCTTGGGTTTGGGCCGGGAGTAGGGTTTCATCGATGGTGCGGCTGCCCTCTTGGCTTGGAAGACGCGTTCAGCAGCGAGGATTCCGAACGGGTCAGAACTGGGAACGATGCTCCATTCGTGAGCGAACGTCGAGCGGTGGTTCGAGTGGTGGGGGGCAATGTTGTTGTTGGGAGGTGCCTCTGGTGTCGTCGGAAGTGGAGATGAAGGTGGCAATGAGGACGCTTGTTGCCACTTGGGCGGATCGTTAGGGTACGCGAGGCTCTTTGGCTTGTGCGGGCGACCTGGAAGCTTGGCAGTTCCCGGTAAATGGGGCACGGGTTGGGTAGCACGTTTAGTGGAGCGGCGAAGGGAAGGAGAGGGAGGATAGAGGAACTCGTCGGTGATGTCCTGCAGTGCGGGGCTCACGCGAGCACTCTGGGGTGTGCGTGCTAATTTGCCTGCCAGAGAACGCCTTTGAGCAATCGCTTTCAGGGCCAATCCGTTGTCGACAAAGGCGTTTTCGTCGTTCTCGACGCTGTCTGCATCGTCTGTGCTCCGAACACTCTCGGCTTCTGCCGGGATAGATGCTGGCTTGGTCGGAGTGAGATCTGGTTGTGCCGAGGCAGACTGCTGTCTCTTCTGCCTGCGAGTGAGTGGCATGGTGGTGGTAGAGAAGTAAGGGGCGTGGGAATGAAATGACGACAGAAAGGTTCCCGATATGGGCGCGACTGGTCACGTGCTGCGAGTTCAACTTGTCGATCGCGTTGACTTATCAGGCACAAGCGCCGATCGGAACCGGCACGGAAGACAGCCGGCGACGATCCGTCATCCCGAGACAGTCGACTCAGATTTTGTCAGGCAACGGCGACTCCGGCAAGACGTGGCCTCATCCAAACGCACAAACCTCAACTCATCCGTTTTCTGGATCTAGTACGATTCGGAACATGACACCATATCTCTAATTCAGCCTATTAATTGCCTGCTCGCACACCCACAGCTTACCCTACCATTGCACACGGGCTTTCTCGACGCCTTGATAATCATCTCGCACGCGACCACCCAACACTTGACTTCCAATGCTCTTTCTTCGGATATCTCCCCAAACAGCACACCTCCGAGGGTGCACACGGCGCTGGATGAGCGTGCGTCCACTCGTGAAGGAGACAACACCAACCGGGACAGGATCCTTGCCCACAGGTGTGTTCGCCTCTCCACCCTACTATCCTCCCATTCCTCAACGACAAGCCGCACTGCTCAAAGCCCGCAAAAAGGTCACCATCCAGTCGCTGCACAAGCAGCGCGCCTCCGGGATCCCCATCACCGTCATGACCGCGTACGACTTCCCCACCGCCCGTGCATGCGACACGCACGGCGTCGACATCACCCTCGTTGGCGACTCCCTCGCCCAGGTCTGCCTCGGCTACGACAGCACCACGCGCCTCACCCTCCCTGAGATGATCCACCACTGCCGCGCCGTCGCGCGTGGCACCGCCGCCCCGTTCCTCGTCGCCGATATGCCCTTTGGCAGCTACTTCGAGGGCCCCAAGGAGACGATGGCAGCCGCAGTGCGCATGCTCCAGGAGGGACACGTCGAGGGCGTCAAGATCGAGGGCGGGATCGAGATCGTGGACTCGGTGCGGGCGCTTACGCGGATCGGCATACCGGTGATGGCGCACGTGGGGCTCATGCCCCAGCGGCACACCGCGCTGTCGGGGTACCGCGTGCAGGGGCGGACGGCGCAGGGGGCGAGGGAGATTCTGCAGGCAGCGCTTGCGCTCGAGGATGCGGGTGCGTTCTCGATGGTGCTCGAGGCGATCCCTCACGAGCTCGGCGCGTACATCACGTCGCGGTTGAAGATTCCAACGATCGGCATAGGAGCGGGGCCGGGGACGAGCGGGCAGGTATTGGTGTATGATGATGTGATGGCAACCTGGCTTGGGCACAAGGCCAAGTTCGTGCGGAGGTTCGCGGACGTCAAGGGCGAGGTGAAGAAGGGCATCACGAGCTACGTGGATGCGGTGAAGGACGGGTCATTTCCGAGCGTGGCAGAGGAGAGCTATCACATGGATCCTGAGCAGTTCAACCAGTTTCTTGAGATGATGGATGACCAGAGTTGGGTACTTCGATCGAGTAAAGCAGAGTAGAATCCCCTTTTATGGTGCCCCAGCACCAAATTTGTAACTTTATCAGTATATATTCACCATACCACACATGATTGTTTCCCAATAAACACGAATTTATGACTAGACAGCGATAGCGAACGAGCGGAAAGTGATAGCGTCCCTTGCAGTCGGGAAGCCTGTCTACAACGAGCAACATGTGGGGGGAAAGCGAGCCACCTATTATACCAAAGCCGTATTATATACCCTGTACGTAATGCGCAACGCATTGGCGCCCGAGAACCACAATGGCGGTCCAAACCTCCCAAATATCTCCACAAAGCTCGTAAACCCAAAAGCATAAGCTTCAACCTCAACAAATACATCCGCAGCGGCGGCCACAGGATCCAAGATATCAAAACTTCAGCCGGTATCATCGTCCGCCCTTAATCAGTCCTGCGCCTGTCAGTTCGTCCTTCGACAGGTCGAACTCGAGGTCCATCGGGTCAGAGTCGGCAACGCCCGTTGCTGACGCCTGGGATGTTGACGTAGCGTTATCGTCGCCACACCCGCAGTCGTACGTTGCGTCCAGGTTTGCGCAGTCGAAGGCGGGCTTCTTCAGACGGGCGTTCACTTCGTTGTGTACTGAGCATAACCTGTGAGCATGGTCAGTGTCCGTCTGGTACAATGTGCAGGGGCCTAGAGTAAAGGTTAGCCGTACCATAGACTTGCAGCTCGTCGTGATGAGGTCTGTTGGGAGGTGGTTTATTGGAAACGGTATCGTTATTCGAGTGACTGAAACGCACCTGGGGAGGGAATTTCTTCAAAAGTTGCTGGAACTCGGCTGCGCACTCTCCACAGGGGTATAGTCGGGATGTGAGGTAGAAGTACGACTCCAGCGCATCTCGATGATCTTGTGTTGGATTCTGTCGAAGATGCTATCAATATGGTGCCAGGCATTAAGACATGCTGAACGCACCTCAGGATATCGGAGGGTCATGGTATGCCTAGCCATAGTTTAGCACTCCGTATACCGCCTGTATGTAGAATGGCCAGCTTACATCAACTTCCAAGTCGCGCGACCGAGCTCAGCCCTTTGTGTTTGATGCACGTAAGTCTCGAAAGCCATGCATAAAACAGTCAAAGAACACACTTGGCCGTCTCATTCCCCAATTTCGACATGATAACCCCTCCCTCTGTTGGCGGCGGTTTCCGCCCAGGCTGTGTGTCGTACGGTGGCCTCCAGCGGTCGGAACCGTAGTCCCTCTCCACACCACCTTCCCCAAAGAAATCGCCCGTGATAGGGCTCATATATGCGCGCGAGGGAGGGTGAAAGAGGGCGAGGGTGGATACGAGAACCTGTAGAGCCAACGACGTCCCAAGGAGTCAGCTTGAAAGGGGCAGGTAGGGAACTGGGAAAAACGCACCAGGCAGACGATTATGGCCATGAAGGCCTTTGAGTGGCGTGATATCATCTAGTGATATTGTGAGGTTGAAAAATAGCGTAAGGAGTGTGGTGAGGATTAGGGGGATGAGGTTGGTGCTGGCGACGGTGGACACAAGATCAAGCACCTTTTGGCGCTAGGCAGCAATGCCGGGCAGCTCGGCATTCACCTCGGCGCGGGACCGCCGACACGTGGGCGGCTGACAGCGCGGTCGTCCAACTTTTCTATCACAGTTCCCCGCTACCTCGAGAATCGACGCCGACCCACTTGGCTCCGTCAACGTCGCTCAGGTGTGCGCCAGATGGAGACACATCGCGTTCAGTACGCCAGCGCTGTGGACCCACGTCAAGATCAACGCCGTGATCGACCACATAGATCTTGTAGCTTCACTCCCTCTCCCCATCCGGCCTGTCCAGTGGGCAGCACCCTTCTCCACATTTATCACCCTCAATCTCAGCAGCTCCAGAAAACTGAGTCATCATCCGAACGTCCGGTTTCTGCCGGAGAACGAGCTATGCGGTGGTGTGAAAGGCATAGATATCAACGGCTCCTGGCTGCTTGAACTTCCTGTTCTATACCAGTGGTTGTCCCAGTTCTCCAACCTCACCCATCTTACGCTCGCTGGTGTTGGCTTGAGCATAGAATGGCCATTACCCATACCTTCACCCTGTCTCGATCGCTTGACGCACCTCCACGTGTGCGGCGCCAAACATCCAATGGCGGTGACAGACTTCATCGTCGAGCGCAAGTGGGAGAACCTGCGCTCCTTAGTTGTCGACCAGCCCCCTCTCTTCCTCGACGAGTACCTCCTTCCGAAATTATCTACGAATATTCCCAATCTCACCGAGCTTTTCCTCGTCGTAAAGCGACTTAGATCAACATGGCCGCGCAGACAGGCCACGATGCAGCATCTGCAAACATTGGCCGTCCACGGCTGTGTATACGAACAAGAAGACGAGACGCAGCTTGGCCCCCTCTTCGACGCCTTCACCTTCCCGGCGCTCACCCATCTGGTCGTTACCGGTCCGGGCGGAGGAAACATCGATTTCTTGCGCCGCTTCCTCGTTCGCTCGGGGTGTGCCCTATCGAGTCTCACGTTCCTTCCAGACTTGGCGTCCGACTCCGTGTTATCTGAAGCTGGGTTGGAGGATGTTAAGCTGCAGGATACTCCAATCCAGCAAGCTGCTCTCAGTTTAGGGAAAGAGCTAAGCATACCGGAGGTAGGCTTCGCCGATAGCCTGGAGGAGACAAAGGTGTATCGTGAGGCTAAGCAAAGGTGGTACAACTTGGATTCGTCTTACATAAATGAAGGCGATGGCAGAGTTCCTGTAAAACTTTCAGTTGACTGCAATCTTCCGTCGAGCTAGCTGTGTGCATGTATATGCCGGATACTAGTGCTTATCATTCATATCATAAACTTGATTCTAACTGCCATGTGAGCGGGTGGCAATCGGAGTTGTAGTAATCGGATCATGCCGAAGCCGATACTTCTATGCAGCTTAGCATCTCTTGCTCCTTCCAACTCCTTCCATCCATCTATTACCAATCTATTACTGCCGGGGTCATTATGCCGGTATGTCGTAACGCTTGCCTTCGAGCCCTCATGCATCTTCAGGGGCACTGACTGTGTAGATACCAGCTGATGAACCAGCTTGCGATCATCACCATATGCACATATCAAGCTAGGATCGCATCTCTGCATCGCATCTCGCCATAAACCGCGCATAAGCCAGCTTTCCTTCGAGCTCTCAGCCAAGATGATCGTTTTCAGCGCACAGACGGCCACACGGCGGACACAAGGTCAAGCGCCTTTTGTCGCTGGGCATTGCCGAGCAGTTTGGCATTCACACCTCGGCGCGGGTTCACCGACATGGGCAGCTGACAGAGCGTGATCACACGCTAACGCCACAAGAATCATTGTCGCGACCGCCATCGCGCCGCGCTTTTAATATCCATCGTTACAGTCCTCCCTCTAACTTCAGTCGAACAAACAGCCCTCGATCCACACGTTTATAGCACGTCAGAAGTCGAAGTGAGCATCCTGCAGCTATCCGGTACACTAATAGCTACTAAATCTGCTCTACAGCCCCAGATATATACGGAGACATAGGACTAAACGATGGCAAGCATATCCCAGGCTGCTAAAGACGCCAATGAAGCAGTCGACCAGCTGGCTATGGCATTGCGACCCCAAGATACGCCTGCTGTGCATCGCATCCCCGTCGAGCTCTTAGCAGAGATTTTCTCGCGAAGTCTCGAGCGCGACGTCAAGCCCACGCGCGGCCGCCCTATGTGCGACGTTCTGCCATACTTCCTCAGCCCCTCACGCGTGGAAGTCGACCCGCTCGGCTCGCCCAACATCGCTCAGGTTTGCGCCAGGTGGCGAGAAGTCGCGCTCAACGTACCAAAACTGTGGACCCATGTCAAGATCGACGCCGTCAGTGACCAAGATGTGCTGACGACCTCCCTCCCTCTCCCCGTCGTGCCGATGCAGAGAGCAGCGCCATTTCCCACGTTTATTACTCTTGATCTCAGCAACTACACGAAACTGAAACGGGACCCGAACGCTACTGATTTCCTGCCGGAAAACGCACTGTGCAGCGGCGTGACGGGCATCGATGTCGAAGGGTCGTCCGCTTTTGACAACTCTACGCTTTGCCAGTGGATGTCCCAATTCCCCAATCTCACCCATCTGACTCTGATCAGACTCACATTGTGGTCACACCAGAGCCCCGTTGCATGTCTCGACCGCTTGACGCACCTCCATGTGCACCACCCTGAGGCTTCGAATGAAATAGAAAACTTCATCGTCTATGCAAACGGGTGGCAGAACCTGCGGTGCCTGGTCCTCGACCATCCCCTCTTATGGCTCGAAGAGGAACTCCTCCCGGTCCTATCCACCACCGCCCCAAATCTCTCCGAGATCTTCATAGTGGCGAAACACCTTACATCGACCGCACGGCGCAGGCAAGCCACGATGACGCATCTCCGAACGTTTGCTATCTCTGGCTACGTATACGAGGAAGCAGGCGAGACGGAACTCGGCCCCCTCTTCAACTCGCTCACTTTCCCGGTGCTCACTGATCTCGTTGTCACCGGTCCGCGTGCGGGAAACATCAGTTTCTTGCGTCGCTTTGTCAGTCGCTCGGGATGCGCCCTATCGAGCCTGACGTTCCTCCCAGACGTGGGACCGGACCCGTCGGAGTCGGAGTCAGAGGAGTCGGAGTCGGAGGTCGTTGAGCCACAGGAGACCCCGATCCACCGAGCGGCTCTTAGCTTAGGGAAGGAGCTACGTATACCGGCTATAGGCTTCGCGGAGAGCATGGAGGAGACCAAGGTGTATCGTGATGTTAAGCAAAGGTGGTACAGTTTGGATTTGTCTTAAGTGAAGGCAGTGGCAGAATTTCCGTAAGGCCATCATTTAGCTGTAATGTAGATGTTGTACAACTTCAGTGTACCTTGTACTATTCAATAAACTTTGAATCCGAATGTCAACGGGCGGCTATCGGAGTTGTGCCGGTCAGGTCATGCTGTGAAGCCAGTTCTTTTCTTCCTACGGTCCAAATAAGCATCTCCGTTTCCCGCGTGCGCCTTCCATCGATCTACACGGCTGGGGCTGTTATACACTGCAGCTTGTCATAACCCTTGTCCCCGATTTGTCCTTGAACTATTTGCATCTTTGGGTGCACCGAGCGCGTATTTCCCAGCTCATAAGCCCTTTTGCTCTACAGATTTCGTCATGTCAGGCCAGGCTGTCATCTCTTCATCGCAGCCCGTTCCTGCCATACATCACCTTCCCTTCGAACTGCTAGTCAAGATCTTCGTTCTCAGTGCACGAGCAACCATTCAACCTGTGAACGGGATTTCCATACACAGGTATCCTAGCTCGAGGGGAGTCGTAGCGCACCCATCTGGCGCTCTGAACGTTGCCCAAGTCTGCCGCGGATGGAGGGGTGTTGCGCTAGGCACATCCGAGTTGTGGAACTTGATCAGAGCTCCCTCTGCGGGAGATGCATCGACGTCTTCAGACCCGTTTCCTCTCCCGGTACAGGTGTTGAGTAGATCTCGGCTTTCTTCGGTGTTCTTGATCCTCAATCCTCGGCGACACTTCGACTCCTGGTCAATTGCCAAAGAGGCAAACCTTAGCCATATCCAAAGTTCACTGGTGCTTGAGAACGTAAAGGGAATGGATCTACACGGAATGGGCTACACAATCCCCTACCAAGTGATCTTCAATCTGGCGGCCGAGTTCCCAAATCTAACGCACCTGTCGCTTGTTGGCATGTTCTTTGATCATCATGTGCATGTGCCCACCCCCTTACTCAATCGTCTCACGCATATGCATGCTTGTACCTACTCTTACCAAGTGATGGGCATCTTTGACGGGCGTGCATGGCCAAGCCTTATCTCGCTCACTCTGGAGATCCCGGAGTATTTTCTCGAGGGCAAAGCTCTGAGGGCTATCTTCCTTGCCTCTCCCAACCTTGCCGAGCTCTTCATAGTAGCGAACGCAATACCTTCACCAGTGGGGTGGATCAATATGTCGTCCGCCAACCTGCGGACCTTCTCGCTTTGGATGCGGGGGGAACATCTCGAACAAGAACACCTGGACTCTATATTCGATGCTCTCACGCTCCCTTCCCTATCCAACCTCATGATCGCGCGTCCGCCAAAGGGTAACTTTGCGGTTTTAAGACGCTTTATCCAACGATCGAAGTGCCATTTATCAAGTCTTACGTTGACCAACGTTACAAAGGCAGAACGGAAAAGTGAAATTGGTATTCGCCGAGCCGCGGAGATGATAGGACAAAAGCTCGCTATAACTTCCGTCGAATTCGCGTTGACTATCAAAAAGACCCGTATATATCGCAATTCGAAAGAAAGATGGTATGCTATCAGCTCATCCTGACTATAGGACTGTAATAATTTCTAAAAGTGAGTCTAAACCCTTCTGCGAGGTTGGTGCTTGACTTATCTATCCTTTCCATTTTCATGACTAGCTTTTCAACCGATTTGTATATTGTACTTATGATGTTAGGTAGCGTTAACATCGTGTGCATATCAGTAGGACCAACGAAAAAAAGCTTGGAGAAAGCGGAGAAACGTTCCCTATCAAAGTCTCGCGATGATTAACCACATCCAATTTACGTACCACTGGTCCAAACCGACCAATGATGAAGCACTTTATCTCGGCGCCCGGTGTACGTCACAATCGACTCTGCTACTTTCCATCATGATCTTCATACGGAACAAAACATGGATAGCACCTTATGTACTCATATAAGCTTGGTGTATTTACAAGTCCGCCAACACACTACGGTAACCTTCTCTAGGCTCGAAAACGCAAGGGAATGAGATAGGTACACGCGCGACGCCTTCTCTAAACTCCACCCCTCCACGCTTCCTCCCTTCGTCAGCAGGGAAGATTTTGAACGCTGCAAGGGCTGAAGCAACGGCTGCCCATAAAGTGTTTTCTGCAACAAATCTCCCAGGACACTTACGTCGCCCGAATCCAAACGCTGGACTTCCCGAGATCTCCGTACCTACTTTTGAGACGAGATTCCCGGACGTGGTGAGGTGCCGAGACGGGTCAAACACCTCTGGATTTGTCCACCTGGGGTCTTCGCGTAACATCAACCTGGATTATCACTTGCGTGAGACCGATCATAAGGAGTCATGCATACAAAGAGAATCACATACCATGAATTGACAAGAACCAAAGACCCTGGAAATCGTATCAAGCCTCGCTCGTAATTATCACCAAAAACACACTTACCTTTGGGGATAAAGTATCCCTCGTAGATGTCGTCACTGGTAGTTGCATGCGGCAACGCTTTTACGCGACTTCAGATAACTTCAATATCAAGGAAGATAGTGTACTCACCTAAGGGCAACATTACATACATTCTCATTATCTCCCGTAAAATCGCATCAACATAGGGTAATTTGTCCCTGTCTTCAAATGAGGGTAAAACTCCCTTGCCGAGGCGCACGTCCATTTCCGATTGTGCCCGAATCTGAACTTCTGGGTGAATGGCCATTGTCAGGAAAAACGCCAATAAGGTGGTATATGTCTTTTAAATACAGTTGGCTGTCAGTTAAGACGAAGGGTGAAAACGTGGCGTACCGTTTCGAAACCCGCTAGATCATAGTATTGCATCAGAGCATGGATGTGATAGACAAGATAGTCGAAGTACCTGTAAACATCGATCCAGCAGCATTTTTGATAGCGTATAAACGGCCCTCGTCATCGATTCCGCTATCTTCTTCATGAAGTAGCTCTGACACCAATGAGCTAGGTGGTGTCTTTCCAGAAGCCTGTGTCGTATTCAGGGCAAAGGACTGAAATCAGCGAGACGGTACGCACAATCTGGTTCAGCACCCAGTCAAAGGGCTGGTCCCGATTACGATATGCGAGCTGTCTGGTTTGCTGAGCATCTCTCTGCCAGTACGTTCCCGGAACCCAAAGAGGGACCTTTTGGACTGTGATATACACGTTAAACGAGCGAAGCTGCGAAAGATCTTGGTCGCTCACGTAGCGGGAATGCCGAGAAAATCACAGCTCGAAAAGGGTTCATAGAAATTCTCAGCAGGTCTATAAATTCGATCATTGGTTGACAGAAGGGATCAGCTTCTGCTTTAATCTCGTAGCCATATGTCAGTTTGATAACGCTGGCTGCGGTCGTTCTTGCATAACATCGCTCAGTCAAATTAAGGAAATCACCGCAATGACAGATCAACTCACTGGCGTAGGTGTTCATCCCAACTTTTAGGATCCTTGTATAGACTTGCGAGAAGCTGATGGCTTTGGTATATGTGAGAGCTGTGGCGGGTCTTTACCGCTTCCGGTTTCAGGATTTTTTGCAACATCCTCGAATGTACCTTCCATTCAGCACCGTATGGTAGTTGTGATGTATAAGAAGCGACGCCGAGGCTAATTAGGCGAAGTGAGAGGAACATATGTTATCGATGCAGAAATCTACTCACTAAGCATCGTTTGACATGCGGGGGCGGTCGGAATATATTTGGGACCGTTTCTCGATCAATTCTCGCGCAACGCGTTCTGAGTTAATAATGACAGCTGGTGTACCTACCAGAGAGCAGTAGACGATGTCCCCTATTGGCGTAGCAAGTGAGGCCTGGGAAGGTACGACTGAAAAGGCATATACCGTAGCGTGCTTTCCACTCCGAAAAGGTTAGGTATGGCTGAGAGAAGTTAATGCTTAGAATGCTACCCAACATCAGTAGACCTGGAGGCCCTGGAGGTAAGGGAAGGCCGCCACGCCTTCTCAAAAATAGACGCTCCCGCGCGGAGTGATAGGCAAGAAAAAGGGCCGGTACCAGGAATACCCATGCTTTCGGAGAAAGGCAAAGTTCGATGGGGTTTAAGTAGTTGAGAATGTGAGCTGCTGTAGACATTGTTGGGAAGGCTGGCGAATCAAGGAGCGGAGTCCGAGTTTGTTTGACTTTATACCAACCCGGTGACTTTAAAGTCTGAGGCGGTGCTATACTTACTTCGACCATTGTAGAGTAAATGCCAGATAATAAGGGCAGTTGTCAAATGCAATAACTTTCTGACATGTAAGTCGTCGGGTTTCAAGGGAGAGCGATGGAAGCGCGTGAATGTGAAGATATTCAATGATATACAGTAAACATGTCATGTGTGCCATGTTCACCTGCGTTCTGCACCATCTCTATGTCGCAACTAATCTGAGACCGCGCATGGCGTAGGGCGTGTAGGTTCGCAAGACATCGAGACCGTGCTTATTTTTAGTTCACCGTGAAACAACAGGAAGAATCACCGGGAAAACATTCAAGCTCTAGATAAGGACCCCAGAGAAATGGAAGGTTACGGCTAAAATTAAGACTTGTGGAAATGGCTTCCGGATTCTGATAATGGTCCATTGTGGCGTCCAATGGCGCAAAATCCGGATTGATCATGCAGTGTGCATATCTGTTGACCCAAGATTGGCCTTGACCAAGGGTTTGTCACAACCCTTCATGCAGGATCGAAGGTTACATAGACTAAGATTCCGAGCAATGGGATAACATATGAACAACAATAAAAAGATCATACGGCACGTGTTTCTCAAGGCCGGATGGCGTTTACAGAGAAGACGATACGCTTTGAAACGTCCCAGTTTGTAGTTCGATGACCTCACCATGTTTATAAGTCTGCCAATACTCCATGGTAACATTCTCTCGGCTGGACAACGCAAGGGAACGAGATAGGCATGCGTCCGACGCCCTCCCTGAATTCTACTACTTTCCGGCCCCTTGCTTCATCAGCCGGTAAAATCTTGAATGCCACTAGGATGGAGGCTATGGCAGCCCACAAAGTATTCTCTGCGACAAATCGCCCGGGGCATTTACGCCGCCCAAAACCAAACACTGGACTTCCCGAAATTTCGGTCGTGGATTTCGAGGCAAGCTCGCCAGAGGCAGTAAGGTGTCGAGAGGGGTCGAACGCGTCTGGGTTTGTCCACCTCGGATCTTCCCGTAGCATTAACCTGAATTGTTGACCTCAGGTAAATGACACCGCAGAAACAATCAGTCGAAGAAGGCAGTTACCACGAGTTAACAATAATTAGGGCTCCTGCCGAGCCCATCAAAAATTTCCCTTGTTCAAGAACGCTGGAACGAAGCCTACCTTTGGGAATGAAATACCCTTCATATACATCGTCTGTGACGGTCGCGTGCGGCAATGCTAAAGCGTACCTTTAGCGAGGTCCTTGATACAAATACAATAGTGTACTTACCCAGCGGGACTAAAACATACATTCTCATCACTTCGCGAAGAACTGCCTCGATATAAGGCAGCTTTTCCCTGTCCTCAAAGGAGGGCAAGTTTCCCTCGCCGAGACGTTTGTCAATTTCTGCCTGCGCACGTTGTTGAATTTCGGGATGGATGGCCATTGTTAGGAAAAAGGTCAGTAGCGTTGTATGTGTCTGTTAAGATGTGTAATCGAACTCGTGATCAGCCGCCTTTGTGTTGGGAAATAAGAAACCTGGCTATAACGTCTCAAACCCAGCTGTGGAGCATGATATAAGAAATCTTGCTCCGTATAAAATGCAAGATTAATTCACCCGTGAACATTGTTCCAGCGGCGTTTTTGATATCATATAAGCGACTAGTTGTATCAATACCGCCACTATCTTCCCGAAGCAAATCTGATACCAACGAACGAGGTGGAATTTTTCCAGAAGCCTGTCTCCCATACAGAGCAATGTACCGTATTTTGTATTGATACTCACGATCTGATCCCTTACCCAAGCAAAGGGTATGTCGCGACCACGAGCTGCAAGCTCTCTTGATCTCTGAGCGTCTCTTTGCCAAGAAGTACCCGGAACCCAAACAGGGATTTTCTGGACTAAGCATGTATGTTAGATGAAGAAATCTATGGAAAGAACTTAGAAACGCACGCAGCGGGAAGGCAGAGAGAGTCACAGATCGAAGAGGATTAAGACACACCCTCAGCCGATCTAGCAACTCGACCACTGGTTCGCAGAAGGGGTCGTTTTCTGGTACAATTTCATAGCCGTAAGTCAGCTTGATAATACTGGCCGCAGTCATTCTTGTATCGAATAGATCAGCTGAAGTTAGGAATCAACAGCGACAATGGAGACGCTCACTTCCGCATGTTCTCTTCCCATAGCGCAGGAGCTTTGTAGATGTCAACGAGAAACTGGCGGCTATGATCCAAGTGCGAGGCATAGTGGGCTTTCGCCGCATCTGCTTTCAAGACCTTTTGAAATCGCCTGAAATGGGTCTTCCACTCAGGGCCATACGGTAGTTGCGATGTATTATGGGCAATTCCGATACTGTTTGATCTGCGTCAGTTAGGCGCATATGATCCTTGTCCACTTCTACTTACAAGTCGTCGTTTGACAAATAGGGACGATCAGAGTATATGTGCGACCGCTTGTCAATAAGTTCGCGGGCGATGCGTTCGGAGTTCACGACAACTACCTGCTTTCCTGCCAATGAGCAGTAGACGAGACCACCTGCGGGAGTAGCCTGTTAGACACAGGATATACATAAAAACAAGTGCATACCGTAGCGCATTTTCCACTCCGAGAAGGTGAGATATTTACTCCGAGAAGGTGAGATATGGCCGAGAAAAGTTTATGCTTAGAATACTACCCAAAAATGGTATACCTCGGGTTCCTGGGGCCTCTTCAGAAGAAAATACTCCTTTACGGAGTGGCGAGCAAGCAGAAGAGCTAACACCACGCATAAACACACTCCTGAGTAGAAAGAGAGCGCGGTCTGATTCAAGCCGTAGATCATGAGAGCTGCCGCAAATAGCTGTAAGGTGGTGATGGTTCGAAGACCGGAGAGCTTGTGCATCTGGTTTTATACGGTGAAGGTCTTGAAGGTGCCTACCTCACATCAGAGTGTGCTATTTCTCAATCAGCTTCTAACATACGCTCGGGCTTCAGGGAGAGCGATGGGAGTGCCTGCCATAACTTAAATTTATAACAGGGCCTTGATTTGTCTTTAGCTTTCTGCCACAATCAGTGAAACGACAGCTCACTCAAACTATATCCAGCAGCAACGTGCATGGCCTACTGTCAATCACTGCGTAGACTTGGCTCCATTGAAAGCACTTAGAGAGCTACCGGGAGAAAGGTTAGGCGCAGAGATAAGGACTCCGAAGATATGGAAGGTTGGGACTAAGATGCATGCTGGTCAAGAGAAAGCTCCAATAATAGAAAGTCTTGCTTAGTGATTGCTCGCGCGCATCGGTCGATGGCGGTTAACTTCGGCGGACTCAAGCCTGTGGCAGTAGAACCTAGTCCAGCGGGCCAAAGTGAGGAATCAACGATATATAAACATTCGATATGCAAAGCATGTGGCGGCCTATGCACCACATGGCCGGCGAGAAGTGGTGTTGTTCAATTACAGCCTTCCTAATAACTCCTCATAACCCATTCTTGGTTTGATGTTGCAAGGGAACGCAACGGGAGTGCGCGCAAACCCATCCTTCATTTCTACTGATCTTCTTGTCTCGCTTCCCTTCGCCGGAGAAATTGTGAAAGCCGCCAGAATGGATGCTATGGTAATCCAGAGTGTGTTCTCCGCCATAAAGCGCCCCGGACACTTGCGCCGTCCAAAGCCGAATGCGGCGCTTCCCGAGATTTCTGTCGTTGAGGTAAAAGCAAGGTCTCCTGAAGCTGTGAGATGTCTCGATGGATCGAACACGTCTGTGCTAGTCCACCGTGAATCTTCTCGTACCATCAGCCTGTGTCAACGGGTTGCGAAGTCAAAATACGGTCTGATTGAAGTACATAAGTGAATCGTACCACGCGTTCGGTAGGACAATTGTTCCTATTGAGATTCATGGAGTTCAGTTTACAGACATTCAGATAATTATGCGTGGAAAGTTCACCTTTTGGGATGAAGAACCCATCATATACGTCTTCTGATGACGTAGAATGAGGCAACCCTACGTCTTATCTCAAGATATTGTATAGGATCACAAGAAACTCGTGCGTACCTAGCGGAAGCATAACGTACATCCGCATCACCTCTCGGAGAACAGCTTCGACATACGGTAGTTCGTCCCTGTTCTTGAACACGGGCAAACTGCCTTGACCAATACACCTGTCAATCTCTTCTTGGGCTCTCCTCTGCACATCAGGATGAAGAACCATGGTAAGAAAGAATGCTAGCAGAGTGGTGTACGTCTGTAGCGTGGGTCAGTCATCAGTTCTTGACACCGACGAGCTTTCATAGCTAACCGTCTCGAATCCCGCTAGAAACTCAACACATTAACGTATAACAGCGAAATGAGCGCGCGCCTTTACCTATGAACATGGTACCGGCGGCGTCCTTTATGGCTTTCATGTAGGTCATGTGATCGGCAGAGACGTCGTCATCCTGGAGGAGATCAGAAACCATTGAGTGCGGGGGTGTCTTCCCTTGATCCTGCATGGATATCAGCGCGAAGGGCTCCACCATATCAGAGGAATTACCTACGATCTGCTCCTGCACCCAGTCGAATGGCTCGTCTCCGCACTGGACTGTCAACCCTCGAAGTCGGTGAGCGTTCCATTGCCAAGAAGCGCCCGGAATCCATGGAGGGATTTTTTGGACTGTTATGGCGTCGTCAGAGAGAAATAGAAAGTTATTAACGTGAGACGTACGGATGGGAAACGCAGAAAGCGTCAACATCCGAACCGTGGCCATGCCAGCTTTCAATCTCTCCACCAACTCTACCATCGGCGTACAAAACGGGTCGTTGTGGGAAGTCATGTCGTAACCATAAGTAATGCGCAGAATATTCGACGCTGTAAGCCTTCAGGAACGGGTCAAACTTGTTAATGAATAGCAGAAAGTGTCTCAACTTGTGAAAGTGTTCTTCAAAGCTAGAAGGATCCGTATACAGGTCAGAGAGTAGCGCTATGGCAAGCCGCAAGTGCGTATCGCAGTGTGCTTGTGCTGCATCCCTCTTAAGCACCTTCTGTATGAGTTTAGAATGCATCCTCCACTGCGCGCCGTATGGTAGCTGTGTTGTCTTTGAAGTGATGCCAAGGCTATAATGACCATGTCAGCTTGACAATAAGACAATTATTCATGTACCCACTATATGTCATGAGACACTTGAGGACGGTCGGAGTAAATGTGAGAGCGCTTGTCCATTAAATCTCGAGCAACTCGCTCAGAGTTGATTACGAGGACAGGTTGGCCGGCAAGGGTGCAATAGACGAGGTCACCTGTGAATGGTGCCTCAGCCCTGGGAAGAACGCATTGCAATAAGTAGAGACGCACCGTACTGTGCCTTCCATTTCGCAAATGTTGTGTATGGCCGAGTAGGGTGCACGCTCAAAAGACTTCCGATGAACGGGATGCCTCTGGGTCCTGGAGGGTGCGGGATACTTGTTCGTGAAGATCGACCTCTTAGAAAAGCGTAGGTCGAGACCAGGACACACGATAACCAGAAGAGCTCCTTCAGAGAGAGAAATGGCACAGGAAATGACATAGGGTGTGATTGAGGACGGCTACGAGTTTGGACGTGATGGTAATGAAGCAGGCGGGAGCTCGAACTTTGCAAGAAAACAATAATGGGCGTCTACCTTTCTTCCCACTTGGCAGGTCCAGGTCACAAGCGAGCGGGCGTCACCGGATCCCGCGTAAGTATGCCAGTCGAGGTTAGCCCGTCTTCTAATGCCTAATCGCGAGCTTATGTGGGTTCCTGGTGGGCAAAAGGCGCTTTTGTTAAATACCCGACGATGTCTCACCCAACAATAGGCTAGCACATGGACATGACACCATAAATAGAACGCACCGAGCTGAGATTGCTGACGTGGAGAACTGGTGCACAACAAGGAGAACTGCTACAATCGCAGTAAAGGCGTTATAACCCGGTACTACCAATAGCACCGGGAGTTCAGCGCTGAGCTGCTTAAGAGCTGCGACGTAATACTGAAAGCAGTGATGGTAGCCGATGAGGAGGGCAAGCGCAGCAGCAGGTGAGGTCAGTCCAACTTTGTGGCTTCCATTTCATTTTTCTTCTCCAAAGTTGTCGGTGCTTTGCTAGCCCGCCGGGCATCACTTGCGCCGTATCGCGTTCCGATGACGGGCCGACCAGTGCATGCGGGCATTACTCGGGCATCCTTTTCCCTCCCAGACTCCCTCTGTCGAACGGTTCCCGGTAGAAACGTTCACTGCTCAACAGGTAGAGACTTTGTGTCTGGGAACGAACCTAAGGAGTGACGCGCTGGCGGGTGAGATAGGTGTTCTGAGATGCATGACGTGGAGGAGCAAGAGCACGGAAATGTCCGGTACTGTATCCGAGGCGGGGAGTAACAGGGGCAAGCGCCAAGAATGGTATCTTGGTCTTACCTTCCATCTTGTCAACAGTCGCGATATCATGTTTTACGTCGTCGGGCTGGGTCTTTGTGATGAAAAAGATATCACGGTTCGAGGCTTGGAGGTAAACGATATACTACACTGAACTCATTTTGTTCTCACACATTGGACAAAGGCAGTCAAATCTTCCTCGCGGGTGTACCTCGAGGCATATACCAGCATCTTGATGGTAAAAAAGGAGCGCTTGGTGCGTCTTTTCACGCTGATAACGACATTCCTGCTGGTTGACGCTCACTCTGTGCAAGGAAGCGTTCTACGGGAAGGACCTGATCGTCGCCGATCGAGACATGGTCGAGACGCAGAGCGACGACATCCTCAAAGATGCAGACAAAGAGAACGTGTCACTGCTGGTCGTCGGAGACCCTTTTGGGTGAGTTTTTGCCACTTCGCTCCTCCCCAAGTACCAACCGCGCCTTAGGGCGACCACGCACATCGACATGGTTCTTCGTGCACGCGCTCTCAACATCCCCACCAAGGTCATCCATAACGCGTCGATTATGAACGCCGTTGGGGCGTGCGGCCTACAACTATACAACTTCGGCCAGGCAGTCTCGCTCGTATTCTTTACGGAGACATGGAAACCCGACTCGTTTTACGATCGCATCAAGGAAAATGCTGCACTCGGCTTGCACACCTTGGTCCTACTTGACATCAAAGTCAAGGAGCAAAGCGAGGAGAACCTTGCTCGGTGCGTGAACCCCATCGTTGATCGCACGCATTCGTCATCGTTGATTGGTATGCGCGTAGAGGCCGGAAAATCTACGAACCTCCGCGATACATGTCAATCCCCCAGGCTGTCTCTCAACTTATCGAGATCGAGGAGCTTCGGGGCGACGGCGTCCTTTCGCCAGACAGCACACTTGCTATCGGGTTGTCGCGTGTAGGTGGCATGGAAGAACAGCGGATCGTGTCCGGGACGCTGGCAGAGCTTCATATTCATCCAGAAGAGGCGTTCGGCGAGCCTCTACATAGCCTCATCATCGTCGGCAAGCGGCTGCATCATCTCGAGGTAGATTATGCGCAAGACTTTGCGGTGAACCGTGACAGCTGGCGGTCCGTAGCAAAAGACGTGTACAACTGTAATTTGGATGAATGATCATAAATAACCATCGTTCTTGAGTATCTAAACGGACGTACGAATCTGATAATCAGCTTCACTCAAATCTCCATCTTAGGATGAGCGCGATCTGAGACAAGCCATTCGGCGTTCGGAAGATAGCTGTTCTCCACCTTCCCAGGTCCGGCCGTCGATCTCGCCCAGTAACCAGTACAGATAATACTGTATTGGTTATCGGCGGGCGTGGCTAGACTGAGCGCTAAAGCCTTTTCCCCAGCTCACGCTTCCGGCTGTCGCATGCTCACGAGCCTATCCATTCACCTAACGCCTCGGAGTCCGCAGCTCGCAACCTCCTCCGTATGGCGCTGCCGGGTTACTACATATGATCCTTCTCTGCACAATACTTTTCACCATTATGACTGGATTCATGAGCAGGTAAGTGTTACAATCGGAACACGACATCATAATGCGCAATGTACGAGGCGAAAGCGATAGTTCTCATTGTCGCCATGGCATATGAACTTAGACGCTTAGCTTCCATTCACATGTCTAAAAGTTTGAAAAGTTTGAATCAGGTGAGCCCTGGCTAAGACTGGAAGGCAGGTATTTATGTGAGCGACGGTCAGTTTTTCTGACAGTCCCTGAGGACTCCGTCTACTTTTTCCTCTTCCCACCACTCTACCACCTCCGGTGGTTTCTACGGTAGTCAGCGGAGAGGCTGAGGACCCTTTGAATGCGTTGGGAGCGCTACTAACCTACAAGCGTGCTGTTTGTGAGTTTGTCGACTTTGCTATGTTCGGTTGCGGTTAATCTTAAGCTGCCGAGATTGATAGGTGCCGGCTTTTCTCTCGCAATCTATGACTTCCGTCGGTATCGTGCCTCAGAAAAAAACACAACTTCAACCCGTCCTTCGCTGACTATCATCGATTCCTAGTTCTCAATCTCGACGTTGAGGTGCGTGCCTGTGTTACCTTAGCCGTCTAGGACATCTGACGACCTGGCGACGGTCTTTGACTTGGTCTAGATTCGATTAGTATGGGTCAGTCTCTGTCGTTGCAGTGTTTTCGTGCCAATCTGATCTGGATGCCTATACGCAAGGTGTATCATTGGTAAACGTCGTACACGCAATAGTATGTCTTACCTCTCGTGAGGGCACTCTTCGATGTTCACGTGTTATAGCTCCGGTTTCTTGGGCTAATTTGGGCGATGTAAGTCAAGGAATATGAGAGCGATGAGATCGCCTGACTATTGGAGTAGATTAAACCTTGGTACGTTGGAGGTGCTGATATAGAGAAACGTCTCTTCATGCTGTTAAAGCTCTCACGCTCGAGCTGCTTGTTCTGAGTGATGTGAGTATTATCTTGCCTGCTCGAGCGTTATGGATACTGAAGCCAAGAAACCTTCTGCAGAAAGCGTGAGCGCCTTTGCACTAGGTTAGGTCGCCTGTGGACACTAAATTACACTGTCGCTTCGCGCGAATGATGACGCTTTATCTGTAAGCAACCCGATTTACCTCCTCACTTACCTGACGAACCGTGAGTAGGCTACGCATTAATCTCAGCAATCGTGTTGATTGGTTATGTCATCCTAGCAATTATACAAGGAAAGATACTGCATTCGCTGATCCTGATTCGCCTGAATAATGATGTCACAGGCATGATGCTTCTACGAGTCTACTCGTTATACTCGAGGTCAAGCAGAGTCATATTCTTTCTTTCAGCAATGTTTATTGTCGTTCATGGTGTCGAATTTGTACTGTTACTGTTGAGCATCGCTGCGATGGAAACTCCTGCATATATAGGTCAGTCGCACCTTCCAACTGCATTATTCGCTCCTTGATCCTTTGTCGAGTAGGACATGCTGGGCAGCTTGGGCAAAGTGTCTGCAGCAGCACGGCCCCAGCAACCTCAGGCCAGTTGAAAGTGCAATGGACATACCCACTGGGTACCGCTTTGCTTCTACTTCTCGAAGCAATCATCGTCGCGTTCGTGCTCGCCTATGTACATGTGAACACCACCGCGCTGTTCTGGCGCTCTCCCATTCGCTCTTTGCTGGCTATCGTTATTCGAGACAACCTGCTTTACTTCCTCATGTACGTGGACCTTCCGTCGACTCGCGTTTACCATTTCCCCATAAAGCACACTATTAGAGCTTTCATGGCATTATTAGTCAATACGCTGATTCAGCTTATGCATCCTGTGAGCACACGAATCCTCCTGTTTTAGGCTTTTCGAGTCTGAACAACGACCTGACCCCCAGCTTTCGCTGTAGCCGCCTGGGTCACAGATCATCAATCCTATTTTGGGGTCAGTCATGATGACCATGGTTGGCCCATGGCTGATCATTAGCCTCCGAAGATACATAGTGGTGGAAAGCGGCCGAGACACCGACTCCGGTCCCGCATTAACCACTAGTATAGAGCTATCAGATGTCTAGTGTCAACAATGAAGTGCTTTATGAAACGGTGACCAGAACTATGCTAGGCGTACAGGAACTCCTGCACTATACCTTCCACCCGCGGATCAACACCCTTCAGAATCTCAATGGTCTCTTTCCATATCCTCTCCTGCATCCTTACGCCTTCCTCCCCAAGCACCCAGTCGCTCACTTCCTGCGTCGTGCCCATGCTCACATACGCCCCGCGCATCGTTATCTCATCCTCTTCAGGGGAGGGCTCGCCACTATGCTTGCTCTTGCTCTTTCTATTGGCTTCCCGACCGCGCTTACCGAGCGCGGCGAACACGAGCTGACGGGCACCTTTCTCAGGATGCCACGCAAGTCCGTGTTCAGCGAGCCACATAGTCGGGTTAGATGGCATATCGCGTCTGAGCTGCGACCAGCAGAAGCCGGGGTTGACGGCTACGGGCGTAACGGGTGTCTCTGAGAGCGTGCGGAGGTGGGCGGCGAGGGCCCGGGTGTGCAGCACATTCAGAACTGGATGCATAATTAGCATATGGGCTTGTGGATTTGGAAGGGAGTATAATGTACATACGCTTGCTATCGTAGTACCTAGATTTCATCACTTCGGGTGTGCAATACTCCTTACTCCCGAAGAGCTTAAGCGGCGTCGGAGATTCCTGGACAGATGGAGAGAGGGAGGCCCAATAGTGAACGTCACTCGCAGTAATGACAAGTCTTGCTGCTCGACCTCGCTTCTTTCCCGCTTCGACCATGCGTGGTAGGAGGAGAAGGGGTAGGAGCGACGTCGAGAGATGGTTTACTTGGGTACTGCATTGGTTTAAAAAAAAGCGTAAGGTCGTCAGGGGAGATAAATACATCAGCTGAGGGGGAAACATACCAGTTCTCCCATCCATCCACGGTGGCCTCGTATTCGGCGGGCAACACGCCTGCATTCATCGCTAGTATATCGAGTGCACCAGCCTCGCGCTCAAAGCGGTCGGCAAATGCCCTAACAGACGTGAACGACGAAAGATCGAGGAGCCACAGCTCCGTATGTTTGAAGCCAGTCCTCTGTTCAATCTCTGCTTGTCCAGTCGTCTCTTAGAGTTCTATTCAACTGCCAAGATATTTAGCTACTCACCTTCTACAGCGTTCTTGCCCTTGCCCTCGCTCCTACACGCTATGATGAGGCGCTCAGGACCCATGGACGCAAAGTGGACTGATGCCTCAAGACCGATGCCTACGTTGGCGCCGACGACCACTACGGTCTGGCCTGAGAGGTCGGCACGGACGACGGGAGGGATACAGGACCATTGGTCCTTGATGAATCCGGTCATAGAAAGCTTCATTGTTATCTGTGGTGAAGTTGCCGAAGGAAGCAGAAGTGAAGTTCTGAAACTATTAGAGTGCAGAGAGAATATGCGGAGCGTGTTTGCTTGTTAGCATCGTCGCATCGGGCCGATTATATGCAGTTTTATGACGTGACTAGTAGACCGAGGGAGGTCTCCGCCGTGACTCAACGAAATAAGGTAATGAACAAACACGCAGGCCATTGGTCACCATGATTAGCGGGAACAGAGGATACAGTAGCCCAAGCGATAAGGTGGAAGCTGCCGCAGAGACGCGTCACATACAAGGCCGATACACCTTCTTCGTGGAGCCCGAGTCTTGCGGTCACGGCAGCCGGGCGTACGCCGGCTTGAGCGCTCAAGCCCGAATCACTGACCGAAGCAACGACTAGCAGGACGCGGGGTTGCCGACATATAGAATTTCTGAAAAAGGTTATATTAGCCGCTGCCGCCGCATACCCTTGAATGCGTAAACGTACGGCAACACGTATTTGCGATGATTCGTGTAGGCGGGATCCTATTTAATACTGCTAGCAGGGCTGAAGAAAGAACTCACCACCACTTCTATGTTCAGTACAGTACTCGGACATTTCTGAGATTCGAATCGATGACGCCTCATGGTGGAAGACTGGGCGCTCGAGCAACTGATGAGGGCGGTGCGCATGGAAAAGACGCTTCCGACAGCCCGCAGTCCTTGAGACTTCCAGGTTCCGTCATGGAGAGGAAAGCTCGAGAAATAAGTGCGCTACGAGCGACTAAAGCTGAGATGTGGTGGACAGCGACGCGAGCACACGACCGTCCGAGAGACCGAGCAAGATGATGGTCGCACGTGGCAAAGTTATGTTTTCGCGACACTCCGATTCGCCGGAAGATAAGCCAAAAAAGGAAGATCTAAACAGGGACGCGACGAGTCACCGAAAGTCACCGACAAATCAACGCCCTTCAACGCCTCTTCTTACTCGCTCACTTATAAAAATACAAGGCCAGCCAGCCCATCTCGGTCTCCTCGTACACGACTACCACTCTACCCCTTCCCTGTCGCAGCCAGTGACAATGGCCACGATCTACATCGACGCCTCGAGCGGCTCTGATGCTGCAGGCCGCGGCACCCTCGATCAGCCTTATCAGACCCTCGGATACGCCATTTTCTCGACGTCCACCGATAGCGTCGACTCCACCAAGTACCTCTTCAGGGCGAGCGCGGAAGCGGAATACGATGCCCCGACTCAAAGCGCGACCAAGAAGGCCAAGAAGGACGCGCAGGGCCTCGAGAAGAAGCGTCAGAAAGCAGCTCAGGAGGAAAAGCAACTACAGGAGAAGAGGGAGAAGAGAGAGCGCATGCTAGAGGAGAGCAAGAAGGTTATCATCACGGAGGACGAGAGTCTGCCTAAGGCTACTAAGGTGCGTTCAGTGCCTGGAAAACCCATACGCTAGAGGTCTGATATCACAATGCACAGGCAAAGATTGTCAAGCTCGAGCCCCTACGTGGGCAGAGGGTGCGCGTGTCGGGCTGGATTCACCGTCTGCGCATACAACAGGAGCTCACTTTTATTGTTCTGCGTGATGGTACTGGCTACCTTCAGGCCGTTCTCACCGGTCAACTGGCAAGTCCATGTCTTCGACCTCTAACGCATGAATTGACCCCTGTTTGCACTTAGACCAAGACTTATGACGCGAAAACCCTCGAGCTCGAGGCCGCTGTCGAGCTGACGGGTACTCTTCAGGTCGTTCCAGAGGGAAAGACGGCCCCAGGAGGACATGAACTTACGGTTGACTTCTGGAGAACGCTTGGCTCTGCGCCGGGTGCAGAAGACGCGTTCAGCAACAGATTGAATGAGGTGAGGGTCTTTGCTATGTCGCAGATGTATCTAACCGTATCATCATAGCAATCTGACCCCTCCATCATGGCCGATCTGCGTCATCTCGTCCTCCGGGGAGAGACTGCCTCCGGCGTCCTTCGTCTTCGTGCTGCCCTCCTCTCCGCTTTCCGCACAACATACGAAGCACATAACGTGCTCGAGGTCACTCCACCATGCCTTGTACAGACGTCAGTAGAAGGTGGCGCGACGCTATTCCAACTTCCATACTATGGCCAGGAGGCCTATCTCACTCAGAGTTCGCAACTGTATCTCGAAACATGTCTACCTTCGCTCGGAGACGTATTCTGTGTGCAGGAGAGTTTCCGAGCTGAGAATAGTCACACCCGCCGGCATCTGAGCGAATATACCCATCTTGAGGCTGAGCTCGCATTCATCACTTTCAACGACTTGATGTCGCATATAGAGGCAGTTGTGGGTATATGCGTCTTATTTCTCGAGTACTTGCTAACTCCCTTGGTCAGATCTGCGAAACCGTCGACAAGCTCCTCGCCAACCCCATCGCTGCTTCCATTATCCAGCAGCTGAACCCAGGCTTCAAGGCCCCCGCACGTCCATTCAAGCGCATGGCCTATGCGGAAGCCATTAACTGGTTGAACGAGCATGGCATCAAGCACGAAGCTGAAGACGCAGGGGGAAACGTGATCAAGGACGAGCAAGGAAACGCGAAGATGGTTGAGCACGCCATCGGAGACGACATCGCGGAGGCTGCTGAGCGCCAGATGACGGACATCATCGGCACGCCTATCTTCCTCTACGGCTTCCCCGCTGAGCTGAAGGCGTTCTACATGAAAAAGATGCCGCGGGAGAAAGGCGCGACAGGGCCGATCTTCACGGAGAGCTGCGATCTGCTGATGCCGAACGTGGGTGAGATCGTGGGTGGGTCAATGAGGATTGCGGACATGGAGGAGCTGTTCGAGGGATATAAGCGTGAGGGCATTGACCCGAAGCCGTACTACTGGTACACGGACCAGCGCAAGTACGGGACGTGCGAGCACGGTGGGTATGGCCTGGGTGTTGAGGTACGTTTGCGATTGGGTTTTAGCCGTGCATCCGCGCGCATCGCCGTTCCTCGTGCTGATCGGCGCCTTTCTTCGTTATCTTTGTTCCCCCGCAGAGATTTTTGGCTTGGCTTGCGAACCGGTATACGGTCAGGTACGCAGGAACACATTACTTTGGCGTGTTCGATCGTGTGCTCACTTCTCTTTCTGTGCAGGGAGTGCACGTTGTACCCCAGGTATGAGTTCTTTTTGGGATCTAGGTCGGCCGAACGGGTTGCTGATATGTTCCAGGTGGCCTGGCCGTGCGACGCCGTAGGAAGATTAATCGTGATAGACCGTGGTTGTAGCTATGTTTGTGTACTCGTGTTCGGGATAATGATATGTTGCACAAAGTTTGAGTTTCCAGGTGATGTCTGGGGCTGCTGCTAGTGGTGCGGAGAATCGGTTTGATTTAGCGGTATCTCACGATTGCACGATCTGATGGACGAACCGCGCGGACTCGTTCGGAGGAGTCAATGGTCTGACGATGGCTTATTCACCCATTCCATTACCAAGCCAGGCGCTCTCTCCTTGTTGTCCACGCATTCTTGCATGATACCCTATCTTTCTTTTTCTTAGAACATTCATGTTCAGTCCCGAAAATGTCCCCTTGGACCTCCTTTCGCCCATCCTTGAAAACCTAGAGCGCAAGGATCTCAATATCGCTGCCCTCGTCAACTGGACCTTCAATCGCGCGTCCACCCCGCTGCTCTACCGGAAACTAGATTCGCGCATCATAAACAATGTAAGGTGACCTTTTGCTCGGCATTGTTGCTGGAGCTCAACTGACCACGCGACTCGCGCTGTGGGAATAGGTGCTTTTCCATCCTGCTACGACACTCCTCAAGAGGCCGGAGCTCGCGCAATATGTCAGGAACATCACTGAGACAGGTTCGCCAGTCCCTCGTCTCCTTTTTTCCTCTCATGACCCACCCTTCCGTCTCTCATTCTCTTCTGACCTTTCTGATGCGATGTGCCACGTATTCTTGTTACAGGGTCAGTCCAGAAGATGGAGGCGTACTACCCCACCATCCGGCGCGACACCCTCGCCGCGCTGCGCCTGTGCACGAACTTGTACAGGCTGACGTGGGTAGACGACACGGAGACGCCCGACGAGAACTTCTACCCGTTCATCGACGTCATCCGTGCGCTGCCCGTGCGCTCGCTCGCTGTGCGCACGCAGTACGATATGGGCCCGGAGGTGTGGAGGGAGCTAGAGAACGTGGATGGTATAGAGGTCTTGTCAGTTTGGACGCTAGAGGGACCGCCGAGGGCGCTGCAGGGATGGGCGGACACGCTGGGGAAGACATTGACACACTTGGAGCTTGGGGTGCGTACATACGTTGCACTTATGGCGCATATATGCGCATTGATCTTATCATTGCTGACAGAGCGCATATATGCATATTCATGTAGCGTTGTGCAGGTGTTCCGCCCACCATACTTATATCCGTCTTTATGAAGATGCCTATGCTACAAGACCTACGGCTCAAGGGCGCCCCGAGCGCTGCGATCCCCGCCATTGTCGCGTGCCTGCCCAGCCTCGTCGCTCTTGATACGGAGTACCTATCACCAGGCATATACCGTTCCCCGCTCACTCCGCTACCACGACTAAAACGTCTCACGGTGCGCACGGGCTCGCTCGACGTGCTCGGCCCGCAGAGCCTCTGGCCATGGACGAATGCGCTCATCCCACACCAAGGAACGCTCGAAACGTTCACGCTGAGTTCATTCGCAGTGCATGGACAGATGCCAGTGAACCCTGCATTTATGAATAGGCTGATCGAGAAGCACGGAAGCTCGCTGAGGGACTTCAACGTCGGGATGACGCAGCTGACGCTGGACATGGTGCACAGCCTTTGTCTCAAATGCCGTGAGCTGCGTGCGCTGGTGTGCTCTGTCGCGAGTCCAGACGTGGTGGGTCGCGGGCAGCCGCATATTGGCCTATATGTTAATCACGCTTAACGCTATGCAGGAGTCCATCGAGCGCGCCACGGTGAATGCGCCGCGTCTACAAGAACTTCGCTTGCACGTCCAGTGGATGCCCGACGGAAATAAAGCAGACTCGCATACCGACTATCACAACAACTGGCCGGTGCCTCTCCCACGACCACACTTCGGTCTAGGTCATTTTACCGAGAATCAAGCCCGCAACTTCATGCTGCGGCCTGACTCGCAGCTCCGCGCTGTCGGAATGGGCGACAACGTGTACACCGTGGGTGATCTGCGTGGATAAGTTTGTCGAATTATTGACTGATGCTCAATGCAGGGCCGTTGGGTGCTGCGAGACGAAGGCCAGCACCTGGGCACGCATGTGGACCGCTTCGGTGGTGGCTCGGGGCAGGTGTTCGAGGTAACGAGAAACCTGTCGATGTCGGTACTATAGGCTTTTCATTTTTATTCACATCGCTATTTGAATTCAGCTCGCAGTATGTGTATCATACCCATCTCCGTTTCTTACTTTTCTTTCACGTCTTAGACATGTCAAAACACGAACACGGACAATACTCTGCATTCATTCATTCATACTCCTATCCAAGAGTTCATTCGGAAGGTTGAATCGCTTATATCTCTGCTTTAGCTCATGTGCGCGTCGTACATCGATGTAGCACTGAAGCGTAGGGCGTCTTTGCTCTCATGGTTGTCGTCTCCTTTGCCTCCCCTGGCGTAGGCTGAGGAACCTGCCAGCCTAGTCTGTCTGGAGCACTGGCTCCAGGGAACTGCAAGTTCATGCCCGGAATAGCTTTCATACTCATAGCTGAACCGTTTATTGAGCTGGCCCCCTCCATCCTTCATACCTGGCGGTGCTATGTAACTGGACGGACTACCCACCGGCGTCCTCGTTAATATGGCTAGGCATCTTGAACCCCTTGATGTTCTCAGGTCTAGACAAGTACATCTTCGCGGACAGTATGTCTTCGATGGGAGAGGTATGAGAAACGGGCACCTTTTCAAAAGGGACCAATAGTGTGCGCTTGAGCTTGTAAATCTGAACTTCTGCTAGGTTTTTATAGTCGCCTACTCAAGAAGGACTCCGTGTGGTGCAATGTTGGCTAAATACTTATGTGGCGCGCATCTTCACGGAACAATATATTTACTATTCGTGCACGGTGGTGTCATGCCCAGAAGTCATGAGGAAGTCGCTGACACTGGCGCCTGCGAATAAGACTTTGTAAGAAAATTGATGCGCGAACAACGTTGCGTGAGTGGCGATGATATATAACAAATGGAACCCATGAGAAGTGCGTCCATTCATACTTGACGTCAAGCTGTTCAGAATGTCTCATTCTTCATTTGTCTCTCAAGCATTTCCCCCCGGGCTCTACACGTTCTCCTTCGCACCTTGCTTCCGGCATTATGAGACCCGGTGAGGAAAGTGCATGAACAGTCGAAGTTCAGCGACGCCTAACTCGGAGAAAAACCATTGTTCCCTCTGTTTTTGTGGAAGCCTTCACGTTATTTATTCCCTCTTCAGGAAACTTAGGCACCGATGGTGGTGGCAAACAGTCGACGGGAAACCTTGTGTATAAGATTCAAGCTCCCGGATTGGATGCCTACAGCAGTGAATTTCTATGCTGCGTCATTGAACGGACGTGACGACCCGTAAACATCTTCCTTATAACGTTCGCAGAAAAGGTATATAGCCTTCGATCGAAGGTGGGAAAAGTCTTCAACATATAAACACTCGCATGCACTTCATCAAAGAAAGAACCGGATCCCCCATCATCCAGCTGTCTTCTCTCTCATATTGATATTGCCACACCTCACAAAATCAATGGCACCTGTTGGAACTCTATACGGTGCTAGCTTTCAACGCCAGACCATTGTTGTAAGTCTTAGCCCTGATTACCTCCCGGAAACACTCCCAGGCTGAAATATATATGATGTAGATCAAGACGGCTGCCGCCATAGCGGGGCTTGAGCTCAACCTTGCAGAGATAAAGTTGGGCGAGACCAACAAATCACCCGCATATCTCGCCAAGTTCCCTCAGGGAAAGATCCCGGCATTTGAAGACGCCGAAGGCTTCATACTCACAGAGGGCCTTGCTATTGTGAATTACAGTCAGTCTCTTGAGCACCATGGCTTCTTAACTTTGACCTGAAATTTTATCCAAATAATTCCAGTCGTGTCCTTGGCTCCTGAGAGCGGTTTGCAAGGGCAAACCAAGAAAGAGGCCGCTGAAGTCGAGCAGTGGACTCACTTCGCCGAGTTCGAGCTCCAGGTCTCTTCGGATTTCACCTGGTACCTCGCTACCGGTTACTTCCCTGGGTACAACAAGGACGTGAGTGAAGACGACGCTTGCGAATCCTTTGACATAATTGGTCACACCGTTGCTTTATCAGTTCCATACCATACTCCTGGACAGGCAGTACAGTGCCCTTGATCACCTCGAACGCCACCTCACCAGGCATGAGTATCTGGTTGGTGGCAGGCTGACGCTTGCCGACATCGTTTTGGCTGGTAGCATCAAGGATGCCGTCGGTATCACACTCGGAACAGCCGAGAGAGCCAGATATCCCAAGACTTTTGCGCATTTCAACAAGGTTATCTCGCACCCCAAGATCAAGCAGGTTTTCGGCGAGATTGAGTTCGTGGAGACGCCTCTTCAGCATAAGGGTTCTGCTTAGGGTACACCGCGAGTAGATTGGGGTACCGTTTGAGCGCTCGCGCGTATGCTATGCTGATAATGACTCTCGTATTTCGGTGATGTAAATGAAATACTGGACTGAGCAAATCTTGCTCGCAGAACGACTTTCTGCAAGCCTGTGTGAACTTATAATGAAACGCCCAGCGAATCCCTTGTAACAACTCGCTCATAAGAAGCATAATGACGACATGATGTTTTCACCGGAGAGCTGGATGTCTATAATAGGCTATGAACGTGTCCGCTTCCAGCTCCAGGCCCTCGGGCGAGAAGCTTAGTTCTTGAGACACGACATGTCTGAGCAAGCGATATTTTCAGTACATCTCAAATTCCCAACGAAGTAGGACCCACTGTCTTGGCCATTAACAAATATAGAGGACGTGTAGGCGAGCGCGCCAGTGTTGTCTTTGACGGATAAGGTAGCGTTGTTGCCTGCCAAGCATCGTGAGTGCCAAGAATGTACGTATTCAAGAGAGCAACAATTACCATCTTGCACGTTGGTGTTCCAGGTGTACGGTGATGCACGCAAGTTGGAGTACACATCGTAAGGGGTCTCGCTGGCGCTACCAGCGAGGAGGACGCTTTCGAAATTAAGAATTAATACAACGAAACGTCACCATATGAGATACGGGACTCACCTCTGTGAAATTTTAACAGATATGTGTTAGAACACATCTGCAAGTTGGTGAATGGTCTTGTGACTAACCAGAGTGTACGGGCCTGTGGACAACATCAGTGTGGATGGCATCAAGAAAATCATAATTCAACATGCCTTGACCTCCATGCCAGGTGATATTGATCAGCCCACACTGAAAGAGGGCCAATCTTGAACTGACGTGTAGTCAGAAAAAGACATATGTTCAAGAACGCGAATTGCGCGACGTACGGAGTGTCGATGGTCAATGTGTCCGTGGGTGCAGCCCAGGCTCTGGCCACGGCAAGGGAGATGGCAGAAGCGATGGCATGTTGGAACTTCATTTTTGACGAGATGCACTGGACGTGATTTACGTAGACGTTGCAGAGAGGAGTGCACGATGGAGGATGCTCTGAAAGGGCATCGCTGGGCTCCTTTAAGTACCTTTCGTTAGACGGCGATATGTTGCCGCGCAGGTGTCATACTCGGGGATATTGGTCGGGGCAGCGCCACCATCGCTTAGCTTCGTTGGGGGGCATCATCTGGAGTCTATTGATGGAGAGTTTGTATGCAGTGCTAATATGGCGTGCGTGTCGATAGGGCGGAGACGTTGCCCATTTGCAGGTCTTGGATATATGACCTCTCACTCGTCACGGCACTGGCAAGAAAACAGAAAGCGAGATTAATGATCGTAGGCTTGTCTCCGTGAGGGGAAATCTGGAGCATGCAGAGGTCTCAGCAGGAGCTCTGTCAACCTCCGCCCGGATGACAAAAATGAGGACGTCGCAGAATCCGACGTGCAGACACATAGCCCTTGTGCACCGACACTACAGTCACTCCGGAAAGATCGAAATATTATTTGTCTTCGTTGTAGAGCGTTAGCAGAGAATCCGAAGTTTACCCCTTTAAAAGAATCAGTGTAGACGTTAACATTGAAAAGAGAAGACCCATCTCTAGATTGCCCCCCAAAAAGAGGGAGTAATGTAGGTTTAGAAGAGTGGCCTTGGAACATGTGGGTTGTGTTCGTCTCTGAAATCTGAGAGCTCGCCAGTGCGCGAGAATCAGTGAAGAAGCGATGGATCGGTGATATTTTATGCTGTATGCGCAACAGTAAGGTATCAGGGGGATTTCAAGTGCGCAAGCCGCGGATTAGCTCTCCATCTCAGCGCGTGGAGATTCTAGATGCCAGCGAGCTCAAAGACAGTGGAGTGCACAAAACCGATTGGTCGACAAAAGACTTCACAGACTATCATAAAAAGGCAATGTCGCTGAGTTCGTGCGGCTCAGAAGTCGACCTCAACGCCAAATGCGACGAGAAACATACATAAGACTGTGGTGGGGCTTGCGAAGTCGTCGATGGTGGTCGCGGTGAAACATACGATCCGAGAAATCCGTGAGAAAGACAAACCCAATCGGGACGCGATTTCGTCATACGCTCTTCGGACGCAAGTGACAGGCTCATTGTTGGAGACTGTTGAAGGTTTGCTTCTGAAGGTGGATCTCGCGCGTTTTCAACGCGTACCTCCACCACACCACGTCTGAAAAGTTCCCTTGCTTCACACTTCACTCTCGCTTCACCATGCAAGACTCAATCAGGGAGGCTTCTCACGTTATTGAGCTCCCATTGACATCGCGATCCCCGTACATCACTCGCCAGACGGTCAAGAAGTTCTACATTGAGGACGCGCCCTTTGGCCATCGATTTGTCTATGTGGAGAGCAGCGCAGGCTCGAGAGAATAGCTTATAGGTATATTTGACTGCTATTTCACTATCCCAGAAACTTCGTCGCCAAAGTTCCGCATGTGCAGTACATAGCAGTGATGCTGACGAAAAAGAAATGAAGTCGCCCCAGCAGCGCTAAGTCGGACCCTCGACCTGAATTTCCGATAATTGTTTTGCACTCGTACTACTCGCGATACATTTAATAATAGTCTTTATTGTCCATACGTGCTTAACCCTTCATGTCGACACTATACCGCCGCAGAATTTGCGATCAGGTTTCATAGTCTTTGCTTGTAACATAGTCCAATAGACATATTTACTTTACGCGCGACGCGATGTCAGACTGAGGAGGAGAATCATGGCCTTCAGCGTTGTTGGCTTCCTCGTAACGCTCGAGCTTCTTGGCCCGCTTATCAGGATCGCTCGTCTCAACGGCTCCAACAATGTGGTGGAGCTGCTCCTTCGTGCTATCTCCGGTGTACTTGCCTCCCGTGAGCCTCAGGCTCCTGTTGCACATGTCGTTAACTTCACATCTAAACGGAGACGTGGAGGCAACGCACGTGAGGATCATCGCCATTATCCCCATCATCCAACCCGAAAGAGCGAGCATAATGCCAACAACGGGCGCGAGGGGCGGTAAGATCATGGCGGCGGCATCCTGCGTTTTTTTTTCGTTACTCATCGGGAGTATGAGAGTCAGGATCCGCGTGACTTACCATCCAATGGTACAGATCCTCTTGTTGATAGATGAATAGGTGTCCATTTATCTCCTTCAAGGAAAGCCGAACGTTCACCCTGGCGAGTTAAGAACGTCACAGTTATCAATGGGAAGCAAGCAAAGCCGCACATACCTCGCAGGCTCCGCAGGGAAGGGGCTGAACCACAATTGAAAGTTCTGCTTGGCCTCAAGCACGACCACGTTCGTCGGTTTGTCGTACACTACGACACGACATGCTCAGTACTCGCCAAAAGTGGATACAACGCCAACGGAGAGAAGCATACGCACTGACGCTTATGATTTGAACCTCAGTGTTGGGGCTCATGATGCGGTACAGCTCGTAGATGCGCAGGATACCCTCGCGAGATCCCACCTGGCAGACCGGGTTCAGGAGTCGCGCGTCAGAGGTGTAATACTCCCGGAAGATACCCTCAAGGGTCTTCGTATCTTGCGCTGTGCAGAGGCCCGTGAGGAGAGAGCCAACTTCTTTTTTGGGGTTTTCCATGGTTGACGGACGTGGATGAGAGGATGGGTGTGATCGTAGAGAAAGCTGCTGGGCCGCTTGCATCTTAAGTCGCTTGCGCGACCGGTGAGCAAGATACCCCTCTCAAAGGCGCTCTCCTAAATGTCGGATGAGTGATCAGCTGGGTTGTCGCGATATGCAGGAAATGCAGCCCCTCCTGGAGCGTCCACTCTAGCCACTTCCTTGGAGATTGTTTGTGTTAGAATCATACAAACACATGCATGGTATATGGACCGACCGCAGTCATGACACTGGTATTACCTCATCAAAAAAAGCTTATCGCCTGCGTTACGCGTTCTACGGCTTGGACCAATCGATAGCCGCACTTGCAATTGAGATCTATCGCTTTGAGGGGGTGTCAGACTCATGTGCAAGCCTACATCTGTATGCGCAGTAGCTGATAGCCACTGGTAGGGCTGAGACCGACGAAAAGCTAGAGGCTGCGAACGTGTCTCGTGAATTATTATGCGGTGAACAACTAGAAATCGCGGTCGTTGGCTTGGAAATTTGAAGGCCAAGTAACGGATAGTCTCGCTGGCCAAGTGTCGAGTCCTGTTTCATCCATTTGCGGTGTTGCGCCGACTTTTTTTTATTGTCGTGATCGACAGCGGCTGTTATTCGGCAGACATGCAGCAATTGAGAATCTCGACGGTGGTTATTGGACTAGGGATGACGGAGAACAACGTGGCCAAATGCAAAGAGACCTATGAGGGACGATCAAACGGCTCCCCGAGGTGATTCTGGACGCGAAGGTAGGGTAGCAGCGCCAAACCGTGTCGAAGCTTATCGCGAAACCGGGTCTGTAAGAGTAGACTGTCTTCGCGCCCGATGAACTGCACCACTTGCAGCGTCGGTGTGCGCTGACTGATGCAAGCAAGCGCATTCCAGACGTGTCTGAACGCGCAGTCAGGATTCTGAGTCCGCCCGTTCTGCAGAGGGCAGAGACCGAGACACATCACAGAAAGTGGGGAAAAATTATAAGTATTATGATGTGAGCGTACTTACGATCGTCACTATGGGCTACGATAGAGGCCCATCGTGAGAAAGAGAACATTATGAGGGTGGACTCGGGCACTATATTATAACGCTCGGTCTGACAGAGAATTATAGACACGCACCGTAGGAATGCTATGTATTATAGCCAACTATAGACGGTCACCCAAAGAGTCGTATTCAATGTAGACGCCCAGTGATTTGCACGGTATAATTTCATATATTATAGAGTCTTGTCAAGTTAGCTACCTAAATTATAGAGCGTCGTAATTATTCCTCATTAAATACGACGTATTATAGGCCCTCATTGTTATGTCATCAATGGTGGTATTCGGACGATACAGAACACCGTGTTTTCAAAGCTCGCGCTGGCCCAAAGTGCTCAGGGGCTTGAGTCGCGCATTTCGGGACCAGTGCCGACGGTTCACGCCAAGCATTTGGACATAATTCCCCTCGCCTCTGTTTCCTCCCTCCTTCTCCCCTCACCGCACCCTCGCTGTCGTGGCACGCCTGAGGAGAGCCACATACAGGCGGGAGCTCGGCCGGACATCTGCTCTGGTCAAGGCAAGTTCTCCGTCAGCCCTCGCCTCCCTCGCTCTCCGCGCACAGGTCAATAAGACCAGCGACCTCGCGCGCCAGCGTACGCTGTTGGCGTGCGACCCGCTAGAGGAACGGCGGGAGTCTAAACCACGCCTTTCTAAAAGCAAAAGTGCACAACGCGCGTACGTAATGCGTGCAAAGCACTGACAGCGTGTGCAACTGCACCACGAGCCAACAAAACCAGATGCTGACGCGCATGGCAAAAAACATCGGCGTGTGCTCTGGAGTGCATGGCTGACGCTAACAGCATGTATGTTGCAACATGCACTTGACGTGTGCACGCATCAGCGTGCGCGGGTTCTGCTCTTAATTATACCTAGTAGATGTAGCTAATACATTTGTTTATAACATACATGTGTGATGTCTGAGTGTAGTTGCCCGTCGTCCGAGTCCTCTGATTCCATTTCAAAGTTGGCCACACCCACTTGAAGACAGCGGTCCCAATCAGGCGGCAGCATGTGCCCAACAGTGCCGCCTCGGAATTGCATGAACATGTCGTAATTCGCAACGGAATATGAAGGTACACCGCTTCAACGACACCTCGGGAGTCTCGGGAGAAGAGAAGTCAACGGCAACGGGAGAAGCCAGAGGTGACAAGGGTGAAGAGAAGGGTTGGTATGCAAGAGAAGCTAGGGTGACGAGGTGACAAGGAACAAGTGAGAGATTGGAATGCAGGCTCACCGACGTATATTATGTAGACGCCTCGCATTTGCTTTTCCCCACTTGTTTGTCCTACTGCCACGACGGGGGTAAGCACCTTTCACGTCTGATAAGGGCTTAGGACATACACTAATGGCATACAAGTAGCCTTATATGTATTTCAGGTATACACATACCTGCTTGTATACTACTGCGATTGGGGCCCTATATATATTTCAGCTTCGGTAACGGGTTATGAGCCTTTTGCATTTCTCGCCCCACAGTACACAGGTTGGCACCTCCCTCTTGAATTTCCCTGCTCCCTCTGCTGATGGACCTTGCCTCACACGAGTGTCTTTCCCCAGGAGCGGCAGCAGCTGATCTCATTTCTTATCTGACTGGGCTGTGCGGGGTCTGGTGGGGCTAGTGGATCCCATCGGTCGAGCGGTGGTTGGGCGGCGGGCTCGGGCGCCCAGTGGTTGCGGCGGTTGACATACTAGCGCATTTCCACAAAGCGTCGAGCTCAGGTCGTGTTTCTCTGTTTTCTTATTATTGACGCTGAATCTCTCGCCCCACACACCGGCATTTCCTATTTCAGCACCTCAGTCGTCAATGTCGCGATTGCCCACCCCTCCATGCAAGCCCTCGTCTTCTTCGACAAAAATGGCCAGCAGCTCAGGATAGGTGCGTAGCCACGGCCCTCGTTTTTGACTTTCATTAATTGTAACCTGTCTGTGCGTATCTAGGGTATGTAATGCTCAAGTCGTTATTATTTCCCCTTCGCAATTCCATCTCTCGTACATTGACGCGTGTACTCAACCATGTCTAGTAGCTTGTACTTTATTCCGAATCTTTGGCCTGTACTATTAGTACCATCAATTCTAATATGACCTTGTCGTCTTGATCATCCATTGCATGACTTAAATATCATTATAGACTTGAAATCTGCATGTAATGCCGTGTCATTTTGCGAACCTTCTATCATGCCCAATCGTATCAGCCTTACTCTATCATGCCCGATTGTATCAGCCTCACTCTATAATGCTGTATCGTAACTGGGCTCAAAATATGAAACATCGAGGTCTTCCGTAATGAAAGTTAGACCTGTGATTCGGTGATATGCATTATGGTCATTGTACTGTAAGTTAATACATGTTTGCTGTGTACAATATCTCCCTAGTTTTTGTGATGCAGGTCACCGGCGGGAGGTCAAAGTCCACACGGAGCAGATGCCATCCTGGGAGCGAGAGGGTGAAACGTTGGAGTTGAGGACACATCTGCGTGACGATCGTCGTTTTCTCTTGAAGACCGGACGTTATGTCGTCACGTTCACCGAAGTTGCGATAGGGTTTGAGGTGGATGGATTGGAGAGTGGTACCAACAAACGCCAGGAAACGACGCCAGGCGTCCGCAGATTCAGACGCGTGACATCGCACGACGATGTGACGCAGGGCGGGGAAGTGGGTGTGTATGGACTCGGTACAGTCATTGCGCTCCTGTACTGTGAAAAGTGAAAGTGTCGTGAGGGAGTGCATGGTGGGAATCCCGGAACAAGCCAAGGTATCGGCCAGACTGATTTCTCTCTGCGAAGAGAACATGCGAAGATTAGGAGCGGAAGTGAAGAGATCTCGAATGTCGGAATCGCTCGGCTCTAGACGGTCGTTGACCCAGTGGATCACTCTGAGAGAGGGGCCGCGTCGACATAGCGCCTGAAGCACAGCTGGAGAAAGGGGTATGGAACGGTATCTTACCGACCGCGGTGCAAAGACCACGATGGACAGGTTCACCATACAATCCAGCAGCGCAGTTAACACGATGAGGTCCTGCTCGTGTTCCTCTGCCGACTGCCGATTAAGAGGGGCCGTAGGAGCAAAGTCCAGCCTCTGCACATACCAGCCCAATGATCGACCTCCCTGCTCCGATCGCCATGTCGAGCCCAGGAGCGTGAGACAAAGAGAAACGAGCACGCGTCGAGTGTATCCGATCCACACGGACCTGTAGAGAAGCTCGATGGAGAGCGCGTACCATCCCTTGCACACCAAGGGGAGGCATCGTCGCGTAGCCATGGACTTGCGGAGGGCCGGGTCAGTGCCTCCGCTATACTGTGAACCGAATGCTTCTGTATGGGCGTAAATGTCGGGCTCCAGGATACCGGGTGTACTATGTGTTGCGTGTTGGAAGACTTGAACCCAGAGTTCTGGAGGTAGTTGAAAGGTTACGTGTGCATTCTGAGACTGGGGACCCGAAGCGGGCATGTCAGAGGGGAAGCATGGGTGGAGAAAGCATAACTGGGACCTAGACAACGTTTATAAGACGCAAATAAAAGCATGCAGGAGTGTATGACGGCACCTGTCAATTCTCGGATCACTTTACGCGCGTCCAGAAGCAAAGGCCGCCAAACAAGTTACCAAGATATGAACGCGATGTTTCATCGAAGACAAATTGCGAGAATGGCCGTGAGAGTGGACAATCAAAACCGCGATTGAGTTCGACGGCTGTGACACGACCACCCGGATAAACGAGGTGTCTGTACGCGGTTTCCTGTCCCTGGCCTAGTTGTCATGCTTGTTCAAGCGTACTTCACTGCGTCGTGCAGACCAATGAGAAGACAAACCCGGAGTAACACCTAGAGGAGTCGACAAGAATCAGAGACATGTGCGAGAGAGGCAAGTTAGTCATTCCGGAGGCTCAGCATGCGACAAGCTGTCGGTCATGATGAGATGCTTGAGCCGCTCTTTGGACACCATGCTGCGCCTCCCAATTACCACCGAGACGTCCATCCCCGCAGTCATCCCCACCACATATGGCCCGTTTTTCTGTCCCCTTGTTGCGCTTTGCGCATTGTCCACCATCGCCACCAATCCTCAGCCCTCAATCATACCTTTGCCATGATTATTGTCGGTGACAATGATAATAAACCCAGTGAACGTCAGCCCCTTCAAGCGGGCTCAAGTCGACAGCACCTGCCACAGCAAGTGCCAGAGCAGCTCCCTCCGCCCCCATATCAGCCTCGCCCGAACCAACCTGGAGATCCCTTTCCATATCAGCCAACCCAACCACAGGTACTCGCAGGGTCCTCACAAGGCTTTGTCTTTCGGAAATCACCAGCCAGGAGGTTCTGCAAGGCGTTCACGACTGCGCTCCTCATATGGATCCTCATTGCGGTACTCATAAACAGTATCGTTGGGTCCGCACAAACAGGATGGTGGCCTAGATCGGTGAATTTGCCATGTCTTATCCTGTGCATGTCGTCATTCGACTAACATGTTCGCAGCCAAGGATTGACCGCGGTAACACCGGCTACCCTCTCACGAAGGACGGCAAGATTCACCAGTGCTTCGGGAGCAACGGTACCAACTGGGAAGGATATCTCAACCCAGGCGCGAATAGCGACTACCCGTGGGCTGCGGAGGCATCGTTCGAGGTCCCTATCGACTCCGAAGCACTCTACCTCTTCACACGCGGATCTCGTCAGCACGGCAGTGTCCGCATCACCACCGAGGACAACCACTTGGACAACGTGCGCATATTGGTGCACGCATTGTACTATCGCCAAGGGAGCATTGCCGGTACTCACGCATGCCTGTTGGAGCCTACAACTCATGAAAAGAGCATCGGAATATTTGTGAGTCATGTAGGCTCAACCGCATCAACCGTATTCTAACAATTGTTGTAGACGCCTGAGTGGGGGAGTAGGTCAAGGAGCAAAGATCATATTCAGTTTGATATCACGATTGTCATCCCCACTCGCCGATATGGGTCAGAACGTCGCGTCCGAAAGCTCGACGTGAACACACCTCGGTACGACCTTATATTGGGCACCCTTCAAGAAAAGGTGTTCTTCGACATCATCTCTTTGTCAACTGAAAATTCTCTCGTGGATGTTAAGGTACGCAAACTGAAGCCGTTATCGCCATGTTGCTTAACTAATACATTATCAGTCAGTAGCCTGTGCTACCGGGAAATTTGAGAGCGAAAATGGCAAAATCCAAGGCACTTTCAGTAGCCTGAAGTCGCTCTCGCTTCACACCAGCAACTCTCCCATCGAGGCGACAGTCCATCTCGCCAACCAGGCCGTCCACCAGCGGACGAGCACGCTCGACATGTCCACCACCAGCGACCGCATCGACGCCAAAGTCGACCTCTACACACCAGATTTCAAGAGCACCTCGTCCCTGAGATACTCCGTCACCGCCATGACCGACAACAGCCCGCTCTCAGTCAGCGTGACCAACCTGCCCGTGGATGCACAGCTCACGCTCTCGGCGCGGACGCTGAACGCAGACGCCCAAGTCAACTTGCCTCCGGCCTTCGAGGGCGCGTTCGACGTGCGGACGTCTGGTCATAACGCAGCGCACCTCGTCGAGGACGACGTATCCGATCCCGCCAAAGCTGGCCGGAAGCGGACGGTGCACTACGACACGCACGACAACGCGCGTTCCTCGGGCACTATTGCCTGGTCGCCGGAGCACGAGAGGCTCGGGAGGGTGGAGGTGGGCACGTCGAACGCAGGAGCAACGCTCAGGCATGGTGCTGGAATTTGATGGTTCTGGGACGCAGTTGTTGTATGATACCAAGGATGACTATTTCCTCTGAATCTGATCTGCCTACAGCAGATCTGTGTACGTGGATATGAGACATTTCCGTCACGGCTTCAGCAATGTTGTGTCCCACTTGTGAGAGATGCAAAGCCCATATTTATGTTACCTCCCCGACATATCGAACGAGGGAGAGAGTCAAAGAGCTATCCCCAGATAAAACTCAGCTACGCAGGCTCATGTAGTCATCGTACATCAATCAAGGCGGGAAGTAGGTCTGAACCCTCACGTTTACATGGGCTAGAACCGAGGACAATTGACTGGGGAAGGAAAGACAGGTCGGGTTGAAACTCACCACCTTTGGGAGATTTAGTGAATGTCCCGGATGATTGAAGCTGAACACTCTGTACCTTCACCGAGCTTGATGTTGCGCTTACGACGAATTGTGCGGAGTGCCTGTCTCTCAGGGGCGACTAGTTCGGTTAGAATAGGGGCTAAATGGCACAGCCAGCAAAACGCAGCACAAGCGTGCGTCTGCATTGCGCGACCCCCTTGATTCAACCATTGCGTTCTCGTTCCGCTCTCCATCTTTTCATCACGCGCATTCTCTAGCGAAATGGTATGAGGTAATCTGCTTAGGGGAGGTGAGGAAAGTCACTGACAATGTGCTTTCAGCTGCCTCTATCACTGCTAAGTGCGGCTCAAAACAAGCCCATGGTATGTCCCAGAAACACGCTCTCAACAAGCCTCACGACTCAACAGCATCTTGAACCTGCATTGCTCTCTTGTACGATGGGTAGCTTGTGGAGCTCAAGAATGGCGAGACCTTCAACGGGCATCTGGTCAACTGCGACAACTTCATGAACATCACTCTACGCGAGGTGTATCAGACGAGCGCCGACGGCGATCGGTTTTGGAAGCTGAAGGAGTGTTATATTCGCGGGAGCACGGTGAGTCGCACTTGTTCATTTCTTTTCCAGTCTCCATCCCTCCGTCTCTTCCGGCTTCACGCTTCAGCCTTCAACGTTTATATGCGTAGCTCGTTTAACTGACAGGTTACGCTCCTGCTCCTTCCTTTTAGATCAAGTATCTTCGCGTTCCCGACCAACTACTCGACGTCGTGAAAGAGGATCAGCTGCGCGCTAGGGAGGCTAATCGAACCACACGGGGAGGACCTCCCGGGAGGGGAGGCCGCGGTGCCCCACCAAGAGGTGAGTCTGGTGAATCCCTGTTCCCACCATCTTTCGCTCACTGGCGACAGGTCGCGGAGCACCACGCGCGGCTCCACGAGGGGGAGGTCGGGGCCGGGGTCGAGGTTAGAGATTGTTCATCAGGGGAGAGCTGTGGATTCTTTGGACCTCGATGGTTGGCTAGGTGCTTTAACGCACAATTGAGACGATACGTATGGGATACTCGTTCGCTTGTAAAGCGGCTTCAATGCTCGTACTAATACTGCTAGATCCTCATTGTACTACGCTATGGTTCATCTGATGGATGTTTTGCTATACACCGATCACTCCGTAATCGTCATCAGCCGTCCCCGGGCACCGTCTCGATATAACAACATAAGGTACATACACCGTTTGCGTGTTCACGCTAGCAAGTATGACATAAATACCCAGTGATACGAAGTTTTAATGTTCGCTCATGATCTTAACGTGTTAGCATGCCACCTCTCCTTGCAATCCCTGAACTCCTCCGTCTCAAACAAGGAGCTGACAACTCCAGCCACACGTATATCCGGTAGCCTCGCTTCCACCTCCTGCGCCGTCAACGTCCACTGGGAATACGCCACCAGAACAAAAGATGAAGGGCGACACTGTGACCGCTGGATAAGATTAGCCACGACCTCCAGCCCCGCTGCATCCCGCAGCGGGACCAGGAGTGTTGATAGGTTTGGTAATGCGATGTAATCGAGGAAGATGTGATCGTCGCCCTGGCTGTCCTGCAAAGTCTCTGGGCTGGATCTCGGTGCAGTAGACAGACCAAGAATGCGGAGCGTGCGATGGGGGATCGGGACGGCAGGTGGTGTAGAGAGCTCATTCTCAAGGAGGCCTGTGGCGTTGATGAAAAGCTCCTGGAGTCGGGGAAGGCGGTCCACGAAACACGCCTGGGTGATGGTCGGCCAGTACCCGCTCGCAACGACGA